TTCCTGGAAGAGAGCCTCTGGTCGATTTTATCCACAATGTATCTATACGTATTACGGGTTAATCTACCATGAAGGACAGGAACTCCTAGGTATTTCCCTAGGTCATAAGTAGATTGTATTCCCAGTCTCCTACAAATATTACCCTGGTCACCATTCCTAGTGTTCTTAGAGAAGAAAACTCTAGAATTTTCTTTGCTTACAAGCTCCCCTGAAGCCTCACAGAAATCATTCAAGCATTCAAGAATAACATCTGCTTGGTTAAGGTTAGCTTCAGCAAACAACACCAAATCATCAACAAAGAAGAGGTGCGAGATGGCTGGTCCTCCAACCGACAACCTAATTGGTTTCCAAGATTTCACATTCACTTTTCTACAAATACAGTGGCTTAAGCGTTCAATGCAGAGAGTAAAGAGATAGGGAGAGAGGGGACATCCCTGTCTGAGCCCTCTGCTGGGCTTGAAGCTGTCTGTCTCTCCACCATTCCAAAGTACTTGCATTGTTGTAGAAGACACGCATTGCATAATGACTTGAATGGTGGCCTCTGGTAACCCAGCAAGACGGATGATCTCCTCCAAGAACCTCCAATCAATTCGATCGTAAGCTTTGGCAAGGTCGATCTTCAACAACATCATCCCCTTCTTTCCTTTTTTCTTGGCCATGGTGTGGATAGTCTCCTGCAAAATCAAAATATTGTCACTGATATGCCTTTGTGGAACAAAACTGGACTGGTTAGGGTGGATTAAATGGAGCATAAGGGATCTTAGCCTGTTGGCCAGGATTTTAGCCACCACTTTATACCCAACGTTGCATAGACTAATGGGTCTGAAGTGGTTCATCGACGATGGGCCTTCAATCTTAGGGATCAAAGTGATCAGGGTGTTGTTCATAGCTCCAATGTTGCTGGGGTTCCTGAAACAGTTGGCAATGAACGTGGAAAACTCCTCCTTGATGGCATCCCAGCATTTCTGGAAGAATATGGCATGGAACCCATCCTTCCCTGATGCTTTTGTGCCATTCATATCCATGATTGCAGCTATGATTTCTTCCATATTCGGGATTCTGCACATGCCTTCAGCAATCAAGGTGTTGATAGGAGGAAATTCCGCAGCGATTTGAGGTCATTCCTCCTTCTCATCTCTGGTGTAAAGCTTAATGAAATGGTTTCTTGCCATAGTTTGGAGCACTTCTGGGTCGGTAATCCAATTCCCACTTTCATCTTGAAGCGCAAGGATTCTATTCCTTCTCCTTCTGCTTATTGTGCTCTGGTGGAAAAACCTTGTGTTTCTATCACCATGGATCACCCAATTGGATCGTGATTTCTGCATCCACAAAATCTCTTCCTGCCATAGGGTGATTTCAAGTTCCTCCCTCACCCTTTGTTCTTCTTCAAGTGACCACCTATTGGGAGATCGTTCATTTTGGTTCTCGACCGACTGCAACTTGTTGGCGAGCTTCCTCTTTCTTTTAAAGATGTTCCCAAACACATTCTTGTTCCAATCTTTCAGCTTAGTAGAGAGGTCCTGCAAGGCAACTAGGGGTGGCAACGGGGCGGATCGGGGCCGGGTACCCTGGATCCGTTGCCCACCCACCATGGGCCTCGGGTATCCCCGTCCCCGGCCCAAACGGACTTACGGGCCTGGTTGGATAACCATCTCCGTCCCCAATGGTTAATCGGGTGCCCGCGTGTCTATAATACCCGCTACCAAACCATGAAAATAAAGATGAAAATGACAAAAAAAATCTGGAAACTGGACACTTTATTCATACTGACTGGTCTGTTAAAAAGACTTGAAATAAACAACTGAAAGCTTGCCAAGCAGCTCAGCAACAACAACCAAAAACAACATCTGTTTTGTGTTTGTGATAGAAATGATCAAATCAAATGAACCAAACAACCAAAAAGAAGGACGTTCCCAAAATTCTAAATGTCTAATTCTTATCCAAAAACAGTAGACTGAAATAGTTCAAGCAACAGCAACGCAGCAACATTCCATTTAGGTTCCAGCAACATTGAATCATTGAGAAATCATCCACCCGACCACCCCTGACCCTCATTCCAATCGATGTAAACCAGCAGACCAGCAATCATCAATTGAAACTGAATAAAGTACACACAAGAGGAATGATTCAGTTAGTAAAGACTAAATGAATAATGCATCAACGACAACAAATACAGAAGACATTTACCTTGGTCCCACAGCAGATTACCAATCAGTCTTCATGGGCAAATGGTGATATCATTAAGGTGAGTTCTGGACCTGAAAAAGCGAAACAATGCAAATGTAAGTATTCCTCAATGAAGTAATAGAAATTAGAACACATTATGGAAAAATGAATTATTGATCTTACCACCAGGTTTTGCCTCTTCCATAGTTGTATCTCCGAGTGTCATTGTTGAGAAGAGTCCATCCAATGCCTCCACAGCAGCCTCCGAATCTGCAGAGAACCAGTTGAATGAGTTCATACTATTCTTAAAACGTAAACCAATAAACTTGAGAGATTTAGTAGCATTTTACCTCGTTGCATGTCCTCCATTATCCAACTCCTAGTACACATCATTGCCTCCACAGTCGAATAATGCAGCCTGCTCCGGTGAGGGTCTAACAACCTCCCACAGAACTAAATGCACTCTCAGAAGGCACAGAAGTAATAGGGATTGCCAGAAAGTCCCTTGCAATTGATTGCAAGATCGGATACTTCAAACCATTCAATTTCCACCACAAGAGCAGATCAAACTCTGCTTTGCGAGGAATGATATCCTCAGCAAGATACATATCCAACTCAGTTGTAATCAAGGAAGTCTTACTCTTTTTCCTTTGACTTACAAAGAGTTCAAAATCAAGTTCAATGGCAGAGGCAGTTCCAGAACCAGAAGAAGAAGTTCCCGTTTCAGAACCAGATTTGTTCTCAGCTTTGGTTTGATAATCACGAATCAAACCACATATCATTTGCTTGATATTCTCAGCAACCAAACCAGTTTCTGTATTCCCAAACTTTCCAGCATAGTATTCAATCACATGGAGTTTATAAGTATTCAATCACATGGAGTTTATATCTAGGATCCAAAACAACCGATACAGCAAGCACAAGATGGATATCATCCCAGTATCAAACTTCAGTGACATTTGACTAGCCATTCCAAAAATCACAGGATTGGGATCAAGACCCCACTCATTCAGTTTAAGTCTGAGATCACATATCTTAGGGAAGAACAGATTGGCAGTCGGATATTTGAAACCAGAGAACAACTCAGTAATCTCAGAAAAGATTTCCAGCTTCCCAATCACAGTAGAAGCAAATTCCCATTGTTCACTAGAAGGAACTGATGTGTAATGATTGTCTCTCAAACTCAAACGAAAGAAAACATCCTTGTAGGGAATAGCAACAGAGAGCATATGATAGGTGGAATTCCACCTAGTTGGACAATCAAGGACTAACTTTTTCTCAACAGATAGCTTAAGTTGCTTAGCAACTTCGAAGAAGGTTTGAACCCTCTTAGGTGTAGAATTCCAGTAAACTACACTCTCCCTAATCAAATTTATAGCATCCTTGATTGCATCCAAACCATCCCTTACAATCAAATTCAGAATATGAGCAGAACACCTCATATGAACCAATTTACCATCAAGCAACAAGTCACTGCTCAGAAGCTTAGTTCTCATGTGGAAAATCATGGAATCATTGGTGGTACAGTTGTCCAATGTGATTGAGGACAACTTACCATCAATGTTCCAATCCAAAAGACAATCAAACAACCTATCAGCAAGCCTTTCACTAGTGTGAGGGGCTGGAACATACATAAATCTCATCATTATGTTACGGAGCTTCCAAGAGTTATCAATGAAGTGACCAGTTACTGCCATATAACCCCTTTTCTGATTTCTAGCAGTCCACAAATCAGTTGTAATTGAAACCCTCCCCAGGTTACCATCAATAATGGTCTGATATTTACCCCTTTCAACACCATACAAACTCAAAATGTCCTTTTTGACAGTGTTTCTACTAGGTACAGCGAACTGAGGTTGAAGAGAACAGCAAAAACGTTTGAAACCCACATGATCAACAAGGCTAAGGGGGGACTCATGGACCAGAATCATTGAACAAAGTTCCTTCCTGGAAACCTCATAATTGTATTGAGAAGCAGAGAGTTGAGGATTTCCAGCGGGTTTATAGTTAGGGCCAAGTATTTTTTGAGAACCATCATGTATCCTCTTTTGGATACATGTTTTGATATGGCTTCTTAGGGTGTGAAGTTCCATTACTTGTTTCCCCACCAAGGGATTTACGACAGTACTTACACCTATCCTTCATAACCCCATTAACCCTAACTCGGTTAAAGTGAGGCCACACATCAGAAGTTAACTTACGTTGAGCTTCAAGCTCCTCAACATTACCAGGTTGTTCAGGTTGTTCAGGTTGAGGTTGGACTTGGACACCATTTTCAGGGACATTGACATTGGGAGCAATGTCAACATTTATAGCAGTAGGAGCACCTTACATCTGAACATAATATATATTAAGCCTTAGTTAATACTTAATAGTTATTAACTTAGTTACATTTCATATGAACATTAAGCCTTAGTTAATAGTTATTAACTTAGTTACATTCACAATGACAAAACTAAACTTGCAAACAAACATCTTTAGCAGCAAAATCACGCTTACAGTTTAATTAATTTTACTTATTAGCATTATGAATCCACTGATTGTCACAACAAGTCGCAGCATTATGAACAAACAGTCAAACACAGTGAGTTGAGGCTTAGGAGTTAGGAGAGGACTGGGATTACCTTCTCGGATTGGAGTTTTATGTGGACTGTCGAGTACCCAATGACAGTAGACTGCTCCTCACTGCTCACTGACTCTGTTCTGCTCCAGTTCTAAACCAGTAAACCCGATCCAAAGTTCCAAACGAGACCAAGTGACCAACCTAGCCCAAACAAGAGTGAACAAGAAGAGTCAGTGAACAACGAACACAAAGCAAGTTAGAACTGGAATTTAATGCATGCATGTCTGTATTATGAGACCACTAACCCATAAATCATAAAAAGTATAGACGAGATCAAGAAACTTACCCTCGACGACTGGACTCTGTCTGGAGGCTCGGGCGGTCGGCTAAATCCCTCGGTCTCTGCTCTCTGTTGACTCGACTGGGGTGTTCTTGTTCTCGATTTCAGAACTCAGAAGATGGCGTGGTGAGAAACGACCTCTGCGCTCTGAATCCCCCCTATATATACCAGTACAAGAAGAGTCAGTACTCAGTAGAGAGTTAGGGGAACGAGGAATCAGGGAAGATGCTTGAAAGAAAAGATAAGAAACCCAGAATTAACTTATCTTTTCTCGAAGAATCAGCGATTTGAACTTCCAACAAGGCAACGACTCGTTTTTGGACTGCGGCCGACGAAATCTTCGTCGGATGGTTGCTCTTTGAGCCATGCAATTGGTCGAATGGAGGATTTGATGAGGGGAAATGACGAAAAATTGGCCAGATCGTGATTACCTAGCGATCTGATCGCTAATCGCCAGAGAGGAGGCAGAGAGAAAGAAGGAAACTAGGGTTTCTGTTCGTTTGGTGAAGAATGGAAATGAGGCGGCTGCTAGGGTTTCTCTAAGGGAAAGCAGAGATTATATATCGCCCTCCAAACGCCGTCGTTTTTTACACGGTTAAACCATCGGGCGGGGGGCGGGGCGGGTCGCGGGGCGGATACTGGGCTTACCATCACTGCCCGAAAACCATGGTTGACGGGTTTCGGGTTACCCGCCACCCGTTGACGGGCTAAAGAACCACAACCACGTGGGCCCTTATCGGGCGGGCTTCGGGCGGATACCCGGATTTGGGCCCCGGCCTGCCATCCCTAAAGGCAACAGGGAGATCATTACCATTACGCCAAACAGATGAGATGAAAGAAAAAAAATCATCATGTGCAAGCCAGGGGGCCAGAAACTAGAAACGCCTCACCAAAATCTTCTTGTCAGGTTGAGTGGTGGAGCATGTCAAAATCGGCCTGTGGTCTGATTTTAGCTTCATGATGTGGTAGACAGTAGACTGTGGGAAGGCTTGGTTTCACGCCTGGTTGCTCAGGCTTCGGTCAAGTCTTTCCTTGATCCGTGACGACCTGGTAAACAGGTGAACTGGGGCCCTATGAAGCCGAGGTCAAAAAGGTTGCAATCCTCAATAAACTCGTTGAACTCCCTTGATTTGGCAAAGCTAAAGGGGGCTCCTCCTTGCTTTTCAGTTGGTGTGGAGATGGAGTTGAAGTCTCCAGTAAGGAGCCATGGGTCCTTAATACCTCTTCCCAACCTTCTGATCAGATGCCAAAGCTCACCCCTTTCATGCTCATTTGGGCTGGCGTAAATAGTCGTTATGAAACCGATGTGTTTCCCTTCAATAGAGCATTTAAGATGAAGGAACTACTTGTGAGAATCCACTTGTTCAAGTGTGACATGTTTGTTGTCCCACAAAAACCATATGCCACCACTGAAACCAACGGCATCCGAAACTTCCCACTTATCAAATCCCAGGGATTTAATGACATCAATCGCATCTTCTCCACTAATTCTTGGTTCCGTAATGCAGACTACATTAGGTGAATGCATTCCTTTGTAGAACTCCATCGTAGAGTGAAACTAGTGGTGCTTAGCACCTCTACAATTTCAGGCAAAGACTTTAATCATCATAAATGAGAGGAAGTCCACCTGCATCGATCAAAGGTCGAGAAAAATCATTCTTTATCAACGGCCATTGCCGTTGCTCCAGACCCTAGGGCAGCATTGTTGTTGGAACCCTTAGTCTTGTCTACATTTTCTGGCTTGAGATGATTAACACTAGCCTCAGGACCAAAATCAATCTTTTTCAGTGCGCCCACTCCTGACGTAGAATTTTTCATGCTTTGAACTGGTGCTATTCTTCCATTTCCCGCCTCACCAAGTTCCTTGTTACTGGGCGTGACAGTACCACCTGGTATCAGGTTGCTACTTGAGTTCCCAGGAGAGATCGAAAAAGTGACATGCTTCGGGATGGAACCCCCTTTCTTATTGTCTGTAGCCATGACTTGAATACTAGGGGAGGATAAATCTTCTTCTTCCCCGTAGTGGAAGCAGCAGGCTTCACCAGGTTGGACTCAGGTAGGGATGGCAACAAAACCCGAAACCATGGGTACCCACCTGACCCAACCCGGTCAACACGTTTTGGGCCGGGTTTGGGTTTAAACCCGTTCACTATTCACTGGGTTGGGTTGGGTTTGGGTAAATCCGACCCGTGGGTACCCGCACACCCATATATTTAATTTTTTCGGTATATTTAATATTCTAAACAACTATTCTTATTTATGTTCGTGGAGACATGTCTAATTTTTTCTTTTCAATTGTGTAGAATGAAGTTGATGTTATGGAGTGGAGAGTAAAGAAACTAATTGAAAGAAAGAAGCTTTCAATTAAACATGTTATTTATGGATAATTTGTGATTTGCTTCAATTTTCTTGAGTTTTCTAGATTGCGTTGAACAATTTGTATAGTTAATTTGTGATTTGCTTGAATCTTCTAGAATGGTGTTTTATATAAGGATAATTTGTATTGAGAGATTGATATTTTACTTTAATTTTGATAAGAACTTGTAATTATAAATTTTTTACGACAAAACTCGTGGGTACCCATGAACTCGCGGATACCCAACGGGTTGGGTTGGGTTTGAGTTTTTCAAACCCAATGGGTTTTACCCCGGATTTTTTTCAAAGATAAACCCATGGGTTTGGGTTTGGCAAAACCCGACCCATTGCCATCTCTAGACTTAGGGGAGGCCTTCTGGTTTCCTTTCTTGTTCATTGTCAAGGCCTCATTGTTCTTTCCCAATGTTTTCTCACTTCTTGTTAGGCTGCAGGATGGAGCTGCTGCAAACAGTGAAAATTGATTTTGGGGGCAAAAACGCTAAACTCAAACGAAAGGATTTTCACCTTCTTTTGATTGGTTCTTGATCCGTGGGGATCCGTGGATTACTCAAATTCGTTTGCTAAAAGAGGCGGTAGAAATTATCTCCCTGTTCAGACTGCGAGGACGGGGACAGGGAAATCTGTCACCCCTAACGGGCGGGGAACGAGAGATAGTTATCCATCTCTAATCTGCCCCGATGCAATCTCCAGTCTGGAGTCGATAATACCAAATATTGATAAATTCAATAAGATATTCGATACATCAATACCAAACTTCCAGCACTATTGAAGTGCTAATTTTTGTTATCGAGGTATATGGAGTTTCAGACATTAACACCATAAAATTCACTTGCTAGCGACCTGAACCGTACAAACAAAGTGAACTACAATATAAACATAAACACATTCTGTTTTGATGCTCTTGTTTTGCCTCAGAATTGCAGAATAGTGTCAACACCAGTAAATTTCAGTCCCGAAAGATGGTGTGTGTTTAATCTCTGATATCATCATCGGCAACATAACAATCACACGCAAGAGCAAAAGCACAAAACTATGGAAATCATACTTTCAAAAACTACAATATACATATTCGAACCAATCCAGGAAAGGATCCAACAAAGAATGGAAAATCCTCAACCACTGAAAAAATCGATTCATGGGGGCATTTTCTGCCCCTTTTGCTCTCTGCCTCTGTCTGAACCAAGCAGTGGTCTATTGTTTCCAAATCACCGGCTCGGTTATTCGAAGGCAATCCTGCAATCATAATTTTCAAGCAAATTGGGAAAGAAAATCTGGCAATTGATCGGGGGGAAAGAAAATGTTCAAGGCTGATTGTAGGTCAGCGATTTGGATTTGCGCTGACCCCTCAAAAAGACCTCGAGGGTTTTGTTCAGAAACCCCTTTTGAGGGGAGTTGCTAGAACCCTAAATCTCCGCCTCCAAACTAAACCTGAATGTGAAATTTGCCCACGATATGGGTTTCACACGGTTACTCTAAGAGGCGTCGAATCTGATGACAGGAGCTGTGGAAAAGAAGGAAATTTTGATACGATTGGAGAAAGGAACCATATTTTTTACATATCGGAGATTGAAGGAGAAGAAGAGCTCCTAACTCAGCCACAGAGCAGACTGAAGAGGCTGCTGCTGGTTCTGCTTCTCCATAGGAAGCGATGGCGCTGTCCTTTTTAAAGGGTATCCATTTTGAACCCGGCTTCTAGGGTTCCGCAGGGTTCTGCAATGCCCTTACGACGTCGTTTTGGGGTCAGTACATTTTACTATTTTTAGGATTCTTGGACGGAAAATTATGCCCAGGAATTCCATAAAATTTTGATAAACTTTTTCTAAAATGATTTTTTTTTTGTGTTTTGAATATAAAAGAATTTATTTTCATTTCTAAATTTTGAATTTCGCAGATTTGGTGTTAATGTTAGCAATATCTGTATTTTGCAGCAAGTGGTGCCTTTCATGAGAGCGTAGAAAGGGTGGGTAGACTAGATGGCTATAAAGATCAATCTAGCCAAAGCAGATGATAGAATTCTATGGGTTTTGTATGAGATACTTTTGCAAACGAATTTAACGAATGAGAAAAATAAAGAAATTTAAACAGTTAACTAAAAGGGAGAATAGGATATAAATAATTCGAGAGTAGACACGCTGCAAGTAACAGGGGCCCTAGCTCCCTTTGTTGATCTCACAATGCAATGTATATCTGTAGTGAGTATGCAGATATAGTGGACTGTTGTCCTGACAGAGGAGTTCACACCATCACAAAGGGCTCTGGCATGGGTGACCACTTTCCCCATATATCTTCACCCTATGCATGGAACACCTAAGCCAGTTAATCAAGGTTGAGGTTGCAAAAGGTACATGGCAGAGCTTCCGCCACACTAACGAGCCTTCTGCGATGAGTAGGGAGGACAACAAAATCCGAACCCACGGGTACCCACCCGACCCGACCCCGTGTTGACAAGTTTTGGACCGGGTTCGGGTTTAAACCCGTTCACTATTCACCAAATTGGGTTTAGGTATACCCGTCCCATGGGTACCCATCCACACCCATATAATTAATTTTCTCATATCTAATATTCTAAACAACTAATCTTATTTATGTTTGTGGAGACATGTCTAATTTTTTTCTTTCTAATTGTGTAGAAAGAAGTTGATGTTATCGAGTGGAGAGTGAAGAAACTTAATTGACAAGGAGGAAGAAGCTCTCAATTAATCATGTTATTTATGGATAATTTGTGATTTGCTTCAATTTTCTTGAGTTTTCTAGATTGTGGTTGAACAATTTGTATAATTAATTTGTGATTTGATTGAATTTTCTAGAATGGTGTTTTATATATGGATAATTTGTATTCAGAGATTGACATTTGACTTTAATTTTGATATGAACTTGTTATTGTAAATTTTTTACAACGAAAACCCGTGGGTACCCATGAACCCACGGATACCCAGCGGGTTGGGTTGGGTTTGATTTTTTCAAACCTAGTGGATTTTACCCCGAATTTTTTTCACGAATAAACCCATGGGTTTGGGTTTGGCAAAACCCGACCCAAAACGACCCATTGCCATCCCTAGCGATGAGGCCGTCGAGTTTGGGCCGTTAGGATGGAGTGGAGCCAGTGGGCGGTCAGGGGTGGGCGGGGAATAGGTCTGCGGGTGGTTTTTTAAAATCCCGGTTCTTTGGTTGGGATAATCCATGTGGTTAAATTTTTATTAATAGTTTAAGTGACATGACATGCTGATTGGGTAAAAGTAACGATTTTTTGAACGGAGATGGACGAAATGACCTTTTTCGTTATTCGCTCAAATATATATTATTGAAATGTGCAAAATAAAATGTTTGTAACCATTTTGTACAAAGTGAATAGGTTTATGACCTTTTATGCTAATTACCTCATTTTATGTTGGTGCAAGAAGCTCATCGATTGCTCGCTCAAGATTGGCAAGTTGAATTGAATAATATATTTAGAGAAGAACTTTGTAGTGGACTATGTGGCTTTTGTTGGCCATAGTCTTCCTTTAGGTTTCCACCTCCTGGAGGAGCTTGATCTGCTCCTGAACTATTAGTGTGGAAATTGTGTAGCTGCTCAGTGCTCCAGTCCTGGACAAAGATATTCGAGCCACCATCTTTGCAAAGAATAACCAAAAGGCACCTGGCCCAGATGGGTTATCATCACCTTTTTTCAATAGTGTTTGGCACATTATAGACAAAGATGTGGTTATAGAGGTCTTGGATTTCTTCTCTTCGGGGCGGATGCTAAGTGGAACTAACGCTACAATAGTTTTTTCGATCCCCAAAGTAGCTAATACCAAAACATGAAAGGAGTTCCGACCAATCTCTTGCGTAAATGTCCTTTATAAATGTGCGTCAAATATTCTGGCTAATTGGCTTCGTCAAGCTATGACTCTTATTATCGGTTCCAATCAGTGTTATTAAAGTCGACCCGAGCCGGTTGGTCGGACCGGTAAAACCAACACCTGACCACCAGTCTAGGTCGGATTTTCCCCAGAACCGCAATGGTAAGAAAGGTCGTTCGGCGAGCGGCCAAAATGGTTAGCCATTCGAGCTGCTCAAATCGTTCAACCAATTTTTTCCTTCTGGCTGTCTGGTTAATATTTTTTCTAAAAATTACTGGATTTAGGGTTCGGTTGCCTGTGGCTTCTCAATCGAGCAGTTGTCTTCCGTCATTGTCATCATCAATGGCGAAGACTAATCCCCACCTACATAGACATCGCCATTTCCAGAAAGAATTTAAGAAGAAGTCAGATTGAGTAAGAGATAGATAGATTGACAGCTTGAGAGAAGAGGAAACAGAGAGTGGGATGGAGTGGAACAATCGTTTATGACTACGGATTAGAAGAATCCCAAGCATCGAAAGAGAACCAGATGTTGAATAATGGTAAATTGTCGTTTGTCAAGAACAGAGAGAGAATTAAAAGTTGAAACCGATTTGAGAGAGGAGAGAGCGGCGACACTGCCGCTTACACTTAGCGTTTGCAAAAAGGTAATAAGTAAGCGGCCTCCAATTTTCACCAGTGGCGGACCTAGAAACTCTGTCAAGGGTACTCACAAAAATAATTAATTAATTATCAAATAAAATTAAAAGACTATTTCATAAAGTACAATGATTCATTATTTCTCATAGCGAACCACAACGTGTTTTCTTATTATGAAATGAGAAAAAGAATGAAATAAACTGTAATAGACTTGGAGTAAATAAATCATATTGTGAGTTTTCATTACTCGAGGAGAGAAGAATTAAATAAACCGTAATAGACTTGGACTCGGCAAACTTAATTAGGATTTAGTTTGGTTTCTTTATATATTTATTTGTATTCATAAAACAACAAATAACTGCTGGCATGCATTATGGAAATCCTAGTTAGTTGTAAGGTTTGTCAAAGTGTGAAGGGTTTAAATCCTACCAACAAGCATATATATTTTACTTTACTGATTTGCTACAATTTTTTTATCAAGGTGTGTCAACTGACTACCCTTTACTAGGAGTAGGTCCGCCCCTGCTTTTCACCTTTCATTTTCTGGTACACACTTGTTAGGTAGCTTTTGAATTATTTTTTTTTTATATTTTTTCCTTCCTATTATGTTATGGTTAATTAAATTGGAAGATTAAGGTTTGTACTCAGTACTTTTAATTTAGTAATTATATTTTTAATTTGTTTCTGAATAATGTACTCATGATTTAGTGCTAGAATGTGTGTAGTGTAGAATATTCTTGTTAATTAGATATAAGTTCATTAACGGTTTTGTAACGGCTTAATACTGGTTAGACCACTAGAGTTCAAACCGTTCTCTATACTGGTTCATACTACGGTTTCGTTCTGACAACATTGATTCCAATCAAACTGCGTTCATTTAGGGCAGGAGGATCATGAACAATATTCTGCTTGCACATGAGCTATTTAGTGGATATCAAAGGCAACATCTTTCTTCGAGGTGTGCAATAAAGGTGGACCTCATGAAGGCATTTGACTTCGTACACTGGAGGGTCTTCTTCTGCTGCTTATGACCGCGGGGGATGGGAACGGTCGAGGGGTTGAAGGAGATCGCGAAGCATGCAGCTATCGTGGGCCAGGAGGAGATTGCGAGGGCAGACGAGCAACTCGACTAGCATTTGGTGCCACTCTATCAGATGCAGGCATCAACTCATCTTGAAGGGTCTTCCCCCTTTTGTGGATTAGTCTTGGATTACAGGGATACCACGTAATACGCTTGTGTTTATCTTTTCCATTAGTTTGTGATTGATCTACATAAACAGTCTAAATAGTAGGCATTTTTAGCTAGGGTCGGGAATCAGTGTGGTTGAGGTTAATTGCGACCCCACCGCAAATGGTTTGCGGTTAACCACTAACCGCAAAAGTGTTGTTAACTACATTAGTAATTGTTTTGATGAGTTGCGGAAATTTTGGGTTGTGGGCTTTGCTGTCAATGCGGGAGGATGGATCAAGGGGCACTGAAACACGATTAACCGAGTTAATAATCAATTAAATTGAGGTTGCCTGTTATTCGAGTGCGATTGCAGTTAAATCGCAAATCGTGCGGTTTCGGTGCAGTTAGAGGTTTAATCGCGAAGCCGCAACCGAATTCCCACCCTTAATTTTAGCGGCATGAATCGGTGGAGACACGGTTAAATCACTATTTCAGTATAAAATATCCTATTCATAGTTTTTTCGATACACCTCCTATACTGTTTATTCTAGGAATGGAAGCGAGTATCTTGCATAGAGTGGTTGAGCCTAGGGATGACAATAAGTCGGGTTGGGTCGGGTTTTGCCAAACCCAAGGGTTTATCCATAAAAAAACTCGGGGTGAAACCCAATGGGTTTTAAAAACTCAAACCCAACCCAAACCGTTGGGTATCCGCGGGTTCATGAGTACCCATGGATTTTTGTGATAAAAAATTTACAATAACATGTTCCTATCAAAATAAAATTCAAACATCAATATCTCCATACAAATTATCCATACATAAAACACTAGTCTAGAAAATTCAAACATATCACAATTACACTAATTAAAAGCACACGAAATAAGTGTAGTGATAGTTAGATTGAGAGAAATTAGAATTATGGTAGGGTTTGGGGAGAGTAGGGCGACGGAATAAGTGTGGGCGGGTATCCATGGGTCGGGTATTCCTAAATTCAACCTCAACCCCAACCCAAACCCAACACAACCCGATGAATAGTGTATGGGTTCAAACCTAAACATGACCCATAGCCCGTCAACATGAATTGGGTCAGATAGTATACCCGTGAATTCGAGTTTTGTTGCCATCTCTAGTTGAGCATCTAGAAGGAATAGGTTCAAGAGATGAGAGAATTAAGGATAACTACAAGAAAGACTAATCCAATCCATAATGATGAACCGGAAAATACAACATTTTTGTTACTCGACCAACCATCAGGAGAAAGACTAATCCAATCCATAATGAAATAGCAATTAATTGCTCCTCGATTGATCAAAAATTTCGATTTTTGGGAAGTATCATGATCATCCAATAAGAAGGGTTTCAATTTTTTCAAATGAACGATTTGAAGACCTATTGGTTCGAATTTGCAGAGTTGATCATTCGGACCTTTCAATTCATAGATATGGATCTACCTTATACAGGAATATCACCTTAGAGGGAATTTGGAGTTTGGACCCAAAGTGAAACGGCTTGCGATGTGTTTGGGCCTTAATAAGCAATTCGACCAATACCCAATCCTTCTAGGAAAATCAAAATAGTAATAAGACTGTTAAAAAACAAAAAGAAAAGAGATGGTAAATCAGGGACGGCCATTCTTAATAGCATAGCTCTCTCCTTTCTTCTCACTTCTCACGCGGCCGCCGCCATCACTCGAGAGGCAGAGAGGAAGAGAAAGGGGAAGAAGCAGAAGCATACCAAACGCTCTTCTTCTCTTGAATCCGCGCCTCGAAAGTTTCCTTCTCGCCGGCTGATTGGAGTTTCGTTGCTGCTAACTCTAGGTGGGTTTATTACGCGTCAAGTTCCTCTGCCGCTGCCTTCTCTCGCGGTCTCTCGAATTTCGTTCGACGTATGATTTCTCCCCGTTTTAGTGCTTACGTTACCTAATTACATGGAACTTTCTGATGTTGTTTTTTTGTACTATTTCAGCTCCCATCAAAAGGGTTTAACTTTCGCTGTGTAATTTCTCTGATGGGTGTGGAAGTAGCTACTAACTACGCCAAAATGGAAGAAGATATTAGTTTCACTGATTCCCAACTGGTTTACAGCTTTAGGCTTGCCCTCAAGTCTGTTTCTTCGGTAAGTTGTTTGCATCTTAATTTGTCAATGGGATACCCATCCCTATTTGCCTCACATGAGCTGGGTAATTTCTGCCGCTTGTTAAGCTGCCTTCTTCATGAAGGGAATCCGAGTGACTCCTATGTAGTTGGATTGTTGGACTCTAAGATGCTTACAAATTTTAGAGGTTTCGCAGCCGCCGAATCTTCTTTGTTCAGTCTTTCCCCCCAGGTCATTTTTTGGGTAGTGAATTGGCCTACTAGGTTGGTTGTCTCAGGACACCTTGTAGTTATTGGCTACAAGGTTTGATTGCCGTTGTATTGTGCGCATTTTTTGAGACATACCCATGCTTTCCTTATAAAATTCTTTGCTCTAGCATTCCCGGATATTGTTAGAGTGCGAACGATATGAAAAATCATGATTTCCGGGTGCTCCTAGTTGGGAACCTGATTAAGTTGAAATGTGTAAGTTTGAATGATGGGACGTTAACTTGATTTAATAATAATAGATACTGAATTTATCTTAGAGATCAGGGTGACGGTTCATTTCGAAGTTAACTATGACTAAATGCTCCTACTCGACATAAGGACATTAGCTCTGATGTTTCCGCTTTACAACTTCTCATTAGGTTTCCCCATGATGTAAATCACGGATGCCAAAATAAATTGAATCAGAGGGCGCCTTGCGTTGACCGATCCATTTTCATTCTTTGACCAGGAGCCATCAATCCTCATACTTATGCAAACTAAACTGGTTCAGTTTAGTTTTCTCTGGTCTTTCTTGAAGATGAAATCAGTTTGAGTCTACAGAACCGATGAAAAGGTTGGTTTGGTTGGGGGTTGTACTTTGCCCTTTTCCAAAGCCAATCTTTGAACAACATTAAGGGTTCAAAGGTAGATTTCAAGCAATTAGTCTTGTTTACTCAAGACTTGCTATTTATAAATTTAATTAAGATGGTTTTGGATGCAAGCTTGGTATATGTTTTCAGGCTATATAATCAAGCAGTGATGCTAAGCTGAGATCTCTTGTTTTAGGGTGATACTGAGAGCTATAGCAAACTTGTAGATGTCATGAACCCTTCTGGGCGTCTTGCCCCTGATGAGGCGGCCCTTCTTTTGGTAAGTTCTATTCTTAAAATTATCTGTTAGGCCATGTCTGGCGGTTCCACATGTATGGTCCATCAAGATTTTAATTTTTCAGGACCATTTAAGGACTTTTGTTAGTTTTCTTTATGCAGACAAGTACTAAGGCACTATCTGGGGCAGTAGCTGACATTGATGATCTTCACCATGAGAAACTTCTTAAAGCTGTAAGTTGGTGTGCCTGTGATGCTTTATCGATCTCATAAAAGATATTATGTTCTGACATCTAAGCTCTCATCAGATATTTAACCTGTCCCTGTGGAACTTTGGGCCTGATGTGATCGATGCGTTGCTCGAGCTAATTGTATTGTTGGTAGGTTATTCATCTCTAGAACAGCTGCCGATGTCTGTAGAATACACAAGCATGTGAAGAAGTCATTGACACCTTAGTATTTTTGTTTGTTTTTGTTTATGTCAATGAACAACAGGCTGCTTCAAATGGAAAACATGTTGATTCATGCTTGGATATGCTCGTAAGCAATTTCACCCCTCCAAATAAAGTGTTAGATATGCTAAAGCAACCACGTGGTCTGGACAAAAAAGAAAGAGTTCTTCCCCGTGTTCATGCCGCTCTGAAAAATATCTCTGAGTTGGTTCCCATGGCAGCATCAAGGCTATCATCAATTGTCTTGGAACAGATGCCTTGGAAATCTAAACGAAATGTGGACCAATGGTCTATGAAGCGTCAAGTGAGTTAATTGCTTTGATATTTGGTTCTTTGCTTATAGTGGACTATCACAGTGTTGTTTGTTGAATGGCGAGAATATGATTTCCTATGATATCTTTAGATCTCCAGTTGCAGTGTATGGTTCTTCTGCTCAATATCCTTCTACATTGGTATTGCATATTTTGAAGGGAGTCAACCGAACGGGGTGGCTCGGGGGTCTTGGGGCCAACTTCACTTGTAAAAAAAACGTCAAAGGACTCAGATTTTTTTATGATTTGGATTGCAGCAGTTACTGCTGCGATGATAAACTACTTCTGATCAACTCTGGATCTCCGTTTCGTATTCATTTATCTTTCAAGCTTGAGTTCTGATATTGTTTCAATTGTATAATGTTTCACCTTTTCCTTCTGGTGTGTTTTCTATCATTTTCATTATTCACCTGAGCCGAAAAAAATCACGTAATGTTAGTTATTGTTGAAGAGATGGCGACTACTGAATTTCTTTATTGGATTTATTTGGTGAAGGTTAGTTGTCTTCTGATAATTTATCTACTTGCTTTTTGTAGCTTATCTATGTCGAGAACATGTTCAAGTTGGAGAGTGGTGCAATTAGGGAATTTGTTGGTGCCAATATGCTGAAGGATGTGATGATTGTACTGAGAGATTTGGATGTAAGTAAAACAATCAGTGTACTGCCCTGAAAGAAAGAGGCTTTACAAAATGCTCATTGCTCTGTATAAAACAAGTGCATGCTAATTGTGTTGTATGAATAAATGCATAGGTGGCAATTGGCTGGGATGACATTTTGCATGATGATTCTAGCAAAGGTGTATTTATGATTGAGCTGGAAGATGAGAACTATGCTGATGGTGATGAATATGCAGATGAAGATGGCAAGGTATAATTTGATAATTAGGCCACCAGTGCATACTTTGATTGGATTCATGTTGGTTTTCTGTACCATTAAACATGCACTGGTTGAGCATAAAAGGACCTGTCTGAAGATTAAGTTTCAATTCATTGACTAATTGCCGCCATGTAGTTCTCCTGTTGGGTGTTATATTTTGCATAACTGCTTTTATTGCAGTTTTTTCTAGAAGCAAGCAATCGTGTGCTAATATCTGTTCTTTGTACAGCTTCCGAGCACGTTAAGTGAGACGAGTTTGTCCAAGAATCTCACGGCTGAATTGCTTGATAGCTTAATGGTGCAAACTTTTGAGCATTTGGAGTCCTCTGTTTCGAATAAGCGTTTGAGTGAGGTACTGCTAAACCTCTATTTAATCTCTATTTCCTTTGATTCCTTTGTTTAAGAATCGTCTAAAACTTTTTTCTCTTGTTCTTTGTAGGTCTTCGATACTCTCCTAAGTTCATTTAAAGATACTGTATTAAACACATACAAGTCTAAGTTCACACAGGTAACACATCTTTCCTTTTATGTTCGCATTTGCATCTTTGCACAGTGTATATACTAAGCTTTGACATTGTAGAAGTGTTTGCCAAGGTTAATGAATATGAAGCCATGGTTTGTCTTGACATGGTCTTTTTGGTATCCTAAGTCATTGTATGGCGGAATGAGATAAGGCCCATCTCAGAACTCAGAAGTTGGGGAATGATGACCCATACCTTTAGAAAACTGATCGGTGTTATGTCATTTCAGTAGGTGTCTGTTTTAGCAAAACATTAATATCAATTTAAATCTATAATGATTGGTACTGCATAGTGTGAAAGGAAGTTGATGTGATGAGCAAGTTTTTTCATTACTGAGTGCTATTTATTTGTCTTTGCAGTTTGTAATGTTCTATGCCTGTGCCCTGGATCCTGAACACTGTGGCACAGAATTTGCTAGTGAGCTGATTGATATGTTTGTTGGTGGTCATAATCCTCTTACCAGGTATGCTTCTTAGAAAGAAAAATTCTGTGGCTTGAATGATAGTACGTGGTTATTAAACTTGTTTCTTTGTCTTCTATCAGGATGAGTGCTGTGGCATATCTTGCTAGCTTCTTAGCTCGTGGGAAGTTTCTTCCTCCTGCATTTGTTGCTAGCTATTTGGGAAGGTTAGGGGACATTTTTGTTGTCTCATGTTCACTTATCGCTTTATATTGCTTGTCCTTTGATCATGTAATAATTTCATTACTAGAAGTTTCAGCACTTTAGTTGTATTCACTCAGATGGTCTATGCTGCTTTTGTTGTTTTGTGAGCTGCAGGCTGGTGGACTGGTGCTGGCAATATTGTGTGATGCATGATGGTGATATGAACCCCAAACTCCATCAAGTTTTCTATTCTGGATGCCAAGTACGTTTTCTGGTGCCTTTGATGCTGGAGCGTAATAAGTTCGAGTTAGGGATTCTGATATTTGAATCTTTGTTTCCCAGGCAATGATGTACATTTTGTGCTTCCGTATGCGGTTGATGGTGGAAATCCCTTTGCTCAAATCACAACTCTTTTGCATGCCTATAGACAAAATCTTCAAACATAAACTCGATCCTCTGAAGGTGGGTCAAGTTGTTGCTTTATTGTTTAAATTGCTACTTCAGTAGTCTGATTTTGTTGCTAAATGTTCCCTTTTCCTGTTTCCTTGGACAGGTTTGTTTGCCATCAATTGTTGAAGAGTTCCTTAAACAGGCAAAAGCTGCCCGTCTATTCACCTCGTCCAAAACATTCGTTTTCGAGGATCTACTAGTGTCAAATCTATCTAGAGACTTTGGAGGGTTGGAGCGGCTCGACATGTTCTTCCCATTTGACCCATGTCTTCTGAAAAATGCTGACAGGTACAAAACTAGCTGATAATATTCATTTCCGACTTTGCTGCTGTGAAATTAGAATATTTTTCTTCTAGTTATATTTTGATTGGTCTTTTCCAAAACTCCATCATTTTTTGTTTTATCGACAAACTCTCTACCATCAATTTTTTCCCCGTAAAACCCAATAAAATACACATTTTCTCCACTTGATACCTAAACTTCAAAGGCATAGAGTACTCAACACCATTTTGCATGCTTATCTCACCAACTATACTCTATTTTTTATTGACTTTGTGAATTTCAGAAGCTTCATAAGGCCGAACTATGTGTACTGGAAGTACGTCAGAACCACATACCATGAAGATATTGATGATGATGATGAGGAAGATGGTAGCGACGGGGAAGTTGAGGGTGTTACGGAGTTTGATGATGACATGGAAGAAGTGATAATATCAAGGAGTTATGGTGATAATGATCTTGAAATGGATGAATTTGATTATGCGATGAACAAAATGTCTATCACCCCCAGGAATAACAGCAGCGCAGGATTGAGAATGCCTTCAAGAATCAGGCCGTCCATGAGTCCAGAATCCTTGTGAAATATAAGACACCAATGCTTGCTTACGGCCCCCCATATATGTGTGTTTGCTATCATCCAGGTGCTGCTGAAGCTCTGGTCTTTTCTTACTGCAGCTGTTGTAGAGTCGGGGCTTGGCCGACAGACAGTGAGAATTGAGGGATCCAGATTAGGGCTATATTTTTTGTACGTGTAATGTGAGTGAGTCTGCTTCTGGGTTGTACATGTAACCATCATCATACGTTACTCAAAAAACAATCTGTCGATGTGTCTCATCAAATGATTATGACTGAAGAATCACAAAAGTAGTTAGATTCTGTTTGGTTTAATGGGATTTTTTTTTTGGTTTAATTTTTCCTGTCTATCTTCCTCTGAAACCAACTCGTTTTGGATGCAGTCGGAGTAAGGCTAAGTATTCTTTTTGCTCGTCCTTAATCGTTAGATGTGTGATTTGTCAATTGTAGAATGTATTATGATATTATATTTCTCTCGCATGCACGACATGTTTGTCACTAATCCTATGATTGATAAGTGTATAATAATGGTACATACGGCCACAGCAGCTCAAATTCACAACAGGTTTGTGCTTGATGCAGGGTTTTTTTTCTCTCCAGATGCAGGATTGATATTTGCATATTCATTTGTTGATTGCTGAACTGCACCTCAGTGTTATTGTCTTATTTTTGTTTCAGAGTCTGTTGATAAAGTGTTGTGGGTAAACTACAATTAATGGCAAAAGCCTGAAACCATACATCAAGCTAATGACACTAATTGAAGTTTCATAAGGCCGAATTATGTGTACTGGAAGTACTTCCGAACTCCATACCATGAAGATATTGACGATGACGATGAGGAAGATGGTAGAGACGGGGAAGAAGAGGGGGTTGCGGAGTATGATGATGACATGGAAGAAGTGATAATATCAAGGAGTTATGGCGATAATGATCTTGAGATGGATGAATTTGACTATTCGATGAACAAAATGTCCATTACCCCTAGGAATAACTGCAGTGCAGGATGGAGAATGCCTTCAAGAATTAGGCCGTCCATGAGTCTAGAATCCTTGTGAAATATAAGACACCAATCCTTGCTCTGATCCTTCCTTACTGCCTCTGTTGTAGAGTCTGGACTTGGCCGAGAAACAGTGAGAGAATTGAGGGTTCCTTGTTAGGGCTAAAATTTTGTGTGTAAAGTGAGTGAGTCTGCTTCGGGGTTGTACATGTAAACCATCATCCCTACGTGAAAAACGATATGAAGATGTGTCTTATCGAAAAACGATCTGAAGATGTGTCTTATCCAATGAGTATGACTCAAGAATCGCAAAATAGTTAGCTTCTGTTTGGTTCTCTGGTTATTTGTTTCAGTTAAGTGCTATTATTCATTGTGGAGGTCTGTTAAACGTGATCATTTTGTTGTCATTTTCCTCTGAAACTAACTCTGTTTGGATGTTACTCTGGGTGAGGCTGTGTTTTTTTTTGCGCGTCCTCGATCATTAGATTTGTGATTCATCAATTGTAGAATGTACTATCTTTGTATCGCTTGCGCGACAATCATTTGTCACTAATTTCACGATTGTAAGAATGTGTGTAATGATGGATGAATTTGATCGAGGGTTGAACAAAATGCATGTCCAACACCCCAGGGACGGAGCCAGGAATTTAGGTGGGGGGTGGGGGGGAGGGGGGGGGGGGCGATAAAATTTTTGAAGTCAGAGTTTATTATGTTATTTATCTTTCAGCACAAATTACCAAAATATTGACACATAGAAGTCTATTTTTAACTAGTAGAAGAGCTTTGTATAGAAAGGTTATGTACCAAAGTAAGACAATGGGCAAAAAGTCAAAAACACTACTAAAATGGAAAACTTAGGTACCAAATCGTAAGGTATGCAAAATTTGGGACAAAAGGTGTACTAAAATGAAAACATTTGGTACCAAATCGCACATGCATAACTTGGGATTAAGAAGCAAAATTTCATGAATTTAAATGATTCATGCAAATTTTAGGTACCAAATCGTAAGACAATGTGCAAAAAATGTACCAAAATGAAAAATTAGGTAATATCGTGAATTTAAACGATTCATGCAAATTTTAGGTATCAAATCGTAAGACAATGGGCAAAAAATGTACCAAAATGAAAAATTAGGTACCAAATCGTAAAACATGCAAAATTTGAGGTTAGGAAGCAAAATTTTACAAAATTAAAAGTTGTTGCTAGCAACAATCGAACCTAGAACCTCCCCTTTAAAATCAAATGTGACACACCACTAAACCACAACTTGTGTTAGTTCAAAGTCAGATTTTAATATTGGGGGGGGGGGGGGGCCCTGCTTGCACGCTAGCTCCGTCCCTGCAACACCCCCTATGAATATATTCTCGGTAAAAGAAATATTAGGATCAGTTAAGTATTCGTTCATTATTGTGTTCATTCAGTACAATGTTGTTTGGTTTAAAACAGGTCAAAATATAAATTCGATATCTTTTTTTTTCTTCGTATTTATAAAATTTATGGGACCAATTACTAGATCGCATTATAATTAGTTCGATGTGGTACTGCACAAATGTCGATTACGCCCGATACGGTATGGTACCATCCCTATCAAACCATTACACAAGCCTAGTGGGTACTCACATGTTTAACTTTTCTCATTGAAAAATTTGGTGTTTGACAAATTCCAAATATTGCTACTAAATTATACTAACTAGAGAAGCCCGTTCACTACGTTTCGCGTCAAGTAAGCGCTGTGAAATGTTACATGTGATTATAAGATGAAATAAACTAATACGTAAGGAACACATTTAAAAAATTGTAGGTCTAACTCTCATTTGATGAAAAAAAAAAGGGTAACTGGTGATAAAAACAATCATGTAAGAGAGTTCACGAATAGGAATATCTAAGCAGCTGAATAAGAATGGAGAAAACACTTTGGAATAAATTGAAGCAAACAATAAAAATTTGCTTGTTCGCCAATTAATAGGCATCGATTGGGGAACAACAAACAAAAAAGTAAACTTTGAAATCCTTTTTGGTTGTGGCACTTGACTTGAATTGTTGAGACTTTATTATTTTGATCCTCTTGTTATTCGATGAGTACTACTATCATTATCAGTTCTTCCACCTTGCGGGTGTCCTCGGATCTAGCAAATCGCTAAAAAGATAAATAAGGAGGCAAAGCCAAATACGAACAATAAAGTTATTTGAGTCACAAAAAAATAAAATGAAGGAAGGACGTAGCATCTTGTGTCGTTGGTTCAAATGACACTTATATTCCTTTGATAGAGAATAAAAAAAATTTCAGTTGTCTTCATATTCGAACTATCAAAAAAGAGATAAATAAGATGGTTAAAAATAAAATACGGACTAAGAAGTTCGTTTCATTACAATTTTTGAGAGACAAATAAAAGAAAAGGAAAATATATATATAAATAAAAGAGAAGAAAGAAAAGAGGGTATTCAAAATAAAAATACAGAGATTTGAAAGGGCCCACATGTAACATTATGGCTAATGGTTTTACAGTTGATTATTTACCATAAAGCCTCTTTAAAATGGAAAATAGATCGCCAAAATACACGTGATTAAAATACGCACGATCAACCGATCTCTAGTTAGATATCCGAAAAACTCACAAAGATCGTCAATGTATAAGAACTCGAAAATGGGAAAAGCAACCCCGATATACATGTGATCCGAATATGTGTGATTGGTTGGCTTTTAATTAATCTTTGAGAAATCCTCTTTTTATTTCTTTTTATCTTTTTTTTTTATCATCAGATCGACGTTTTTGTTCGTATTTGAGTCTTTCGACGATTCAACTAAAAGTGCCACTAAAGTTTATGTAAATTACCAAAAACCCACTTAATGATTATTAAACCATAAACTAAGACTTTTATATAAAAATATATGGTTCACTTATATATCATCACAATACACGAAAATTTCACTTGCGTAAGAATATTGTCGATAAGTAATGTTTTGTTTTCGTCTTCTGACCAATTTGCCGAATATGTTGGATGAGCAGGTATAACTATAAGTATCATATTTTGACATCCATGCATGCTTGATCACAATCAAATTATTGTGTAAGCACATATCTACATTTGCCTTATCCGATAACCAAGTCGGATTACTGCACAATCGCATGTCGCATTACTTTCTGATGGAGAGCAGTAACTAGATAAAGGAGAGCAATGGCTTCCTGCTGTTTAGGCATTAACAAGAAACTTAGCTGGTAAGTAGCCATTTAACATAGCAGCGCACAGAGAACATCTTCATAAGTAAGTGGACTAGCTAGGCAGCCAAGTTGAGCCAACCCTTGTCCCTTGGTCGTCTCTCTCTCTAAGGCAGAGAGTTCCTACTTTCCCTTAGAGATAACATCGCATTAACCCTAGCTCTGGTCAGATAACAAAAAAGGAGTTAGATGTACAAAAAGACCTTGTAAAAAGAATTTCTGGCTTCTTGGAGTCTCAACTGCCTGAACATGGACCATCGTTTGCCTTTATGTTGTAACTATAGGAGCCGGAGCTTTCTGGGCAAGACAACTGCAGCGGAAACAGAAACAGTCCGGTGTTATATTCTTGACTGTCAAGCAATGGAGACAGAGAGAGGGAATGAAGAGCTTACCTTGATCTTTACTGACAAAGCTTTCGAGCGGGAAAATAGTTGCTGGATCTAACTTTGCTTGCTGGGACAAGATGGTAAACGTGATGCCACTTCTTCTGCAGAAAAGAAAAACCCCGTATAGAAATATCAGTCCCATGTTTGTTATACGCGCCACATCATATAAATAGTCGCTCTTGATCCCATCTTCATTCAACTTATCTATGCTTACAAATTCTATTCTTTCTTTTAAATAAAAGTTTCCAAGGCCGTGGGATAGCTCAGTCATTTCATACATAACTCCATATTCTAATAATTTCATCGTCCTCAAACAGTTCAAAGATTATGGAACCACTTGAGCATTTCACAATCATTTACATCTTTTAATAGTTTTCGAAGTACTAACTTTGGTTGACAAACTTCTCCGGGTGTTACGAGGAATTCTACAATGAAATCGGAAATGACAAGAAGATTAAAGTGAACAAACCTGGACCAGGAGGGAATAAATTTTGTATTGGGCTTATCATCATTGTCCTCGTCTTCTTCATCTTCATCATCGGAAAATTTGTATGGTGAAATCTCGTATGATCTTTCTGGTATAATGTTGGAGTCCAAGCTGTAGTTGGTCTCTTTTCCCTCACATATTTGGCTTTTCATTACAGCCTAATCATAATACAAACCAGGAGAGCACCAGACTTCAGTCAAATAACATACTAGTAACTCATTATCACTGGCACCAGATTTCCCGAAGCAAGTTATGGAATGCAATAGTGAATGATATTCGAACCAAGCCCCTTACCTTTGAAATATCACCTGAATTACTACTCCTCGTATCACAAGTTGCATGATCAATGCTTGGATTCTTTGTCCTAGTTTCCTTCTCCGTCCTTTCTTCTTCGCCTGATTTCTCCTTCAGTTTACTTGTCTTAACATCCTAGAAAATGAAATTGAAATTATTGAGCCTGAACTGAGAAAACAGAGGATTAATTATATATTGTGTAGGGAAGGAATCATATACCGGAGCTTCTCCACAGCACTTGGCTTCTTCTTTGTAACCATTATTCATTTTGTCTCTCTGTTCCATGTTCTGCCTTCTGGTATCTTCAATCCGCTTTCTTTTCCTTTCTCTCTCCTTCTTCTGTTCTTCTTCTCTCTGCCGTTTCTTGGTAGCCATCTCCGCCTCCTTCTTCTTCTGTTCTTCTTCCTTCCTTCCTTTCTCCATCTCCAGCTGCCTCAAGTTCTGCTCTTCAATCCTTGCTCGCTCAAGTTTCAAAGCTTCCTTCTTCAACCTTCGATCATTCTCTTTCTTCTCAGCAAGCCGTTTAGCAGCCTCTGCTGCTTCAAGCGACTTCACTTTGATATCCCTCTTTCCTGCAAGTGTTTTAAGCATAATATTATATCAAGAACGCATCCCGACTACCAATTCTAAAGGCAACGTGAGCAATAACCGTAAACCCGTCGAAGCTAGAAAAAGTTACCTATAACAGCTGCAGCTGCGGCCATTTGCTTTTGTTGTTGCACCGACGGAACAAAGGAAGTAACATTCGACACAATATTGTTATGTTTAGGCTCCTTCTCCAATAAACCAGCGCTAACTTTTCTCGGCTCGTTCTTCCTGGACAACTTTGGCGGCTTGCTGAACAACCTGTTCTGTAACGAACCATCATTCCTTTTAACTCCAAGTGGGACCTTTGGCTGCTGCTGGTGCTGCTTCAACTTCCGCTTATTACTAGCAGCATAGTCATATCTACGTCTGCTGCTCGTCTGATTCCCAGTCTTAGTGTTGCGAGTGCTAGAAGCCACACTGAACTCTGTGCACACAGAAGCAAGACTATACCTATCATCTATTACCTCATCTTCGTCACATATTGAAGCTGGATGATCTGCAGATTCTGTGATGTCAGCAAGTGGCTTCCTTTCAACAGTCTTTATTGCTTTCTTTGGACTGGTGATAACAATGTCATCATCCATATTCTCAGTCTCTTCATCTATACTGGGAAGTTCAGGAATTGAACTTGCCCTTCTCTCTGAACTCAGAGACTTTGATGGCATCGGTTCCCAGAATTTCCTAAGTGGGGAAATATTAACTTCGCTACTACCCTGAATGAAAATAGCATTTTCAGTAGGAAACATGAAAGTCACATGAGATGTAAAGTTGCTGACTTGATCACTCGAGAAATTGGAACTGGTAGCTTCAAACTGCTTATTGGTGACAGCATGTTCAAGGGCAATATTTGAAGAACTTAGTTGGTGAAAGCTTGTCCCATTTACTGTAGCAGAAGGCTCTTCATAATTTGTTTCCAGAACAAATTTCTCCAACTCGGGTCCATTTTTATCAGGGGCAATCGGATCCATAGGAAGTGGAGTAGCAACAGGATGATCTGGTGGATTCTGATACACCCCGGAATCAGAGTTCATCAGCTGCATATTGCTTTCAGTAACCAATTTTCCCATATAGAAGCTGTCAGAGACCTGTGGCGAAAAAACTTGGCTTTCACCAGAAATCTGCAGCCCAGATATTCCAGTTGGCTCCCACACTTTGGCCTGCCCTGACAAAGAACCTTGAAACGAGCCATTTGACAGCTTTGTCAAACTAGAGAGTGGATTGGCTTCTAGATGTTCATGCATAAAACTGAGAGCTGTATTTTCACTTCTGTCCCTCCCTCCCAAGGTATGTTCATCCTGTCATGCAGAAGTTCATCACCGGTTAGTAAAAGGGGGAAAAGCAACGGGTAATCAATGTGAAGAAAAAGTATTTAAAGCGACTTATTCAATTAGTCCCTCCTAAGGGTTTGTAAGAAAATGAATCCATCTAAATGAACTTAATAGGATTCTGAGATTACCGATGTCAGTTTCGGGGAGCTTAATGAATTAGTAATTTGTTGAAACACAACACTTTAAAATTAGAATTTAAATGCAAACACCAATTCACGTCAAATTCCTTCCTTATAGTTTGACTAATGATCTCAATTGTGAAAATTATCAACAAAAGCTGACTCTTTATTAGATGATCATGCTGTAGCAAGAAGTACTTCAATTTGTAACGTTGACATACAATCAAAGGAGAAACCACCCAGTTGTTCCATTGACCACCATATATACTATAAAAGCATCTTCACATGATGCATGTGTATCAGTGTATGAACACCCTACAAAACCATGATAATGGACATGTCTGCACAGTGAGTGGAGAAAACCAACCATCATTAGCTAAAGCTTCTATACTCGGAAAGAACAGAACAAGAAATGCTTGATCTACTCGATCAGTAGAAAGCAAAAGAGGATCTTGGACATTGAGATGCTATATCCTCAGACAAGCACGATGAACATCAAGAGTCATTGCTATTTACCTAACAGTGGAATAATTCTCAACTTTTTTGATTTGCATATCCCTAAATTAGTCAGTGTTTGTTGTGGGAGAAATGAGGAATTTGTGAAAAGCACAGATCTAAACACATGTTTCTGAAGACAAATAGGGACAGCAATGTAAGTTTAAGTTTAATTGAATAGCCTTTGGTCCAAAACATTTGGCAGAAATTCCACAAACAAATTATCTTTCTAACAAGATACATGTTAGAGTAGGGAGTGTCACAATAATCATGAGAAGTACCTCTTCAACTGGCAGGTTACATGATAGAACTTCAAAAGCATGTACTGTGTTGTTATCCATGCCTTGAAGCATTTCGTCAGCAGCATGCTTCTCATCTGAGCTGATAGCCTCCTGCAGCTAAGATATGTACGTGAAAAGACATTTTGGACACCATTATTACAATGTGTCAGCACTTAAGACTTACATGTTAGAGTAGGGAGTTTCACAATAATAATGAGAAGTACCTCTTCAACTGGCAGGTTAGATGATGGAACTTCAAAAGCATATACTGTGTTGTTATCCAAGCCTTGAAGCATTTCTTCAGTAGTATGCTTCTCATCTGAGCTGTGAGCCTCCTGCAGCTAAGATATGTATGTCAAAAGACATTTTGGACACCATTATTACAATGTTTCAGCACTTAAGACTTACATTATATTGGGGAAAGGTTTGGGATTGCATTGTTATCAAGCTTGAAGTAGCAGAACAGGGGTAACTTAGCCTATCACCAACTTTTATGCGTTTATATTGAGGCCATGAACCCATGAAAGAACTACGTAAACATGGATTTTGAGCGAACGCAGCAATACTAGTCTGTTCCTTTACAGAGTCCATGATACTGGCATCTTTAACAGTGTCCTTGCCAGGATCGTGTGATGAATCCTTCCTAGGCTTTTCATGTCTATCAAAACCACTAGTGGATGGCGTATTGGGCAATAAACTATCCTGTTCTCTGTGGCCAACAGAAGTTACTTCAGTTGATAAACAGACAGAATGTCTCTTTGTGGGAGCCTGTTTCGCTGACAATATGCCATTCTCATCCTCGATATCAGAATTGGAAGTTCTGTTAACTGCCATGACACCAAAATCAAGTTGCTTGGGCTCCATCAGCATGGCATCTTCGCTTCCCAGCCTTGAGGTTACTCCGATGCCATGGGCACCTGAATTAGACCTTGAAGTAACAGAATCAAACACAACTAGCCCAGGAGAGTTTGCGCCTGTTTCAGCTGGAACTGCTCCAGAATTTTCCACGTCGAAAATAGTGGTGCTTGCAGCACAAGTCAGGCCATTAGAATGAGTATCATCTTGTTCTGGGTAACTCACTTTTTGTCCAACCACACTTGATGACAGAAGAAGTTGTGATAATCTTTTGGTCTCTGCAACTGCAATATCTGCATCTTCAACCATGTTAGAAGAAACACTCATTTTTCGCAAATCATAAACATCAACAGTTTGAAGATTGGGGCTTATGGACTGTGTTGGTTTGGGTATTCCCATGATGCCGCCCCTCATTTCCGTGCTTTGTAAGTCAGGCACCTCAACCATAGGTTTAATAGATTTCTTTAAGATATCGACATGATAGGGTGCCCTGTTTGAATTTAAACCATCTTTCCTGTTACTGATACGATAATTGAGCTGCACACCTTCATCACCATGGTGACACTGGTTAGATCCCAAAGATCTTGTTACTCTCACAAAATCACCCTTGCTACCCATTTCAACGCTCCCAATATCTATTATTTTCAAATTCGAACGTTCGTGAGTTCCGCTAAATGTTGGAGAGGAGGGTTTGACCGATTCTTCTAACATGTTGTCATTAGTAGCCTGTTCTGAGGATCTTTCACTTGAATGCCCAAATACACCACCTTTAGCTCCATTATTAGTTGACTTGACCTTGCCTGAAGCTTCCTTTACAGCACCGTTCTGAAGGCTTGAATGTCTTGAGCTTGTAGCTCCACCAGAATGAATGATACTGCCAACTTCAGTGATGATGCAATCACCACCACTTACTTCTGTTGCAATGATTTCATCTGCAGCCAAAGTAAGATTTGCTGCTTCTGACATCCGATCGGCATAATTAGACTGCTCCATTGACTTGCTGGTAGACTCTCTGACCACATCTTTCTTCACAATATCAGAAGACTTATTCTTACTAGGAAGCTCATTCATAGGACTGGATAGTTGACACTGTCCACCTGATTGAGTTCTAACATTATCATGATTACTGCTGCCCTCTTTCCTCCAAGACTCGACCACTTTCAGTTCTCCTTCAGTGGAATAAATGTTATTATGACAAGAACCAGGATCATTATTCTCAGCATTTTCATGTGGGTTAACTGATCTTGCACTACTGCGAATCTCCAATGCCCTTTGCCTCGATCTGGATCTTTCAATCCTCACCAATGATCGACTGTGTTCAGTACAATAACCAGGATCTTGAGAGTCTAGAGCATGAATGAGAGCAGAGGGAGTGTCAGCGGTGGGGTATTGAGTCGGAACAGACAACCGGCCAACTGAATCACTAACTTTGTTGACATCATGAACCTCTCTTTCCAAGCAGTTTGGCTGAACCTCATTAGCAGCAGGAACAAAAGGCTTCTCTTTTGCTGATGAAGTAGGAACAAAAGGGTTTTCAGAATGAGGATGGTGAACACTAGGGTAAAAGCTTGGTGGTTGAGACCGTGGAAGCAGGAGCCCAGATATAAGCTCTTCCTTCTTCAACCCTGCCAGAATTTGAAGCAATTTGCACAAAGTCCCGTGGCAATCAGAAAGAGAAAACGACGAAGGCGGAAATAAAAGAAGAGATGCTAATTAGCCCTCTACTTAAACTAGTCATTATTCATTCTTAAACAACTAGCTTGAAATCCCTAATCAGAAATCGGGTGTAGACCACTCTTTGGAATGCCTAAGGCAGAAGTTTCAGTAGCTAATTCACTAGCATTCGCTCTCAGAGCAGTCCCTTGTTTAAAACCAGTAAAACCTAACACTCTCCATTTCTAGGTTTGAATCGCCACAGAAACCCTGCATGCCAAATAGTTAGCTCCCAAATCTCGTAGATGCACAAGCTTTCCTACGCCACTAATGCCGGAAAACTCGAACTGGAGTCCAAAATCTCTAGGAAAACTTCGTAATTCAAATCGCTCAGGCAATCTGCACCGGCGAGATTCAACCACATCATAGTGCGCAGCGGGAACGAAATCACTCACCGTTTGGATTCAATGAAAGGGAGGCGAACGAAAGTGATAAGAGCCACGGAGGAGGAGAGATTCCGTCGAGGACGCATTTGGAGGCGAGATGCTGATCGAAGAGTTCAGTCTGCTTCTTGACCTGCTCCAGTATTGACTTTTTCCTCTCGAAGATCTGGACGAACAGCTTCTCTTCAGTCGTCATCCTCACAAAAATACCTGGACCGAATTTACACAATCTCCACCATGAATCGTCGGGAGATTGAGAGAGTTAAAGCGTAGAATACCTCCTGGGAGTTGATTGAGAAAGGCGGCCTGAGAATTTGAGAAGTTTGGCGACGGACGGTGGGGACGGGGAGGGGATCCAATGCCAGTGTAGTGTACTGGCTACTGGGTGAGCGCGGATGAAATAATTTCAAATTGGAAGGGTTTAATTACAGAAATGGTCACTGAAATTTGTGCTTCCTCGCAAAATTAATTACTAACTTTAACTTTTGACAATTTGTCTTTCTCACTGCCCAAACTGTCGAGTTAAATGTACCAATTCATCCAAATCTACATCTACCATAGATTTTCAAAAATGGAAAGAACCTTAACCAATCAAACAACATAGACTAGTTGTATCATTTTAAGTAAAAAACATACATGAAGCTAAAACTAAAAAATCATAGAACTTTTCAACAGTTAGCTAAGGTCACTAAATCTTCGCTCGATACTTATTGGTGTTTTGATATTGTTGCGGTTACTTAAACCGTGTTAGTATTGGGCCTTGTTGGGCCTTGTCCGAGTTATAGTAGGTAAGAATATTTGGTCGTACTCGATCCTTCTCGTTAGGGTAATAACCCTAGTCTATCTCTATATTAGACTTAGCTACGAATCTATCGTAGCTTTGATGTTTAATTTAAATTTCTATTTATCTTATAAATAGTGGATAACTTTAAAATCATAGATCAAATATCATTGGTTCAATATTACATATCGAATTTGTAGAAGCGAAGTTGAACTCTTACATTAGTATTAGTTTATAGAACTACTATGAGGCAATCATATTCCTATATTTCTGCAAACTATATGGGGACGGGTTCTTTGAATGTTTTAGCTCGGCTAATCATTAAATTTTAACTTTTAAACATCTTTCTAATCTGACAGGCATGATTGGATCCAACAATCATTAGATGAGGTTGAGTTTAGTAGGTTGGTGTATTTCAACTTTTTTTTATGTATTAAAGTGAATTTGTAGAGCAAGGACATGTCTACATATACACTCTACATAATATATACTACTGGCATGATAAAATTGTCATCCCATTCCAAATTTTCTACAGCGAGAGCAAAAGTATGAATGGCATTTTTGTTTTCGCCATTATTTATGCTTGACATGCTTCTATCTTTTGAGCATTCCATATCGTTGTATGCATTGTGGATGGAGTTAGGGTGGCATATTGTGATGATGCGTGAATCGAAGGCCATGTGCCTCTATTAGTGATTTGTGGATACGTGCTTTGATTACAAGGATTGAGGGTGCAACCTATTTTTCTATCATGATTCAAAGCTCGTATGCGTGTGTGACTAGTTATGGGTTGGTTTGTCCTTCGTTAAGCTCCTAGCTTTTGTATTATTGGAACTATAGTGTGGGAGTGGCCATGTAGGCTTTGTATACTGACCATCTCTTACCTAGAGCTCCTCACGATCACGATGATATACGATGTGTGCTTTAACTAGTTTTAGTGGGGCCACTTTCCTACTTTTGAGAAGTGAGGGGTTTCCGTCTCGACCATCATACATTTGACTTTTGGTCGATCATTAAGTATTTATCGCACTTATACGACAATGGGACGAGTCAACGATATACCTATTTTCCTAATTGTCGCGACTTATGTCATCACGATGTTGACTATGGCCTTGCCTTCTGCATATCGCCTAGTTTTGATGGCTTCCCGCTCAATCTTTTGAGTAGGGTCCCCAAAAAAGAGAAGTTCGTTGAGCAAAGCTCTTAAGTAATTGCAGTAAGCGAAGAGATGATGTACTTGGTCTCTCCATTTTTCATTTTTGCTCCGTTATTAATAGCAATATCAGGGAACTGGCCGATCTGCATGGATGACTTCTGCAAATATGGTAACTTTGTTCTACTCTACTCTATATCTCTTGCTTGGTCCAATGAGGACATTGTCCTATTTAAATTGTTGAGTGGAATTTAGTAGATTATGCTTCAATGTTTAATTATATATTGTGATGTTTGTTCATGCATGTGGGGGGAGGTTTTGTATGTGCATTTGTGCATAAAATTTCTTATTTTTTTGAGTAATGCCACACTGCACAAAGAAAATTCGAAGTTCATTATACTTTGAAATGCTAGTCTCTATGGTGATATGTGGTTTGGGGATGCTAGTGTAGGGGCTATGAAAGATGTACTCGACTACTCGTCATGAGATATTGAATAACTTAAAAGGTAAGGATGAGTGCTTCTCACTATCCAGTCGTAGATGGGATAGCCACTTGAGGATGTGTTTTCAAGTGCACGGATAAAGCTCCCGACCCTCTTGACTTCATTGACCCTTCACACAATTTAAGAAAAGGGAGTTAGTAGAAGCCCCTATGTGAGTGCTAGGTGTGCAGAAAACGATCTTCGTCGAACAGGCTGTCAAGTACCAACGTACAAGGCAAAGTAAAACCCACCCGAACAATAAAAAGTGATAAGGATAGGCATGCGTCACATGAAAAGAGAGAACACTTGATAGCTCTCAGAAAAATACTGTCACAAGGTAGGGATGCACTTAAATGTTTCACCAAGCTACATATGCGTTGCCCCAAACATTTAGAAATACTCAAGTCGAGGATCCACTTTGATTAATTTTCTTATCTTCGCGTTCACAAATAAAAAAAAATGGATTATTATGATCAAGATTATACCATAAACAATGAAAAAAGAAAAACCAAACAAAAGAAACAATTAATTTTCACAAAGAATATACCTAAAAATATATTAAGGTAATAATAATCTGGCAAAAATTTAAATATATTGATTCATATATTATTACAAAAAAACAAAGGCGGTGCCACTTGGGACCGTTGGATCACAAAGTTCCAACTCCTGAAAAGAGGAAAGGAAACACCAGAAAAAGGAGAAGAAATGATAGCAAATGACATAACAAAAGACCCGAAAAATACAAGTTTCAAAAAACAAATTGACTACCGATTTGTTTTTTTTTTTATGCCCGGTTTTACTCAAATGGCCTTCCTTTTTATATTTATACCACAAAAAATGGCACCCGTATTTTTTGGGGCAAACAACTACTGGATCCAATTCGAAGCTGTCGAAATTCATCTAGTAGTTAACGAGCCCAACTGCAATTGTGGCCATTAAGGTGCAACCCAAAATGCTTGGCAATGACACGGTGGCTGCGGCGTGTGGGCCAGGCCCAGGTGCAGGAGCGGCAGATGATCCTCCGGCCATAGCGGCTCCGGCCTCAGACATGGCTCCGGCGGCGGCATCTGTCGTCGGGCTGGCAGCGGGCGAGTCACCTCCTTCTGCCTTGGGTGCTTCGGCGGCGGTCTCATTCTTGCCACCCGCAGCAGCAGCTGTATCGTTTTTGGCAGCTGCTGCATCCGCCGCACTAGCTGATGGGATGGCGGCGACGACCATAAACGCGACCATGACAATGAGAGTTAGTGTCAGTTTTAGTGAAGGTGCCATTTTTTATTTATTTATTGTTTGTTTAAATACTTTTTAGAAAAAGATTATAACTTTGAAGAGGAAATGGTGGAGATGGTAATTAGAAATTTTATTTTAGAGAAAAGGGATTACTGGGAAAAAGGAAATGGAGAAGGCTTTCTAAGGGATGATGAAACTGAAGTGGGGAGACAGAAGGGGCTTATATAGTTTGTCGATAAGATCCAAATTTGGAGGAGGAATTATAATTGAGAGGCTAGAAAATCGTCCGATTTCGTGGGATTCTTGTCCCCTCGATCTCTACGTTCGTGAAAGAGGTGGTTCTATTTTTGGCTTCAAGTGTTTTTTTCTTTCTACATTTTCCCCAAAATGGGTGTTGGTTTTTTGGGTATTGGTCAAAGCATGCACAGAGAAAAGAGGAAGGTTATTTGCTTTATTTTTGGCAAAGTAATGAATGGTGGAATGAGATAAAAAGGCTTAATTGCAAGTTTGGTCACTCGAATTGCTAAAAAATTTCACGTTTGCCACTCAAATTGATTTATTCCATTTATAGTCACTCGAATTAGTTGAACAGTCCAAGTTCGGTCACTCTCCGTTAACCTCCGGTAGACTCCGTTAATGACGACCGTTAAGTGATGATGTGGCTAACAGAAAGACACAATCAGCATATTTTAACATTAAAAAACGACGACCCGACCCGCAAGCTCAGCCTTGCCCGCCCTGTCAGCCATTCTTGCCCAACCCGTGAACCAATCCAATTAATTGACCCTAAACCCAAACCCGAGACCCAACCCCCTGAAAAGTAAATCGAAAACAGATGGTTAGGGCACTTTCCCTTTCCATCTTCGTCCTCTCATCCTCCCGCGCCGCCTCTCTCCATCTCACACCATCGAAAATCGCCGGCGGAGAGACACCCATCAGCGGCCACAAGCAAATCCCCATTAATCTCGACGATCTCCCCGGTTTGGAGAGTTCTGGCCTGAACAGAGACCGATGGTTTTGAGTTATCCTGAGAAATGCTAAAGGAGAGGTAGAGATGGCGCCATAGAAACGAAGCTGCTTCCGGAGGCAAAGCAGTGTACAGAAGGTGGTGAAGATCAGTCCAGTGAGCTGCTCTGAAATTGAACTCTTCGTCTCTGGCAAGCACCCAACTGGTTCTGCTCCAAGAAACAAATCCAATGAAAATAAAAATAAAATTGGTGGCTGAAAATTGAAGATAAGGTGTTTGTGAAAATCACTCACTGACCTGGTCGATGGTGAGAGGGAGAGTGGATTGGTGGAGAAGGTCTGGAACTGGAAGCCAGGAAGCGATGATTTGGCGCGACTAAGGGTCGAGTCCAAGTCCGGCGCCGGTTGCGCTGTCGGTAGGTGGACCGGGTGATTTCTCGACCACCGTCACTTTCCATCCGGCGTGGATTAGGGAGTGGGCGCAGCATACTCCGGTTTAGGGTCAATTAATTGGGTTGGTTCGCGGGTTGGGCAAGAATGGCTGACAGGGCGGGTTAGGCTGAGCTGGCGGGTCGGGTGGTCATTTTTTAATGTTAAAATATGCTGATTGTGTCTTTCTGTTAGCCACGTCATCACTTAACGGTCGTCATTAACGGAGTCTAACGGAGGTTAACAGAGAGTGACCGAACTTGGACTGTTCAACTAATTCGAGTGACTATAAATGGAATAAATCAATTTAAGTGGCAAACGTGAAACTTTTTAGCAATTCGAGTGACCAAACTTGCATGCACAGAGAAAAGAGGAAGGTTATTTGCTTTATTTTTGGCAAAGTAATGAATGGTGGAATGAGATAAAAATAAGATGCTAAAGTATTACTATTTTGTACAATAATATGATATTTATATAAGAATAAAAAAGTAATCTAATATTTATTTATTTATTTATTTTTGGTATAAAAATTAATAATTTTTTGGTGACGTTTTCTTGGTACTTTATCTAATGGTATTATTGTTTGGTACAATAATATGATATTTATATAAGGGTACAATGAGATAGAAATAAAATATATGGGATAAAAAGATGATGGAATTTGACAATCTCACCTCCCATTTATGGATAAATCCAAATTCTATCAAGTAATGGAATTACATTTCATTTGAACCAAAATTTGTCATTGTTAAAATTATCATAGTTCAAGTTCTAAAATTCCATCATTTGATGGAAAAATGTTCGATTTTATCATCAAATTTTTGTCCTCAAAATTACCCGGTATGAATTATCAATGCATAATTGCGACTAACACATTGGATCACCTCGTGTGTGTTCTTAGAAATAAATTGTCATTATTCAAGAAAAATGCCACTGCTACTGATGCAATAGTTGAGAAAGAGTCATGTAAAGGTTAGAGAATTTGGATGTTGGTTTTCATTGATTACTTTTGTTGATAGGATAAGAAACATATATGTACAAGAGGGAGTACCTGAATATGTAGATGGAATAGAGTACATGAATGATAATTCATAGTCTTCCAGTTTCAAGGTGGACGAATGAGGGGGTGAATGTGTTGAATTGGGGGTTGGATGAATTGTATCCTTATCGTATCCCCGCAAGATGGAGGAGTAGTGATTCAGGTCCAATTGTACACATTTTCCTCCTTATATCTTGATCGTTTGGCTTTGCATTTCATCATACCTCGAGATATTTCACGGTAGGTTGTGCTTGTTTTGATACATTTCAGGTCCTAGCACGCGTGGAAGGGTCGAGGACGAGTTTTGGGACGATTGGAGGTCGAAAAGCGCAAAAAGACCAAAGAAAAGTCCAAAGTCCGTGACAATTGCCCCGTAACAGTGAAGCAAGGGCGTCCAAGAATCAGCTGCAGTTCACGGTCTGGCATTGGAGTTCACGGCCTCTAAGGCCGTGAACTGGATCCACAAACCGTGAACAACGAGGTGTCCAGGTAGAATTCTGAGGTTACTAGCACCGAGTGAGTTCATGGTCACCAAGACCGTGACCTTTGAGCACAAATCGTGAACCCAGGAGAGTGAAGCAGTGCATTTTGGAGACGACACTTAGTTCACAGACACGTTTATGTGTTCACGACCGTGAACTGGCCAACACTGCCGTGAACTGGTCACTTTCGGGCAAATATGAAGGCAGCAACAGGGAGAGAGAAGGGGTAGCTAGTTTTTAGAGAGAAATTCAAATCCCCTCTCTAGGGTTTGCCCAAAACACCAAAACAGGAGTTCTAGCGAGAGAGAGAGAGAGAGAGAGAGAGAGAGAGAGAGAGAGAGAGAGAGAGAGATCTTGGAGCTTGATTGGATGCTTGAATTGATCTTGAAGACAAGGATTCAAGCCTAGAAGAAGAAGATATTGAGCTCAAATTTGTAATCCCTCTCTTCTCTCTCTAGAAACTCACCCTCTTCTCTTGGTTTAAGAACCCTAGGTCTAGATTTTGATTTAATGTTGATGTATGTGACAAACTCCATGTTTGATTGATGCTTTTTACTTAATTAATGGATGTTTTCATGAATGACATGAGTTGGGTTTCCATTTTCATGTATTGAGCTTTTCACCTAAGAGGGAGATATTCCCCTTAGAGCCCTTTTTGGCGTCTTCGGGTCTCTCTTATCGTATATTGTCCGGGTAGTCCCCGAGGGATTTTATTCGACCCGTCTCCTAGCATTATACGAAACCCTAGGTTGAATAGAGCACTACCCATTCATCGATTCGCCGTTCCGGGTCATTCCCGAGGGAGTCCATCTCCAAACGGTAGTGTATTTGAGTCGATCGAGCTAGGAGGATACCCAACATTGATCCAAAGAACGGACATAGGACGATTCAACCCAAGAGGGCTCCAAACCTTGTAAATAGCTAGGTTAGTTAGCTTAGTTTTATTAATCGCTATCCTGGGATTGGCTAGATAACGAACCCTAAACCTGAAGTAGGGTAAGCCTAAATCCCCGTGGTACAATAAATTCTTATTTCTTGCTTGCACTATGCTACACCCGCTCGACGGTTATACCTGGCCGTCGATTAGGATGTTATAGTTAGAACGAGTCAAGTAGGTAATGACGCCAATATTGGACCGTAAGAGAGACCAAGTTATTTGGCGAGGCTGTCAACGAGTTGCGAAGCATAATAGTGATGCCATCAAGGAGAAGAGAAATACTATAGCAATGTGGTGGCCAAAGTGGACAATCAAATCTCATTTTATCCTTATTCCCACGAGTGACTATCACTCCTTTTTGCTTAGCGGGTGAATTATTGGCTCTCTCTAGTGGATCGATACGAGTAGTGGCACAGACTAAGAGGCTTTTTCCATAATTCTACAAGATTTAGGGCCCCAATTTTTAATTTATGCACAACCGGGTCAACGCTCTATTTCCTTGTCCACACAAAAATCGGACTAGAAGCCCTATGACCAACCAAATCCTCTATATACACTTCATCTCGAAAGTCCTGCATATAACTTTGGAAAAAGTGAAGTCTTTTTGGATTTTAATTGCGACTTAAAATTAGGTGTGGATTCGGTCGGTAAACGGTAAATTGTTTGCCGAATTTACCGGTTTCGGTATACCCAAAGTAGTCAAAATCCCGATTTAAATCATAAAATCCTACGGTTTTACGATTTTACTTACCTATTCCGATTCTGATTTCACTATAAAATCTATGGACCTTAAAATCCTACACTATTCACGATTTAAATCCTTAAAATCTTTAAAATCTTACGATTTTACGATTCAAATCTTAGATTCAATTTTACATATTTCCCCCAGAATTTGCAAAATTATGCCTCTTTTTCTTATCCTTCACAAGCATCATCTAGTTCTCTCACACTAATCACCATTGATTATAATCAATTCACATCAACGTATTAATCATCATCGATTCACCACCTCTTAACATTAACCTTGATAAATTGGAACATTAACCTTGAAAAATTATAATTGTAAGTGTTATGTGCTTTTGTGTTATTCATGATTTTCATTACTAATATTATTTTGTCTTCATTTTTATAGGGACCTTAAAATCCTACGATTTTGTGATTCCGATTTTACCCCCATTTTCTATTTTACGTAAAATCCCGATTTTGACTGCTTTGGGTATACCGAAACTGGCCAAACTAGTTACCAATTACCGATACCGGTTTGTAACCGGTTTACCGATTACTGAATTACCGGTAAACGGTTACAAACCGGTATTACCGAAATACCGTGAGAAGCGACTTCGGGCGGTTTTTCGGCCGGTTATCGAATATTTACCGAACCGAATTTCTGGAAGTGGGGTGATGTTATAATATTTTGAGTTTTTTGAGTTTTTTTATCATTTTGGTAATTAATAATTTATTATTAACTATTATTTACAATATTTTTGAGGCCTATACTTACTTACAATGTTTTTAGGGTTTGGCCGTTTGGGGGTAAAGCAACAAAACGCAGCGCAACACTAGGGAGTAGGGAGGGAGGATTCGGTATCGGTAATACCGATTTACCGTCGGTATTTACCGATACCGTGTCCGGTAAACCGACTCCCCCAACTTCCCGCTTAGCTGCCGATACCGCCGGTAAACACGTCATTCAGATCTAATGGTGGAGAATTAAAGACATTTTATTTTCTCTAGTTTTCTTAATCGACCCTTATCTTCTTTGTTTTAACTCGGATTTCAATTATTTTTGCACAGATGGAACAAGTTCGTTGTGCTCTACAAAATGAGATCAACTTTCAATATTTTTTGAGATTTTTTCCCATACCTCTCGTTACCAACTCCATACCATATGGTAACTACTTTGTTTTTAAGTCGTTTTTGAAAACGTTTGCTCAGAAGGAATGAGTTCATAATAATCTATTTGGATCTACAAATTTCTGGGTGAAAAAAACAGATATAGTATTGGAACAATAATTAGCTTTATTCTTTTCATGGATCCAAAAGAGAGGAACGCTTGACTCTTGAGGGGTTATGCAAAGTATTAAATATGTGCATATAATATATTAGACATATGACTAATTGTTTAACTGGTTAATTGGTTTGATTGGTTAGAAGTGTATGAAACAACACCAAATCATAGTTATTAAAATACGGTTGGAGATCCATAATCTCTCCAACTCAATATGCTTAACTCTTTGTTGCAGTTTCAGCGTACCTCAAATCTGCAGAACTTTGTCAACAACACTTTTCTCGTGTTGCTGTCTAAGAAGGATTTTGTTGAAGACATACAAGACATTAGACCCATGAGCCTTATCGACAGCTTATACAAAATTCTATCGAAGTCCTTGATGCTGAAAAATGAAGAGGTTCATGGATTCCATCATCTCTCCAAATCAATCTACTTTCGTTCATGGCCGACAAATCCTCGATGCAAATTTATTCGCAAATGAGCTCATCGAATCAAGAACTAAAAGTGGTAAGCCAAGAATTCTACTCAGGCTCGACATCGAGAAGGCTTTCGACCATGTGAACTGGGAATTCTTGTACTTCTGCTTACATTGAATGGGATTCGGACCCAAATGGATTTCTTGGATTTGAGCTTGCACATCTACTTCCCATCTATCCATTGTGCTTAATGGAGAATCTACTGGATACTTCCGCAGTCACAGAGGGGGTTGCGACAGGGAGTTCCATTATCCCCCTTCATCTTCATCATCATCATGGAAGGCCTCTCCCTCATTTTTTACAACCTTAAAGATGCAAGAGTGATATCAGGCTTCCACATGAATCATGAAACTTTTGCAGGCCAAGTCAGTCACCTATTGTATGTCGATGATACTCTCTCTTCTGCGATGCAAACCATAATGAGATCCTTCACATCCAAGCAACTCTACGGTGTTTCGAGTTCGTTTTTAGGCTCAAAATCAATATGCACAAGTTAGCGATTCTTCCAATTGGAGATGTCCCGACTTTCGCACAATTTGCGACAACCTTGGGATGCAAGGTTGTACAACTTCCATAATCATATCTCGAGTTGGCACTTAGGGCTCACCCGACATCCTCTTTTACTTGGGTACCAGTGGTGGACAACCTTTCTCGTAGGTTGTCTTCTTGGAAAGGTAAATGGTTGTCATTTGGAGGACGTTTGATCTTTGACTAAAAGCACACTAATCTACTTGGCAGTTTAATACCTACTAGGATTCAGCCCGCGCTCTGCTGCGGGATACTATTTCTGTCATAATTTAAATGGGATTTAATATAATCTATTACCATAATTGTTATGTCCCAAACATAGACATAAATGTTGTCATTGTCATAACCATATAATCTATTACCATTATGCAAAAGAGTGACAGTTTTTGCAGAATAACATGAATGTAGTTAGGAGTGTTGCCAAGTCTCCATGATATATCTACTAAACTAATAAAAGTTCCATGGCGGAGACTGAAGATTTGGAAAACAGTAGAACAAAATGTTTGCAGAAGTTTCGTGCCTTTGTTGTTTGCACGATATCAAAATGGCAAGCTTTGAAGGACAACATCATTTCTCGAATGCTGATCGGTCCCAGAGGGTGAGCACTGTCGCTTTTGGCTGCATGTCTGAATATCTGTCCCCCACTTTTTTCCATGCGACATTCAACTCCGCAGCATATTTTTTGTTACAGTTCTTTGCGATCAATTCGATGATTTCGTCCTTCTTCAGAAACTGATAATCAGATGGTGACTTACGAATAAGTGACAAAGCTGCTTCATGCTTAAACACCACATCTATTTCAGATCCTCCTTGCCGACATTTCCCTTCCAGTTTGTATGTCAATCTTGCAACACAATTTTTTTTGTTAGGTTATACAAAGAGTATTATTATGCCTTGTGTAAACATGGGAGAATGGTCAAAAGCTTACCCTGTGTTCTCTCCACGAACTTTGCATATGCTTTTTCTGTATATAAACCTTGGAATGTTAATCAATGTCATGTAAGTAACCTGTTGCAAAAACTGTCAGATGTATTATACAGGTAAAAAGATGGAAATAAACAGCTGTTGTCAATGCTGGTGTTTGTTCGTTTACCTCTGTGAAATCTGACAGGTCCTCCATCCTTTCTTTTATCTCTCTCAGCGATTTCTTTTGCAGTTGATTGCTCAGCAAGTGTCCAGTTTTTTTGCAGGTAGCATCATCGATGAAGTATACTGGTTTGCGACATGCAAGAAAGCTACACGTTGAAAATAAATGTGTAAGTATCACTAACTCGATAGTAGTTGAACCAATCAGTTGGGTAAACCAATATACAGCAACTCACATGTTCATGACATCCTTGCAGCAGTCTTGATAAGAATGGATGATGAGCTTGCTTGTAATTGTGGATTGAAATTCATGCTGATACTTACTGTTATGTCTAGGAGTTACTCTACTCACTGATCTGATTGTGACAATCAGTGGTAACTTTGACTCAATTGCTGGAGCATTCTTTTGAAAATCATCAATGTCATGGCCACTGTATTCAACATAAGTCTTTGCCCCACTGATTGCAAACCAATGCGTTAACTATATATTTTGACAAAGTAAAAAAAAGTGTACAATCTTAAGTGCATACCAGACATCTTGTATGAGCAGATCGAATTTCTGAATCCTTCCTCTAATTGGTTCTGGATGAGTTAGCCTTCTAACACATCCTGTAACATCTATAGATTTAATGTTTGTTATGCTTTGTTTAATGGTGTTCTTAATCATGGATAGAGAGACATATATTTACCTGAATGGCAGACAAAGTCTTCTGATAGTTGAGGCACAATGGAAAAATCGGCTGATGTGTATGATCCTACTGGGAATTGTTGGGGTCCATTTCCTTCTTCAATGTGTCTCCTAATTTGATCTGAAGTGAGGAGCAGGCGTAACTCTCGATGGACAACGTGTGGCACTGACCTTGCTGGACCTGCTACAATATCTTGTAGTTCATGCAGGCAACCAACCTTTATTTTCTGAAAAACCTCAGATGCATCTTCTTCTTCAACTTGTGCTTCGATCAATTTGTTCTGTAAAGTCAATGGTAGATAGATATGTTGTCAGTAGTTGTTGTTCTTTTAGCATTTGCCAGTAGGTTAATTGATGTCCAGTGTTTGTATATTGGGAAGTTCTTTTGTCCTAACACTGAATCAAATGCTCTGACGAATATTTATGAATATGGTTGGGGTATCTGGAGTCAAACCTTTTTTTCAAGCCAGAGCATGTGATGTGTCCTTTTCTTCCATGTGGATAAAGGCACTTCTCGGAACTCAGTCCATGTAACGACATGTCTTGCTATAACCGTTCGATTGTTTGTTCCCAAACGCAGTCCCCGAAAGCACATGCTTGATTCAATAGACTCTGCAATCCGATTAAAGACGAATCGATAAATAATAAATGGGAAAAACTTGCATAGGAATCGAGATGCGCTTGTCGGATTTCTTTCTAGATTCAATGTATTTACCTTTCAGTTTGTTCGGGTCCATTTTGTGTGGGTCCACGGAATCTCACGTATCAGTTGTACTATACAACTGTAAATCTGTTGGGTAGAAGAATGCTTCCAGTTCTTCGAGATCCTGGTTTCCCTTTTTTGTTTTTATCTTGACTGCGCGGTTGATTTTAGAAGGCATAAAAAACAATCAGTAGTTTATGTAAGCTAGGGTTAACTTAGGGTAAGTCCTTTTTGGATCGATTGTTTGGGCCTTGACATCGTGTTTGGGCTCTGTATGGTATGTAATGGGTTCTAACTATTGAATCAGGCCTTTTTACAGAAAAGGCTACAATACGCTCCTGCGATGAATGTCTGTCAAGTTGTATCAGTTGGGCTCATCGATTTTCTTTCTAAGTTCTCTCTGGATAGTCCAAACCGATGTTAACTGATCATAACTCATGACTGCTTTCTGGCTTTGAGTTTCGAAATAATAAACACAAAACGTGTCTCTTGTTAAGAACAACGCAAGAACTGGAAGAACAAATTTACCCATGCGTAAAATTCAAAAAGTTGGGAGAGTTCATAATAATCACTTCGAGCTTCTTCGATGCTTCCAAAATTAACCAGGTGCAATATCTGTGAAGGCTTCTGAATATACAATGTTTCTCGTGTAACTGGCTGGAATGTCCTCTTCATTTTCAATCAAGAATCTCAAACCACCTGCAGATCTTACTCTTGATGCTGCCACATAAAGCTGTCCATGATTCCTTTGGAGTCGAGTCGTGATTAGTAACCTGATGATCAATCCCGCTAATAGAATGAAGACGGCCGACAACATCTGACAAAAAAAAAAAGAGCAGTAAGAAGATATAAAACCCAATTCATTTCAGTCAAGAAAACGCAACAATCACCTGCAAGGATACGATTGTCCCCTGAACGGTTAGACAGCTCACTATAAGGAACAACCTCAAAGGAATCAGTTGGAAATTCAGCTGCAGGTAGAGAACAGGCCTGGAAAATAGTTGTTGCTGACAACTCTATTATCAGATCAAATGAGCAAGCACGATAGGGATTCCTTGCGGCACTGAGACCAAAAGACCTTAGAACGTAGATAACTCCCACGCGCAACACACGCTCAAATTCAGACCCAATAGAGACATCATCAAGGCTCTGAATAAGCATACCCTGAATCAAAAACAAAAAAAGACAGTAAAGAAAGAGAAAAGAAGGAAAAAAGAGAGCAAAAAAACAGAAAGCACTGTAATCACAAAGAATCAGCGTAAGAGAATCTACCGTCTGATCTACCCAAAGGCAACAGTGATTAAACACCCTTGTCCCAGAAGGATTCTTGGCATACCACATATGGAGCAGACGAAGCCTCAGAGTCACCTCCCTGGTACCTCCTTTGAGATTGCAGAGCAGAGTAGCATCCATGGCGAGGAAAAAGTCGAGAAAACAACGATTGAACCACAGAGAACAAAGAGGGGAGAAAAAAAGAGGGAAATGCGTTCCGAGAATGAGTCCTCTTGTGCAAAAAGAATGAGAAATGGCCTTCTCCACCTGAGCGCACGCATCGAGGCATGCAAAAAGAATGAGAAATGACCTTCTCCACCTGAGCGCACGCATCGAGGTACTGAATGACGTCCAGAGTGTTTGAAACAGTGAACTTCCTGACACCCTCCCGCCATCAAGTGAATAACCGGTATCAATCAGCCGCCCACCATTTCCAAAGCACCTCCAATCCTAGCCAATCAGCCAGCAAGTTTCTCCAACATAGTCCTGCGAACAACAACCCAACACGACCCTCTAGCAATCCCCAACAGACACAATCATATCATGCAAGACTCACTGAGGACATCTGAAGGCTCATTTGTAGCCAAACTGCAAGATGCTTCATCACCAACCATTTCTGTATAAGGATCTGGAGGAACGAACTCACTGTTGTGAGCATTTGTCGACTTTGAAATTTCCCCTGAGAGAATGAATGGCAGGCTTCTCAATCTCTTTTTTACTCTGGTGTTATCCACGTTCATATCTGTAAAGCTTTGTGTTGGATTGCTGGAGGATTCGATTGTGAAAGAAGTGTCACCTCTCTTTCGCCTCAACAGGTTGGAAGTCGCTCTCTTCTTTCTAGGTGTCATTCTGATTACATGAAGTAAATGTTTGATATCCAGTCAGACTTAAATGAGCCAAAAACAAAAGTTCAATAACTGCAAACTTCAGTGTTCTGTCTTGGTCAGACAGACAAAGAAGAGGATCCATATCATTTAAAGAGGTTCCATTAATGTGTAACTGAAGAATAACGAATACAGACATGCTTAACTGTATCTGATGACGTGGTCTATATCACCAATGATGAGTGTCTCTAACTTGTAGCTCCAAACAGCTGATCATAAGGTCTTACCTTGCTGTATACTCCAGCTAGCTGATACTCCACTGAAGGGAAAAAGTCGACACAAACAGAATTACTTGCTGAACACAGGAGCAAAAACCAGAGGGCAAAGAGAAAGTTGAAGGTCCATTGACGAAATTTCTTTGATATCTGATGTGTTCCTTGATAAGATATTATACAATCAATATATAATTTTATATCAGGTGTCTAATCTCTATCCAAGTAGTCATTGTGACTGCTGGTTCTGTAACCAAGGGTAAACAATGATGGCTTTTGCATTTAATGCTTTAGATTTTGGTCACATAATTAACCCAAATTATTTAAATCTTGCAACCCAAAAGATTCCTTTTAATATTAGCACATGTCTGCTATCCATTACTAATCTCTCCTGTTCTTATCATATTTTTCTTGTGGACAATGCTTACTCTTTCCCATCACATGATGTAAAGAACATTTTTGTTATATTTGCATATACATAGAGTTAAGACATAAATGTAAAACATAGGTACCTTAGATAAAAACTATATTCCTTGATAATACATAAAAACTGCTGAGCATTCACATTCTGCAAAAGAGGGACCAAAAGGCCAGAATTTTGCCCACACTGGGGTCACAACATTTCAGGTGTCCAACAACATTTCAGGTGTCCAAACTGACCACCCTGATTTTACACAGAAAATTACATGCACTTAAAACTTACACCTCATAAACAGATACCCGAAGTACCATTAGTTTTGTCTAGAAACCAACAACATAATTTCCACAAAGTTGCCAAAATTAGCCAAGAAAGGCAACAACAAAGTTGACAAACAGGTTCCCCAGAAGTTTACAAAAGAGCTGCAAACCCTCCAACCAGCACAACTTCAAACGATCAATATAATCATCCTGCCCACCATCAAAAGGACTTGTTCCTTGCAGCAAATCCAGCATCCACAAAAGGCAACCACCTTTCCTGCACCTAGCAAAACTTAGATCCAGTAAATAACATAACCAATCAACATTCAAAACTAATAAATAACACACGAAGGGATCAGACTTGAATTTATACCCTAAGATTCATACAGGCGGCGCTTAGCAGCGGAAGGCTTCCCAGGCGCCCGGTGTGAATCTTGGTCAGCAAGCGAAAAAGGGGACGAACTTTCTGAGGACTCATCATCCTGCCTCACATTAGGAGATCCAGTTCCAGAAGATTCCAGCTTCTCAATCTTTACCTTAGCCAGAGGTGATATCAAGCTGCATTGTCAAAGACCAAAACAATAAATTCCAACTGCACTATAACCATGACACGATAAGTTCAAAAGTAAAAAACTCACAGACTCCTTGAAGACAAAGGCGAAACTGCCGAAGATGACTTCCTGATTTTACTCTGAGGAGTTTCAGAACCCAGCCCAGCAATGGATGACAATCCATGTACTCCCTGGCTATTAGAACTCATCACATCCATACCATCACTCAGAGTTCCAGGAGTCCCCACTGCACCTTTAACAGCACCAACTGACTGGATATTAGAGACCTTCAAAGGATCTGCAATGGTAAAAGGAGCTGCCACAACAGTCGCCCCTGGACCTGTTCCTTTTCCTTTCACATCAGCAACAGAAAGCAAAGGTGCAATAGATGAAACAGGAGGCAGTAAATTTGGCGAAATCACGTCGGACACAACAGCATTCTCCTTGATTGCCAAAGGAACTTGAGATGAACTGCAAGAGCCAATTGAGCACATAAGTATTTACCATGCAACAACAGAAACAAAGCACAGGTTAATGCATCAATACCAAATCAAGTAAAACAGTCCAAATGTGTTACCTGAGAGGCAACCCTGCTACCTGGCCAATATGGAATGTTGGATTCGTCCCTCCAGGTGATGCTGAGTCAACAACCTTTTCCTTTCCTTTGGATGAGCTAGATTTGTAACAGCAAAGATTAATAATTAGAATAACCCAAATCCATACCTAAATCCCCGTTATTAACTAACACAAACATAACAATAGAGCAAACAACACTCACCTAGATGGTATGGCAGCAGAAGCTGAAGCTGCGAAAGGTACACCTGGAGCAGGCAGCATCAACATTCCTTCCTGACCAGAATAGGACTGACTTAGGGTTTGGGACGAAGAAACACTGCCTGTGACATCTGGAACTCCTGTAAGACCAAGCACTGGGCCCTGAACATCACGGGGCATAACTCGGAAAACACGGAATTCACCCGTAGATACTCCACTTGACCCAACCATCGGAAGCTTGACCTCAAATCTGACAAACTGGCCGAGCAAAGCCTCAAGTTCAGGGGGCAACTGGCCAGACCTGTGAGGATATCTCTGGGCCAGCAGTTGGGCAGATGTGAGCACCAAATTGTTCCCACACGGGCCGAAAATAATGAAAGGGCCCTCGTCAGTGGCATCACGCAGGGTCAATTGGATCTTGTAGCTAGAGACGACACAGTAAAATACAGAGACAATTTCATCAGGATAGGCGTGGGAGTTCAAACTAAAAAAAGTAGGCAAATTCTATAAGACCTGACAGGCACACATTGAAATAAACAAAAACAACAACTAATGATCAGACAAAACACACATCCAACTGTCACTTGCTGCTCAGTGATCTCCCAATGGTCAGGACACCAGTAGTTACCATTTCGCCACGTAGAACACTTTTTTCTGCACATGCTGCATGACATGTAATACCACGGGCTCCGGGACTCAACTGATCGGACTATACCACCGCTACGATGCTTTTCATCCTGAATATAAACATTGATAATCCCAGAAAGCAATAAAAACACATAAATAAATGGACAACCCGAAGACCATTCTAAAATCAAGAACTACATCAAAATGCAACTCACGACAGAAGCACCGCCATGGTGCAAATCAAGAAGCTCAGCTATGGTCCTGGTTCTCCGCTCAGCATCAGCAACAGTGTACCCTGGCGTCACAAACTTGACCGGCAAATCAGCAACAGGAACCCTGGATCCACCAAAACTGTATAGATGGATACAAAAAAGTAAAGCAAACCAAACACCACAAAGCAAATCTGGAACAACAAAATCACAGTTTAACAACAAAGAACCCACAAAGCAGCGAGACTGTATGCTTCTGGTATCCTCGGGCTAACAACTATACGGGTTCCAGAGGAGCTCGAACAGGAATATTCACCAGCTACACAACAAAACAAAATCAGTTCACAATTTATGATCAAGCAGAATGGAAAAAGTCAAAATACACACCTGTCAAACGGCCAACCATGAGCCCCCCAACTCCAACGATCACTGGCTCAATGGAGTCCGCCTGAATCAAAGCAGGTCGATCAAGGACTGCCGTCAGTTCATTCCAAAGCGTGATCGACACTCTCTGGCTCCTGACAGCAAAACAAAGGATTATATCTTACGTGACGATGATGAAACAGTATTCCCTAGTGGAAGAACAAAATAACACAAAAGACCTACTGTGCATTCTCAAGGACCAGAACTTGTTTTGGAGTCGAGCCGTGATTAGTAACATGATGATCAATCCCGCTAATAGAATGAAGACGGCCGACAACATCTGACAAAAGAAAAGAGCAGTAAGAAGACATAAAACCCAATTCATTTCAGTCAAGAAAACGCAACAATCACCTGCAAGGATACGATTGTCCCCTGAACGGTTAGACAACTCACTATAAGGAACAACCTCAAAGGAATCAGTTGGAAATTCAGCTGCAGGTAGAGAACAGGCCTGGAAAATAGTTGTTGCTGACAACTCTATTATCAAATCAAATGAGCAAGCACGATAGAGATTCCTTGCGGCACTGAGACCAAAAGACCTTAGAACGTAGATAACTCCCACGCGCAGCACACGCTCAAATTCAGACCCAATAGAGACATCAGCAAGGCTCTAAATAAGCATACCCTGAATCAAAAACAAAAAAAGACAGTAAAGAAAGAGCAAAGAAGGAAAAAAAAGAGCAAAAAAACAGAAAGCACTGTAATCACAAAGAATCAGCGTAAGAGAATCTACCGTCTGATCTACCCAAAGGCAACAGTGATTAAACACCCTTGTCCCAGAAGGATTCTTGGCATACCACATATGGAGCAGACGAAGCCTCAGAGTCACCTCCCTGGTACCTCCTTTGAGATTGTAGAGCAGAGTAGCATCCATGGCGAGGAAAAAATCGAGAAAACAACGACTGAACCACAGAGAACAAAGAGGGGAGAAAAAAAGAGGGAAATGCGTTCCGAGAATGAGTCCTCTTGTGCAAAAAGAATGAGAAATGGCCTTCTCCACCTGAGCGCACGCATCGAGGCATGCAAAAAGAATGAGAAATGGCCTTCTCCACCTGAGCGCACGCATCGAGGTACTGAATGACGTCCACAGTGTTTGAAACAGTGAACTTCCTGACACCCTCCCGCCATCAGGTGAATAACCGGTATCAATAAGCCGCCCACCATTCCCAAAGCACCTCCAATCCTAGCCAATCAGCCGGCAAGTTTCTCCAACATAGTCCTGCGAACAACAACCCAACACGACCCTCTAGCAATCCCCAACAGACACAATCATATCTTGCAAGACTCACTGAGGGCATCTGAAGGCTCCGTCCCTCAGGTGAATAACCGGTATCAATCAGTTGTCCACCATTCCCAAAGCACCTCCAACCGCAGCCAAACAGTCGCCAAGTTTCTCCAACAGAGTCCTGCGAACAACAGCCGGAATCCCTAACAGACACAATGATATCACGCAAGACTTATTGAGCACATCTGAAGGCCCCATCCCACGTGGCCGGGGAGGGGCAAAGTCACATACCGATCTCTGATGACCAACGCGCGTCCGGGCCACCAAACGACCGCAACTAAGGCCAACCAGAAGCCAACGACCAGTCCCACCCCGACCGAGCCCCCAAACCCCGCCCGATCCCAATGAGGCCTCACCCAACAACAGCCCACACCGAAGGACACGCCAGTTTGAAACAGTAAATCTCAGTCACGTTGTACAATAAAAGGTGTCTGTGTGTGCAGTACACGGGCATGCGGCGGGTTTCTTTCTTTCAATAAATTCTACTTGCACCATCTTCTACCATCACAAAATTGGAACGTACTATCAAACACTTTTTACGGTCGGGAGTCCAAGAAAACAAGGAGTTTCACTTGGTCACTTGGGACATCGCAAAAGCTCCCCGCCTTTTAGGTGGGACATGTCTCATGGTTGAAATTCTAATAATGTTTTAATGACCTATTTTTATCAATTGGATTGTATCATTTTCAATTTAAATAGGATTATTTCGGACCAAAACGGACAATATCATATAAATAGAGCTACCCGATTTTGACAAGCCATTTCTCTCCTCGACCCCATGTTCTCTCTTCTAATCCCTACTCCTCAATTCTCTTTTTCTTGTCTAAATTCCTAACTCCCTCTCCCGATTACTAAATCTCTTTCTCATCTATATATCCGGTTACTTGAATTTCTTATTATCCGACAACAAGATTTCTTAAGAGCCATGCCCCTCTCCTAACGAGTGTGGTCCTTACATTTTTATACATGTCCATCAAGCTACAAGTGGAATTAACTTGAAGGCCGATACAAAGCATGCTTTCCCTCAACGTTGTACGTATTGGGTTCTGGTTTAGTGCAGTATATGATCGATTCATGCCCATTATGCCGAGGGTGATATAACAATGTTTTGTTGGCGAAACTCGCATGTTTAATGCGTACTATTTTCAAGTAAACACAAACACAACGTCAACACAATATTCAAATATCCGCCGTCGAATGTCGGCGACGTTGATTTGATCGATTATACAGAAATCAAGACGACCGTCAAATATCCACCACCGGCGTCGGCGATGTTGATTTGATCGATGCACCTTTGACTTCTAACCAAGACAACCGTTACTCGGTTCACCACCTCTCCAAACTATGTTCGAACGAGGGTCTTCAACGAGAAACGAGAAACCAAATCGGGAGTGTTCTAAGTTACGTTACCTCTACTCCTATGGAGGTTCCTCTGGAGAGCTCCGCGACTACGACTACAAGCTACGATCTACGACTCTGCAAAGGAGTTCTTTGACAGAGCGGTTCTACGAAACTAGAGAGAAAAAAATGATAATTCTGCGACGGTGCAGTTTGAGGTTTGATTTTGCCATCTCGAGCTTCTCTCTCTTCTTGATCTTTATACGCCGCTCTTCTCCCCGTAGTTGTAGTAACTGCCTTCGCGCCTTTGTCTCCCACGTTCTTCATTCTTGTCAACCGTGCTGGTAACTTCTCCCTTGTTGCATAACTTCCATGAGTGCGAAACCGCTCTGAAGAGACTTTGCAAACCAACGCTGTGCCAAATTTGTGGCTATCCACCATGGTTCGATAATCCATCTCACCTCCAAAACCACAAAGCTGTCACCTTGTTCATAAAACGGCGGCGTAGTAGAATAACGCCGCTTCACTTCAAAAATTTGAGCATGAGAGCCTCCTTTCTCGGAAACGTCGTCGTTGTGAGGAGTAAAAATCCCAGCGATCTCAACCCTGGCAACGTTGTTCTCCACTAAACAACATCGTTTCTCATCCAAGCAGAATCGTTGGATTTGCGGCATTGTCAAATACATAACGACACAAGTGATGTTGCGCCCTTGTCCGAATCACGACATTACCTAGATATGAATTCGACAATGCTTGATCACTAGCCTGCTTGTCATCAAATTGAAACAATGCCACTTCTTGACATCATTGAACTCACTGCTTTGCTTCACTAACAACTGGCTCCATAATCAACCATGTTCAAACATGGCCCGACTTTAATCAATCTAGGTTAAAGAGAACAATGTTGTCGCTTACCAGGCCGCACTTGCAGCAACATTTGGTCCGCGATCTTGTTGAGCTTGCGGTCTCGCGGCATGAATAAGCTTGATTCTGTGGTGTTCTTGAGTCTCTGAACGTTGGACCTAACTCCTCGATGTGGGATTCGCAACGCTGTTTTGAGCTAAACAACGTCGTTTGTTTACTTAGCGGAACTAGTATATTCTTGCAACACTGTTTTTAACTTAACACTGTCGTTTACTTAGTGTCGTGGTGCTGTTGATATCTCTCGCGGCATTGTTCTCTACCATACGGTACCGTTTTCTCGTCTTGCGGTGCCGTTTGGCTTGTCGGGCCTCGCCAAAATCCAACCCGTTGCGGTATGGTTTCTAACTAAACGGTATCGCTTAGTAATATTGCGGCGATGTTGATGCCTTAAACGCTGCCCTTTTTAGCTAAACAACACAGCTTTATTATACCCGCGACATCGTTTTAATATTAAACGACTCTGCTTCCAGCCTTGCGGTGTCGTTTTCTTCCCCAATCAGCTCTGTTTGTTTTTTCCTCCGCGACACCATTTATTGTCGTTTGCTAGTATAACGGCACCGTTAGGCCTACTCGCGGTGCCGTTTTGAATTAAACCACACCGCCTAACATAATAAAAAGAAATACCAACGTTAAATTGCCGCGATTTTGCACGTTTGGGTTGGGCGGATTTTTGGGCCAATCACTTACTCGATGTGGTTTTTAATTAATCGGCACTGCTTTTCAAGGCCTCTCGCGATATCGTTTTTCAATCCGCAGTACCGTTTAGTTTACTCGCGGTGGCGTTTTTAGCCAAACAACATCGTTTCCCAGTCTTGCGATGTCGTTGAGCTTTGAGGTTTGCGGCACCGTTTTATTTCTCTGCGATGCCGCTTGTCTCCATGCGGTATCACATCTCTCCTTCCGACAAGGAATAAAAATAATAATTAATTAAAAAACTCCTTCTCCAACACCACTACTAAATGTGCGGCCCACATCTTATTTTCCGGTAAACAGTGTTGTTTCCAGTGCCGCGGTACCGCTGAGCTTCCTTGCGGTACCATTTTTTTGTTTCGCGGTATCATTTTAACTCTCCGCGATGCCGTTCGACTCCAAACGACACCGTTTTTTACTCGCGGTATCGAATAAAATGACGAGACTAATTAATGCGGCATTTAATTCCGGCCAAATTAATTTTAGATGTGAACAAACAATGCTTGGCCTATTCTCCCCACAATGTTGTATATATGAATTTTTTGGATGTAAATGTACTTTAATCGATTCACGTTCATATTCATGACTTGAAGTACGCCAGACAAAGATTGTTACTTACATATCCTCGGCTCTCCTTGTACAGTTTATTTGCGGCTAAATTGCAAGTTTGGTCACTTGAATTACTAGTAAAGTTTACGTTAACCACTAGAATTATTTTATTTCATCCGTAGTCACTTAAATTAAGTTAATAGTTCAAGTTTGGTTATTGGGTGTTAGTCTCCGTTAACGATTGCGGATGTGCCGGTCAACTCTTATAGTTGAGCGTTAAATGAGTGACACAACAATTAAAAAAATAAATAAATATAATTTTTAATAATTTCCACCTCATTATTACAATAAATTAAAAAATAATTAAAAAAAATGTCATAAACAACGACAACGGCGGAGGATCGAGCGATTGAAACAATAGTGTCGGCGGAATCACCACCATCTCTCTTCTGGGGCGACGAGGAAGAGAGGAAACCAACGACCGACCCGGATTTGGACGATCCCATGAGGGAGCAAAAGGGGACGTTGAGAACTAGTGGTGAATCAGGCCGCGAGAGCAGAGGGACTCCTCTGCTCTCGCGGCCTGATTCACCACCAGCTCAGGCGGCGGTTGTAGCTCTCCGCATTGGGCTTCTCCCGATTCTGCTCGCCGTATTAGTTTCTCCTCCAATTTCCACCGGCTCGAACATCGAGGCGCTTTCGGCGAGAACAAGTACGGGTCAGTTGAGGCGGAACTCGTGACCTGCATCGGCACCAACTTCCCGTCGGAGAAGAGCTTGCGCCAGGGTCGCCGAGGCGGAACTCGAAGTCCGGGAGGAGATCTTGCTGCTGCTTCGGTGGTGGTGGAATCTCAGCCACCAGAGGCGGAGGAGGAGGAGAAATAGCCGGAGCTGGCCGGCTTCGAGGGCCACAGTGGCTGTTTGTGGTGGTGGTGTTTGGACGAAGAGTCATCCTCGAGGCTGAATGAGATGCGAGGACTGAGCAGCAGTACGAAGATTACGTTCCCAGCGGCGGGAAGCTCTCCGGCGAAAAATGAGATCCGGGTGGAGATTTGAATGAGTACACGGCTGGGGTTGACTTTTTTTTAATTACTTTTTAGTTTATTATAATAACGAGGTGGAAATTATTAAAATTTTATTTTTTATTTGCCACATCACTCATCTAACGATCAATTATAGTTGACCGACACATCAATAAAAGTTAACGGAAACTAACGGCCAATGACCAAACTTGAACTGTTAACCTAATTTAAGTGACTACAGATCGAATAGAGTAATTATGTGGCTAACGTGAACTTTACTAGTAATTCAAGTTACCAAACTTGCAATTTAGCTGTTTATTTGATGTACTGTGATTTTATATCCATTTGTTTCATTGTCAAGTATTTGAGAAATGTATCGTGTGGTTTTAGTGATTGTTTGGTTGAGATAGTTACAATGCATGTATTGTACACAATGCATCGTTTTTTATTTATTTTCTGCACAAATAATACATGCATTGTTTGCTTGATATGACACAAACTATCATCAAAATGAGTGATAGTTAAATCCCAAGTTTTTTGTGAGATTGTTTAACCGAGATTGTTGTGTTTATTTTTCTTCCAAATATGTCTCTATTTTTTTTTTATGTGTGTTATTTTTGATATTAAAAATAAAGGGTAAAAATGACATTTCACCCAAAAAGTAATATAACTTACTCAAATAACACAATAACTATCACATAAACCAAAGGATGTAAACTAAAATGTCAATTTTCGTATATACATGTATATTATTATGCATGCATTGATAACGATGTATCTATTTAACTATTCCCGTACTTAGATTTGTGTAACTCAATTGCAGGACAGTGAAATCATTAACAAGTCGACATTGTAGATAGTGGCAAAATGCTGCCTGGCCATTCATTCAAATATTTCCATAACTGGACAGCAAGAATAGAATTAACACCCAGTGAGATTCTGCGGGTTGGCGATTATGGAAAGAGAGGACAAAAAGCTGTCTAGCAGGAGAGACATTGGAACGCTATTTCATTCGCTTCCATCACTCCAAATATAGGGACTTCCTCTAATCCCAGGAAATAGCAGCAGCCTTTGCAGCCAGCTGACATCAAAATGAACCAGTAGCTCCGGGTGAAATTGAATGATGACTAAAAATTCCTCTCCGTTTTTTTTTTTTCATCTAGCATCCCCTGAAACTTTAGGCCTATAAACTTGCAAAATTTCCCCTCTCGTCTCAGCGCACATAAACCCTTTCCTTTTCTCCATCGCAAAATCATGGGTTTCCCGCAGTCACTTTTCACCTTCATAATCATCATCTTTTCAACAATTACATACCAATCACAGAAAGTTCAATCCTCACCATCACAGGCTGAAACCCTCTTGGCAATCCAGCGTCTCCTCAACTACCCACCTGCCTTAAGCAACTGGAACAACTCCACCACTGATTTCTGCTACACAGCGCCGGTCCTATCTCTCATGGTGATCTGCGACGAAAACGACGCCATAATCGCCCTCCACATCATCGGCAACAGCAACAGAGACAACCCAAGTTCCTATCTTCCACTGATCAACTTCTCCATGGAAACTCTGGTCACCACTCTCGCCGCCCTCCCAGCGTTGAAACGGCTGACCCTGTCTTCTCTGGGTTTAACTGGTTCGCTGCCCGCTAAGATCTCCCAATTGTCGTCATTGGAAGGACTCAATCTCAACTCCAATTTCCTCCGCGATCCGCTCCCTGAAGAGCTACTTTCGTTGCATAACCTTGAATCCATTTCTCTGGACGACAACTTATTTGCAGGTAATTTTTTACAAATCAAATTCCACCCATTCATTTTCCAACCCATTTGTGAACTCAATCCATCTCTCTTTGTTTTCTAGGGGAGCTGCCAAGTTGGATCGGCTCGCTTCCGGCTCTAACATCTCTTAGCATAAAGAAGAACATGTTCAACGGTACGTTACCCGATTCAATCACCAACCTGACGAATCTCGAATCGTTCACGCTCGCACGGAACTACTTCCAAGGGAATCTGCCAGATTTCAGCAGGCTGAAAGGGCTTCAGGTGGTGGATTTGGAGGGCAATGATTTCGAAACAGAGTGTCCTTGTTACTTGCTGGGATGGAATTCAATGACCGTTTTCGACATTGGTGGAAACAAGTTCAGTGGTAAGCTGTCTGAGAGCCAGAGTTGTGGCGTTGGGTTGGAGTTTGTGGATCTTTCTTCCAACTTTTTGACCGGGAATCTGCCCAAGTGTCTTGCTGTCAAGAACTCCAGCAGGACTGTTTTGTTTGATGGGAACTGCTTGAAGGGTACTGGAGATAGGACAAGTCTGCAGCGCCCATTATCATATTGTGATGGTCAATCCTCTGCGGGAAGTAGACACATTAGTGAGCTGCTGATCACGATCACCACGATGATTGTCCTGCTGGTAGCTGGATGGATTGAATAGTACAAGAAAGGCATTTAAGAATTTAAAATGACAAGGTTGAATTCAGCTTGAAATATTAATATACTAGTTATTTGGCCCGTGCTCCGCAACGGAATACTTATTTTACCATTGTTTTTTTTTTTCGTTAATATTTATAATATTTTCATTGTAGTTGGAATTGTTATTGATGTTTTCTTCTTTTTCTTTTTCACATTAATACAATGAAGTTTAATTTCGCAGACCATTATTTTCCACTGTTAAAGTTCCTTATAACATCTCGTCTATAGAGAAAAGAATTGGATATTGAGAAAGAACATATAGTAGAGGATTCTGGACATATACATACAGGTGGCATTCATTCATAGCAAAAAAAAGACATGTGTAGCTCATGCACACATCTTTTTTATCCATTCATCATGTTCATCAATGATTCACCTCATCTTCAATTCTTTATCAGTAAATATTTCTGTTTGAAATTGGTAAAGAAGACAAATGATAGAAACCCTTCTCTTCTATTAAGAAGATGAAGCTCCAAGTGTCTTAAATTCCGGACTTTAAGTAGCAAGTTAATGCTCTGTTTTTCTGACTTCTTGCTCTTTGGATACTCTGTTTTAAAACAGGGGACAAAGTAGGAGGATGAGAAGAAATGAACGACAACCCAATTGGTGCAGCTGATGATTCCAATCACTGACGATCCAACCGAAACAACCATGTTTCTTTCTCACTTTCGACAATCAGTTCTTTGGCTACAGGTCGAACCAACTTTACGTCAGCTCTGCCATTTCACAAATCGTGGTTCATCGGGTTCAGGGATGAGACAAACGGGAGATTGAACCCCTCATTTTTTCAATTGAGTTTTTTTTTGTTTTTCTATTGGTTATTTTAATACTTATTGTCACAAACAGAGAACTTTTATTTTTTATTTGCATGGAAAAGAAAGCGATCAGGTCTCAGGTGCACCCGGTGCTTGGCCAGCCCAATGAACGTGAAAGTGGGCTCATGTAATCTGACCGCATAGAATCGAAACTCCCTTGTGAACAATGCTCCGAAATTTTTTTTAAGGAAAAATACTCGGATTTTATGGTAAGTTTTACAAACTTGGGGATTAATAATTCTAATAATAATTGATGTTAAAATTGAACTTTGTTTAGTATCATTGAAGTGCGCCTTAAGAGAACTGAGAATGGGAATAGGTAGATATTTAGTTTATTTTTTCCTCAAAACATGAAATCTCCCAAGTTGGCTAATTAATAGTACTATTCCTAGGTTGTCATTGTAAATCTTTGGAGTTGATCAACTGATAATGTATGTGGCATACTAAGAAGGGTGGTGTAGTAACGTACAAAATGATTGGCATGATTCAAATATCAGAGTAGGCCGTCTATCGTCTTTATTGAGTAAGATAAATGGATATTCTTATAATCTAATAAAACTCCGAATTCGGAATAAAGTGAATTTGATGACTTGTTTTTCAATCTCTTGAACTTACTGCTAGTTCTTGTGCATCGAAAATCAAGATGTTAAATAAAATTTGATGGGAATGAAAAATCACTCATGATCTAAAAACAATCGTTCATAAATAGGAACAAACATTTTCCCCGGTTGGTTGTTTGGAAAAAGTTAATATGCTAACTTGAAAATTAGTTAGCAGATCACTGATATCCAAAATACATGAACTGATATCCAAGTATTAAAGTATCTAGAGAGCACACACTAGTATTCAAGGTTTGCTAACTGATATCCACCATGAATCAACTATTATCCCAAATTCACAAACTAATATCTAGATAACACAGAATAGTATCCATACAACACATAATTAGTATCCATACAGAACATAATTAGTATCCAGATAACACTTAAGAGTATTCATATTGAATACTAGTTGGTTGATTGTGAATATTAGTTGGTATCTGCTATCGGGATACCAGTTTGTGATGTTTTGAATACTAGTATGTGCTATCTAGATAATTTAGTAAAATCAGCAGACTTGAATACTAGTTCATACATTTTGGATATTAATTAGTATATACTAACAACTTATGCAGTTAGCAGAATAATTGGGTTGTGGTTGTTGACCCTAAGGTTTGAAGAGTATGATTTTCTCATCATCTTACCTAACTAAATAGAAAATTCACACTAGTTAGTAGCATAATGGTTGTAGCAAGACATTTATTAGATAAAAGAATCGAGAAATTGACCTTGTAGCAATGCCACTCGTCTTAGCCCTAGGTTCAATCTCTTAAGTAACACCTAACTATAAAAAGCAACATATGTTGCTAGGGGTGTTCAAACGGAGTGGTTATCGTGGTAACCATTTTGACCAGTCGTATTCGGATAATTTGGTTTGGTTTGGTTAAACATTTTAGTTTGTTTGATTTAGGTGGTTTGGTTTGTTTTCGAACACTTCTAACCAATCAAACCAATGAAGCAATTAATCATAATCTCATATACCATACTTAATACATTGCATAACCACTCAAGAGTAAAGTGCTCTTCCATTTAGGACCCTTTAAAAGAAACTTGTTATTGTTCCATACTATATTTATTCTTCTAGAATGTTGACAACAACATATGACTACCTAATGTTGAGAGGAAATTAATAGACCGAAGGCGAAGGAAATTTTGTTGGATCCATTACAGGCCAAAGCTAAAGGTTCGAGGGCTAAAAAATCTAAAAGGAAGAAAGGAGAACCACGACAGTGTAGCAATTGCGGTGAATGGCGCCACTATAGGACCCGATGCCCACATCCTGTTGGCTATGTGAAGCCAACCTCAAACGGTGATGCCCCGAATGCTGGTGTTTCGGAAGAAGGTGGTGGCGGCGATGACACCGATGTTGATCCTCCCACCACTCAAGATCAGTCGGAAACAGTATCGAAGAGAAGGCAAAAGCATTGCAGTAAGTGCGGTTCTACCAATCATAATGCAAGAACGTGTACTGGGTCTGGGCCATCCGATGATGAAAATGACGATGACGACGATTACGAGCAACCTAGGGTAAGAATAAAATATAATTGTTCGTGTCTACACAATGCAGTTGCATCCAATATTTTTGTACGACTAAAATCGTCGTTATCGATTTTGCAGAAGAGGCATGTTACCAGAAGTAGCAACCTAAGGACCAGAGTTTTGGACACTTGAGTTCTTCGGAATACGTGTGTAAAAGGGTTGCAACTATTTGATCAGTGTTGAAAACTTGAAGTGAAGATGGAAGTCCTTATCCTATTCGGATTAAGACTATGTGAAGACTGCCACTGTCAGCTTGAAGCGGCGTCGTTTGATTTATAAGAAGATTGTTGCCTTCTGCGGTGTCGTTTTACTTATGTGTCTCTTTGTAGGAATGGCAATGGGGCAGGTCCGAGGCGGGTTTCTTAGTACCCAGACCCGCCCCGTGGCAGGTCGGGTCCAGATCGGGTAATTGATCACGGGTCGCGGGTCGGGGCAGGTCGACCCAATGGGTATGCAATTTATATTAAAAACATTAGAAATATTCGTTATTTTTATTATAAGACTAAGAAAACAAACAATATTATGACAATTGCAGTTAAATTATTGGAGAAATTGAGGTTTTTACTAATTTATAACTTTCTTATAGCTAAAATATGATGCAATAAAAGGAAAATCCTAAGTAATTTGACTAAGATTACATGTAAATTAGACAAGAACGGGTCGAGAATGGGGCGGGTCAGGTCGGGTCGGGTCGATGAGACTACTCATGCCCGCCCCGCCCCGAAACAGGTCAAACAGGTCGGGTAACACGGGTCAGGTCGAAATTGTCATCCCTATCTCTTTGGTTTATAAGAAGACTGCTGGTTTATGCGGTGTCGTTTTATTTATGTGTCTCTTTGGTTTATAAGAAGACTACTGCCTTCTACGGTGTCGTTTTATTTAGCTCGGATGGATTTGATTTAATTCGATATGGAGGTTGCTCCCTAAATAAATCATGTGCAACATTTCAGTTGAATAATTTTTCTCACTCGTTTTTTTATTGAATTATTATATCGTATTTTTTTACTTGTTTATAAATTTATTTAATTTTGGCTACTAAAATTATGAAATGAAAATTTTCCTTTTTCCATTTCACTTTATTATTTTAGGCATGAAATGACAAGAGCATGCAGCGACAGAGGAGCAGAGTTCGAAATCCGGAAAAAATATTGTTGGATTACTTTGTATAATTAAGGGGTCGTTTGGTTTTGGTGATACTTAAATCAATGCATTGTGGTCAAATGCATGCATTGTAATATACATGCAATTAAGGAAAAGGAAATGATGTGGGGTCGTTTGGATGTGGAAATGTAATGCAGTAATTAGACCCAATTACTACATAATGCAGTAATTGGGTTAAAAATCCACGTTTGGGAGAGCAAAATGGTATGAAAATTGGCTTCAATTACCCCACTCATGGTAATTGAGAATACAACACCTCCCCCTAGTAATTTGACATTCCCACATTTTCTTACTTCTTTTTTCAAATTCCACACCATCAATTCCCACCAATGCAGTCAAAATCGCGCTTTAAAACTTAAAAACTTACGATTTTACGCTTTTAGGTCACCAAAACGCTTTCGTTTCCATATAAAAACTTAAGTGTATAAAATCGGACTAAATTACGCTTTAAAGCTTAAAAGCTAACGGTTTTACGCTTCTTGTTCACCAAAACGCTTTACGTTTTTACGCTTTTAGTTCACTAAATGAGTATTCTTTTCATGAAATTAATTATAAAAAGTATATTTTAAAAGTAAATCACCAACAATATGATACATTTGAGATTAGAGGATACATATCAGGTACTTGGATGCATTCTCAACTTCAATAGAGTAATATAATTCACCAGCTAGGTTTTCCCCAAATTCATTAGCATAGAGGGAAAAGTGGCTTATTGTTAAAATTTATGTTTACGAACTTATTATTAAGATGCTATAAGTTGTTCTACTTTAGGCACGAATCGCATGTATTTATTAACTTATATGTGCATTCATATTTTGCATAGCATATGTCCTAATTAATAGATTTTTAGTTATTTTTTAGTATGCGTCAAAAACTTACGCTTTTACGCTTTGAATCTACGCTTTACGATTTTATCCCTTTTCCGCTTCTAGATAGAATCACGCTTTTGACTGCATTGATTCCCACAAAACTAAACCCTATCCAAACGTGATTTTTTTTCAAAATCCACAAGTCAATTCCTTGGTTTTGTAAAACATGGAAATTCAGACAAATTTCAACGTTTTAAAATTTCCACAAGTCAATTCCTTGGTTTTGTAATGTACTTTACATTGTTTGGTTTTGGTGATAGTTCTTTTACTCTTCAACATGTTATATTGTTTTTTGTGAGAAAGATCACTTTTGCCCTTGCTTTTATGAGAATATATATAAGGGTATACTATGAACAAAAAAGGAACGCAACAATCTCCTCAAAACTATCTCAATAATCTCACGTTTTAGTAGAGATAGTTCTATCACTCATTTTGAGTGATAGTTTCCATCACATCAAGCAAACAATGTATGTATTATTTATACACAAAATTCAAAAAAAAATGCATTGTGGACAATACATGGATTTTAACTATCACAACCAAACAATCACCAAAACCCAACGACCCCTAAGATACAAAAACACACATTACATTCACTTTCAATCATCTATTATATCCATATTCCTTTTCAAAACTTTCTCGACCAACGGGCTGGTCTAGTAGTAGATAGAAGAATGAATGTGGAAAGAACTATTTTCAAAAATTTTTCAAAACTTTCTCGACCAACGGGCTGGACTATTATATCCATATTCCTTTAACTTGTTAGTCTTGTCTTTTGACATTTGCCTAAATGTTGTACCCATTATGACATAGAATAGAACATAGTTTAACAACTAACTTGTTCAAGTTCGGTGACTAAATTGTCTAGCTATCCATCTACCATTCTTCACGGCGCCGTTTTTATCGTTTGGCTTCAGTTCAAGTTGCTCTGGCGCTTTCAGTTCTAATTCCTCTCTCTTCTCTTTTCACGGCACTCAGGCTTTTCCCCAAAACATCCAATTGGACAGCCTCATCGGAGTCCGCAGCAAAGCTAAGAGCCCGCGGCGGCGACCTCATGAACAAGCGGCGGTGATGCAGGCGAACTTCCTTGTGGGACCCCTGCCCTTCATCCGATAGTATTCATGTTCCTTTCTCCTCCCTCGTCGCCGGCTCACCATGGAGCGGCTGGTTCCACCGTCGTCGCACGCGGAACCGCTATCAACTGGTTGTGTTTAAATCGCAGTCATCGTTTTCAGGGGCGGAGGCGGCGACTAACAGCCACCAGAATCATTATTCCGTGCTCGAAATCAAGTGAAGCGCCTCCTCGGCAGACATTTAAAAAGCTTATCGCTTTCTTGCCCGCCAGGTGAAAAACTTGTCTTGGTGTTTCGGTTCAAGCTTTTCGGGAATCATTTTGTCATACATTGAAATTTTTGCAACCCTTGTTGTCGCGGTTAGCTAATTGGAAACTCGGATTTTGATTTTAGAGGATGTTGATGGAGCTGCAAAATATCGGAAAATAATGTTTTTGTCTTTCATGGATTGGAATGGAACCCTAAGCAATAGTGGATAGGGTTTTCTGTTTCTTATGACATTTTCATAGCCTCCTCCACGAGCATTAGCATTCTTGTCGTTCCGTGATTCTTTAGTTTGTGCTTTTCTTGGGGCATATCTCAATGTTCCATATGAGTTCGGCAATTTTTTTGATAATTAGGAAGTTTAGCTTTCTCAATTCCGCCAAACATTTGGCTTATAAATGGCAATTTTTAGCAGTTTCTTCTTAGGTTGTGTAGTGTGTAGTGTTTACTGAAACGCTGATGGTGGCTTGAGAAATTCCTTATCGTTTGTTCTTTGTGTTTCTTATACAGGACCATCCTGATGTTAGCAAGCATTCAAAGGCTGGTGAGATATTCAAAACCAGTGGTCGAGCATATGAAGTGGCATTCCCTATACATATCTTGATCCATTGGATTATCAAAATCTCAACACTCTTGATGGAGTTCACTTCATTGAGAATGCAGCTACTCAATTAGGACTTTTCCATATTCCTATTTCTCTCTTGAAAAGTTTGCATCTTTTGGCGTATTCAGACTCTTTCAAATGAAGTGAGAAGAATACAGTATGACCGAGTATTGAGACTGAATGAAGATTCAGCATATAGAGGGAAAAAGTATTACAGTCCTTAATTTGAAGATTAGGAAAGAATACAGGTGGGCTGAACTGAAATGGAGGATTGAACAAGACCGATACTGGGAGCATTACAATGTAGTAGAAGACAACTCCTCCTCTGAAGATGAAATTGCTGAAGAAGTGGATAATACAAAGGACCTTTTGCATTTTTATCTCTCTTTCTTTTTTTTTTTTTTTTTTTTGCCCCAAACATAAGGACCTTGAGTCTCTGTTACTTTTAGCAACCTGATGGTTTTCTCGATCCATAACAGGACGCTGGATACTTGTCATCTAGTTGCATGAATTCTTGGGGGGAAGAAATGGGGTTCTGCTTGCTCTATGCATCCAGTTTGCAAGTTGGGTATGTGGGCTGCCTTCAATCTTGCTCTGTAGCCATCAAGCTGCAAGCGTACATAACCTGAAGGCCGATCGATGTCGTACATATGGGATTCTGGATGTAGTGCAGTATATGATTGATTCATGCCCATCAAGCCGAGGCTGATATAACAATCCTTCGTCTGTGCTCCCTAGAATGTTGTATTATATGAATTTTTGGGCGTAGTGTAGTGTAGTATAGTGTAGTCGATTAATGTTTAGACTTATGACTTCAAGTTTGGCATACAAAGGTTGTTATTTACATATCCTTAGTTCTCCTTGCACAGTTTATTTGTTGTAATGTAATTTGATACCCATTTCTAGCATCATCAAATGTTAGAATGTAGTAGTTTTCTGCAACTCAATTGTAGAAGAAGAGTAAAGTGATGAATGAGTGGACACCCTTCCATAAGTAGACAGCAAAATAGGATCAACAAATGACAAAGTTTGCTTCCTTTTTCATCACTTTTCTTATGTAGATACGTACAATTGGCAAAACTAATGGTAAAGACAGCAAAAACATGTAGGTGTGATCAATTGAGTGAGATAACGAAAATCTGCTCAGTTCACCTAAAGTAAGACAGCTGACCTGACAATGAATATAGGACTGGTTTGTTCAAAAAAACAAGTTTTGGGGACTGGACTGGACTGGACGGACAACATTACACTGTACTGCTAAACTGGCCCAATGTCTCAAGGATGGCCTGGCTCAATGGCGGCCCTGATCTGGAGGAGAATCTTGAATAGGCGAAGGAAAAACCTGAATAGGCGAAGGGAAAACTTCCCTACGGCCCAGACGAAGAGAACGAATAGCTGTGGATCTTCGTTAGTGTATATCTTGCTGAAGCCGCGGGTGATGATGCCCCAGCCCAACCCGCCTGGTTGAGGATCCACGGCGAAGGTAGACAGTTTGACCGGTGTTCGCCTTCCAACAACACCTTCGACGATCCCCTTCCAAAACATCGCCGCGTTGTGGCCATTTGCCTCGGGATGGCTACTGTCGCCGGAGCTTGGCCAACGGGTTTCTGCGACGGCGACCGGTAGGGTGTGATAACCTGACTTGTTCAAGACCTCGACGACGCCGCTGAGCATGAGATCGAATAGGCTGTTATAGCGCTTGGCTAGCGGATCCGAAGCGGAGAAGGTGTGATTGCCTTGCGGTTGGGAAAGAGCGAAAGGCAGTGGATAGGCGTAGGTTTTGTAATACTCGTACACATCCAGCTTGACGAGGAGAGGAGAGCCGCTGTGGTTGAGGAACCGAAGCAAAGGTCCAAGGAACGGCGGCGGATCGATCACGTCTCCAAAGCTCACCGTGACGGAGATAGCCGATTCAACTTTGAGCAGCCTCGTCGCTTCCTGTACGTTCTTCACCGCCTCCATCAACACCTGAGATTCAGCAGCTTTTGGTTCTTCTCCCACGGAGATGGTGGATACGGCAGCTGAGGACAAGATCGGTCCAAGAATCTCCACCACCGCTGCCGAAGAATTGCCGGCTAGCTTAGCCAGCAATTCATTCGGCAAGCTCACCAGTACTGAGACTCCACTCTTCTCAAACTCTTGAAGGAGGTCCGGTGTGGCGTCGTGGAGACGTAGCCTTGCTGCGCCGAAGTTGAGGTTTCGGACCGCCGCTGCAATCACCGGCGCGCTCGGACGAATCGGAGGTGGAAGCGGCGACGGAAAGAAGCCGTTGGAGTTGGAGTCGAAGGTGACTCCCAGCGAAGCCTGCGCCTCCTGGAACCTCCATTGGTCGTAGAGAGTGATGATTGTAGACACACCGTAGGCCAGAGCGAGAACTGCAATGGAGAGCAAGAAGTACTTCATAGCTTTGTGGTGGTGAGGGGGAAGAGGCAAGGAGGAGGGAAGATTTCTAAGAAGAGAGAATTTTTGAATTGAGCATTCGTTTGGTGTGGGGGTGGGGAATGTTTGTTACTGGTAAGAGGCCTTTTATAGCCACCGGCGTCAAGCCCCCTGACAGCAGGAGAGGAAAGTTTGCGTTGCCTTGAGGAATGTGGCTAGGATTTGCCAAGGCAGCATTTACGGAAAATCGTCTCTGAGTTCCTTCTCACAAGCATCATAAGTGCATGCGTCAATGCTAGTTTCCTTCTTCTCAGGCAGGCAGGCAGATACATGCTCACATACTCATCACAGGGCCTAAAACTAAACCAGGTTTGCAATTGCCTGTGAATAATGCACTGCTCACTTTATATTCAAAATGTGCTAAGCTTGATGATGTCCTCCGACGGGTGAAAGACCTGGTATCATGGAATGCGATGTTGTCAAGCTACGTCAATAGTGGACGCATGAATGAAGCTACTGAAATCTTCCAGGAGATGCCAGAAAAGAACCTTCTGACATGGGCTGTGATGATAGCATAGCAGCAGGGTTAGCACAGAATGGACTTGGTGAAGAGAGTTTGAAGCTATTCAACCAGATGAAACTACAGGGTTTTCAACCATGTGCATTTGCTGGAGCTATTACTTCATGTGCAGCACTTGAATCATTGAAGTCTGGACTGGACGCTGCGACAGCTTATCGATGCTCAACGCGGTGAAGTCCCTCAAACCAGAAGTTTCAGTACGCTCTTCCCTCCGCCTCTTAGCCCTCAGTGTCCGAATCCGCGGTGAAGAAATAAGGAGATCTTTCTATATCGAAATATCAGTTGAAAAAATCATAGGCAAAATTCCTGGACCGCCCGGTAATCCATAATTAATAATTGGAAGAAGGATCCACTGGTTGAGACGCTAGTTCACTAGCGGAATTCCCTTTATTCCGTGGCATTAGAACTTCCCTTAAAAGCTGCTTAAACAAAGCGTAAACGCACAATCAAAGGATTCTCAACTCATCCTGTTCGTTTTTGAGTGTAGCCTTTCTGCGGGAAATGCACTGATTACCATGTGTGGAAGATGTGGCGTTGTAGGGGATGCGCGGAATCTATTCTCACCATGCCGTTTGTAGATTCAGCATGGAATGCGATGATTGCTTACCTGATCGCATCACCTTCCTGACAGTTCTCTCTGCTTGCAGCCACGCGGGTTAGTCGAGGAAGGGCATCGATACTCTTACGCAATGCACCATCTTTTATGGCATTACCCCAGGCGAGGATCATTATGGCCGTATGGTTGATTTGCTCTGCCGAGATGGAAAGTTCTCAGAAGCAAACAATATGATACAAAAAATGCCCTTTCAGCCCGGCCCACAGATATGGGAAGCTTTCCGTGCAGGTTGTCGGAATCATGGGAACATGGAATTGGGGATCCAAGCTGCTGAACGGCTCTTTTAGACGATCCCTCAAAACGACGCAACCTATATCCTTCTGTATAATATGTATTCTGCAAAGGGGCTTTGGGATAATGTGTCGAGAGTTAGGAAGCTGATGAGAGACCAAGGGGTGGAAAAGGAGCCTGCATGTAGCTTGGTTGAAGCTGAAAACAAGTTCCATGTATTCTTGGTCGATGACACTGCACATCCTGAAGTTAATGCTGTCTACAATTATCTCAAGCAGCTTGGCTTTGAAATGAGGATATCAGGGTACGTGCCGGACACAAGAAATTATCATTTCACATGGACCAGTAAGTAGATTATGTTTATAAGTTGTTGGCTGATTTAGTTATCAGTATTGATGTTGTTCTTTTTACTAATATCATTTGCACATCATGGCTGTTTAGATCAAGCATCTTTAGGAATCAGCAAAATAATGGACATATAGTAGAGTAATTTCCTTGTCATGGAAGAGGTGAACCAGATTTCCTTCTTTTAATTTAGTTTGTAGTGGTTAGTGAGTTTATAGAGTTTATTTTATGTCGATGTTTCATAGGTTGGTTATTGTTCTTTTACGTCTTCGAATGGTGTTTTCGAATTCAAGTGTTGGTTCCGTCTCTTTCATTATTTTCCTTCTAGTTTCCCAGCTCCGATTAAGTAGAGGTTAGGTGATTTTAATTGTATTCCGGTATCAGCAAGACAAGAGAAAATAGGGAGGAAAAGGTCTCAAACGGAACGGTCCAGGTTCTAAAAATTCACCTAGCTTTGTTGAATCATGCAGTGGGAAAACAATGGAGCAGTTGATGTTCATGACTTTGATAGTTCAACCAGCAGGGATCCATTTTCATGGAAGTGCTCAGTTGAGTGAGTAGTCTTCTGCAGGTCTGGAACCAGTGTCAGTCGAGCCATTGGAGAAACATACCCAATCTGCAGCATGAAGTTGATCAGAACCCTCTTTCACTTGCAATTCAGTGCCAAGGTTAGCTCCTTAATGCATCCTCTTTTTTTGCAATGTTCAGGCCCATGGAATTGTTTCGCTTTCGGTTGCCACTTGTCACGTTGTTTTTATACATGCTTATGTATTGTAGTTCTAGCAACTGCAGTTCTAGGAACATGGACTTTGTTTGCTGGGTGCGCTCATTCCTTTCTCTGCGTAGCTCTAGCAACTGCAGTTCTAGGAACATGGACTCCAGGACTGGAGGGTGACTTCACTAGAGTTGGATAGTTTTATGTTTTTCTCCTTTAGAACTCACCAAAGAAGCACTGGAACTGCATCTGCTTACCGCGATGAGGGTACTGTTGCTGAATTTGAAGGAATCCATATGCAGTGTCAGGTGGTTAGCAAGCCGCCTCTTTTTGCGGAGTACCAAGGTTGATTATTTTCCCAAAGATCAACTACAAGCTGTCAAGTGTGAACTTTGGGTGGACAGGTTGCTGTATAGGTGTTTTAGCGTTCTGCAAATGTGACGTTCCTTGGTGAAGTTTGTTGTGCATATTTTCCTTCATTTTACACCTGGTATTATCAAATAGTTTTTGATCAGACACTAACTACTGAAGCCATGGCATGCAAAATGGCTCAAGTAGAGAAAAGAAGGTTGTGTTTGCAGGAAGGAAGGAAAATGTGCGGTGCGGGCGAGGAAAGGGAGGTAGTTTCACTTTCACACCCTGGTATGATTTTACTGTACGCTAGCCTGTGGTTTGGATTGGATGGCTGGGCCTGGAATGAGAACGGGTCCAGCCCAGACGAAATGATCCGTCTGGATTCTTGCTGCTGGGCTGGGCTGGGGCCGGCCTGCGAGGGACCATGGTATTTTTGAGAGACCGACAAGGAAAGAGCAAGTCTCTTCCTGAAAGGACTTGGACAGTTGGAGTACCATCCAATCCATAAATAAACCTCTTGTTCTGGCGATTTATGTAGTACAGAAAATCAGAAATCGAACCGCTAACACACAGCAAGCAATCTTTCTTTCTTTCCTTGTCGCCATGGACGCGGTACTGATCTTGCTCCGGCTGTTAGAGGATTACGATTACCCTATAACTAGAATCGTGGATGCAATCGGAATGGCGGGCGCCGGGCGACGCATTGCTTGCGATATGGGCTTGGCGGAAACTGGATCGTCACCTCCGCAACAAGTACGGGTTGGGCTTGGTTGATCTGGTGAGGAATTCTTTTGACGGAGCTGAAACGAGCTTGATTCGGCTGTTGCAGGATTACCCCATCATACTTCCCGCGCTACTTGCGATATGGGCTTGGCGGGCGCTGGGCGTGGGCTCTTTCTTCTCTATGCTTGAGTTTTTCTTCCTTTTACGTTGTTGAATCCATTATTTATTGTCTTTACCGGATTTGGATCGTCCTCTTTTTTTTTTATTTTTTTTTATTTACTTCCAACTTAAGAGACAAGGTATATTGTAGTTGTTGGAGATTGAATGTTATAATCAGTGTTATTAAAGTCGAGCCGAGTCGCTCGGCCCGACCAGTAAAATCGCCACCCGGTTGCAAAATCGGCTCTGAACAGTATAAAAGTCACTCCAGTTTTATGTAGCGGTTGGTGAGCGACCGAGGCGGTTAACCGTTCGAACCGATCGAGCTGCTCGTCCGGTTTTTGTCATTCAACCACTAAATTAAATTAAAAAATTGAAAATCATTAAAAATTGAATTAACCAAAAACGTCGGGCTCTCAAACTGAATCCTTATTTCCATTTCACAATTTCGAAGGAAAGAGATGAGCTCTGATTAAGAAATGTCCACTATTTATACTGATAATGTTTATTAGGTACCGGTTCTCTAACGATTTTTAAATGATCTACTGCCGGTTGGACCACTAAAGTACGAGTCGTTCGCATTACCGAGTCATGCTCCGATTCGGTTCTGACAACATTGGTTATAATATTATATTTAATTTATTGCAGTCGTTTCCTTTTGTTAGTGGTTGGTGCTATACATGTTAACATATCCAATTCCATAGGAAGAGCTTCTTAGATGGTGCCGCACAACGAAAGTTCATATGCTTCTTGATTAAAAACTTATATCGTCTAGGACGGTTGAACCACAAAATATCATTCTTGGAGTCAAATTTGAAATGATACAAGCATCCGTGGTAAAACGTCTTCGTCTACCCTATCAGCTTCATTATACTACAATCTTATCGGTCGATTTTAGAGGTTGGGCCAATGAACCAGGACATTCCTGTCGATTTTAATTGGCAATATTGAATTAGTGGTGGAGCCAACTCCTATTAAGCTCTGTCAGGACACACCTAAAATCTGTGGAAAAATTATGAACCCCACATAAGTGTACATGTAGGATTCAAATACAAGAAGTTTTATCTACAATAAATGACATTTGATTGAAGAGCACTTCTATTATTATTTAAAGTATTGGTGCTTTAAAATACAATTTGAAGTTGTACCATAACGTTAAAGGTACAAATTTAACTTGTACCATAAGAGAATTTGACATTTATGTTTGTGGTACAACTTCAAGTTGTATCATAACATAAAGGTGCAACTTTAGTTTGTACCATAAAGAGATTTTACAAAAGAGTATAGGTACAACCTAAAATTGGTTCTTTGGAACTGGAGGTGAAAGTGTGCTTGGTTGCGACCAGATTTGTGCTTATATAAACATGTTCGTCTGGTAATTGTTGAATGTATTAAATATGCCTTGAAACTCCACATTTGAATTGAAATACACTATTATGTAATATGTTGATTAGTTTTTTTTTCCTCATTTCAAATCCACTTTCTAATTATGTCTGTTTTTATTCTGCCATGAATCAAAGTTAGACAAACTTTGGAATTTAAAAAATGGTTAGGCATCATATCGTAACCAATAACTTACTATTTTGTGCTACTCAATGTGTTTGCTTTTAGATTAAGGATTGGTTCACAACTTGGAAATCACAGGTTTGATGGACATAATAGATTGATAGAACCGAGTTTTACCCCCTGTTTTTGTGCTCAGCTTTAGTTTATGCCATGTATATTGAGATCTTTTAGCGTTGGTAGTCTAGCTATCTTGGGTTGTTTAGACATCTGATGTAGAAATGGTAATGGGCAGGTCCGGAGCGGGTTTCTTGATATCAAGATTCGTCCCATGGCAGGTCGGGTTCAGGTCGGGTAATGTATTATGGGTTGCGGGTCGGGCAGGTCGACCCAATTGGTATGCAATTTATATGAAAAACGTTAGAAACATTCTTCATTTTTATTATAAGATCAAGAAAAAAATTAATATTACGATAAATGTAATTAAATTATTGGAAAAATGGAGGTTTTCACTAATTTCAACTTTATCATAGCTAAAATATGATGTAATAAAAGGAAAATCCTTAGTAATTTAACTAAGATTACAAGTAATTTAAACAAGAACGGGTCGAGAATGGTGCAGATCAGGAGAGATCGGGTCGATGAGAGTACCCATGTCCGTCCCACCCCACCTACGGGGCAGGTCCGACCTGCCCCAAAACAGACAAAACAGGTTGGGTAAAGCGGCTTAGATCGAAATTGTCATCCTAATCGGATGCCAATGCCCTCCATTCATAACTAAAAAAGGAATCACCCAACTTTACAAGGGTGAGTATGTATGTTTTGCTTCAATAAATTATTGGTGGATTTGGATCGTCCATTCCCCCCACCCCCAGCCTAACACACAAGGTAATTGTGGTTGTTGGAGATTGAATATTATAATATAATATATTTTATATATACACTCGGCTTACCTATATATATGTTTCTTTCTCAATGCATAGTCGACCAGACTGGCCGAGGAAGTCGATGTGTGCACTGTGCAGACAGCTACGCGAGCGTCGAATGAGAACGAGAACGAGAACAGGTCCAGCCCAGACGAAGTGATCCGTTTGAATTCTTGCTGTTGGGCTGGGCCGGGGCCTACCAGGGACCATGATATTTTTTTTTTAGAGACCGACAAGGAAAAAGGAAGTCTCTTCCTGCAAGGACTTGGAATTTATTTATTTAGTATAGTATATAAATCAATCGAACCGCTGCTCTCCCACAACACTCAGCAAGCAAGCAAGCTAGGCGCTAGCAATCTTTCTTTCCTGGTCTCTGCGCGTGTGGCCATGGACACTCTGAAGTCCCGTCTCAGTTTTATTTTATGCATGTTATATTTGGCGGTAGGGATTTTGCTCCGACTATTGAAGGATGAGCCTTCAATAGCTATAATGGTCAAGGCATGGCTTGCGATATGGGCTTGGCGGAAACTGGATCGTCTCCTCCGCAATAAGTACGGGCTGGGTTTGGTCGATCTGTTGAGGAATTCTTTTGACGGAGCTGAGAGGAGCTTGATTCCGCTGTTGCACGACTATCCCATCATACTTCCCGCGCTGCTTGCGTTATGGGCTTGGCAGGCCCTGGGCTTGAGCTCTTTCTTCATTATGCTTGTTTTCGTCTTCCTTTTACGTTCTTGATCCATTCTCGTCTTTGGTTGTTTTTTTTTTCTTCCTCCCATTCCAGCTTAAGAGACAAGGTAACTGTGGTTGTTGGACATTGAAATATTATAATATAATAATAATAATATATTTAATGCAGTCTTTGCCTTTTGTTGGTTGTTGATGCTATCTATGTAACATAGGAAGAGCTTCTTTGATGGTCGCACAAGGAAAGTTCATACATAGGCTTATTGATTAAAAACTCAGTACCGGTTGAACCACAAAATATCGTTTTCGGGCTCAAATTCGAAACCGTACAAGCAGCCGTGATAAAAAACGTCTACGTCAACCCTGTTAGCTTCATTATACTAAAATCCTTATCCTGAATTTTTATTAGGTTTAAGAAATAGTAATACCCTAATCATCATTAACCACCTATTAACCACTAACTTTCTATTAACTACTTAAATTACTCTTAAGCCAATAAAAATTACTTAAACATACTCCTAAATTTGTAGCAGTGGCACCAATTGTCATGTTTTACGAGTTTCTAGATCTACTAGGAATCAAACTCGATATTCTATCTAGCCGATCTTGGTTTACAATTAACTCTACTATTGCACTACTTAAAAACGCAACTTAAACTAGCAAATAAGGCAATCAAAGTAAATGAGGGGTTTCTAGAGTGGGAAGACTCGTTTGGTCCAAGAATCCCTATAGCTAGCTATGGGTTAAATCAAGATTATTTTTGGATCTTGTTCTACTCTTCAATCTTTGATCCTTCCCTTCATTTTCCCCCCATTTGGGCTTTAATTGGGGAAAATCTCTTCAAAACATGGCGCATCTTATATACCCATACGTAGAAGGTGTTTCAGGTTCGTAAAACGGAGCTCTATACTCTTGACACCCAAAATGATATCACACTCCTCAAGTCCTTCAAAGTCAAACGACGGGCACGAAAGTTGACTTCTCAGGCTGTGAAACTTCTCACGGTAATTATGTTCACGGGACATTAAACTCTGTGTGCCTTGCCTTGACAACTCTATTTTCAATGATATCGTCCATGTCCATGTATTCTGGTGTCAATTGAGGGGTCATGTGTTTCGAATAAATCCTAATACCTCTTAACCAGATCCTGATACCATCATTGAAGATTTTTTTTTTTGTCATCACCAGATGATAGAGAGGGTAAAAGAATTAGGAGGATCTAGACTCTAGAGAAGAATCATAAGGAGTATTGTAAGAGAAATTCGGGAGAGATGCAGATGAGTGGTCGACGACCTATTGAGGGTGAGTGAGATGAAATTTTTTTAGGGTTACAAGGTTTAGAGGAAATATTTTGTAATTATTTTCTGTCTATTTCTCTGAAAATTTCAAAATAGGAAAAATTGCAAGGACTCTCCTCATTAAGGCAATGGATCGTTTGTAAAAAAAAAAAAAAAAAAGAAGGTAATAGATCGACTTAGGGTATCCCCTAACTGCTTTTCCCAACATTATTGCAGTTTTAAAATTCTGTAAATTTCTAAAGTCAAGTCCCGCCAATTTCCTCACTGTCATACAAGGGAGTCTCAACTCTCAACTTCACCATTTTAGTTTGTTTTCCTTAATCTTTTTGTTCCTACCAGAAATTCAATATCATTATTTCGATATCCTAAGTAATTTCGTCAAGGATGTTAGAAACATTAATGTAAAACCGCTGAGTGTGAGGTTTAATTTAATTATATCTTGTTGAAACAAAATGGTAGTATAGTTAAATCTGAGGTCTCATCACCACGAGTGATGAGGTAAGATGAGCACCTGAGTTCGAAATCCAACCTATTGTATGTTACTAATATGGAAAACAAATCATAATTAATATTATAGCATCGCCAAAGAAGATCTGGAATGAGGAAGGTGTTATTCCACCTAATTAATTAGTTAGAAAACCCTAAAATCAACGAAGAATATATAAAGGCGTGTGAGGAGGAGGACGAGGGGAATCATATATTGGAAACTGTAACAGCAGCAGCCTGGCAGTGACGATTGACGTAACGAGCGATTGTGATTTGTTTTTGTGGGTGGGTGTTGATATTCCACGTAAGGATTCTATTCTCTCTAATCCAATCTATCTTTCTTGCTCTACTATTCTATATATGATTGTAGTATAGGTTATCCGAGGTAGTGATTGTACGTAGTTTACTTATCTGATTCGTATCAACACATGGAATACGTAGTTAGACAAAAAAAAAAAACACATCGTGTTGACCATAGAAGTGTGTTAGAGAGCTCGCAAACGTTATCGATAGAATGTTTTCTGAAAATGTTATTAGGAGTGTGAGAACTGAAATCAAAATGCAGTGCGCGGTTAATAACTATGGTTACATTAAATTTCAAAGACTTGTTCATTGCGTAACTTTAGTTAACCAACTATCTCCTCTCTACCCGCTGCTCTGTTGCTGCAATTCCTCTACTTCTGCTTATTATTTTCTGGTAAGCTTCACTTAACATAACTCTTCTTCTCCATCTTTCTAGTTTGACAATAAGATGCATCTGAAAATCCTTCATACAAAATCCTGTTATGCTCATGTGTTACTGTTCTAGCAAATTCGTGTAAAAATAGTATGATTGTGAGGGGGAAATTGAAATTCAGTGGTGTTTTGCTTTTTTTTTTTCTATAGAAAAAGGCTGTTGTAGACTTTATGTTTCTTTTTATGTTTGGGCGGACTTTTCCCAACCTTCCGTGTCAAGTTGGGCTTCGAGAGGCCCATATTACCCAATGATTTTGTATCAATGAAAGCAGCCCTTACCCGAAAGTTCATGAAGCGAAACAGGCCCAAGATTTAAATGTCATAGCCGACCCATTTATTTACTTATTTAAAAGAAGATAATTCATCGAATTATTATTATATATGTTATCAAAATGAAAATATATTTCTACAAAAAAAAAAAATTATTACATTTTAAGAAAATTTAGCAGATAGGTGTACGCACACACTCAAGATTTGTCTGTCAGCATATTATTCAATTTGGAATGTTAACCTTTTTTTTAGTTGGAATGTTAATTAACAGCAAAACAACGTTGACAATATATATTTTGATTTAATTTACAAATTTGGTAGCTGAATTTCCTAATTCCTTACATATCCAACCAGATTACCATAATTCATTTCGTACTTATCATTTCCCGCTGCATCGTGCCGCCGCTTCCCACTTGTCGCCGGCTAAGCAGCCTTAAAAAAAACATATAAAGAAGTTGCACACAAACAAATAATAATGACTAATAAAATGTAAATTGTGATTATTTGCTGCAATAAAGACAGATGTTTAAGGCTGAATATGTAATTTGTAGTGATCTCTAAATCCCCATTTAATAATTTAGGGATCACTTTGTTATTTTCCTTCTCTCCACGTAACTTGCCGTTTAGGGGAGCTAGGGTTTTCTTTGCTTTATATTTACTCGGCGGCTGTAGCAGCAAACACAACAGATTGAGTGATAATAAGATTTTCTGACCGAGAGCCTTAAACTCTTCGTGGAGTAGTCTCGTTCACATCGAACGGGGAAACTACGTAAATCGTGTGTCTCGCTTTTAATTCGTTCTTCGCTCAATCGACTTTTACATAGTATCAGAGCGGGTCTGATCCGACCTAGCTTCCTTCATGTCCGACGACGAGAACAAGACTTCAGATTCAAGGTTGAAGTCGGCAGCTTCTTCCTCAATGGTGCTGCCGCCACATCTTCTCCTTCATCAATCCGACAGCCCTAGTCACATGTACGTGGGCGAGCTGCTTAACGATGTTAACTATGGTGAGTGGGTAGTGGATTTTACCGATTCACTCATCGCAAAGAACAAGCTGTGTTTGTGGATGGAAGCCTTCCCGCGGCACAAACCCCGGCCGAAGTCGAGGCATTGAAGCAATGCAACGCAATGGTCAAGGGCTGGCTTAAAACCTCCATGACAAAGGAAGTTCGTAGTAGTGTACGATTTGCAACTACGGCGCGCGAGATCTGGGTCGATTTTCAAACGCGATTCGGGACGGGGAGTGCGCCGCGCCTGTACGAGCTTAAGCAGACCATAATCTTGCTTCAGCAAGAGAAGACATCCGTCTCGGCGTTTTACACCAGGCTGCGTGGACTATGGGACGAAATCCACTCTCTCACACCTTCGCTTGAATGTACCTGTTCCGGATGCAGCTGTGATGTGAAACGACGACAACGAGAGGTACGTGAGGGTGAGCGGCTTTTTGATTTTTTAATGGGATTAGACGACGTCTTTTCAACGGTGAAATCGCAAATACTTGCCATGAAGCCGATTCCGAGCCTCGGGGAGGCGTATCAGCTGGTAATGACCGATGCTCAACAGCGCTAGCTCTCTAGCAACCGACGTCCCAAGCCAGAAGCTGCTGCCTTCCAGGCTCAGGGGGAGCGACGTCCGGACCACTTGGAGCGCTCTACTTCTCAGCAAAATCGTGACCCCGACGATCGTCCCCGTTGCTCACACTATCGTCGACGTGGCCATGCAAAGGAGTCATGCTATCGCCTTGTGGGTTATCCACAGCGAGGGAATGATCGACCGGAAGGGTCTCGGCGGCCAGAACGCACCTCGCGTGCTTCTCCGCAAGCGGCACAGGTCGATGCGGCTTCCAGTCAGCTGCTTGGTCTTTCCGCGGCTCAAATTGAGGCATTAAAGGCACTGCTGGGTTCTGATCTTTCACAGCGTGCCTCCGCCTCCATCGATCCTACCTCCAACATGGCCGGTACGTTCCCTTCACCAATTGTTAATTCAGCAACTTGGGTTATAGACTCCGACTGTAATGAGCATATAGTTAATGAAAATTCCTTGTTGGATGCCGAGTTGGACACTTCACCAACCTTGCAGGTTAAAATTCCTAATGGTACTGGCGTCAAAGTTCATAGTATTGGTTCGACCAAGTTGTCGAATGATCTTTTATTGCGTCGGGTTCTCCATGTTCCCGCCTTCCAGTGCAATCTTCTCTCGGTTAGCCATCTTACAACAGACCTTACAATAGCATTGATATTCTTGCGTGACTTCTGTGTAATTCAGGACTTACCCTCGAGGAGGCTGATTGGGATGGGTAAGCATGCGGATGGCCTCTACTATCTCCAGTTGTTTGACAGTGTGCACCCCATGGCAAACACAATACGGAAGTCACTTGGCGATTCAGCAATATGGCACTCTCGACTTGGACATTTATCCTTTGTGAAGATGAATTTGCTGCAAAACACTCTTGGTTGTTCTTTTGTTCACAATTCAGAACCTTGTCGTTCTTGTTTGCGTGCTAAGCAAACTAGAGATGTTTTTGTTCCAAGTACTATCAAGTCTACCTCTTGTTTTGATTTGATTCACGTGGATATTTGGGGAAGTTATAAAACCGCTTCAACCTCTGGAGCACATTATTTTTTGACGATTGTTGATGACTACAGTCGTGCCGTATGGGTGTTTTTGATGAGATATAAATCAGATACCGCTCGGTATCTGCTTTACTTTTGCAATACCATTGCGACGCAGTTTGGAGGACGAGTTCGGCGTATCCAGGCTGACAATGGCCCGGAATTTGCTAGTGTCTCTCTTGTTGAGTATTATGAAAAACAGGGCATCACTTTACAGACCTCTTGCACGGATACTCCACATCAGAATGGGGTTGTGGAGCGCAAGCACCGGCATTTACTGGACACAGCAAGGGCTTTGCGTTTCCATGCGAATCTTCCTATCAAATTCTGGGGCGAATGCGTTCTCACTGCAGCGTATTTGATTAACCGAATGCCACTGGCTTCCATTCATAACAAGACTCCATATGATCTCTTATTCGGCAGAGCTCCTACCTATAGTCATCTGCTGAGCTTCGGGTGTCTTGTTTATGCACGTGACAATCACCACGGTTCATCGTTTCACTTCGCTCCGCGTAAGTATAATTGTGCAGACAGCTACGCGAGCTTCGAATGAGAACGAGCACGGGTCCAGCTAGGGGTGTGCAATGGTCCGGTCCGTAACGCACCACACTGGACCAAACCGTTGTTAAGACCGGACCAGACCGAATAAAATGCGGTCCGGTCCTTGGTCCTCATGAATTTTATAATTACTGAAGAAATGGTGGACCGAGCTCATATTTGGACCGGACCGAACCAGACCAAATGGACCAAATGCAAGAATGGTCCGGTCCTTGGTCCTAACATGTCTTTCACTAATGGACCGCGGTTCTCATGAATTTGGTCCGGTCCGGACCGAACCGAACTGTTGCACACCCCTAGGTCCAGCCCAGACGAAGTGATCCGTCTGAATTATTGCTGTTGGGCTGGGCCGGGGCCTGCCAGGGACCATGGTATTTTTTTTTAGAGACCGAGAAGGAAAACGGAAGTCTCTTCCTGCAAGGACTTGGAATTTATTTATTTAGTATATAAATCAATCGAACCGCTGCTCCCCCACAACACTCAGCAAGCAAGCTAGGCTAGGCGCTAGCAATCTTTCTTTCCTGATTTTATGCATGTTATATTTGGTCAAGGCATGGCTTGCGATATGGGCGTGCTGGAAACTGGATCGTCACCTCCGCAACAAGTACGGGTTGGGTTTGGTCGATCTGTTGAGGAATTCTTTTGACGGAGCTGACAGGAGCTTTATTCCGCTGTTGCAGGACTATCCCATCATACTTCCCGCTCTGCTTGCGTTATGGGCTTGGCAGGCCCTGGGCTTGAGCTCTTTCTTCTCTATGCTTGTTTTTGTCTTCCTTTTACGTTCTTGATCCATTCTCGTCTTTGGTTTTTTTTTCTTCTTCTCCCATTCCAGCTTAACACTATGTTTCCGAAGGAAGGGAGGAAAAGAAGGGGAGGTGAAGAAAAATTAGGAGGGGTGGGGAGATTTGGAGGCGAAAGAAATTGGGAGGAAGGTAACTGTGGTTGTTGAACATTGAAATATTATAATATAATAATAATATATTTAATGCAGTCGTTGCCTTTTGTTGGTTGTTGGTGCTATCTATGTAACATAGGAAGAGCTTCTTTGATGGTCGCACAAGGAAAGTTCACACGGGCTTGTTGATTAAAAACTCGTACCGGTTGAACCACAAAATATCGTTTTCGGGCTCAAATTCGAAACCGTACAAGCAGCCGTGATAAAAACGTCTACGTCAACCCTGTCAGCTTCATTATACTAAAATCCTTATCCTGAATTTTTATTAGGTTTAAGAAATAGTAATACCCTAATCATCATTAACCACCTATTAACCACTAACTTTCTATTAACTACTTAAATTACTCTTAAGCCAATAGAAATTACTTAAACATACTCCTAAATTTGTAGCAGTGGCTCCAATTGTCATATTTTACGAGTTTCTAGATCTACTAGGAATCAAACTCGATATTCTATCTAGCCGATCTTGGTTTACAATTAACTCTACTATTGCACTACTTAAAACGCAACTTAAACTAGCCAATAAGGCAATCAAAGTAAATGAGGGGTTTCTAGAGTGGGAAGGCTCGCTTGGCCCAAGAATCCCTATAATTAGCTACTAGTCACGGGCCCGACCAATCTCTGCGCGTGTGGCCATGGACGCTCTGAAGTCCCGTCTCGGTTTGATTTTATGCATGTTATATTTGGTCAAGGCATGGCTTGCGATATGGGCGAGGCGGAAACTGGATCGTCACCTCCGCAACAAGTACGGGTTGGGTTTGGTCGATCTGTTGAGGAATTCTTTTGACGGAGCTGAGAGGAGCTTGATTCCGCTGTTACAGGACTATCCCATCATACTTCCCGCGCTGCTTGCGTTATGGGCTTGGCAGGCCCTGGGCTTGAGCTCTTTCTTCTCTATGCTTGTTTTTGTCTTCCTTTTACGTTTTGATCCATTCTCGTCTTTGCTTTTTTTTTTCCTTCTTCTCCCATTCCAGCTTAAGAGACAAGGTAACTGTGGTTGTTGAACATTGAAATATTATAATATAATAATAATATATTTAATGCAGTCGTTGCCTTTTGTTGGTTGTTGGTGCTATCTATGTAACATAGGAAGAGCTTCTTTGATGGTCGCACAAGGAAAGTTCACACAGGCTTGTTGATTAAAAACTCGTACCGGTTGAACCACAAAATATCGTTTTCGGGCTCGAATTCGAAACCGTACAAGCAGCCGTGATAAAAATGTCTACGTCAACCCTGTCAGCTTCATTATACTAAAATCCTTATCCTTAATTTTTATTAGGTTTAAGAAATAGTAATACCCTAATCATCATTAACCACCTATTAACCACTAACTTTCTATTAACTACTTAAATTACTATTAAGCCAATAGAAATTACTTAAACATACTCCTAAATTTGTAGCAGTGGCTTCAATTGTCATATTTTACGAGTTTCTAGATCTACTAGGAATCAAACTCGATATTCTATCTAGCCGATCTTGGTTTACAATTAACTCTACTATTGCACTACTTAAAACGCAACTTAAACTAGCCAATAAGGCAATCAAAGTAAATGAGGGGTTTCTAGAGTGGGAAGGTTCGCTTGGCCCAAGAATCCCTATAATTAGCAACTAGTCACGGGCCCGGCCAATCTCTGCGCGTGTGGCCATGGACGCTCTGAAGTCCCGTCTCGGTTTGATTTTATGCATGTTATATTTGGTCAAGGCATGGCTTGCGATATGGGCGTGGCGGAAACTGGATCGTCACCTCCGCAACAAGTACGGGTTGGGTTTGGTCGATCTGTTGAGGAATTCTTTTGACAGAGTTGAGAGGAGCTTGATTCCGCTATTGCAGGACTATCCCATCATACTTCCCGCGCTGCTTGCGTTATGGGCTTGGCAGGCCCTGGGCTTGAGCTCTTTCTTCTCTATGCTTGTTTTTGTCTTCCTTTTACGTTCTTGATCCATTCTCGTCTTTGGTTTTTTTTTCTTCTTCTCCCATTCCAGCTTAACACTATGTTTCCGAAGGAAGGGAGGAAAAGAAGGGGAGGTGAAGAAAAATTAGGAGGGGTGAGGAGATTTGGAGGCGAAAGAAATTGGGAGGAAAATGTTGTTTTATGGAGGAAATTGGGAAAGAAAGTGTGTATTGGGAAGTGTGATGAATATGTTATTGATGACTCGGTATTTGCACATGTTTTCCCCTTTGTTTCTTGATTGTTTGAGCTTGAATTATTGTTTCTTTGGCCTATTTTACGCTAGGTTGTGTTCCTTTGTCACATTTCAGGTCCTAGCACATAAAGTGAAGCATAGGCGCAAGTTTCAAGTCAATCAGAGATCAATTGACGATTCGGGAGAAGAAACTCGGGTATGACCTGAAGAAGAATGGATTTCTATCTCACTTTATGGACAAAGAATCATTCAAGCTTGTCATGAAAAGAAAGAGGACGAGACTACGAGCGTCTGGGATCAAACGGCGACTGATTCGGAGTCCGGACGAGGGAGAAACGAAGCATTAAACAGAGGCTGAGCAAGCCACACGGGCACAACCCACACGGCCGTGTGACCTGGCCATGTGGCCGTGTGGAAATCACCGAGCCTTCACACGGGCATCTGGGAAAGCCACACGGCTGTGTGAGTCGGGAATTGCTGTTTAAAACCCGATTTTCAGCAAAAGGAAAGGGGGAGAGCTGGGTTTTGGATCCCAAACACCCTAGGGACGAACCCTAGAGAGAGAGAGCGACTTGGGAACATTCTTGGAGCTATTTTGGAGGATTTCTTCGCCATTGGAGCTCGGGAATCAAGCTTGGAGATGGAGATTGAAGATCTAGATCAGATTTCTGCAGTCTCTCTCTTCTCTATGGAGTAACTTCCCTTCACTTAGGTTTTGAGGAACCTTAGTTCCATGAGTTTGGATCTTTCTTGTATGAAGTTTTGGATGCTATATTGTTTGATTATAATCGAATGATGCATGTTTATTGAGTCAATTGCAGTCTGATCAACTTTTCCTGATTCCTGCTGCAATCTGAGATAGATAGAATCTGATTAGGTTGCTAGAGTCTCATCATTCGGTAGTAGGAGATTGGCTATACGAGAGTTAGCCAGTTTACTGCTTTGTACTGGAATCCAATTCCAGTAGTGGAGTTCTGTGCTTATTGCTTCAGCTTTCTATCCCAGTGAAGACTAGTCGTCTGCCGGATAGTTAGACTGAGAGGGCTTGGTCAGCTTAAGAGATTCCAAGCTACTGTCGGATCTTCCGCAGTTTAATCAACAGTAAATCAACCAAAAGGAATTACAACTTGGACCTAATTGAGGAGCTAGGGGGAATCATACCTAAGTGAGTTCCCAAACAGTAATTAGTAGTTTTACTTAGTTTAGTTAGTAGAGTAGTTTAGTTAATCAATCCTTAATCTAGTTGGCTAGATAATGAACTGAAGCTGAGTAATAGTAACTCTAGAGACCCGTGGATTCGATATTTATTACTTGTGCCACTATTCTGCAGTCCCTTTCATTGGTTACACTTGGCCATTGTTAGGTGTTGTGTTTTAGAGCATCAGTTATTTTATGTAATAGTAAAATAATTTGATAGTATGTTAATATTCTAATTATGAATAGTGATTTAATTTGTACTTTCTTTCTAAACTGCACCAGAGATTGGCCGGAAAAACTAGTGGTATGGTATTATTCAACTTGTATTTTCACTAGAGATTGTATCGGAAAACTTTGTACTTTCTTTCTAACAAGCATTCTAAATCAATTAAAAATTATTCAAATTATATTATACAATGTTTAAAAAATACAACTGTACCGGCTGGTCAGACTCGAAATATCAGATATTAAACAGCAGACAATTTTATCGGTAGAAAATGATTGAACTATAGTTAAACCACGATTTTAGTACAAAATACCCTACTTTCCTGGTATAACCTCCAATACCGTACCGTAATCATTTGAGAATTGTGACGAATATGGTATTTAATTGGGTATATAATAATAAAATAATTTGAGTATATAATGATATTATTTTCATTGCTTATGAATTGTGAATTGATTTGTAGTTTTTTTTCTTATCAATGTGTGATGTAAAACAATTTTATGTTATGTTCATGATTCAAGAGTATTGTATTTAGTCACCTCGTTTCTATTTGGTTATTGCTACTTTGATTTTAATAGGCAACCAATTTGTTAACATTTTAGCAACAAAAATATAATTGTTACAAAGATACGTGCATGCATGTATACTTGTATTAAACTGAAGTTTGGACCGGACCGTACCGGACCGAGTGTAATGCGGTCTGATCCTTAGTCCACATGAATTTACAATTATTGAAGAAATAATGGACTGAACTGATATTTGGACCGGACCGAATTGCCAGTACTTTACGAAATATATAAAATATAGTTTTACAAACTATGTCAAAAAATTGATATTTTATATCAAGTAAGAAGTGCGAGTTTAATTACAACTAATAAAAATAGCAATCAAATGAGCTTACTATAAATGATAATTAATTTCTTTTACCTTGTCATCTAAATCCAACGTGGTGTAGAGCAAAAACGAAAAGAGAAAGAACCAAAAGGAAAAAATTAATTACAATTATACTTTCCTGGTGGGAAAACCAAGAAGAAAGAAAGGAGAGTGGAGAGATGAGAGAGTAGAGCCCAATAAAAAAAGAAGTAAAGTGGGCAATTCGTATTTTCTCTCCATTTGGGGGGTGAGGGTAGAACAATAACCTTTCTCCCCTTTTCCCTCCCCTTGCCACTGTATTAAATTTCGGAAACAGGGGAAAGTTTTTTGATTTTCCAACTTTCCTCCGTCGGTTTCCCTTCCCCCTCTTTTCCGCCCTTAAAAAACACAGTATAAGAGACAAGGTAACTGTGGTTGTTGAACATTGAAATATTATAATATAATAATAATATATTTAATGCAGTCGTTGCCTTTTGTTGGTTGTTGGTGCTATCTATGTAACATAGGAAGAGCTTTTTTGATGGTCGCACAAGGAAAGTTCACACAGGCTTGTTGATTAAAAACTCGTACCGATTGAACCACAAAATATCGTTTTCGGGCTCAAATTCGAAACCGTACAAGTAGCCGTGATAAAAACGTCTACGTCAACCCTGTCAGCTTCATTATACTAATTTCCTTATCCTTAATTTTTATTAGGTTTAAGAAATAGTAATACCCTAATCATCATTAACCACCTATTAACCACTAACTTTCTATTAACTACTTAAATTACTCTTAGGGGTCGTTTGGATGGGTTAATTTTTTGTGTGGTATTTATAAAGTGAAATAACTCACAAATCATGAATGTGATATTTGTGTGTTATTTGAGGAAATTAAAAGTTAAATTGTGTTGTTTGGATGGTCCAAATAATGGGTTATTTCTTATGTGGTATTTGTGAACACAAATTGCAAAAGTACTACAATGCCCTCCTTATATTTATTTAATAGATCCCCAATCCCCACCAACTCTATCTGCTCACGAACAAAAGGTGGGGAGCTCTTTGCTGTCGACTCCTCTCCCTCCCCGTGATTATCATCGGCGATTCTTACCTGGCAGCACCTTCTGTGCCCAGCTCCGAGCATCTCCTCCATTGCTGCTCCATAGCGGGATATAGAAACAATGCAGCAAGCTTCTCAATCTGGCTTCGCGAATGGAGTTGTTTTGTGCAAATGTGGAAGTGCAGCCATAATGCGAACTTCCAATACTCCTCGAAATCCAAATCGTCAATTTTGGTCATGCCCGAGTTATAAATCGAAGGTATGTTTTTGATTTATTATATGTATATATAAGACCCAAAGTTTAACGGCTGGATTTAATGGCTCTTCTTTAATAGATTTCTTATTATGGTAACAAGGAGGTTGCAAGTGCTTTCCGATTAAGTCAAAGCTCATGGAAAGGAGTTTTTTGCTGTTTGGTTTTCAGGTTGGTCGTTACTGTGACTTTTTTGATTGGTGCGATCTTCGCACCATGCGAGATAGAGAGTAGATGCACCTGAAAAGGATAGCCGAGTTAGAGCTTCAACTAGCCGAACTGAAGGAGGAGAACACTAGGCTGTTTAAACATCAGTGTTCTTGTGAGTCGAGACACGAGTCCGATTGTGCTAGTGGGGAATGCAAACTTGTCGTGGAGGTTGAAGTGCTTAAAAGAAAATCGACATCAACAACTAAATTGATGAATCGATTAACCATTAACTAGTGATGATTGTGTGTTGTGTTTGGTACTAGTGTAGCTTGAAGTTTGTTTTTATCTGTAATCATGCTTGTTAAGAACACTGAGATTGATGTATGTTTGTAAGCATTCTGTAACTTTTGTGTAATACTAGTGTTCTATTGTTAGTGAAGTTTGTTGTGTTAACTGAGCTCACGAGTTATGTCAAATGTTGTTGAATGTTGAGGAACAACCAGCAATATACTTGCTGCCAAATTGTGCAGAACAATAGGAACATCATATCTGTTGAAAACCCATAAATACCAGCTCCATAGATGCTGCCAAATGTTGCAAACAACCATCAGTGATTTACAATAATTCCTAATATACTAGACAGGACCAGTAGTGTTGTACAAAAGTTGCATCCTATGCTAGAGCTCCTAACCACAGTAGTGCTGTACAAAAGTTCCTAAATATGCACAGATCACTTCACCAAAGTACTTTACTACAAAAGTTGTCTTCAATTTGCAAAGACTGTCATCAAGAGTGCATCTGAATGACAGATAGACAAAAACCATGAGTCTCTTTGCAAAATAGACAACACATGACCTGTTATAAACCTATACAACTACATATCCTGACTTTCTTCAATTTGACAGCAGATCAAGAACAAGGGTCAGCCTGTTTCCTTCATCCAGTTCATAGAAACTCTTCAAATCTGACGGTGTGGCATTGAGTCTCCTAAATCCCTGCACCTTCTGTAGTTGGGTGAGGCCCTCGAGCTTGTCCAAATTTGTCATCAACTCCTTTCGCATTTTATCATGCTCCTCACTCTCTCCTAGAGCTCTAGCAATTGTGTCAAATGACTCCTTGATCAGCGGCCTCATTAGTGCCATTTCATTAGACATTTCAGATCCATTATCATCAGATGGTGCTGCTGGACCTTTCTTCTTCTTTGATGATCCACCATGGGTAGTCTTGGCTGGTCTCTTCTTCTGGTTCTGATTCTTCTCTGCCACCCCCTCATTTATGATATTGAACATGTCTTCATCCGTTTTAGGAGGGACCATACCATCCATAAAGAGCGGAGGGTCTTCATCATCCTCCGAGCCACTATCAGAGTCATCAACATTAATATCCGGGTCATTTCCTGTATAGTTAACTACGTTAGTATGAACACAGCAATAAACATAAATATGAAACAACCATATTAATTCCAAATGACAATTCTGGACCTGATATTCCTCCACTTTCGGTGGCACGTCCATTGGCGAACAGCGGTGCAAGGTCATCGAATTGTGGGAATGGAAGTCCCTTATAGCTTTTACAGGTTGGGTTTTGCTTCAAAGTATAAAAAGAAGACAGCAATAAATAAAAGTACACCTACCAACCAAACATCAAATGTTTGTCATTAAAATCAAAACATAAATGACAGGACATACCGCAATGAATACGTCCCAAACAGCCTTGTCTGCAATTATACATTCTTGCACCGGATCCCAACCAAATCCGCTTAGCCCACGCATCATGACGGTCGAATGAAACCAGTGTTTCAGCTTCTTGTACCTATTCTGAATCGTAGGCTTTGATTTTAGACCACATCCGGGCACTTTCTTCTCCATCATCTTTTGTATCTGCTTAAACACACCGTTCTTGCAAGTTCCATTGGTGATGAATCCTCTCTCTGTCAGCTCCAGCAAACATTCCAGGAAGGGACCATCATGAGCTGTATCCCAGAAGTTGTATTCTGCTTTGGAGGCATCTCCCGTCTCCCCAACAACTTTCTTTCTCCTCCCCATACCTGAAAACATTCATACATGACATGGCATTTCTCAATGGCAGAATATAAACATGATACTCATTTGCACTAGTAATAGCACACAAAAGTGAGATAAACATGGCATAAGATAAACAGTTTGGCAATTAAACAACATTACAAACCATGTTCTCGAGACATCTGTCCTACATTACATATTAATAAACTGACAAAAGGGACAACTTGGTAGCATTCAATGTTTCTTCTACCACATCTACCAAACAAACAATAAAGTTCAGCACCCTATTGCTCTGCCAGCAAGTGTTCTTACACTAGAAAAAACATGTAAAATTACAAAAGGGACCAAAACAAATCATAACATGTCTATCTATTTGCCCACATAGTAGTGGCCCTTTCATTGCGAAACTGGATCCATTGTGCGCACGGTTGCATGCTAGTACCAACAATGGTCTCCACATCAATTGAAGGAATCTGTTCGGGCTCTTCGTCCTGGTAATTTCTTTCAATCTCATCAACTCCATATTCCTTCTTGATAAAATTATGTATTATACAGCAAGCTATAACTATTCGGGACACTTGCTCTGGAGTGAACCATGTTGCATTTCTCAGAATGGCAAATCTCATCTTCAGAACACCGAAAATGCGCTCTATTACATTCCTAGCAGATGAATGTTTCATGTTGTAATACTCTTCAGCTGTTTCAGGTTGTCTGTTACCCCAATCTTTGAGATGGTATCTTTGACCCCTATATGGGGTCAAAAAACCAGGGCTGTTCGCATACCCGACATCACACAGATAGTAATTTCCTTCATTCAAAAGTATATACAGATTTAGTTATGCTATTCATTGAACAATATCATATGTAAGTTCCATTGAATTATATTCAAAATGTTGTACCTTCAGGCACAACAAGGCCATTTGGTCTAGTGAGAGCATCCCGAAGCACCCTATTGTCATGAGCACTACCCTCCCAACCAGCAAGACAGTATATGAATTCCAAGTTGGGAGTGCAAACACCTAGGACGTTCATAGAGATGTCACCCTTCCTATCTCGGTATCTAGGTTTGTCCTCAGTCAATGGACGAACATCAATATGGGTTCCATCTAGGGCTCCTAGGCACTTCTATTAACAGAAACAATTAGGTGTTAAAATATAGTGTTGTTAAATATAGCAAAGTTGAATAAAAATATTGAAAAGGCATAAAAATTGACCTTAAAATGCTTCCACCTACTGTTGGTACAGTTGTTAGGAATAGGAACCGGCTTCTTCATCAGCAGATTGTTCAATCTAATAACAGCCTTCAGCACACGATGAATTGATCGAGATATAGTCTCACCAGATCGTCGCAAATTCAATTGCAAAGTCCTATTCTTCTCGTTATGTGAAATGGTACGAAGAAAGGTATAAACCATCTCATCAATGTCTACGTTCCTAGTTTTCTTCAACCCTCCTTCTACAATAAGAACCTCACAAAACCTTCTAAATAATGTACGATTCATCCTGACTTGGTCAAAGGTATAGGTGTCACTTAGTCTGGTTGTGTTTCTAAGGTGCCTTTGCCTATCATAGTGCCTAACCAAGTAGCTATCCAATGGTTGCCTAGCAAGTCGAGGTATAGATTGACGTTTCTCTAAGATTTTAGCCAATTCCATCCCTAGGCTCACATATATCACAATCAGATTCATGAAAGCGCTAATTGCAGCAACCACTTGTCGCCTACGCGTCGGATTCAATGCGGACAAACGCGACATCCCTTACAAGACAGGAAATTTTGTATTAGTGCTTTACATGATAACGCTCTCTTTTATGGAACGTCTTACTAAGCTTCCCAATGGTTTGCATTAAACAATATATAGTGTTCCCAAAAACCAGATTGAGAAGACCGAGCCATTGGAAAAGCACCCAAAACCAAATTGAAAGGGACCGTTGTGATGAACAAAGTAAATGCCCCAAGAAACAACAACAGACCAATAAATCGACATCACAAATGGTTCCATAACAGCAGACCATAGATATAAGATGCAAATGCCAAAAAGAACAAGAAAGAAGAAAACTGATTGCAGGCTCACAATTTAGTTTTTATTATAGTATCATCAACTTCATCCCTACCATACTCCAGATTTTGTATCCTAAATACCAGAGTGCTTTTGTCTCCAAGTGTCTTGGATGATAAAAGACTAGTAGACAGATAGCCATAATTGTTAGTGTCGGTCCAGCCGCAAACGCGAGCTTCCCACCCAATAAATCTATCACTATTCTATCTCAAGGTCATCGATAAGAAACTAACTTGTTTAATTTGTAGTGGTCACAAGAATTCCACGAAAAACATCCAATTGGATCGATATATATGCAAAAAAGACGCCAATTCAATCAATTTGAAAAAGGGATAACTGACGGTCCAAACAATTTGAAAAAGGGATAACTGACGCCAATTCAATCATCTCTAGCTAGTTTGTTGAGGAACGGAAGCGCAAGTTTTTCAAGTCGGAGAGAGACCTCTGGGTTGGGGTTAAGAGCTTATAGGCAAACGATCCAGCCATTGCGCCCACAGGGATTTCGTCCATAGATATAGGATATCAGAAAACCTGTATTTATAAACCTTCTCTAACCCTAAATCGGAAAATACTAATGTGGAACATGGCAAGAGAGGGAGAGGAACACGATACGAGAAATAGAGAAGAAGATTCACTCACCGACCCTAGCAGACGATCCGCTAACTCCGACAGCTTCCTTGTGCTAACAGCAGGTCGATGCCGCCGGCGATTGTTCTGGTCAATCGTGAGCTGTTCACCAGGAGAGAGAGACGAGAGCAAGCAGAATGAGAAGAAGGAAGAAGCAAGTGGATAGTCTGTCTCGATATGATGCAAGAAGGACAAAGTGGGGTTTACAAAAAATAAGCAGGGACAGGATTGGAATAAAAAAGCCCTCAAAACCCATTATTTGTGAATAACTCCTCCCCATGTGGTATTCTAAATACCTCATTTATGAGTTATTTATAAATAACTCATCATCAAATAATGCATTTCATTATTTTCCATCCAAACGAGTTATTTCGGCCGGAATAACTCATTCTGAGTTATTCCGGCCGAAATAACTCGTTTGAATACCCCATCCAAACGACCCCTTAAGCCAATAGAAATTACTTAAACATACTCCTAAATTTGTAGCAGTGGCTCCAATTTTCATATTTTACGAGTTTCTAGATCTACTAGGAATCAAACTAGATATTCTATCTAGCCGATCTTGGTTTACAATTAACTCTACTATTGCACTACTTAAAACGCAACTTAAACTAGCCAATAAGGCAATCAAAGTAAATGAGGGGTTTCTAGAGTGGGAAGGCTCGCTTGGCCCAAGAATCCCTATAATTAGCTACTAGTCACGGGCCCGGCCAATCTCTGCGCGTGTGGCCATGGACGCTCTGAAGTCCCGTCTCGGTTTGATTTTATGCATGTTATATTTGGTCAAGGCATGGCTTGCGATATGGGCGTGGCGAAAACTGGATCGTCACCTCCGCAACAAGTACGGGTTGGCTTTATTCGAGCTATATTTTTAAACCATCATTATTTAACAACTTCAAAGCGGATTAATTTGTTTCCCTCGTAATTTATGTTCATTTCATTGATTGTGAGTGTATTGCACTTCCAAGAGAAAGAGATTAATATTATCATTGTTGGTGTATTTTGATCAGGTCGACTTTGCATTCAGGGCAAGATTTAATCTCTTGTTATAGAGATTTCTAGCACCATAATCGTGCTTTTTCGGTTGGTCATTTTGCAAATGGTTATTTGGTATGAGAATAGTTGAAATGAAAATAAGTTTCATGGATCTAGCAGGTGATTGTTCGATTTTATTCGCTTTTTATAAATTTATGAGAGTAATTAAGCATGCTCTATCCAATATATTGCTAATGTCCTTTTCTTTTATTTGTTGTGGCTTTGGGGAAACTCGATACTGGTCATCCGGCATATTCCGTCAAAGGAAACTACACTCGCTGGCGGGACTATCTTGGAGATGTTTTTTTTGTTTTTTTCCCGTCAGTGCCGTGACTTTGCTCCTCAGAGCTTCTTCATAGCTGTCCATGTAGTGGCTTATCTGGCTCTTTCATCGTAGTCCGATTGCATACGAACTAACGTACGGTTTTTGAGTAAGTGTGTAACTGTGTCGAGTATTTGTCATTGCCTTGGATATATAAAAAAAACATGAAACCTTCAACCAAATCTCTAAATTGCTTGAAATCCTCCATTAGCTACGGATCCAATAACCCTTTTTGAATAGCTAATTGAGGGTGATTATTTCTTCAACCCAATTAACCAAACAAAGCTCTGACCCTAAATTTCCATTAAAGGGGTCTCGCCCAAAGCAAAGCAAAGATAGTAAAAAGAAAATCTATCTATCTATCTATCTATATATAAAGGGCTTTTAGATTTTAACACTATCCGCGTCAGCCTTCCTGAAAATCTACACTATCCACGTCAGCCAAAAAAACGTCCTCAATTCTCTCTGTTCTCTCCCTCTGAAAAAACCTTCTTTTATGCCGCCTGTCCGGTCGCTTCCTTCTTCCTCTAATTCACCCCTACAGATCTTTATCCGCAAATCTGCACCAATCTTTCGCATGATTCTCCCAATTTCGAAGTAAGTTTTTGGCGGCAAGTGAAATTTCGCAGGAGTTTCAGCTTTTCCACATAGCAAGAGGCTGCACCCATCGATTTCCCCCTACTTGCAAATTTTGTAGGGGATTCGGCTTCTCCGAGCGCTCGGGGTGTTCGATAAGACCCACAAAGTTTCGTAGAACCGCTCTGTCAAAGAATTCCTTTGCAGAGTCGTAGATCGTAGCTTGTAGTCGTAGTCGCGGAGCTCTCCAAAGGAACCTCCATAGGAGTAGAGGTAACGTAACTTAGAACACTCCAGATTTGGTTTCTCGTTTCTCGTTGAACACCCTCGTTTGAACGTAGTTTGGAGAGGTGGTGAACCGAGTAACAGTTGTCTTGGTTAGAAGTCAAAGGTGCATCGATCAAATCAACATCGCCGACGCCGGCGGTGGATATTTGCGATCGTCTTGGTTTCTGTTTAATCGATCAAATCAACGGCGCCGACATTCGGCGGCGGATATTTGACGATTGTGTTGACTTTGTGTTTGTGTTTACTTGAAAACTGTGTGCATTGAACACACGAGTTTCGCCATTGAAACAATTTCCAATTAGAAACCCTTTTCCTTTTCCTACTTGGTAACGAAATAGGCATCGTGAGATTGGTTTGGCTATACAAACGCCATTCCATGCGCTTCTTTGTTTTCTCTGCTCCGCTGCAGATTTTCGCTTCGATCGAGCTTTGTCACGTCGCTTTTGATTCTCCGCGGAAGGGAATCGACGACATCAGCGGAAGGGAAAGCTCGGAAAATGAAGAAGGGTTTTCTTTTCCCTTCCGCTGACGACTCGCCTCGTCTTCGTCTGCTAATAAATCGGCTGCTGAATCACCTACAACGACTCGTTGCCGACTGGATGTAAACCCCCGCTCAGTTACCGGAGAATGCCCAACAAGGATCGTGATGCCATTATCATAAAGAGAAAAAAAAAAAAGATCGTGATTGTAACATCTCGAACTTTTTCCCGACGAATATATTGTCCGCTTTGGGCCTCGACCCTCACGGTTTTTGAAAAAAGTGACATATTTTTCGAAAAAAAATTTCTCTATTTTCAATTTTGTGAAATTATTCATGCGTGACCGTTTGATGGAAAAGAATCCTGCAAAACATGTGCATTTATTTAATTTTATTAGAAATTCATTAGTGACTAGTGAGATTGTGACGTGAATTAGTGGGTCATTATTGGTTAGCTAGGATTAAGGGAATTTATTTTATTTATAATTGTTTTGGGTTTTACGTTTAGGGTTTTACACACCTACGTGCTAATTTGGGAGGTTGGCTTTCTTAGAAAAAGTTTAGGGGTTCTGTTCTCGCCATCAAGAAGAACACTTCTCTTCTTACTATCTATCTATCTCCATTCTTCTTCTTTCTATTCTGATCTTTCTTTCTAAATCGTATTCTACAAAAAGTGCACGTAATATAATATGACTAAACCTGTCATAAATTGACAGGAAATCTTCTTGATAATCTCAAAAAACCTTTTATTAATTAAATGGATTTAGATTTTCTCAGATAAATTAACAATCATTTGTCGATATACCCTTTATAAACCCAGATAATGACCATAAATTGCATATATATATAAATTAAAATAAATCTCACCTTCCCGTAATAAGTAAACATTTCCAACCCTCGAGTATACAAATATTGTTTTGAACAATATGCAATCAAAATTTAGGAATGGGATGATTAACCATTAAACATTGAAATGGTTGATGTGACAAAGTTTTAATAATGGATCTACGACAATACTATTAATTATGTAAGCGACAGAGCTAGGAGTCGTCGCGCCACTATGTAAACCTTGTGCTCCAATCTCGCAGTCTTTTCGAGAGGGAGTGGACTGTAACCCTCTCCCATGTGTTTATGAAGAGTAATTTTGTAGCTGATTATTTGACTCACAAAGGCCTTTCTGTTTTTTTTAATTTTCATATTATTTCTGAACATGACTATGAGGCATGGTCCTTGAAATCGTATCGAAGATCAGGGCCGGCCTAGAGGGTGTGCCGGTCCCCCCTCCGGCACAGGGCCTCCAAATATTAGGGGCCTCTACTTAAATTCGTTAGTTATCGATCGTATATTGTAGGTTGTATTTTTAGTGTATGATTGATTGATTGATTATGAGTATAATGGTGAGTTTAATAGATAATCATAACTATAATAACAAATAAAAATTATCTCATGGAGACTACAAAAATCATAGAGATAATAGATAATTTTATTTTAAGATATTACATGTTGAATAATGGTAATATAATCATTTTAATTTTGTTATAGTTAAAACTCAATTTGAATCACGTCTCGATTTTGGAACTGGGCCTGCACAATCTATTAGACAGCTCCGCACCCACCTCTCGATTAATTTAGACTATTTTCATTTCTCCATTCAATTTTTGCGCTATATCCATTTTCTCTTCCATCCAGATTTACTTTCCTCTCTACTAGAGCTGGGAATTTGGTATTGATTTCTTGGTCAAACTAGAAACGTGATCCAGATTTATTCCTTTCTTAATCATTTTTTTATAATTATTCTAATTTTTAATAAATTTATGGAGAAAATTTTTTAGGGCCACATTTTACATTTTTAAAACAGGGTCTCCAAATATCATGGGACGGCCCTGCCGAAGATGGTACATGAATAGTTAGCGGTAGTGTATTTTATGGCAAAATCGTAGTTTAATCGTAGTTTAACAGTTAATACCGTTAAATACCGTCTATCGGTTTAGCTTATGATACTGGTATTTTGTGGTTGGATCGCTATTACGGTACAGTTTCATGGACCATGCTATGAGATTTGATATTAAACTTTGTTGACATTATGAGGCCTTCTAAGTTCGGTCATATTCATATTATGAGGCAGTATTGCAAGAACCCCGTTTATGATTAAAAAAAAATTATTCAGATATAAATGGATATACCTGTGGAGATCATACTTAATTTCAATCAAACTATTTTTTCAAAGAACAATCAAACAATTAATCATGCATAATGATATTTTTATTCCTTTCCAATACTTAATTAATGATTTGAGAATACTTTTATTTGTTGAATATATTGAAAAAATTATCGCATAATCATAAGTTTTAGCTACAAACTTTGCAAGAAATGTACATGAGAAAAAAAAAATCCATAAAACAAAGTATAAACTCTAAACTAGGTTGTTGGGAATAAATCAATATAGAAGATTAATAAATAAATAGAAAACAAGTAGTACAAGAGTGAGATTTTATTGAAAATTAAGAGTTCATACATTTAGAAAGCAACATGTATAAAGTTCTTACATTAGGGATCAAATTTATGGATTGAGGGCATAGCGTATTGATCTGAAAATCTCATTGATATTGTATAAGAACTTACATAAAATTATAGTGGGTATCATACTAAAATATAAATTTTATGATTACAAATAAATTACATCAACACGAAATATTGACACTAAATAATTATTAATGATACAAATATATCCATTTAAGAGACAAATTTCTTATTTTTTTTTTATAATGGTGACTCAATATTATTATTAGAAAGAAAGAAAAGTTCAAAAACAAAAAACAAGGCAGAAAAACAAAGGATACCCATACAGATTATAGCCGCTACTCTTAGTAGGTTAGAGCAACCATGAATGACTATTCAAGTTTAGATATCCAAAATACAACAAAGAAGCAAAGCTATTATGCAGTCTCGAGTAGGTGGCAGCAACAATGCTTCTCATTGTGGTTCATGCTGCTAAGCCATTCCTGGAAAAGTCCTTCCTCTGTCCTGTACCAGCTGCATAGTTACCTGGCCCTGGCGATTTATGGATGTTCATTTGTTCCTGATATTCCACGCAAACGAGCCCCGACGCATCTCAGCCAATCCTCCACAACTTGCTGATCCACTTTTTTTGCCACACTCAACCATTTCGCTATTAACACACTGCTTTTGTAGGCCATAATCTCTTCTATTGTTGATTTCTCTTCAAAAATTTTGTTGTTTCTTTCCTTCCATATACTCCAACAGACTGCATGAAGTATCGATTTCGTGCACCATTCCTTCGAATTGCCTGGTTTCTGCCTTGGCCAGGACTGTATAGCATGCGTAATGTCTCTAGGGATTGATCCAATGGATACAAAAGGTCGCAATGTTAGAATTAAACTTTAGCCTATGTAATTCCCCAGAATACATCTTGTCAGATTATCAAAGGCGAATAGATCTAAATACCTGGATTCATGATGGTAGATCGTCGTGAGCTTGATGCGGAATCTATAGAACGATCTTTAACCGGACGATACCTCAGAAGCACGATCCGGGAAGTTTAGTGGCCTTCCTCAACCAAGCCTCCTTAGTCCACTCACGGGAAACCTCACGTATTCCTGATGGGGAGAATATGTGTGTATTTTGGTCTTGGTGTCTTGGGGACCACAACCTCTAGGTTCTTTATATACTATGTTTAGCTAGGGTTCCCATAAAACCCTAATTAGGTTTAGTATCTGGTTTCCACTCATTGGGCTCATATAAGATATTGAGCAGTCTTGGGCTCCATAATTTGACCACTTATAATTAGCCCACTTTAACAAATAACTAATACAATTATCCATAAACCACAGCCCACATCACGTGGAACATATATTTCCAACAATCTCCCACTTGGGCTGCATGGTTTATGCAAATAATTATATCACAAAGTTCCTTAGGCGCGCGTCCGAATGTTATTTGTACAATGACTATTCCTTAACAATCTTGTCCATCTCATGTATAGCAGTGGAACCAACGCGGCTTCAATCATGATATGATAATGATTAAACCACCATGATCACCACATTTATACACTCAATGACATAGATCAAATATGGATGAGTGGCATGAAAATTACATGTAATGTGATCTTGAACATGCCTATTTTCAACTGGTCCAACTTTAGTGAGATAAAAAAGCACTTCATGCAAGAAAATTGCATAATATGAATAAACACCTTAAGGTTCAAAACAAAAACTGAAGAAAAACAAAAAACACTTTATTCTGCAGAGTCACAAATCAATGTCTATAGAACAAATCGAAATGACTCCCACTAAACCAAGGTATCATCCAGAATAACGCCCATATGAGCAGTGTGCTCATAAAATGCAGTAGGCGGTAATCCTTTGGTTAATGGGTCAGCTAGCATAGACTCTGTCCTAATATGTTCTATAGAAATCTGTCCATTTTGAACCCTCTCCTTAACAACCAGGTACTTGATATCGATAAACTTTGACTTCATCGAACTCCTGTTGTTATTAGAGTACAACACTGCTGCATTATTGTCACAATAAATCTTCAATGGCCTCTCAACGTTGTTTACCACACGCAGCCCCGTGACAAAATTTCGCAGCCACAATCCATGATCAGATGCCTCATAACAAGCTATAAACTCTGCTGCCATGGTGGAAGGAGCTATAAGACGCTGCTTAGCAGACCTCCAAGAAATAGCCCCTCCAGCCAACATGAAGATATAGCCAAATGTAGAGCGCATGCTATCTTGGCATCCAGCAAAATCAGAGTCAGAATACCCAATGACCTCCAGACTATCTGATCTCTGATAAGTAAGCATGTAATCCCTTATTCTCTTTAGATAGCGCATCACACGCTTGACTGCCTTCCAATGATCCATACCTGGATCCTTTGAGTATCTGCCCAGTACTCCCACTATGAAAGCTATATCGGGACGAGTACAAACTTGAGCATACATAAGACTCCCTATTGCAGATGAATAAGGAATCTTCTGCATTTCCGCTCTTTCTAGATTGTTTGTAGGGCATTGAGCGAGACTGAACTTGTCTCCTTTGGCTACTGGTGTATTTGCTGGGTTACAATCTTTCATGTTGAATCTACTCAAAACATTATCGATATAGCTCTTTTGTGATAATTTGAGAATACCTCGAGAGCGATCTCTCAGTATCTCAATACCCAATACAAAAGAGGCGTCACCAAGATCTTTCATTTCAAAATTCTTTGTTAGGAATTTCTTGGTTTCGTGCAGTAAGCCTATATCACTACTGGCGAGTAGAATGTCATCAACATATAACACCAGGAAAATAAATTTACTCCCACTGAACTTGTGATATACACAATCATCAACAAGATTAGTCTCAAAACCATATGAGCTAATAACTTTGTGAAATTTGTGATACCATTGACGGGAAGCTTGTTTGAGACCATAGATGGACTTCTTAAGTTTACAGACCATTTTCTTTGGATCTCCCACAACAAAGTTTTGTGGCTGAACCATATAAATCGTCTCATCAATGTCTCCATTGAGAAACGCAGTCTTCACGTCCATCTGATGGAGCTCCAAATCAAAATGAGCCACCAGTGCCATTATTGTCCTAAAAGAGTCTTTCGCAGACACGGGAGAGAAAGTCTCTTTGTAGTCAATGCCTTCCTTTTGAGTAAAGCCCTGAGCGACTAGACGTGATCTAAATCTCTCAATCTTACCCTTAGAGTCCCTTTTGGTTTTAAATATCCATTTATTAGCAACCGAAACTACTCCTTCAGGGCATTCAACGACATCCCAAACGTCATTGTCATACATGGACTTCATCTCTTCTTTCATGGCACTATTCCACTGTTTAGAGTTAGAACTGCGCATGGCTTGAGCGAGGTTGATAGGATCATCCTCCATTAAGCCTATGCCATCCTCATGTTCTTGAAGAAAGACGACATAATCATCCGGAATCACACTTCTTCTTTCCCTAGTGGATCTCCTAAGTGGCACTTCTTGAGGATGTTGATTTTGTTCCACTGGTGGTACAGGAGGAGGAATTTCATTGTTGTCTTGTTCCATAACTATGTCAGGACTAGTGATAGGTATGATAATCTGATCACTATCAATGACTTGTTCTTTCTCAAAGACAACATTCCTTATGTTTCCTTCCCCCCAAAACTCAATATCCTCAAGGAATCTCGCATTTCCCATTTCAAAGAATGATCGTGAGGTGGGATTGTAAAATTTGTAGCCTCGAGAGTACTGCGGATAACCAACAAAGTAGCAACTTACAGTCTTTGAGTCTAGCTTTCCTTCATGTGGCTTATAAGGCCTTGCCTCAGCTGGACAACCCCAAATGTGCAAGTGCCTAATGCTAGGCTTTTTGCCTGTCCATAGCTCATAAGGGATTTTAGTTACTACTTTGCTTGGTACCCTATTAAGGAGGTATACACCAGTCTTTAGAGCTTCCCCCCAAAGTGACTCCGGTAAGGAAGAATGACTAAGCATACTTCTTACCATGTCTTTAAGAGTACGATTGCGCCTTTCTGCAACGCCATTCATGCTAGGTGTTCCTGGCATGGTGTATTGAGGCACAATCCCACACTCTTTGAGGTAAAGCGCGAAGGGTCATGGACGTTGTTCTCCGGATCCATCATATCGACCATAGTATTCTCCACCACGGTCCGATCTGACAGCCTTAATTTTCTTTCCAAGTTGAAGTTCAACTTCAGCCTTAAAAGACTTGAAAACATCCAAGGATTGCGACTTCTCATTTATCAGAAAGAGGTAACCATATCTAGAGTAATCGTCTATGAACGTGATAAAATATTTGTGACCGTTCCAAGATGCTGTAGGGAATGGACCACATATATCAGTATGAATGAGTTCTAAGACGTCTTGAGCTCTATTGGCACCCAATTTCTTAATGTTTGTTCTCTTACCCTTAATGCACTCAATGCAGACTTCAAAATCTGCTAAATCTAAGGGTTCAAGAATTCCATCAGACACAAGCCTCTGAATTCTCTGTTTGGAGATATGTCCTAAGCGCTTGTGCCATAAAGTAGCAGAATTCTCATTAAATTTTCGCTTTGTACCTCGTGAACTTGTTTGGAGGATTTCATTATGGGAACTAATCACATCAAGCATGTATAGATTATCAATCAATGGACCGGTACCAATCAAAACTGAATTTTGTGAGAGACTAAATTTATTATCTCCAAATGAACAAGAATAACCTGATTTGTCCAAACATGGAACCGAAATTAAATTCCGTCGAAATGACGGCACCACAAAAGTCTCAAACAAATCCAAATGACATCCAGTCTTTAATTGTAATCTAAAAGTTCCGATAGCCTCCACTGCAACTTTATTGCCGTCCCCCACATAGATGAACTTTTCATTCTTACTTGGTGGCCGGCTCCACAGGCAGCCCTGCAAAGATACACTTATGTGAGTGGTAGCACCAGAATCCACCCACCAAGTATCCATAGGCACAAAAGCTAAATTAACTTCAGAACAAACTAAAGTAAGAAGCTCACCCTTCTTTTCACGCCAAATGGCATACTTGGGACACTCCTTCTTCATGTGCCCAGTCTTCTTACAGAAGTAGCAAGGAAACCCTTCAGTTTGCATCTTTGGTTTCTTTTGCTGAGAAGACTTTTCTGCAACATCCCTAGCTCTCTTCTTGATTTTGTTTTGAGAACTTGATGCTAAGTGAGCACTCTCAGTCCAATCCCGCGCTTGCCTCTCTTCCTCTTGCACACAGTGAGATATAAGCTCATTGAGAGACCACTTGTCTTTCTGAGTGTTATAGCTCACTTTGAATTGCCCAAAGTGTACAGGGAGAGAGATCAAAACCAAGTGTACGAGCAAATCTTCAGACAACTCTAACTTTAGTGACTTGAGTTTTGATGCGAGATTAGACATCTCCATAATGTACTCCCTTATGTTCCCCTTGCCTTCATACTTCATGGAAACGAGCTTAGACAGAAGATTACTTGCCTCTGATTTTTCATTCTTGGCAAAGTATTGCTCAATTTCCTCAAGGAACCCCTTAGCGCTCTCATTCTCAGTCATAGAGCCCCGAAACGCTTCTGGAATAGAGCGCTTCATGATCATCATACACATACGATTAGAGCGATCCCACTTTTCTATTTTAACCTCATTAAGGTTATCCGGAGTAGAAACAGGACGCTCCAACCGTAGTGCAAGATCCAAATCCATACAACCAAGAACAATTTCTACGGTTTCTTTCCAGATCTTAAAGTTTGTCCCATTCAATAGTGGAATATTGCTAATTTGAGCAGAAACATTGGAAGCAGAAGCTAAAGACACTGTAAAGAAACAAGAAAACATGCACTCATGTCAAACAAAATACACGAGAAGAAAATTCAGACATTTAAGTTTTATTTCTGAAACCCATCTTAAGATACCAAATGCAACATTAACTCTTAGTCTTTGGATAGAGAAATTAACTGCGAGCGGTACTCTTACTAAAATGATCAAATACTGATAACGAGTTCTGTCAAATAATAATTTATCTTTGGACCAACTATCATTCACATGAAAATAAACTTTACAATCATCACGTATTTATCATTAAGGTGCATCATCATTTAGCCAAATAGTATCTACCTTTGGGCCGAACACTATCCGCATAAACAACCACACACTATACATCCAAGTAATTTAATTTGATCAATTTTCACACTAGAGGTTACTTTGGCAACATAACGTAAAGAATCAAATCAATTTAAAATACTGGAAGAGAATGGATCCTTTTAAGTTTTCACTCACAAGATATGCCAATACCATAATTTTCCATTCTTGGTGGATCTAACAAGAATAGACCCCTTGTTATCAGCTACGGGGAAAAATTACACTAAAACAAAAAAACACATGATTGATGCGGTTCATCATGCAATCCTTTACCATAACAGCGAATGCACTTTTATTTGGGATGCAACAGATGAAAAAAAATGAAACCGAAAAATCCCTTTCGACTCATAATTCATATAATTTAATTTATATGAACAAGAAATTACACGAGTAGTAAATAAAACAAAATACCATGTATGGAACAAAAGCATGCCAAATGAATCACAAGGTAGAAATATAGAACCAGTACACCCAAAACCTCAATAATCAAACAAAGATGAATGGCTCTGATACCACTTGTTAGAATTAAACTTTAGCCTATGTAATTCCCCAGAATACATCTTGTCAGATTATCAAAGGCGAATAGATCTAAATACCTGGATTCATGATGGTAGATCGTCGTGAGCTTGATGTGGAATCTGTAGAACGATCTTTAACCGGACGATACCTCAGAAGCACGATCCGGGAAGTTTAGTGGCCTTCCTCAACCAAGCCTCCTTAGTCCACTCACGGGAAACCTCACGTATTCCAGATGGGGAGAATATGTGTGTATTTTGGTCTTGGTGTCTTGGGGACCACAACCTCTAGGTTCTTTATATACTATGTTTAGCTAGGGTTCCCATAAAACCTTAATTAGGTTTAGTATCTGGTTTCCACTCATTGGGCCCATATAAGATATTGAGTAGTCTTGGGCTCCATAATTTGACCACTTATAATTAGCCCACTTTAACAAATAACTAATACAATTATCCATAAACCACAGCCCACATCACGTGGAACATATATTTCCAACACGCAATAGGTTCCATACCCTAACTGCATAGCTGCAATTGATGAAGATATGCGTGGCGTCCTCCTCGCTTGCTGCATACAAAACGCATCTGCTCGGTAGACTCCATCCTCTCTTCTTGAGGGAGTCATGAGTGAGTATTTTCTTTTGATGTACAATCCACATGAAAGTGCAGATCTTCGATGGTATATGCCCTTGCCAAATCAGCTTGTGTGGAAAACCTTCCAGCTCCGAATACCTCTTTTTCACCAGGCACCGATACATTGAGTGTATTGAGTAGGTGTTTGTTGTTGATGAGCTCCACAATAGGGAATCCCCACCTGTGAAAAACAGATTCAGACTGATATTATCAAGAAAAGTTAGTAAACTCTCCCTCTCATCCCCCCTCTCAGATTGAATTTGAGAGGTATATCCCATTTGAGGCTCTCATTTTCAATAAGAACACGAGAAACATTTTCATGATTACAAACTAAATTCTCTTAGAGAAAAATCACTCTCCGGCCAACTGGCCGCGCTCAAGGCTAGTTACTCTGCTAAAAGGTTGTGCCACTCAGAGCATGGTGAGTTGGTGTTTGTGTTGGTGATCCAAGTAGCAGCAATGCTTTCTCTGAAAATCTTTATTATTGAAATTGGTATAAAATTGATTAGTGGAAGAATAAACATGAAACCACTTCAAAATTATCAACTAAACCTAACAAATAACCATCACCATCCGAAATCCAACACTATGAAGATTATGTTGTAAACATCATAAAAGTCCAATGTCATTATTTAAAATTATAAATATTTGGAATTGGTCGTCACATTTTTTGTCAAGGTTCTAATTTCTAAAATCACTAACTCATGATAATCTTTAGAAGTGATAACGGCTCAACGTTTAACACGGTACGAGGAAGTAGCATATGACGTCCATAATTATTCCACAACTCAATTACAATTAACACTTGCTTTTCACACATCTAAGGACTTATATGACCAAAAAAATTTCTTGAGAATAGAATGGTTTTCTTAAACTCTCTATATTTCGTACTGGGGGTTCTGGATGCTTGTACAAATGTGGCGAAGAACGCACAACAAGTTCATCAAAATCTTTAAAAGACCCAAAATATTTGAAACAGAAGTTTCGGACGTTCATTTCCATACAATTTGCTCAAATATCTAGTAAGCCCAAGCCTAGGTAACAATGTCCTAGTAGTTCCGGATCAATCAATTATAGAGAGACTTGTCTGGATCGTACTCCATATCATGTGTCTGCAGGCTCGAGGATGACATTCCATAACAATTGACCATTCACTAGATTTGTTGTGGGATCCAAGTGGTCAATAAAGGTTGGCCAACATGTTTGCGCGACGATGATAGACAGCTTCTTCAAGCTATAAACGACCATCACATCCACCAATCCATTGAGTATCAGGTGGAAAAAAGACTTGTAGTGCACTACAATAAGATAAGTCAAGACAAAAGAATGACTCTAGTTGCTTTAGATGAAGCGCAATGGATTAGGCCTTAAAGCAGTGTTAGACACTCAATTTCACATGAAAAAAGAACATCTATGCTTCAAGCCAAACTGAACTTCTTCCACGTTAAGCATCGCTGGTAACAAGTCCAAAAAATTGAGAGAACACCAATATGTTACTCATAGATATTGTGAACACTAAATCCATGGATGAAAAGATAGGGCGTAAAAGAACAGGCAAATGAAGGATTTGAAACTATGTGTATCGGTTTTCATATATCGAACTAATTAAAAAGTAAATAGTATAAATAATATTTAATCTATATAAATACATATTTATTATTGAATATCATTTATGCATTTTTTTATAATATGCAAACACACAATAATTTTTTTAATGAAACAGTTGTTGTATTAGTCGGTTATTTATTTATCTATGAATAAACCATTGGATATTATTAGTTTTAATTTAATTTATTAAAGATTTCAGGAGGCAAACCAATGATAGAAGGAATAACAGTGGATTGATTAGGTATGCAAAGTTGATCGTCAAAGATAAGATAGGTGCTAGTAGGAGTTCGAGTCCATATATCTTTGCCCAAGAGAACTGTAGAAGGGATCTTGCCAACTTGATTATCTTGCATGGCTTTCAACTTTATGTGGTTAATTATGTTGGTGTAAGAAGGTTTGTAGGTCTATTCAATCGACATTTAAAATGATTTCAAGAAACTTAGTTAAGAGTGACATTTTGAAGTTCTATGGTAAAGGGACAACTCATGTAATGATAGAATTGGAGAGAAACAACAGTAGGGCAACCATTACAATGTTGCCATTGCAACAGTATGGTAAAGTCATTAATGAGTCGACATTGTAGATTGTGGGAAAATGTTGCTCATCCAACTATAAATTCAAATCCTTCCATAACTGGACAACAAAATAGAATCAACAAAACACAAAGGTTGCCTCCATTTTTCGTCACTTTTCTTATGCAGATAGCTACAATTGGCAAACTACTGATCAAAGACAACAAAAAAGAAGAAAAGAACAGCTTCATATGCCATCTTTCATGTCCAGGGTTTATGATCAATTGAGGAACATGGTGAGATAATGAAAATCGCTGACATGCTCCTCAATTTACCAAAAGAAATACACCTGACAATGAATATTTCTACTTTCTAGGACTGGTTTGTTTAAAAATTAACAAGTTTGGGGACTGGACGACTTTCTATTTACAACACTACCTCTCTACGGATTTACTCTTGGATTCGAAAGATTGCCAGGCCTAGTCTCTCAAGGATAGCCCGGATCATTGTGGATGGTTGCGCTGATCTGGAAGAGAAACCTCAATAGACGAAGTAGAAACCTCAATAGATGAAAGAGAAACTTCACTGTGGTCCAAACGAAAAGAGCGAAGAGCTGCTGATCGTCATTGGGGTAAATCTTGATGAATTCGCGGGAGAGGATGCCACAGCCCAAGCCGTCTGGTTGCGGATCCACGAGCTGGTGAAGGTACACTTTGACTGGTGTTCGGCGTCTTATAATACATTCGATGATCCCCTTCCAAAAGATGGTCACGTTGTCGCCATTTGCATAATTTTTATTTATATTTTCATCTAAATGGATAGACACTCATTTTCAAAAGAAAAATAGAACTTCTATCCTTCAAGAAACCGAGCAGCAGAGAATGAATGACATTGTCAAAACCGACTGTAACTGGAAGATACTTGAATACTAAGGATCTATAGAGCTTATTACATGTTATGCATCGCAGGTCACTGAACAGAAATTGAGAGATCTCATGTTTGTCGCTTATAAAGATCGTGAAGACCGAGTTCTTGGATGAAAATATAGGGTGTAAGAGCACATGCGAAGGCGAGATTTGAAGCTAGGTGTCTCCTCTTTTCATAATATCAAAATAACTAAAAAATAGTAATATTTAAAAATATTTATTTATATATATTTATATATATTAAAGATTTATTAAATATTATTATCTTTAATTATTTAAATATTCTGAAAATAGGACACTCATAGTTTCAAATCCGGCTCGATTGTGAATCCACCATTTGTAAAAGATAGACTTTCATCATCTTTAGCTTTGAACAACGCCCACAACATTGACTGTCACAGAAAGAAGATAGTAGGAGTTCAATTCCACAAGTCTTTGACCAAGGGAATTGTAGAATAGATCTTGCATTGTTTTCCAATTTTTGTGGTTAATTATGTTTGCGGAAGAAGGTTTTTAAGGTCTCTTCAACATGCATTTAAAAAGATTTCAAGAAACATAGTTAAGAGTGACATTTTAAAGATTTATGGTGAAAGGAAGACTTATGTTATGAAGGGATCGGAGAGAAAAATCAGTAGGTTAGCCATTACAACGGACATGTGGATCTCAAACAACAATAAACGTGGATTTATGGTTGTTGCTGTGCACTTTATTCATAATTTGTGTAGTCTTTAGAGTCGAATTTTGAGATTTTGCTATGTTTCCTCTCCTCATACAAAGGATGTGCTCTATAAGGTACACATGTTGTTTCCTCCCTTTTGCTCATTTTCTTCCAACTTTCGACTCCGGGGTTGGTTTCACTTGTTAGAATCTGAAACACACGAAACCTAGCGTAAAATCACCCCTTTTTGAAGCTCAATTGCAACAAACGTCAAAGAGAAACGAGGATAAAAAGTGTACAATTAGGCCCGAATTAGAGGATGATGCTCGGGGAAGGTCTCATTTATTATTACTTAATTTAACTATTTTCTAAGTTAAAAAAGTTATTATTTATTTCATGTGGCATTGAATATATAACAAATAAGTTTATGTGGCATGTGTAATTTTTTTAAGGGTTTGTTAACTTTAATGGAAAGTAGTTATTATTTTGTAACTCTCTTAAAGTTTTGATTAATCTTTTAAAGCGAAAGAAAGTTTTGACTAAAAGTTAAGAATTATCCAAAAATCAAACTAACTCACCCGCGCTTGAGAGTTGTAATTTTGGTACCGATATTTGGTAATATACCGGTCTAATTTGTTATTTTTTGTGTTATAACCTATAACTTAAAGTAGTAGGGAAAATTTTTCACTACGGTTTTTGCTCAGATGAATCGTATGTCCCAATTCATACTTAAAAAAAAATTCGATTTTGACACATTCCTTTATCAAGATAATACTTTTGTATCACTTTCTACAATTACTATTTCAGTATTTTGCAAGTTATGTAGAAGAACTCCATTATTATTCCTTGAGTCAATTACATTTGAAATTGACAATTCACATATCAAGGACTGATATGATCAGGAAGATCTCTGAAGAACTAGAATGGAATTTGTGAACTCTCTCTACATTTGGAAATTCAAACTCTCTCTCTCTCTCTACATTAGTCGAAACAAATTCAGGCTGTCGGTTTCTAGTCCTGGAAAGCTGTGTATATGTGATGAACAGTCTGCAAAAAGGCCATGAAACTATTCACTTGGGCCCAAAAGGTTTTAAACCACACTGTTGGAATCTCAGTTCCAAACACCTTGCTGAGATCTGGGAAAAGCATCCCCCAGCTCAAGCCCAGGCCCAGACCTAGGGATGGCAAATTACCCACCCATGGGTAATTATACCCAAACCCAAGTAGACCCATTGATAATGGGTTGGGTATGGGTGAAGTGCATATGGATTTGGGGTTTATAGATGAGTTTGGGTTTGGGGCTTGCATAATCTAAATGGGTATGGGTTGGATATGGATATCCATTTACTTGAGGGTGTTTTAACTACACATACAAAAATTGGACCTATTTGCAAAACTTGAAAAGTTTAGGTACCAAAATGTAAGACCAAAAAAATTTAGGTACCAAAACGTAATTTTCCATCGATATTTTGAGGACTTATATGCAAAAAAAATTAAATTTAGGTACTAAATATGCATGTCTATTAAGTTTGGGTACCAAATTGTAATTTGTATTTGGGCATGGGTACAAACCCAAATCCATTTGATATAAACCCAACTCAACCCAAAGTAAATGGGTATGGGTACAAACCCATCAAACTCTACCCATATCCATTTATTTGGATTCATACCCAACCCAATTGGGTTGGATAGTAAGAAACCCATGGGTATGGGCAAAGTTGTCATCCCTACCCAGACCCGGTGAAACCGGATCAAGAAGGCGGTACAGAAAGACATGTTTGACTTTGACCCGCACTCCAGCTTCTGCGACCATGCAGGCGACGATGCCGTTCCAGAAGAGATGCGCATTGGTGGGATTCGCTTCAGCATCCGATTGACCGCAGAACTTTGGCCAGCCCGTTTCCGCCATGACGATCGGAAGCTTGTCAAAGCCTGAAACAGTGAGCACATCTTGGACTCCGTGGACCATTAGATCAAAGAGCGATTCGTAGCGCTGGGTGAGAGGATGCTCCGGATCGAAGGAATGCGTCTCGTTATTCTGGAAGATGGAAAATGTCAACGGATATCGATAGGCCTAGAAATAGCCGTAGACATCCATCTTCACAAGCAATACCGAACTCCTTTCGCTCAAGAAATAGAGGAGTTGCGAAAGGATGGGCGGAGGATGGATGAGATCGCCGAAACCGAGTGTGACTGAGAGAGAGGCTTAAACATTGTGAAGGAATGATGCAGGTAGCAGCTAACGATGAAGAGCTTCAATGACAGAGTCGTCTGAGGCTTCCTTTCACCACAGACGAAGAAGAAGAAGATGCTGCCGTTCCACGACGTCGTTCTAGGCTAAGCAGTAAACTCCGCAAGCCAAACGGTGTCGCATAGTAGTTCGGTTAATAAGCTTTTATCAGCCAAGTGTCACGCTATTAGTGGATAGCTTTGTTACCGTTGGTAGATAGTAGAATAACTTTACTCTCTTGTACAGTAGTGGTAATTCTGATAGTGTCCCGATGTATATAAGCAGATCAGAAAATGGAATGCAGCCTCTCGGCAAATTCCCCCAACGTTGCCATCTTCCTTTCCTTTCATTGCGAAATACCCTAATTCTGTGCTAGGGTTTCAGGCTTTCTCATGGTATCAGAGCCTGGTTACGGCTACTGATCCTTCTTCTTCTACTCCTTTTCATTTCTGAAACAATTTCTCTGTTCCTGTAATGGATGACCCAACTTCTCCGAATCCTGGGTCATCTACCACCACTGCTTCTACCACGACCTAGGCAGCTCGTTATGAAGATCCATATTCCAATCCTCTATACTTAGCTGCCAGCGGCAATTCCTTCCTTCCCGTCATCGGCTTCAAGTTGAACGATGACAACTATCTTCTCTGGAGCGAGTCAATGGAGGTTGCCCTGAGGATCAAGAAGAAATGGGGTTTCATCGACGGCTCAGTTCAGGTACCAAATGAAACAGATCCTTCTCGTAGTACTTGGGATAGATGCAATGGTACCATTTTGTGTTGGATTCGTAATTCGGTTTCTGAAGATATTGTTCCGAGTCTGAGGAACATCAGATCTGCTGCTGATGCTTGGGGTTATCTGAAATCCAAGTTTATTCAAGGCAATTCTGTTAGAATTGCTAACCTACAGGAGAGGGTTGATCTTGCTAAACACGGAAATAGAACAGTGAGACAATATCAAACTGATTTAAAGCTTTTGTGGGATGAACAGCAGCATTATGAGCCCATTCCTGTATGTGATTGTCCTTCTAAGACTTATGAAACAGTCATGAAGTATCAGGACAGGGGGAGAGTCATTCATTTTCTGCTAGGTTTGAATGAGAATTACCAGCAGGTCAAGACACAAATGCTCATGCTCGACCCTCTACCAGATATGGATACTGTTTATAGAGCAGTTGTTCAACTTGAGAGGCAAATGAACACTGGCAAGACCAAGGCATCATTTGACTCTGTAGCTCTTGCCGCCTCATCTGGTCATTCTGGTCAGAGGAGGGAGACTGGGAGAGATGGAAAGAAATCTCAACCTCAAGAGCTCTTTTGCCGGTACTGTAAGAAAGAAAACCATGTGATTGAAGACTGCTTCAATCTAAAGAACAAAAGGAAAAATGAAGCAGGTGGAAGGAGTTTTGCAGGTTCTAATGACACCAATGGAACTGATGCAGTGCTCCCAGCAGGAGGAGGTAGCTCTCAAAGTCCTACCAGTCCAAGTTCAGACAACAGAAACAATCAGGAGGGTCAGCCTATTTGGTTCACATATGAGGAGATACATAGGCTACGTAGTCTACTCCAGCAGCAGCCTTCCAACACAGTTTCTCAATTCCCATAGTCCAACTCAGTTCTAACTCGCTCCAGTGGATCTCAACACTCCATTTCAGGTAGCATGTGTCTCTCCAATGCTTCTCAGAACACTCTTTCTGCTACATGGGTGCTTGATACAGGTGCCAGTGATCACATTGTGTGCAATGTGAATCTGTTTTTGAGGTGCAAAGAAGTTCATAGTATGTTTGTCTATCTACCAAATGGTCAGAAATCGAGAGTAACACATGTAGGGCTGGTTAAGTTACCTTGTGGGATCCTTCTTACCAACGTTTTATTAGTCCCTTCCTTTTCTTACAATCTCATTTCTGTCAGCCAGTTAACCAAAAATACACCTGTCTCACTTAAGTTTGAATCCGACTTCTGTTGTATCCAGGACCTAATATCACAACAGAAGATTGGTTCAATCCGGGTAGATAGAGGGCTCTACTTACTTGGGAGTGAAGCAGGCAGCTCAACCAACACCTTACCTCAAATCTGTGGAGTGAAAACCAATCAGGATTCTTCTTTGTGACACTTAAGACTTGGCTATTTATCTTTGCCTAGATTACAGACCATTCACAAGAGTTGTAATGATGTTTTTCTTCCTTCTAGTTCTCATTGTGAGATATGCCAGTTATCCAAACAAAAACGCCTTCCATTTCCAGTTAGTCAATCTAGAAGTAAGAACAGTTTTGATATGATCCATGTGGATATTTGGGGACCGGTTGATGTAGTTTCACACGATGGTTTCAAGTATTTTCAGACTGTGGTAGACGATTTCAGTCGATGTACATGGTTGTTTCTCATGAGCTTCAAATCTGAAGCTAGAGCTTTACTTCAGTCTTTCTGTTTGATGGTGGAAAACCAATTTGACAAGCGTATCAAGATCATTCGATTTGATCAGGGGCAGGAATTCAATATGAGTGATTTTTATTGCTCTCAAGGCATTATACATCAGATGAGTTGCGTTAGGACTGCCCAACAAAATGGGAGGGTAGAACGCAAGCATCAACACTTATTAAATGTATCTCGATCCCTCAAGCTGCAATCTGGAATGCCAAAGAGCTTCTGGAGTCATTTTGTTCTTCATGCCGCTTACCTGATAAATAGGATTCCTACCCCTACATTAGAAAACAAGTCTCCATTTGAGTGTCTCTATGGTGTGCCACCAGATTACAGCACACTTAGAGTCTTTGGATGTATGTCCTTTGCAACAGTTCTTGATGATCATAAAGGGAAGTTTGACCCTCGAGCTCGACGAGCAGTGTTCCTAGGGTATCCATTTGATGTGAAAGGGTTCAAGCTGTTAGACTTAGACAGTTTGGAGGTGTTTGTTAGCAGGGATGTTGTTTTCCATGAGGATTTTTTCCCTTTCAAGAGTGCTACCTGTTCTGCTGATAAGGTTGTTCCCTCTCCATCCTTTCCTTCTCCATCTTTCCTTTATGATACATTCAATGATTCTCCTATTCTACCTACTGATCACAATGTCCATGAGTCTACTGATCCTGATTATTCTCCTCCTTCTCCTACTGGATCAGTTGACTCAGACTCTTCTTCTCTTCCTTCTCCCCTTTCTCAAACTTCACAACCTCATTCTCCAAACCTTCCCATTGCCCTTCGTAAACCTTCCAGAGAATCAAAGAGACCTGCTCACTTATCTGACTATCATGTCAGTTTACTTTCTTCTACTACTTCTACTTATGATTCCAAATTATTGTACCCTTTGCGTGGCTGTATTGGTTATGACCATTTGTCCCCTTCTCACAAGCACTTCTCACTTTCCATTTCTGTTTTACCTGAACCTCAAACTTATCAGCAGGCCAGGCACATTCCTTGTTGGGATGCTGCCATGAATGTCGAAATGGCTGCTCTTGATGCCAACAGAACATGGGATGTGGTAGCTCGACCTGTTAACAAACCTGTTGTGGGAATAAATGGGTATATAAAACCAAATACCTCCCTGATGGCTCCATTGAAAGGTGTAGAGCACGCTTAGTTGCTAAGGGTTACACTCAAACTCATGGTGTTGACTTCATGGAAACTTATTCACCTGTAGCGAAGATGAATTCTGTTAAATTGTTGATAGCAGTGGCTGCCATCAAAGGCTGGGATTTGCAATAGATGGACGTTAGTAACGCGTTCTTACATGGCGATTTGGATGAGGAGGTTTTCATGGAACTTCCTCCCAATTTGAAGGATCAGCCAGGTATGGAAGGGAAGGTTTGCAAACTCAGAAAATCATTGTACGGGCTGAAGCAGGCCAGTCGTCAATGGTATCTTAAGCTCAGTGAATGTTTACAGAGCTTTGGTTTTGTTCAGTCTTATGATGATTACTCTGTTTTCAAGTTGCAAAAGCAGGACTCTTGTGTCATAGTGATCATTTATGTCGATGATCTCATTATAGCTGGCAATGATGCAACACTGATTTCTCACACGAAGAAGCACCTTCATCAATCATTCAAGATCAAGGATCTAGGCACTCTCAAATACTTCCTTGGTGTTGAAATTGCCAGGTCTGCTGCAGGGATTTCTCTGTGTCAACGAAAATTCTGTTTGGAACTCCTTTCTGAGGCTGATTTTCTTGAATCTAAACCTGCTAAGACCCCCCTGAGTATGAAGACTTCTTTGTCTGCCTCTGATGGTGATCCCCTCCCTGATGGTTCTGGTTATCGTCATCTTTTGGGCCAGCTTCAGTACCTCACGACGACCAGACCCGATATCTGCTTCCCTGTCCAGCAGCTCTGCCAATTTCAGGGGGCCCCAACCACAACTCATTTGAAGACACTACACAGGGTCTTGAGGTATTTAAAGTCTCATCCTTCTCAAGGTTTGTGGTTCCCTTCTTCAAATACTACCCAACTCAGAGGCTATTGTGATTCGGATTGGGCGACTTGCCCAGATTCAAGACGATCCGTGACAGGTTACTGCACATTTCTAGGCAACTCAATAGTGACCTGGAAAAGCAAGAAACAGTCCACCGTCTCTCGCTCATCATCAGAAGCGGAGTACAGAGCTTTGGCTCAACTCTCTTGTGAAGTACAATGGTTAAAATCTCTTCTCGGGTTCTATGGAATTGAACATCCAGCACCCGTTCAAGTCTACTGCGACAATCAATCCGCATTACACATTGCGGAAAATCCAGTCTTTCACGAACGCACAAAACATATCGAGGTCGATTGTCATGTGACTCGTGAAAGACTGAAATCCGGACTATTATCTCTGCATCATATCCAATCAGAAGAACAGCTCGCCGATTTCTTTACAAAAGGTCTTTCTTCTGAGCGCTTTGAGTCTCTGCTCTCCAAGTTGGGAGTTCATGATATGTACCCCCAACTTGAGGGGGCCTGTGAAGGAATGATACAGGTAGCAGCTAACGATGAAGAGCTTCAATGACAGAGTCATCTGAGGCTTCCTTTCACCACAGACGAAGAAGAAGAAGATGCTGTCATTCCACGACGTCGTTCTAGGCTAAGCAGTAAACTCCGCAAGCCAGAACGGTGTCACATAGTAGTTCGGTTAATAAGCTTTTATCAGCCAAGTGTCACGCTGTTAGTGGATAGCTTTGTTACCGTTGGTAGATAGTAGAATAACTTTACTCTCTTATACAGTAGTGGTAATTATGATAGTGTCCTGATGTATATAAGCAGATCAGAAAATGGAATGCAGCCTCTCGGCAAATTCCCCCAACGTTGCCATCTTCCTTTCCTTTCATTCCGAAATACCCTAATTCTGTGCTAGGGTTTCAGGCTTTCTCAAACATTGAGGATTCGAAGAGCTTGCTCGACGTTATGTAGAGCAGGCAACACCGCCGGGAACAGAGACTAGGCCGCACCTCTTGGAACTGGAGGTAATCGACGGTCAATGTAACCATGATGCCAAGAATAACGCCGACGACGAAGTGCAACTTGTACATGTTGAAGTTTGATTGAGGAAGGAGTTCAAGAATGGCGGTCTTGAGGAAGAGGGAGAGGGAGGAAGGAGGATGGAGTTGATCCAATCACATTTTGTTTGGGAGTATGGAAGAAGCTTCGGTGAGGAAATGGAGTTCAAGAAGTGGTGTTTTTTGAGGGAGGGCGAGAAGAGGAGGAGGAGGAGGGAGGAGATCAAATGATTTGTGTTTGGGAGGGAATGAGGAAGTTGGGGTTTATTTTATACCCTTGCCGGCCAAGAATCTCCTAGAACCTATCAAGTTTCTACTGTCAACGGTGGAACAAAGTGGTCCGTCCTTCCAATTATGTTGTTATGAAGCAGGACTGAGCTACGTCTATAGTAGGTTCAAGTCTTACCGCCTCTTCCAATCATATTAGTGTCTAACTTCCTTTTGTTATCTTTAGATACATTGCTTATATATTAGATTCCTATAACTCAGCTGTGATTTGTGCAGAGGACTGATGGGGATTTGAGTCCATGCTCTCTTGGTGAGCTGCGAATGGTCTCTCAAAACTCATAATTAGCAACAGCAGGTATCATAAGTTTTTCTCTTCTACTTATTCAATCCAGTAAATCATTAACTGGATTGATTATGTGGTGTAGTGGTTTTGGAATATTGTCCCTATTTGAATAATTCTTCTGCCACAAAGGACTGCTTTTGCTACAGCACTTCATAGTTCTTACTTCTTACTGGTCTGTCGTTTGGTAATGTCAGATTTCTGGATACTGTGAATTGCTTTTTTCAGGTTGGGAAACAGGCTGAACCAGAGGCTCTGCGGGTCTAGAGTATTGCAACTCAAAGCTGCTTCATGAAATGGATGTTCCAGTACGGTAACTTTCTATTACAGATATGTTGTCAATAATAAGGGAATCAAAGGGCAAAGAGAGTTATTGTGTGTGTGTGTGTGTGTGTGTGTGTGTGTGTGTGTGTGTGTGTGTGTGTGTGTGTGTGTGTGTGTGTGTGTGTGTGTGTGTGTGTGTGTGTTTTGCTATCCGATGAGGCTAATGCACACCTTAACCTTGAAGAGAAATGGTCAGTGCTGTCCATGCAGCCAATGAAGTAGAGATTCTGCAACTCTATAGATTCCTTTGCGGTTTGAGATGTTTGTTTTGTTTTTAGTCTTATGAGTTCATGAAGTACAGTGGGGAAAATCACTTCCATTCTTCTATCTGCGCTTCGCAGGCCTAATGTTGATGTCTAATCCTATGCAGATTCTTGGCTTACTAGGATGAGATACATGCTGCCTGGTGCCATCGATCAATCCTATCTTGCCAGGTTGGTAAACTAAAAGCCACTCTTCTACTGTCCATTTTCAACTACAAGATTTTATAGATTATTATTGTTCTTTAATAGTCCTTGGAGAGAAAAGTGGGGATGGTCTTGCGATTGATCATTAGGGATTATTGTGTTATTTCGTGTGCCTATATGCTATTGGCTGCAACTGGACCATCTGGGCTTAATCGCAGCGATGAAGTTGGCTTTTGTTAGAAACAAAGTTTCTAACGGGTTTCTAGATCAGATCTAGAGATTGGGGATTTAGGGTTTATAGAATAGAATTGGGGATTTAGGGATTTGAGAAGAGAATCTAGGGATTAGGAGAAGAATTGGGGAAGAACAGAAAGAACGGCAGAAGCCTTTAGAGAGAAGGATAGACGAGATTTGAGAGAGAAAGATTTTAGGGTTTTGGGGAAGGAGGACTTTTCTATTAATTTCTGCTTAATCTGACGAATGACCCAAAGTACATATATATAAGGAAATACTAGAAAACCCTAATAATAAACCTAATCCTACTAAATAACTACTAACCTTATTGATAATTACCCTAATAATAATTATATTAATAAATAAAGAAACTTTACAGAAATCGGTTTCTAACATCTCCTCCCCCTTCAGACCAACCTTGTCCTCAAGGTTGACCGACTTGACCCCTTCTGCCACGTCCTCCGTGTAATCCACATCCTTCTTGCGCTTTCTTTTCTTCCAATTTTGCTCCACTACTCGACTTCGCCTTCTTTCTTTGACTTCCTCCTGCTCCAAAGTTGTGATTTTCATATCCGATGGCCCAATCCTCACAGCCTCGAAATATTCACTCTTCACTAACGCCTCCTCTGTGATCATCTTCCTCCCGTAATCAAAAGAACTGAAGCATTCCTTCTTGTTTAGGAACCCATCTATGAGTACCAACTCATAAAGTCTCGTAAATATTTCTCTTGGAGCTAGCCCAAAAACTTCAACCATTGCAATTGGTCCATATTTACTTGGAAGCTCACCAATTGAGCCCCCAAACCTTCCTGACTCGGCCCAAGATCATGCAATAGAACACTTGTTAAGTTGTACTTGGGAGGCCTAAGAATTAGACCATGCGAGGCCCATCTCGCCTCCACACCCAGTTCTTCCTCGGCCCACCGCCACTGCAGCTTTGGTCCGCTCTGCTGCCTTTCCCAAACTAATGAGAACCCAGCCCTCCACATCTTAATTTTCGGCCCATAGTTGAGGTCTTGCTCGGCCCATCTCTCTCTCAACTGCGGCCCAAATATCGATCCTATATCGGCCTGCTTTCGCTCACACTTTGGCCCACTCTGCATCCTCAATGGCCTATCTTGCATACCTTGTCGATCCACAAAAACCCTCATGAAGCCCAATTTAACTCGGCCCACTTCTCCTGACCGGACCAGCCACTCGACCCATGGCAATGTAGCGACCCTAGGGTTTGCAAGTGGGAGAGTGCCTTCCCGATTGACACCACCTGCCGCCAGATTCTTCTTCGCCACCATCGCCGGTACTTCCTCCTCCGGCGGCGACGGGTTCCTCGAGCGGCGGAGAGGAAATCTCGACCCGGCCTCCCTCGTCCACGGCTCTGACTCCCCAAGCTCGCATCTTGTTTCCTGCCTTCCCCCTCTCCTTGGCGGTACAAACGGCGCCCCCAACCTTTGCTCATTTTGCGCGATATGCGACGCCGACGAATTGCCCCGTCGATTCAGCTGGTCGGGCCGGGGATCCGACGCCGCTTCTCCCCCTTCTCATCGGACGCTGCCGCCGTGAAACTCCGCCTGCTCGTCGCTTGAAGCCCGGCCGGAAGAAGAGAAATCCTTGCCGCCCTTCTTCTTCTCTTCGTTCTCCGTCGGCGAGCAATCCTTCCCCTTTTTCTCCAGCAACGAACAACGCACCCGGCGGCAACGAGCCCCGCTCGATCTTGGCTTCTTCTTCTTGACGTTCGCCGTGAGAGGAGCCAGCCTCCTCTTCTTCGTCGGACGCTCCGACTTCATTTCTTTGCCCATCGTCAAACCTCTCAATGGGCGGCCAGGATTTGAGTCGGCTTCTCCCATTTATGGCTTCACCTCATCGGTGGACGACGCAACCAACGAGGCCGCCGATGTCCATTGTGTCCTCTCCACATGTTGCATCCCCGGCGAGGCAACCCAATCATTCGTCGTTTTCGCGCCATCCACCATCGCCGACGATTCCTGCCTCTCTAGTTCCGGCGACGCAACCCGGCTAGCCGCCGCCTCCAACCTTGCTTCCTCATCAATCGGTGATCCGCAGGGGAGAGGGTCGGCGCCACCACCTTTCGTCTTCACTCCCAGCAGACCCGTAGTCAGTCGTCGCGCTCCTCGCTCGATTCGGAACTCCGGCGAGATGACCCAGTCGTCTTTCACCTTCTCCTGCGGCGCTGCCTCGTTCTCTGGCAGTTTCCGCTTTCCAATCGACGAAGCGAAAAAGTCCGCCGCAAATCGCCTTGTTCCTCGCGCGATGCAGGGCTCCGGCGGAACAAGCCAGCGGCGGGTTGGCATCTCAGCTTCCCCCACGCACTCGTTCGGCTTCTTCTTGAACTTCCAGTTGACTCTGCAACTCTGCCTTCGCGAACCTCCAATTGGAGTTGTGGGCTCTCGGAAGTTCACCGAGGTTCTCTCCAATTTCAGATCTGGTGGAGTCTCATTGGCGCATAATTCGTCCTTCCGGGCAGGGGACATGGCGCTCCTTGCGCGGCCGCAATGTTGGTGGTCGCTGCTGATGAGACGTCGCGGACGGGTGTGGCGGTAATAGCCGAAAGCAGCTGTTTCTCGTTCTTGTTGCTCGTCTCGACGCCGTCATCCGCCGCGGAGCTTATCGGAGACACCTGCTCGTCGGGTCTGCCAACACCTGTGGGCGGCTGCTGCCTCGCCGTAGCGTCATTACCGCCGTCCTTCGCGTAGGCTTTCTCACGACGCAACGCGTATGACTTCCAGTACTCCACGATCTGCCATAATCGTTCCTGATTTTGAGCCCACATCAGCTCCGATATATCGGTTGAACTCATCTGGATTTAATCTGGTAGGAAGCTGTCCCTGAAAAAGTTTTGATGAACTCGTCTTCCGGAACCAGGCTCTGATACCAGATGTTAGAAACAAAGTTTCTAACGGGCTTCTAGATCAGATCTAGAGATTGGGGATTTAGGGTTTATAGAATAGAATTGGGGATTTAGGGATTTGAGAAGAGAATCTAGTGATTAGGAGAAGAATTGGGGAAGAACAGAAAGAACGGCCGAAGCCTTTAGAGAGAAGGATAGACGAGATTTGAGAGAGAAAGAGATTAGGGTTTTGGGGAAGGAGGACTTTTCTATTAATTTCTGCTTAATCTGACGAATGACCCAAAGTACATATATATAAGGAAATACTAGAAAACCTAATAATAAACCTAATCCTACTAAATAACTACTAACCTTATTGATAATTACCCTAATAATAATTATATTAATAAATAAAGAAACCCTACAGAAATCGGTTTCTAACAGCTTTCTTGCTGCTGCAAGTTGTTTGTGAACTTAGGAGGAGACAGATATTAGTTGTTCTGACAGAGGATGGAAGAAACCTAGGGATTGTTGTCTAACTTGGGAGTTTGGTAGACAATGCTCCTTTTACCTACTATCTTTCCATACACTGTTAAAACCTAGAAATGAGTTCCAATCCTTTTGGGAATCATTTCGGGTACTTGCTATAGGATGTTTCTCACCTTAGAAATCAAATCTACAGGAGTCATTCTCTCGGATCTGCAACTGTTGCCGTAAAAATGGCTTCTCCAGCAAGCATGATTTATATGGAGATGATCATCACAACTAGAGTATATGGTTGGGAAGTTCACCGCATGAAGGATTTTAGCATATGTCCTGCGGATATAAACAATCCTTTGGGATTGCAAGAGGAAGACTATAGCATAGAAAAGTGACAAGAAAGGTTCATTTGGATCGATGGTTTGGTTGAGGAATGGAACTTCTGAATCTTAGTAGAGCCTGCTGCATCCGCAAGGTTGCTGCATTGCTAGGTGGTTTGTCTCTTTCTTTCTTTTTGCAATTAGCTTTAATAAAGAATTTATACCACTAGAGTTGGGAGATAGAACAGATTAGCAATCTGTGTTTCTGTACAGGTTCATTGTGTATGGCAGCAGCAGAAGCTTATTCAGCCCCTTCCATTGTTCTAACATCTCACTCGAATAATGGTAGCTTGCATGTTTTTGATGATTTTAGAGAAGTCTATTCATGGTTGAGCCACAATACTCTGACGTGGATCATAAAGTATGATTACTCTCTTCTCTCTTTCCTTCCGTTTATTTGCAGACATACTGGTTTCAAAATGTCACTTCATTGTTGAAACTCGCGAGGGCTTGTGACAGCATAAGATATATCAGCTAAAAATTTTGTGGAAATTAGGATGTTTACATGTCTTCTGAATGGTTGACCTGATGACACTTGATTCAGATGTAAATAACAATGTTACATTATACACCAGCCGCTTCCACAGACTGAAGGATTTTGACTGTTGTAGGTCGCGTCATGTTGGGACCATGGCTATCAAACAACTGCTTATGGCTAGTCTCGCACTCTTCTAGTCGACGAGAAAAATCATATGGCAACTGTTGGCACAACCATGTCTTCCCCTGAGAAGCAAGCTAAGCCTGGGAGATCTTCCATTCACTGGATGTGAAGTATGTCTTTGGAGCTAGGTGTCCTTCCTTCCAGCCTCAATCTTCTAAAGACAGCATTTATCTTGAATCCTTTTGAATCAGCTAATTTCCTTAAGTAAAAGTATGATTGTACGTTACAGGTCTTTTTGGCTACCCTAGTGATGATATCAGTAAGTTCCTTTGGATGGTTCGGAATGGAGGCGGTGTGTTCCCTCACATCAAAGAAGCTGATTACCTCGTACTTTTCTTCAACTTGCACATTATGAAATGCCAAACTGTTGCTTGATAGTATAGTAGCCATAATCGTATTTGTTCACTCCTCCCCTCAAATGCCTGAAATCAGAGTTGTATGGTTTGGTTTGATGTTGGTTAATTGTGAAATCAGGTATTCACCTCTCACCATTGGATGGCACGGATCTACAAAGTGAATTGCCTCCAAGGAACTGCAGGTAGGTTCGGTTTTTCGGGTTTACCCAAAACCGACCCGATTATATACATTTTCGATTTTTAGGGTTCGTTTCTGGTTTCGGGTTTTTCGGTTTCGGGTTCCGTTTTGCTTATCGGTTTTTTGGGTTCCGGCTAAAAACCTTCAATGAATAGAACTCAGCCTGTATTTTTAGGCGTTCGGGTTATCGGGTTTCGGTTTTGCTTTAACCGAACCCGAACCCGATAAGGAATTTTCGAGTTTCGGATAACCGGAACCCGCAAGTCCTTATCGGGTTCGGGTTTGGTTTTGGGTTTTCGGGTTTTGGTTTGGGTAACCGAACCCGACCCGAACTGACACCCCTAACTGCAGGAGAAAGAAATCCAAGTCTTGGGTACGTGTGCAACAGTGGATGATGATATATCTTACTTGTCATCTCTTTCCTGTTTCCTCCTGGACCAGTTTTGATGTTTTAAACTGCTGCTGCCTTGATGTTTTGTTGATAGCAGAGATGGGTTAGCGTTAGCTAGCTCAGAGAGAGAAGTAAGGGGAAAGAGCCAGTTTTGTTGGAGTAACTGACTGACTCCATTTTCCTTGAATTCCATGCCAGTGCCTGCTGCGAATGATGAACCAACCATCTTGATCAACCAATTTTAGTCGATAAAATCCCATTCGAAGCACACTCGCCTTACCTATATATGTTTCTTTCTCAATGCATAGTCGACCAGACTGTCCGAGGAAGTCAATGTGTGCACTGTGCAGACAGCTACGCGAGCGTCGAATGAGAACGAGAACGGGTCCAGCCCAGACGAAGTGATCCGTCTGAATTCTTGCTGTTGGGCTGGGCCGGGGCCTGCCAGGGACCATGGTATTTTTTTTTTTAGAGACCGAGAAGGAAAAAGGAAGTCTCTTCCTGCAAGGACTTGGAATTTATTTATTTAGTATATAAGTCAATCGAACCGATGCTCTCCCACAACACTCAGCATTCAGCAAGCAAGCAAGGCGCTAGCTCTCCCACAACACTCAGCAAGCAAGCAAGCTAGGCGCTAGCAATCTTTCTTTCCTGGTCTCTGCGCGTGTGGCCATGGACGCTCTGAAGTCCCGTCTCGGTTTGATTTTATGCATGTTATATTTGGTCAAGGCATGGCTTGAGATATGGGCATGGCAGAAACTGGATCGTCACCTCCGCAACAAGTACAGGTTGGGTTTGCTCGATCTGTTGAGGAATTCTTTTGACGGAGCTGAGAGGAGCTTGATTCCGCTGTTGCAAGACTATCCCATCATACTTCCGTGTTGCTTGCGTTATGGGCTTCGCAGGCCCTGGGCTTGAGCTCTTTCTTCTGTATGCTTGTTTTTGTCTTCCTTTTACGTTCTTGATCCATTCCCGTCTTCAAGTTTTTTTTTCCCCCTCCCATTCCAGCTTAAGAGACAAGGTAACTGTGGTTGTTGAACATTGAAATATTATAATATAATAATAATAATATATTTAATGCAGCCGTTGCCTTTTGTTGGTTGTTGGTGCTATCTATGTAACATAGTAAGATCTTCTTTGATGGTCGCACAAGGAAAGTTCATACATAGGCTTATTGATTAAAAACTCAATACCGGTTGAACCACAAAATATCGTTTTCGGGCTCAAATTCGAAACCGTACAAGCAGCCGTGATAAAAACGTCTACGTCAACCCTGTCAGCTTCATTATACTAAAATCATACTAAAATCCTTATCCTTAATTTTTATTAGGTTTAAGAAATAGTAATACCCTAATCATCATTAACCACCTATTAACCACTAACTTTCTATTAACTATTTAATAGCAAATTCGTGTAAAAATAGTATGATTGTGAGGGGGAAATTGAAATTCAGTGGTGTTTTGCTTTTCTTTTTTTTTTTCTATAGAAAAAGGCTGTTGTAGACTTTATGTTTCTTTTTATGTTTGGGCGGACTTTTCCCAACCTTCCGTGTCAAGTTGGGCTTCGAGAGGCCCATATTACCCAATGATTTTGTATCAATGAAAGCAGCCCTTACCCGAAAGTTCATGAAGCGAAACAGGCCCAAGATTTAAATGTCATAGCCGACCCATTTATTTACTTATTTAAAAGAAGATAATTCATCGAATTATTATTATATATGTTATCAAAATGAAAATATATTTCTACAAAAAAAAATTAATTTATTACAGTTTAAGAAAATTTAGCAGATAGGTGTACGCACACACTCAAGATTTGTCTGTCAGCATATTATTCAATTTGGAATGTTAACTTTTTTTTTAGTTGGAATATTAATTAACAGCAAAACAACGTTGACATATATATTTTGATTAAATTTACAAATTTGGTAGCTGAATTTCCTAATTCCTTATATATCCAACCAGATTACCATAATTCATTTCGTACTTATCATTTCCCGCTGCATCGTGCCGCCGCTTCCCACTTGTCGCCGGCTAAGCAGCCTTAAAAAAAAAAACATATAAAGAAATTGCACACAAACAAATAATAATGACTAATAAAATGTAAATTGTGATTATTTGCTGCAATAAAGAAAGATGTTTAAGGCTGAATATGTATTTAAGTTTCTATTATGTGGTGTTACACATCTGATCGTCCATATGATCAGATCGACGTGGTTCAACGTACGTGTTGGGTAGCAGTATTCTATCTGAAATTCAAATTGTTCAAGCCTCCATACAGCGTTCATCGTTTCACTTCGTTCCGCGTAAGTATAATTGTGCAGAAAGCTACGCGAGCTTCGAATGAGAACGAGCACGGGTCCAGTTAGGGGTGTGCAATGGTCCGGTCCGTAACGGACCACACTGGACCAAACCGTTGTTAAGACCGGACAGGACCAGACCGAGTAAAATGCGGTCCGGTCCTTGGTCCTCATGAATTTTATAATTACTGAAGAAATGGTGGACCGAGCTCATATTTGGACCGGACCGAACCGGACCAAATGGACCAAATGCAAGAATGATCCGGTCCTTGGTCCTAACATGTCTTTCACTAATGGACCGCGGTTCTCATGAGTTTGGTCCGGTCCGGACCGAACCGAACTGTTGCACACCCCTAGGTCCAGCCCAGACGAAGTGATCCGTCTGAATTATTGCTGTTGGGCTGGGCCGGGGCCTGCCAGGGACCATGGTATTTTTTTTTAGAGACCGAGAAGGAAAACGGAAGTCTCTTCCTGCAAGGACTTGGAATTTATTTATTTAGTATATAAATCAATCGAACCGCTGCTCCCCCGCAACACTCAGCAAGCAAGCTAGGCTAGGCGCTAGCAATCTTTCTTTCCTGATTTTATGCATGTTATATTTGGTCAAGGCATGGCTTGCGATATGGGCGTGGCGGAAACTGGATCGTCACCTCCGCAACAAGTACGGGTTGGATCTGGTCGATCTGTTGAGGAATTCTTTTGACGGAGCTGAGAGGAGCTTGATTCCACTGTTGCAGGACTATCCCATCATACTTCCCGCGCTGCTTGCGTTAGGGGCTTGGCAGGCCCTGGGCTTGAGCTCTTTCTTCTCTATGCTTGTTTTTGTCTTCCTTTTACGTTCTTGATCCATTCTCGTCTTTGGTTTTTTTTCCTTCTTCTCCCATTCCAGCTTAAGAGACAAGGTAACTGTGGTTGTTGAACATTGAAATATTATAATATAATAATAATATATTTAATGCAGTCGTTGCCTTTTGTTGGTTGTTGGTGCTATCTATGTAACATAGGAAGAGCTTCTTTGATGGTCGCACAAGGAAAGTTCACACAGGCTTGTTGATTAAAAACTCGTACCGGTTGAACCACAAAATATCGTTTTCGGACTCAAATTCGAAACCGTACTAGCATCCGTGATAAAAACGTCTACGTCAACCCTGTCAGCTTCATTATACTAAAATCCTGATCCTTCATTTTTATTAGGTTTAAGAAATAGTAATACCCTAATCATCATTAACCACCTATTAACCACTAACTTTCTATTAACTACTTAAATTACTCTTAAGCCAATAGAAATTACTTAAACATACTCCTAAATTTGTAGCAGCGGCTCCAATTGTCATATTTTACGAGTTTCTCGATCTACTAGGAATCAAACTCGATATTCTATCTAGCCGATCTTGGTTTACAATTAACTCTACTATTGCACTACTTAAAACGTAACTTAAACTACCCAATAAGGCAATCAAAGTAAATGAGGGGTTTCTAGAGTGGGAAGGCTCGCTTGGCCCAAGAATCCCTATAATTAGCTACTAGTCACGGGCCCGGCCAATCTCTGCGCGTGTGGCCATGGACGCTCTGAAGTCCCGTCTCGGTTTGATTTTATGCATGTTATATTTGGTCAAGGCATGGCTTGCGATATGGGCGTGGCGGAAACTGGATCGTCACCTCCGCAACAAGTACGGGTTGGGTTTGGTCGATCTGTTGAGGAATTCTTTTGACGGATCTGAGAGGAGCTTGATTCCGCTGTTGCAGGACTATCCCATCATACTTCCCGCGCTGCTTGCGTTATGGGCTTGGCAGGCCCTGGGCTTGAGCTCTTTCTTCTCTATGCTTGTTTTTGTCTTCCTTTTACGTTCTTGATCCATTCTCGTCTTTGGTTTTTTTTTCTTCTTCTCCCATTCCAGCTTAAGAGACAAGGTAACTGTGGTTGTTGAACATTGAAATATTATAATATAATAATAATATATTTAATGCAGTCGTTGCCTTTTGTTGGTTGTTGGTGCTATCTATGTAGCATAGGAAGAGCTTCTTTGATGGTCGCACAATGAAAGTTCACACAGGCTTGTTGATTAAAAACTCGTACCGGTTGAACCACAAAATATCGTTTTCGGGCTCAAATTCGAAACCGTACAAGCAGCCGTGATAAAAACGTCTACGTCAACCCTGTCAGCTTCATTATACTAAAATCCTTATCCTTAATTTTTATTATGTTTAAGAAATAGTAATACCCTAATCATCATTAACCACCTATTAACCACTAACTTTCTATTAACTACTTAAATTACTCTTAAGCCAATAGAAATTACTTAAACATACTCCTAAATTTGTAGCAGTGGCTCCAATTGTCATATTTTACGAGTTTCTAGATCTACTAGGAATCAAACTCGATATTCTATCTAGCCGATCTTGGTTTACAATTAACTCTACTATTGCACTACTTAAAACTCAACTTAAACTAGCCAATAAGGCAATCAAAGTAAATGAGGGGTTTCTAGAGTGGGAAGGCTCGCTTGGCCCAAGAATCCCTATAATTAGCTACTAGTCACGGGCCCGGCCAATCTCTGCGCGTGTGGCCATGTACGCTCTGAAGTCCCGTCTCGATTTGATTTTATGCATGTTATATTTGGTCAAGGCATGGCTTGCGATATGGGCGTGGCGGAAACTGGATCGTCACCTCTGCAACAAGTACGGGTTGGGTTTGGTCGATCTGTTGAGGAATTCTTTTGACGGAGCTGACAGGAGCTTTATTCCGCTGTTGCAGGAGTATCCCATCATACTTCCCGCGTTGCTTGCGTTATGGGCTTCGCAGGCCCTGGGCTTGAGCTCTTTCTTCTGTATGCTTGTTTTTGTCTTCCTTTTACGTTCTTGATCCATTCTCGTCTTTGGTTTTTTTTTCTTCCTCCCATTCCAGCTTAAGAGACAAGGCAACTGTGGTTGTTGGACATTGAAATATTATAATATAATAATAATAATATATTTAATGAAGTTGTTGCCTTTTGTTGGTTGTTGGTGCTATCTATGTAACATAGAAAGAGCTTCTTTGATGGTCGCACAAGGAAAGTTCATACATAGGCTTATTGATTAAAAACTCAGTACCGGTTGAACCACAAAATATTGTTTTCGGACTCAAATTCGAAACCGTACAAGCAGCCGTGATAAAAACGTCTACGTCAAACCTGTCAGCTTCATCTACACTACTTATAATCAACAGTATAATTTATAGCTGAAAAGTAAAACTGCACTCCTCATTCAAAATTTCCTGCCCATAGAGTGATTTTAGGAAGCTGATGTGGCAGAGTGTTAAGCGAAAAAAAAAGAGTCCCGCCTGATTTCAGAACCAAAAAACTGTCCACTACCCACCTTTTCTCCTTCCAGGCCCACGTTCTCATTTAATTTGTATTTATTTGCAAAACAACAAAATCCAGAGGCAAAGCTCCTTCCTCTTCCCCTTCGCATCAGTTCCTTTGTTTTTTTCGTCGGCAAAGGAAACTCGGGTATCAGGCGACGAAAGGGGAAGATCTAGGTTTCTGAGTTGCGACGGCCAGAGGTGGGGATTCCAATTTTGGTTCGTCGGTGAGCAAATTCAAAATCTCTTTTGTGTGACCTCGCCTATTGGGGCCTTCTCTACTCGGATTTTCCAGTTCCCGTTCTGGATTGCTCCCTGTTGATGGATATAGTCGACGACGCTATTCTCCAAGACTGAGTGAATGGCAACCGAGCAACAGCAAAAGGGGAACCAGCTAGAGGGCCACGCGCTCGATTTTGATGTCGAATAGTTCGCAATTCTGGTTGGAGAGGAACAAAGGACAAAGGAGGCTCGCTAACCAGTCACAACTTCATCTGTTGTCGGGATGTTCAGATCCGGTGCTATGAACTGTGGGCATGTCATTCGCTCACCTTCAGTCGATTTTATCTAACCTTTTTCTTTTGCAGGCTTTATTTGTTGTTGATTTCCATCGTGGTTCATTTTTCTATTCTTTTATGTTCAGTTTCTTATTGTTCCTTTTTTGTTGTGTTTCATTTTTTGTTTTGTTCTTTGTATTCTATTCTCCATGTTTGAATTACAGGCATGTCGCACTAATGTTACCCTTTGGAAATCCCACATTCGATGTTCTCCTACTATTCTCTCCGCCCCTGTTTTCGGGAGACCGGGTTGCCCCTCTTCGTCCCAGGATCCCACCATCCCTATTTTCGCTTTTGAGTTTTCTAATCAAGCTTTCGGCTTTAGCCATCGTCGGATTTGCTGGTGCCACTTGCACTGTCTCCCTCCGTCGTGGCGTGCAAGTTGGTACTTTGCTCTTTCCTTCAGCTTTCGATTTGGAAGGTGTCATGACTGGCGCAGACTGTGACATTAGCAGTGGTGGGATAAGCCTTACCATGCTTTACATATTCTCATGAGATGTGCTTTTTTAGTTTGTATTGGTGAGTGGCAGCAGGATAAGTTGTCTCACAAAATAAACATGTGTTTCCTTTTGGTGTTCTTTTTAAATGAGAATGCCCAAAGTTTCCTGCTTCGGTTTTGGGATACCATGGGTTGGCTCACTCTCTGTGAGATACCTTCATTTTTATTGTTCATGACAAAAACTTAGGATTTGCTAGAAATGATAAGGGTTTAGCATTAGTATTCATAAGACAATTAGTGAAAAATTAGAATCTACAATATTTAGTTTAAAGTTTTGTGTTCTCATTTGAAATTCAGCCTGTTGTTCTCGGAGTTGATAGGCCTAAGTTATGTCTCAAACATAGATCTGATGCATTCATCTTATCATATCATTATGTAGAGTATTCTGTTCCACAGCTGATTTCTCCTCCGGGCCTTTTTTGTTTGTTATGTTCTTGGAAACTAATAAATTTCTAGGGAAATTAAAAGCTGGCCACCAACAAAGGATGAATGCCTTTTGTAGATTCTGTCATGGTGTTTTATTTTGCTGTGTCTATTCTTGATTTGAAGTTTCTCATAGCCTCCCTACATAAGTTTAGGTAAGGAAAAATAGTACTCAATTAGCTATATAGGTACTTTTATTATTATAATAGAATTAGACAGTGTTGGGGATATGAGTTTTGGTAAAGTTGTTAAGTTATTATTATCTCTACATCTTTGTAGTTTTGCCAAACTTTGTGGCGTTCAAAAGTTGAGTTATGTGGTTTAGTATTGTCACTGCATTGTATATGTGTTTCCTGAATCTCCATGGCTTAATGAGCTACATATATTTCGTGTTTTTTAATGGATAGGGTGGTTGTGTGGATGTATCAATAAGCTTTGCTCGATACTAAAAATATTAATGCCTCAAGCTCCCATAATATTAGTAGTGAACATGAAGTTGGTGACCTTGATGCTGCCAAATGCACCAAAATTGATCAAGCGAACCATGATATTATATTGCAACACCTTTAGTCGAGTCACTAAAGAGGAAGGTCCATGTGAATTCAGAAAGTGATGCACAGATGATCGAGTTTTTGAATGTTTATTCTCATGAATGTTCAATTAGGTTTATCGATGACTTTATACGCATTATAGCTGAGTGGATCGTGTGTTTCTCTATACCTACACGTTTTATTTTGCTAAGTCACTTTGCATGAATACTTCACCAAGTTTGTGACTCCATTTCTTTTTATGCATGGAGCATCATGCAAATCATCATGTCTTCTAACAATAACTATATATATACACTATCTCTTCCCGTCTTTTATCTATGGCTCTATCTTCTAATCAAGTTGCAACACTACTACATTACGCTACATATTTCCTAGCTCCTAGAATCAGTGGCGGATTCAGAAAATTTTCACAGGGGTGTCCTCTTCAAAAATTAAATTTAATTATATAATAAATTAAATAATTCGTATATTAAAAATATCATACTTGTATAATTTTTATAAAATTTTTATTAAATAATAAAATAAAATTCATATTTTGAAAAAAATAATATAAATAAACTTCGTGTCTGCACTGTTCAAAAAATCTACATATCCTACTAGACAATACTTCACGAACTTATCACATATTCGATTTCTAACATTGTTCTTAATGTAGCTCAAAGTAGAAAAGACTCTTTCAACAATTTCCATGTAACCATAAAATCAATTCAAAATTAAGGGTAGCGTGTACGTAGTTTAATTATTAGGTATTGAAAATAGTTGGGGATAAAGAAATAGCGTTTTACTGTTGCATGATGTTTAAAATAGAATAACAAATGAGTAGCAACATAATTGGAATATGTTTGATAATAGTAGTGTCCTAGGTTGGAATAACACAGACTACCACTTATATTTTATTAATCATAAGCAAACTATTATCGAGGGTAGGATAATCATTTTTTCAAATGTTAGGGTGCCCGGATTACCAATTATATTTTGTATACACATACGAAATTACTACCGGAGGTTGGATAATCGTTTCCCCAAATTTTAGGGGTGTCCCGGGACACCCCTAGAGGCCATGTATCCGCCCCTGCCTAGAATGCTTAACTTACATAGCAATGTTAGTTGTATATGATGATGTACTGTGGGATCCCTTATTATTTCAGGTATAGTTGGATGGACTTAAATTATTTTTACACTTGACTATTTTCAAATTTAGGATGGTAGAGTTTTGCACCAGTTTCTCAAATTTGCCATGAGTGAATGTCTAACCAGTGGTTCTGATTAAATTGTTGTAGGGGGATTTGTGTACTTTAGTAGGAACTCTACCTAAAATTTGCAATAGGTAATGGGTTTAGTAAAATGTTGGGTGATAAGGATAACAATGATTGTCAGAAAGGCTACGGATTGATACATTAGTCGTCTACCACTGTTGGCCTAAATTTTTCGTAGAGGACCCTTCCTCCGCTCCCTTCATCTCTATCGTCGTTCTCCGTCCTCTCCTTTCATTGGGAAGCCAGGATCAAACGGTTGTTTTGCATGTCAGTGGTTGGACGACGTCCAAGTGGATGTCAGTGGGCAAATTCAGTGTCGAATAGGGATTGTGTCGGAGGTAGCTAGATCCACCCATATCCTCCTGCTCGCCATGTCTGAGATTCGACGTCGGCGGCTGTAATGTTCTAACGAAGAAATTGGGGTGTTAAAGTGCTTCCTCTAGAAATGCCACTATCAACTTCTCTCTGTCGAGGTAATTTCAGCTACCAACCCAAGCTCGATTCACGCCAGCAAACGAAATCACCTTCTGCGTTATGCGTATAAAAGGCAATTTAAATCACACAGACCCACGAAAGCGTTTCAGCGAAAACTCCACTAGCAGCTTCTCTCTGTCAAGGTAATTCTCAGCCATCAACCAGCCAACTTTTGATATTTGTTTCTATCGGTCTGCCATTTCGCTTCTTTATTTTAGCTATATGCTTCCCTCCTATTATGTTCGTGAAAGGTTTTTGATTTGTGTCTGATGGAGCACGATTGGAAATCTTAAGATGATCAATTTTATGCTTTTGTAGCAATAAGTTAATCCCTTGAAGAAATTCTAATTACTATTTTAATTTAATGCATAATTGTTTTAGTTTTGTTTGTATCTAATAGTAAACCAAGTTAATAATACCAATATAAAGAAATAATTTTAAGCAATTTATGATACAATAAATAGGGCAAATTCTTTTAATACGAAACATGTATAGGCCGTAGTGAGTTAGGATAATCTGATTAACAAAAATACATATGAACTAATTGTTATCAATGTCATAATTATCAAGTAGTGCAAAGATCACTTTCGATTATTATGAAGTAATGAAAAATAAGATGAAATCATCCGACTAACGGGTCGGGTAAAAGCTAGTACATTTTAAAGAGTTTGATTTGCTCCATTTCAAATTTCCTGCAACGAGAGTGAAAGTAGGAAGGGTATTTTCGTCAACACAATCAATTTTTTATTTCATATAAAAAGATATTAATGCTAGGATTTGAACCATGGTCTCTTCCACCAAAGACAAGAATTGTAACCAATTAGACTAGACACATTTGTTGTACTTTATTAATACAAAACATAGAGGAAGTTAAAATTATGAAAACAAAATACTTTTCTATCACTGTTAGTTAGCCCGCTAAGTCTACTGTAAGTATTTTGTGGTGTTTGATACTTCTATTTTCATATTTTAATAATTAATTTAGAATTTTTTTCTAACTTATAAATGAAGGATAATCTTAAAATCTCAACACAAATATCATTGGTTTGAATATTGCGCATTGAATTGAAGTGTTCAATGAAGTGTTCAATGACGACATAAGAACACTGGTACCATACATTTCAAGAAATACAAACATGACAAACACCAATACCAATTATCTCGACAGTCTATGCTAAAATTCGAAATTGTTTAATCATTCAATTTGAATGATAGTTTAGTCAAATCAAACAAATAATTCACGATTGTGTATGAACTAAAATAAAAACATATTATTGTCTTATGAAAAATGTATTTATTTTAACAATCTAAAAAAACAATCAAAACTTCCATACGACCCCTTATTTCAATAATGTAATTAATGAAATAATTTTTATTAGCATGATGCAATATTCAACCTAAGGTCCAAGTATTAATCACCAGTATAGTATTCATCATAGTTAACTATTTCAATATCCACAACTAACTATTAATGGTTACTTGCTTTCTCTTAGAGAGTTTAATGTAGCACTCTCATGCCTAACTATGCACTAAGCATTTGTTTTCTTTTTCACAATATCATTTGCAGTTATTTATTTAATCAACTTTGTTTCTAGCTTTCAATTCCTAATTATTCACTTCTTCATACCAACTTATGGGAATACTAAGTATATTTTTCATGTCTAATCTATTAAATATAAATGTTGCTTATCACTTAAATTCAATGTTATCCATGTTAGGTTTGAAATCACCAACATATTCTCCCAATTTCTCCAAAAAGCACAATATCTTGCGATTGATATCATAGTTTCGTTAGGTAAAGTTCAACAAACTCAATCAATATTCGAACTCTTCGAAATAGCTGTCTACATGCGAATATGAAGTACTGAGTAGCTAAAACTCTACTTGAGTTAGTACACTCTTTTGCGCTATCGATTCCAAATTCAATATATGATTATCTTATTACAATTTAGCCATACTAATTGTGAAGTAGGGGACATTTTATAAAAATCTTAAAGAAAGACTCTTTAATTGATCGTTTTCATGATGTAATCAATTATACAAAAATAAAAGGGATCAAATTTATAAGATGCACTCAAAGTTTGCTATAATTATTGAGGTTCAGCAGCACGTTAGGCGTACGATGGTCATTGGGCATTTGTCTATCTCCTAGCTCGCATAGACATGATTAGACATTATAATAAAAATAGCAATTTTAATAATAATGAATAAAATAACGGTTCTAAAGCACTTTCATACTTTAGTTCAAATGATTTAACAACAAATGAAATAACTCTCAAGTTTATAAATTATTTTCTTTTACCAAATGATATAATTAATTCATTCGTGAGCTGAAATAGCTAATTATAAGCACTTCAAATTTAAGTTAAAACTCTATATGATGCCATTGTTTGACGAAATGGTTCTATAATAATAGAGTGGTTCTATCGAGAGAGGTCTCTAAGAAGCATGACTTACTTTATTATTCCTTAGGTGGATATAATATCTATCTTCATCGTTACTTTTACATTAGATTCAATTTAGTATACCTTTTCATTTAGATAGATTTTTTGATGATGTTCTGGGATGTAATATATCATTATATATGATGGTGTAGGATATTAATTCCTCTCATGGATTCCCCCCTTTACCGTTCCCTTTTATTGGTTAATAATTTTTATGATATTTTTCACTTTGAAATATCGTGAGCGGAATCTATACACAACAATTTGTGTTTTTTCTGCTTCCTCTTCTCTTGATTAGATATTGTGTCCATATTATTCCTATATTGATTATCGAATTAATACTTTTTTGTTCTTTTTTCTTATGCAAGATATGATTTTATGTTTGATAATATAGATTTATTTTTCAAGCATGTGGATGCTTGAGACTTTTCATTTGCTTCATAACATACATTTTACAATGGCTCCAACCTCGGATGTGTTTCTATTCAACACATAAATTTTTAATGATGTAAAATTTATGAAACTACGATGCATATTAATAAACAATGTAAGATCTCATCTTCCCTCTTAAGCACTACATATAATTGTTTACTTACCATTAAATCAAAGTCTTTCTAACTTGAGTAAGAGCTACAATGACTTTTATTAACTTTCACTACTCATATATCACAAGTGTTCAAATCATTATCAAGTGTTCATACAATGACTTTTATTGTTGTGGATTTCCCCCAAAATGTTAGGTATGTTGCTTTTAGTTTTTGCCTTCTTTTCGCTTTGATTTAGCTTTTTATGTGTTGCTCTATTAGTTGAACTTGCCAGCTGGACATCTGCATGCTTTGTTTCATTATATCATTGAATACACAAAAGTCAATGAAACCATGAATGTGTCAGTTAGTTTGTTTCTTTTTAAAGACACTCTAAACATATACTTTGTTTCATTATATCATTGAATACACGAAAGTTAATGGAAAAGGCAAAAAAATTTATCGTATATTGAAGATTGATTATGTATATGTGATGTAAAACAACTCTTATCATTGTTCTTCCCAGACATTTTTATATAGATACGACTTTGTTTTAAAATATGTATTTATGTTAGTGTAGTTGGCGTTTTTTTTCATTTTTTAAACTTCATTAGTCAAATACATTAAATATTTTTCCATATTATTCATGGAGAACTTACAAAATTAAATAGTTACTTCAATTCCCAACAACATGAACCATAAAAAAATATATTCCTCAATGTTTACTACACATACACATGAAAACCAAACTCTCCCGGCCAAGAGGCCGGGCCCTAATCTAGTTATACTAAAATCCTTATCCTTAATTTTTATTAGGTTTAAGAAATAGTAATACCAATAGCATCATTAACCACCTATTAACCACTAACTTTCTATTAACTACTTAAATTACTCTTACGCCAATAGAAATTACTTAAACATACTCCTAAATTTGTAGCAGTGGCTCCAATTGTCATATTTTACGAGTTTCTATATCTACTAGGAATCAAACTCGATATTCTATCTAGCCGATCTTGGTTTACAATTAACTCTACTATTGCACTACTTAAAATGCAACTTAAACTAGCCAATAAGGCAATCAAAGTAAATGAGGGGTTTCTAGAGTGGGAAGGCTCGCTTGGCCCAAGAATCCCTATAGCTAGCTATGGGTTAAATCAAGATTATTTTAGGAACCCAATTAGCTGGCTCTCAGTCCTTTTTCGTCCAAGCGCTAATTGAGTTTTTTTTTTAAAGGAATCGAGCTATATTTTTAAACCATCATTATTTAACAACTTTAAAGCGGATTAATTTGTTTCCCTCGTAATTTATGTTCATTTCATTGATTGTGAGTGTATTGCACTTCCAAGAGAAAGAGATGAATATTATCATTGTTGGTGTATTTTGATCAGGTCGACTTTGCATTCAGGGCAAGATTTAATCTCTTGTTATAGAGATTTCTAGCACCATAGTCGTGCTTTTTCGGTTGGTCATTTTGCAAATGGTTATTTGGTATGAGAATAGTTGAAATGAAAATAAGTTTCATCGATCTATCAGGTGATTGTTCGATTTTATTCGCTTTTTATAAATTTATGAGAGTAATTAAGCATGCTCTATCCAATATATTGCTAATGTCCTTTTCTTTTATTTGTTGTGGCTTTGGGGAAACTCTATACTGGTCATCCGGCATATTCTGCCAAAGGAAACTACACTCGCTGGCGGGACTATCTTGGAGATGTTGTTTTTTGTTTTTTTCCCGTCAGTGCCGTGACTTTGCTCATCAGAGCTTCTTCATAGCTGTCCATGTAGTGGGTTATCTGGCTCTTTCATCGTAGTCCGATTGCATACGAACTAACGTGCGGTTTTTGAGTAAGTGTGTAACTGTGTCGAGTATTTGTCCTTGCCTTGGATATATAAAAAAAACATGAAACCTTCAACCAAATCTCTAAATTGCTTGAAATCCTCCATTAGCTACGGATCCAATAACCCTTTTTGAATAGCTAATTGAGGGTGATTATTTCTTCAACCCAATTAACCAAACAAAGCTCTGACCCTAAATTTCCATTAAAGGGGTCTCGCCCAAAGCAAAGCAAAGCAAAGATAGTAAAAAGAAAATCTATCTATCTATCTATCTATCTGTCTATCTATCTATCTATATATAAAGGGCTTTTAGATTTTAACACTATCCGCGTCAGCCTTCCTGAAAATCTACACTATCCACGTCAGCCAAAAAAACGTCCTCAATTCTCTCTGTTCTCTCCCTCTGAAAAAACCTTCTTTTATGCCGCCTGTTCGGTCGCTTCCTTCTTCCTTTAATTCACCCCTACAGATCTTTATCCGCAAATCTGCACCAATCTTTCGCATGATTCTCCCAATTTCGAAGTAAGTTTTTGGCGGTAAGTGAAATTTCGCAGGAGTTTCGGCTTTTCCACATAGCAAGAGGCTGCACCCATCGATTTCCCCCTACTTGCAAATTCTGTAGGGGATTCGGCTTCTCCGAGCGCTCAGGGTGTTGGATAAGACCCACAAAACTCACCTCCATTATTTGCATCTTTGTGGTGGCATTATCATCTTCTGATTTGGTGCAACCAGTTACTTCTTCCAAATTTGAGAACCTCTGGCCGGGAAGAGAGGACGAGAAGGGATACTATGCTGGGAGGGGAACCGAATGATTGCTATGATAGTTGGTAGTCTTGGGTTAGAAGCTAGGTTTATGCGAAGTTTGTGAACCTTCGCGGCTAAGCAGAGTAAGAAGAAGAAGGGTGGAATGGTGGAGAATGACAGACAGAGGGGATTACGGCGGTCGTTGGCGTTGATTTCAGTGATTGATTTCTTCCCTCCCTAAATCTATCTCCATACTCGATCTTCAATGAAGCGCAAGGGAAGCAGAAACATCGTTGTCGTTTGCAGCAGATCGTTCCAGTCCAACACCTCCTTCCATCCCTAAATCTATCTCTACACTCGATCTATTCTGCCAGTTATTATCTCCGCTTTCATGTGTTGCCATTTCGAGCATCTGAGTTCCTATGTTGCTCTGAGAGCAGAGAAATTTAGGCCAGCTGGGTTAAATAAATGAAGAAATGCTCAAGCATTCAATACTCTTTGGAACTTGGATGCCATTGTTTCTAGCAACCTGAATGATAATGTTGTGGACAAGTATTATCTCAAAGCACTGGCAGGGCTTCCTACTTCAGAAAACTACAGAGATCAAGTTGGGATTTTGTTCAAATTTGTACTAATTACCAATCTACAAAATTGGAATTGGGAAATTTGATAAGGGTTGCCCCGCCCCAATCTTATTCGACCGGAGCCTCTTTCTCTACATGAATGACACTATGGCTGCATCCTCGACTCGACAATCTAGAAGGAAGATGAGGTTGAGTTCCCAAATGGCCTGACAGACACCGTATTTGGGTGGTTGCGTTCCTGCTCCCAAATGACCTCATTGTCAATTTTTTGAATGGCTTTCCAGGTAAACCCTCTATTTTGTTATGCCAATTCTTTGTCATGATTTATCATGTTTGATGCATTTGAATAGCGTCCAGAGGTGTGGTATTGCAACTGAATTAGAGGTACGCATGTTTGTCTATTAATTGCTTATACTGAATATAATCATGCCTTGAACTCTGCCTTCCAAAGGAATACAGATCCACTCATACTCATGGTTGTGACTCCAATAAGGCTATACTGTCTGTCTATTTTACGGAATTGGATCTCATTCATCTTAGTACCAGATTTTATATTTTTTATGATGACAAAATCTAAGATAGTAACTATTCCAACGTTGTGCTTATCTTTTACCCTTATAATGGTCACTAAACTTATTTTATAGTTGTATCGAGTAACTTTAAGACCAAATCGTATAAGATGGATCATGTAGGTTTATGCCCTATCATATTGTTCAACTATACCCGTATCGGAACAATTGCCAGTATTGGAAGTTGGAACGATTGGTGGCAAGGGAGTTGATATAGTTCAATTTTTTGACAATACTGGTCTTTTCTTTCAAACTTCTTTCACTCAATAGTCAAAATAATCACCTATTGCTTGACAAATAGAGTGACACCAAGTCATTGACAAAATGTGGATCCATATAAAAAATAAACGTCGAATCAAATCACACTAAATCATGTCGGCCAAAGGCCGGTCTCGAAGCTAGTTCATTATCATGCAATCACCAAAACCTTTCCCAATCGATGCATGTTCAATTGAACCAATTGAATTCCTCCCTCTTAGATCAAAACCCGAATCACTATGGTTTTTGCTCAGATGAATCGTATGTCCCAATTCATACTTTAAAAAAAATGATTTTGACACATTCCTTTATCAAGATAATACTTTTGTATCAGTTTCTACAATTACTATTTTGCAAGTTATGTAGAAGAACTCCATTATTATTCCTTGAGTCAATTACATTTGAAATTGACAATTCACATATCAAGGACTGAAATGATCAGGAAGATCTCTGAAGAACTAGAACTGAATTTGTGAACTCTCTCTACATTTGGAAATTCAAACTCTCTCTACATTAGTCGAAACAAATTCAGGCTGTCGGTTTCTAGTCCTAGGAAGTTGTATACATGTCATGAACAGTCTGGAAAAAGTCCATGAAACCGTTCACTAGGGCCCAAAAGGTTTTAAACCACACTGTTGGCATCTCAGTTCCAAACACCCTGCTGAGATCTGGAGAAAGCATCCCCCAGCCCAGGCCCAGACCCGGTGAAACCGGATCAAGAAGGCGGTACAGGAAGACCTGTTTGACTTTGACCCGCACTCCAGCTCCTGCGACCATGCGGGCTACGATGCCGTTCCAGAAGAGGCGAGCATTGGCTGGATTAGCTTCCGCATCCGATTGACCGCCGGACGTTGGCCAGCCCGTTTCCGCCACGACGATCGGAAGCTTGTCAAAGCCTGAAACAGTGAGCACATCTTGGACTCCGTGGACCATTAGATCAAAGAGCGATTTGTAGCGCTGGGCGAGAGGATGTTCCGGATTGAAGGAATGTGTCTCGTTATTTTGGAAGATCGCAAATCTCAACGGATATCGATAGGCCTTGAAATAGCCGTAGACATCCATCTTCACAAGCAGTACCGAACTCCTTTCGCTCAAGAAATAGAGGAGCTGCGAAAGGATTGGCGGAGGATGGAGGAGATCGCCGAAACCGAGTGTGACTGAGAGAGAGGCTTGAACATTGAGGATTCGAAGAGCTTTCTCGACGTTATGTAGAGCAGGCAACACCGCCGGGAACAGAGAGATCGGCGGTTCGTCGCCAACAGAGATGGTGGAGACGGAGTGTTCGGCTGAAAGGATAGGTCGTAGGATCTCCACCGCAACTGATGAGTTGGCGGCCAACCTCGATAGAAGGCGATTCGGAAGAATCACGAGAACAGTGATCTTACGATCGGCGAACTCCTCAAGTAGGCGTGGGCGGAGGTCGTCCAAGTGCAGCCTCACTGCTCCAAACTCGAGCCTCTGCACAGCAGCTCCGATTACTGCCGGAGGTGGAACCAATGGAGGCAGCAGCGGAGGAAAGGAGGCGGTGGTTGATGATTCGTAAGCCACGCCGAGACTAGGACGCACCTCTTGGAACTGGAGGTAATCGACGGTCAATGTAACCATGACGCCAAGAATAACGCCGACGACGAAGTGCAACTTGTACATGTTGAAGTTTGATCGAGGAAGGAGTTCAAGAATGGCGGTCTTGAGGAAGAGGAAGAGGGAGAGGGAGGAAGGAGTTCAAGAATGGCGGTCTTGAGGAAGAGGAAGAGGGAGAGGGAGGAAGGAGGATGGAGTTGATCCAATCACATTTTGTTTGGGAGTATGGAAGAAGCTTCGGTGAGGAAATGGAGTTCAAGAAGTGGTGTTTTTGGAGGGAGGGCGAGAGGAGGAGGAGGAGGAGGAGGAGGAGGAGGAGGAGGAGGAGGGAGGAGATCAAATGATTTGTGTTTGGGAGGGAATGAAGAAGTTGGGGTTTATTTTATACCCTTGCCGGCCAAGAATCTCCTAGAACCTATCAAGTTTCTACTGTCAACGGTGGAACAAAGTGGTCCGTCCTTCCAATTATGTTGTTATGAAGCAGGACTGAGCTACGTCTCTAGCAGGTTCAAGTCTTACCGCCTCTTCCAATCATATTAGTGTCGAACTTCCTTTTGTTACCTTAGATACATTGCTTATATATTAGATTCCTATAACTCAGCTGTGATTTGTGCAGAGGACTGATGGGGATTTGAGTCCATGCTCTCTTGGTGAGCTGCGAATGGTCTCTCAAAACTCATAATCAGCAACAACAGGTATCATAAGTTTTTCTCTTCTACTTATTCAATCCAGTAAATCATTAACTGGATTGATTATGTGGTGTAGTGGTTTTGGAATATTGTCCCTATTTGAATAATTCTTCTGCCACAAAGGACTGCTTTTGCTACAGCACTTCATAGTTCTTACTTCTTACTGGTCTGTCGTTTGGTAATGTCAGATTTCTGGATACTGTGAATTGCTTTTTTCAGGTTGGGAAACAGGCTCGGGTCTAGAGTATTGCAACTCAAAGCTGCTTCATGAAATGGATGTTCCAGTACGGTTACTTTCTATTACAGAAAGTATATTTACAATTTGAAGTTGTACCGTAACATTAAAGGTACAATTTTAAATTGTACCATAAAGGTAAAAACCTATAGCACCAATGCTATATAGCATTGTACATATCTGTTGAATCTTGATGAAAAAAGGTCGTGTAATTTGCTGTCCGATGAGGCTAATGCACACCTTAACCTTGAAGAGAAATGGTCAGTGCTGTCCATGCAGGCAATGAAGTAGAGATTCTGCAACTCTATAGATTCCTTTGCGGTTTGAGATGTTTGTTTTGTTTTTAGTCTTATGAGTTCATCAAGTACAGTGGGGAAAATCACTTCCATTCTTCTATCTGCGCTTCGCAGGCCTACTGTTGATGTCTAATCCTGTGCAGATTCATGGCTTACTAGGATGAGATACATGCTGCCTGGCGCCATCGATCAATCCTATCCTGCCAGGTTGGTAAACTAAAAGCCACTCTTCTACTTTCCATTTTCAACTACAAGATTTTATAGATTATTATTGTTCTTTAATAGTCCTTGGAGAGAAAAGTGGGGCTGGTCTTGCGATTGATCATTAGGGATTATTGTGTCTTTTCGTTTGCCTATCTGCTATTGGCTGCAAATGGACCATCTGGGCTTAATCGCAGCGATGAAGTTGGCTTTCTTGCTGCTGCAAGTTGTTTGTGAACTTAGGAGGAGACAGATATTAGTTGTTCTGACGGAGGATGGAAGAAACCTAGGGATTGTTGTCTAACTTGGGAGTTTGGTAGACAATGCTCCTTTTACCTACTATCTTTCCATACGCTGTTAAAACCTAGAAATGAGTTCCAATCCTTTTGGGAATCATTTCGGGTGCTTGCTATAGGATGTTTCTCACCTTAGAAATCAAATCTACAGGAGTCATTCTCTCGGATCTGCAACTGTTGCCGTAAAAATGGCTTCTCCAGCAAGCATGATTTATATGGAGATGATCATCACAACTAGAGTATATGGTTGGGAAGTTCACCGCATGAAGGATTTTAGCATATGTCCTGCGGCTATAAACAATCCTACGGGATTGCAAGAGGAAGACTATAGCATAGAAAAGTGACAAGAAAGGTTCATTTGGATCGATGGTTTGGTTGAGGAATGGAACTTCTGAATCTTAGTAGAGCCTGCTGCATCCGCAATGTTGCTGCATTGCTAGGTGGTTTGTCTCTTTCTTTCTTTTTGCAATTAGCTTTAATAAAGAATTTATACCACTAGAGTTGGGAGATAGAACTGATTAGAAATCTGTGTTTCTGTACAGGTTCATTGTGTATGGGCAGCAGCAGAAGCTTATTCAGCCCCTTCCATTGTTCTAACATCTCACTCGAATAATGGTAGCTTGCATGTTTTTGACGATTTTAGAGAAGTCTATTCATGGTTGAGCCACAATACTCTGACGTGGATCATAAAGTATGATTACTCTCTTCTCTCTTTCCTTCCGTTTATTTGCAGACATACTGGTTTCAAAATGTCACTTCATTGTTGAAACTCGCGAGGGCTTGTGACAGCATAAGATATATCAGCTAAAATTTTTGTGGAAAATTAGGATGTTTACATGTCTTCTGAATGGTTGACCTGATGACACTTGATTCAGATGTAAATAACAATGTTACATTATACACCAGCCGCTTCCACAGACTGAAGTATTTTGACTGTTGTAGGTCGCGTCATGTTGGAACCATGGCTATCAAACAACTGCTTATGGCTAGTCCCGCACTCTTCTAGTCGACGACAACACTCATATGGCAACTGTTGGCACAACCATGTCTTCCCCTGAGAAGCAAGCTAAGCCTGGGAGATCTTCCATTCACTGGATGTGAAGTATGTCTTTGGAGCTAGGTGTCCTTCCTTCCAGCCTCAATCTTCTAAAGACAGCATTTATCTTGAATCCTTTTGAATCAGCTAATTTCCTTAAGTAAAAGTATGATTGTACGTTACAGGTCTTTTTGGCTACCCTAGTGATGATATCAGTAAGTTCCTTTGGATGGTTCGGAATGGAGGCGGTGTGTTCCCTTCCCTCACATCAAAGAAGCTGATTACCTGGTACTTTTCTTCAACTTGCACATTATGAAATGCCAAACTGTTGCTTGATAGTATAGTAGCCATAATCGTATTTGTTCACTCCTCCCCTCAAATGCCTGAAATCACAGTTGTATGGTTTGGTTTGATGTTGGTTAATTGTGAAATCAGGTATTCACCTCTCACCATTGGATGGAACGGATCTACAAAGTGAATTGCCTCCAAGGAACTGCAGGTAGGTTCGGTTTTTCGGGTTTACCCGAAACCGACCCGATTATATATATTTTCGGTTTTTCGGGTTCGTTTCGGGTTTTTCGGTTTCGGGTTCGGTTTTGCTTATCGGTTTTTCGGGTTCCGGCTAAAAACCTTCAATGAATAGAACTCAACCCGTATTTTTAGGCGTTCGGGTTTTGGTTTTGCTTTAGCCGAACCCGAACCCGATAAGGAATTTTCCTTATCATCTCTTTCCTGTTTCCTCCTGAACCAGTTTTGATGTTTTAAACTGCTGCTGCCTTAATGTTTTGTTGATAGCAGAGATGGGTTAGCGTTAGCTAGCTCAGAGAGAGATGTAAGGGGAAAGAGCTAGTTTTGTTGGAGTAACTGACTTGAGTCCATTCTCCTTGAATTCCATGCCAGTGCCTGCTGCGAATGATGATGTGAAGTATGGCCAACCATTTTGATCAACCAATTTTAGTCGGATTTATCCCATTCGAAGCACACTCACCTTACCTATATATGTTTCTTTCTCAATGCATAGTCGACCAGACTGGCCGAGGAAGTCGATGTGTGCACTGTGCAGACAGCTACGCGAGCGTCGAATGAGAACGAGAACGGGTCCAGCCTAGACGAAGTGATCCGTCTGAATTCTTGCTGTTGGGCTGGGCCGGGGCCTGACCATGGTATTTTTATTTTTTTAGAGACCGAGAAGGAAAAAGGAAGTCTCTTCTAATCCTGCAAGGACTTGGAATTTATTTAGTATATAAATCAATCGAACCGCTGCTCTCCTCTGTCCACAAGACTCAGCAAGCAAGCTAGGCGCTAGCAATCTTTGTTTCCTGGTCTCTGCACGTGTGGCCATGGACGCTCTGAAGTCCCGTCTCGGTTTGATTTTATGCATGTTATATTTGGTCAAGGCATGGCTTGCGATATGGGCGTGGCGAAAACTGGATCGTCACCTCCGCAACAAGTACGGGTTGAGTTTGGTCGATCTGTTGAGGAATTCTTTTGACGGAGCTGAGAGAAGCTTGATTCCGCTGTTGCAAGAGTATCCCATCATACTTCCCGCGTTGCTTGCGTTATGGGCTTCGCAGGCCCTGGGCTTGAGCTCTTTCTTCTGTATGCTTGTTTTTGTCTTCCTTTTACGTTCTTGATCCATTCTCGTCTTTTTTTTTTTTTTTTTGCTTTCTCCCATTCCAGCTTAAGAGACAAGGTAACTGTGGTTGTTGGACATTGAAATATTATAATATAATAATAATATATTTAATGCAGTCGTTGCCTTTTGTTGGTTGTTGGTGTGTAACATAGGAAGAGCAAAACATAATTGTTCAATGATTTCATATTAAAATTAAATTTTGGGTATCAAAATAAAAAATGTATATTACAATAACTAAGTTGTGACTTAATTAAATTTGAGGTATCAAAATGTAAATTATTTGGCAACAATAACCTAACTTCCACTTTATATATATTAATATCTTGTTGAAATAAAATGGTAGTATAGTGAAATCTGAAGTCTCATCACCACGACTGTTGAGGTAAGGTAAGATGAGCACGCTTTAATTACTCTAGCAAAGCAATAGTATAATAAAGGAGTGTGAACCTGAGTTCGAAATCCAACCTATTGTATGTTACTAATATGGAAAACAAATCATAATTAATATTATAGCATCGCCAAAGAAGAACTGGAATGAGGAAGGAAGGTATTAATTAGTTAGAAAACCCTAAAATCAACGAAGAATATATAAAGGCGTGTGAGGAGGAGGAGGAGGGGAATCATATATTGGGATTCCGCGTAGGATTCACATTCTGTAACAGCAGCAGCCGCCTGGCCGTGACGATTGACGTAACGACAGACAGACAACACCCTCTCTAGCTATTGGATTGTGGTTTGTTTTTGTGGGTGTGGGTGTTGATATTCCAAGTAAGGATTATATTCTCTCTAATCCAATCTATCTTTCTTGCTATCTGAGGCCGTGACTGTAGTTTAATCTGATTCGTATAAATACATGGAATACGTAGTTGGACAAACAAGCACATGGTGTTATCGGTTAGGGCTCGCGAACGTTGTTATTCGATAGAATGTTTTCTGAAAATGTTATTAGGGGTGTGACTTGTGAGAACAAAATTGGAATCAAAATGCAATGCACGGTTAATAACTTTGGTTACATTAAATTTCAAAGAGTACTCTTTCCATCTCTTTGAATGCAAAAATTACGAATACGTTTTGTACGCATATATGAATATAGGTTACATAGCAAAGAATATGAGTACGCAACTCAAATTTGTGCTCTTTTCTTTCATTTTGTTTTTCAAAAATTTCTTCCCTTTTTATAATGTGACATTACTATAGTCTACACTAATTCATAAACACAAAAATGTGAACAGAAAAACACCACACCCTTTCATTTTCTGACTTTTACGTGCTTTCTTTTTTCTATTTTGTAGAATTATCCATTAATTATTAAATCAACAAAAAAATCAACTTGATATTGTTCTAATCATACAAAAATAGTAGATTACTAAATTATTTACCCTCAATGCTAAAATCAAAAGGATGTATTGTATCCAATATCCTGATTCTATAAATGACAAAATAGATAAACTCTTAATCAATCATTTTTGTGAACTCATATACAATTATTGAAAATCAATGATAATTATAAATAATATAGCTTAACCGAGAATAGAAACCACTCCAAAAAGACGGAGATCTTAACTAAGAATATAGCTAAAATAAAAATGAAACAAAAAAAAAATATTAAGAAAACAAAAGTGATTATCAACGCCATCCTCATTTATTTTAATTTTTATTAGTAATATTTATAGTTTGTAAACCAGCTATATGATCCATAACTGAACTCCATACTCGATAAGCATTTTGGAGTTTCTATCACACAATCCTGATAATTAAATACTAACATCAAACACAACTTCATTTTCTTCTACTAAAAAACTTAATTTGTAGCTATAATTTTTCCGATGAATTAAGACTCAATTATGAATTTGTACCTATATTTCTATAACCTTAAAAATAATTTTCCCAAGAAAAGTAGTTTACAAAAAATTTACATAAACACTCAAAAGACCCAGTTCATTTAGAATACACAATAAAAAACATATTAGTTAAGGGATACAAATTGATCATGAAATTATATTATATTCCAAAAGCATAAAATGAAAGAAGGTATAGTACAAAAAAATAATAATAAAGGTAATTTAATTATAGATCTTTTTATATTAGTTTTAGAGTTCAATAATCCAATAATATTTCAAAAAATAGACGTAATTGTAATGTAAAAATATAAATATTTTTTAAAAATTTTAAACATCTTTTATATCATTTCATTCTCCATAATCTTTTCTCTCCCCTAGTTTTTTGCGTGCATTACCAAAAATAAGGAGATAAATTTTTTTAATTTTAAAGTCAAAATATAATTACTCTTTTACCCTACCTACAATTAAGGAGAAGTAAGAAACTTTCAAATGATGAAAATCCTGTAAAACTCCACCATCTTATATTCTTTAGATTTAGATTAGACTTTAGATTTAGATGTTATCAAAATGAAAAATATTTCTACAAAAAAAAAGTAAATTTATTATAAAATTTATTACATTTTAAGAAAATTTAGCAGATATGTGTACGCACACACTCAAGATTTGTCTGTCAGCATATTATTCAATTTGGAATGTTAAACCTTTTTTTAGTTGGAATTTTAATTAACAGCAAAACAACGTTGACATATATATTCGATTTAGTTTACAAATTTGGTAGCTGAATTTCCTAATTCCTTACATATCCAACCAGATTACCATAATTCATTTCGTACTTATCATTTCCCGCTGCATCGTGCCGCCGCTTCCCACTTGTCGCCGGCTAAGCAGCCTTAAAAAAAAACATATAAAGAAGTTGCACACAAACAAATAATAATGACTCATAAAATGTAAATTGTGATTATTTGCTGCAATAAAGACAGATGTTTAAGGCTGAATATGTATTTAAGTTTCTATTATGTGGTGTTACACATCTGATCATTTATATGATCAGATCGACGTGGTTCGACCTACGTGTTGGGTAGCAGTATTCTATCTGAAATTCAAATTGTTTAAGCCTCCATACAGCGTTCATCGTTTCACTTCGCTCCGCGTAAGTATAATAGGGCTATCCATCTCGTGGCGAAACAAGTCCTCTCATCGTTGGATCGCCGGTTGGTTGACCATCGGCCCTTCCTTGATTCTACTTTATAATTTTGACATGCAAAGGTCCCCTTATTATTATTAGTGTTGTGGTATATGATCCACGATTGAATCTCTCCCAACAACTCGAGTTATTGGAATCAACTGGTTCTTGACATGGTATCAGAGTCTAGAACCGAAAGGTAATGTGTTCTAATCTCCACGACCCCCAATATTAATCATTTTCTTTAAAGCATATGGTATGGTGGGCTTGTGCAAACTTCAAACCCATGAGTTGGCTTTCGTTTGAGGGGGCGTGTTAGTGTTGTGGTATATGATCCACGATTGAACCTCTCCCAACAACTCGAGTTATTGGGATCAACTGGTTCTTGACAATTATGTCATATTTGTTGTTATTCCCTCTTGAGATATCTTTGAAAAAAAATCTGAATAATTCTAATAACAAATAAACGATATATTTAAATAAATTATTATTATTATTATAATTAAAAAAATTACTCGTAATCCATTGTTTAATAGCTAGATTATCTATATTGTTGGGTTCCACACCAATTTATTATTCTTCGTGAATAATCAACTGATGGATGGTGAAGTTACCAGTTACGAACTTACGATGCACCCCTTTTGGACTCCTTTGGATTGGAGGGCTGACGTAGTGAAGGCTTATTTGCAGGGTTAGGCACAACTGGGGCAAAATCTTTTAAAAATTTGTCTTTCATATATAATATAATAAACAAAAATCCTCAACCCAAAATAACTCTACTTACATCAACAAACATTTTGTAATATGATTGAGGGGGAAATGTCTACTGGTGTATGACATGGAACAACAATCCTATCCATGTATATATAAGGCAAGAAATCAAGAAGAAGCAAAATTGATTAATTGGTTGCTCAAAATTGACTTTGATTTCTTTACTTGCTCTGTATAAATACAGCATTCACACAGACTCTCCGCCGCATCCCATTCTCCATTCGACTTTCCCCCTCCCTTTTGATCTCTTGGGTTTTGATCAGAACAAACGAGGGAACCATGAATGCATTAGCAGCAACCAACAGAAACTTCAAGCTAGCAGCTAGGCTGCTGGGTCTCGACTCCAAGCTCGAGAAGAGCTTGCTCATCCCTTTCAGAGAAATCAAGGTAAAAGAATCCATCGATTCCCCTCACAAAGTTATGTTCTTTGGTTTCAAAGGGGAAACTGGGTTTTCTTTTCACCAGTTTCGGTGTTCTGATCGAATGGTTTATTGTGGTGGGTTTGTGTATTTTTTTTTTCCCTCCTGAATTGCAGGTTGAGTGCACAATACCAAAGGATGATGGAAGTTTGGCATCATTTGTTGGGTTCAGGATTCAGCATGACAATGCCAGAGGCCCCATGAAGGGAGGAATCAGATATCATCCCGAGGTTTTTTTCTCTTACAGTCTTCCTTTTTGTAGATCTCCCTTTTTCCTTTTGTCTTCTGGCTGTTAAAAAACTCTCCTTTTGTTTTTTCTTTGTGGATTTATTGGTGGTTTTGTTTTACAGGTTGATCCTGATGAAGTGAATGCACTAGCACAGCTCATGACTTGGAAAACAGCAGTGGCAAACATCCCATATGGTGGTGCAAAAGGGGGGATTGGATGCAATCCAGGAGACCTGAGCATTTCAGAACTTGAAAGGCTGACTAGGGTTTTCACTCAAAAGATTCATGATTTGATTGGAATTCACATTGATGTCCCTGCCCCTGATATGGGCACTGGCCCTCAGGTAAAGTAAAAACCAACTCTTTTCATTCCTGATCCAAAATTTTGCTTTCTGAGCATGGATTTGATCTTCAAAGTTTCTGGCCTTTCATGTGCTAACAGACCATGGCTTGGATTCTCGATGAGTACTCAAAATTCCATGGCCACTCACCTGCTGTGGTCACAGGAAAGCCCATTGTAAGATGAATTATCTTTCTTTCTCAACCTTGGAAGGAATTTTGTTGTTTGCTTGTGCAATTTGTTTTACTAAAGACATGTTCTGTGCCATTTTTTATCATGAATTTTAGGATCTTGGTGGGTCACTTGGGAGAGATGCTGCAACTGGGAGAGGAGTGCTGTTTGCAGCAGAAGCCTTGCTGAATGAGCACGGGAAGACTGTTTCTGGACAGCGATTCGCCATACAGGTCTGGCACTTTCTTAGTGATGACTTAGGGTTTATCGGTGCGAGAATTTCACTTTTGTCCTTTACCCATAATGGAATGGTGTCATGAAATGTAGGGTTTTGGTAATGTGGGTTCCTGGGCTGCCCAACTGATTCACGAGCAAGGTGGGAAGGTTGTTGCAGTGAGTGACATCACTGGGGCTATCAAGAATAGCAAAGGAATTGATGTACCAAGTCTCCTGAAACATGTGAAGGAACATAAGGGTGTGACAGGTTTCCATGGAGCTGATGCCATTGATCCGCAATCAGTATTAGTTGAGGACTGTGACATACTAATCCCAGCTGCCCTTGGAGGTGTCATCAACAGGTTTGTTTTTTCGGTGTTCACCATGATCTTTTACAGGAGATCCTTAACTACTGAAATGGCTGGAACCTTAAGAAAGCTTGCTCCTTTTATTCATGTTGGGTGATTGTAGGGATAATGCCAACGATATCAAAGCCAAATTCATTGTTGAAGCTGCTAATCATCCAACTGATCCAGAAGCTGATGAGGTTTGTGCTTCAATTATTTGCGGGTTTCAGAATTGTGATTGAACTCGCAACATGGTGAGCATTAAGAACCCCAAATGCTAATCCATTTTGGTTGTTGCAGATTCTGTCAAAGAAAGGTGTTGTGATTCTTCCAGATATTTATGCAAACTCAGGTGGCGTTACTGTTAGTTACTTTGAGTGGGTGCAGGTATTGAATCTCTGCAATTTTCTTCAAAACCATATTTTGTCCATGAGTTTTCCAGAGAACTGCTCTTTTTGATCACGTGCCATTGTATCTCCAGAACATTCAAGGATTCATGTGGGAGGAAGAGAAAGTTAATAATGTACTAAAGACTTACATGACCAAAGGGTTCAAAGATGTGAAAGAGATGTGCAAAACCCATAATTGCGATCTCAGGATGGGCGCCTTCACCCTGGGAGTTAACCGTGTTGCTCGAGCTACTGTTCTTCGAGGATGGGAAGCTTGAGAGATGAGATTCTGATGATGATGATCACTAATTTGGAATAAGGTTTTGGAAGGCTTCAGCTGCAGCCCCTGGCCATTTTTTTAATTTATTCTGCAGTAATTTATCATAACCAAGTTGTTTTTCTTTGCTATATGTAGTCGGTCATACTTTTCATTGAGTGATTTGTGATTTCGATTCCCTAATGTATCCAAGTTACATTGTAGGTTTAGTTTAGAGAACATGAGTGGTACCCATACCACAAAGCCAGCCATCTGCATATTTTCATTAGTTGTGATTTATGAATTCTGCCATCATATTTGTGCGCAGATGGGAGCGATTCTTACTGCAATAATAAACTTGGTTTTCAACTTCCTATTCACTACAAGATCTCTTCAGTTCTAGCTTAAACTTCGTTTTCAATTTTCTATCCATTATGTCTATAGTATATAGTTTCAGCCAAGTTAATAAATTAATGTACAAAGGGTTGTTTACAGTTTTTCGATCAAACCACATAAAATACCACTTTTCTTTATTCAATCAAGTTCCTGGTTCAGTTCAATGCAGAAGAAAAAACTGAGGGAAAAAAACAGCACCTCTTAGCTCATATTATTTCGTGTTGGCTTTTGTTGGAGTCTTGTGATCAAAGTTTGACACGATCAACTACATAGGGGCCAAGTAGCATTGTCATTGTTTTATTGCAAAGAGGATGGCCCTAGCTTCTGCAATTTCGGGGCGCCAGAGTTCAGCTTCTCGATTTGTGGATGCATATCGAACTTGCCCTTCGCAATTGCGAACAATCATTGCTAGGCCTGTGCCCCCCATTCCAAGGAACCCCGCATCTGTGTTCACCTTCAGCATACCAATCGTTCCCAGTTCAATGCAACAATAGAAGACGATACGGTTTCCACCTTCACGAACAAAAGTTAGCTATGGAATGGAACAGCTTCATTCATATCCACGAAATATTTCAACAGGAAATTCAGCAACTAAACAGAACTGCCTCCATTAATGCTCAAAAGTTGGATATATTAAACAGCAGAGTTCAGGGGATGGTCATCAGCACACCACAAGAGTACACAAAAGCTTAAGATCATCAATGCCACTACATAACTTTGATCTAAAATCTTCCTCTACCCCTAAAGCCACCACGGCCGCCCCTGGGAGGGCCTCTGCCACCTCGTGGAGCACCTCTTCCTCTGAATCCTCCTCCACGACCACCACCTCTAAACCCTCCTCCCCTGCCTCCTCCACGGCCTCCTCTTGTTGCAGCTGCCTGTCCCCTGCTCCAACATCACAACAAATACAAATTGAATAACAACAGTAAGGATTCAGTTCAACCATGGGAGAGAATGATAAGCCTGACGAATGAAACCAGAAACCACATTTCTACTACTAAAGCAAAGCAAGAAAACCTACTTTGGTTGTGGCAAGAATCTTGCAAGAGGCAAGAGCTTATTGGGGTCGATGAAGAACTTGTCTCCAGGAGCGTATGAACTTGCCACAATGCCTTCCATCATTTTGATAGAGAAAAACTGTGAAACATAGAGGGGCAAAAAAAAAAAAAAAAAAACATAAGAAACAGAAAGAAGAAAAAAAACATGAAGAAAATAAGTACTTGCTAAACGAAATGACAGAGATGTAAGAACACTTACAGACTCGTTAATGGGGCCAAAGATCTCGTCCACTTTGCCGATCTGGGTCTTGTTCTGAAGAAAGATTGGGGCGTTGAAGTAAGGGATCTTCTCATTGGTGAGCTTAGTAACAGCATCACCCTCGCAGGCATGAATAAAGGTCGAAATCTCTGCCAAAATGAGCAGAAGATACACCATCAAAATCATCATTCGACTGAGAGAAGCTATACTTAAACACTGTTGGAACCATCTAACTCTTAGCTCAATCATATATATATCAGTATTATGAATAAACCAGACATGCATTCCGTAGTATCCCAGGAAAAAAATAATGGATTGCCAACATTAGGTTTCGACAGGGAGTAGAGCTGCAAAGATGCAAACATTCACCCTTTCCCTTCCCAGAGAGCAAACATTAAATCACCATGTTCACAGTTTGAAGATGCCAAACGAAACAGCTTCTTAACTTCAATCACAAGAAATTTTCAGAGTTCTAACCATCTGTACTAATGCTTAATCATATCACTCTATCAGTTTCCCCTCTATTTTCTCATACGCCAAACATCAAATGCATGTTAAACGATGAAATACGACGGCAAACATAAATGGAAAGAAAGGCAAAGCTAACGAAAGGAAAAACTAACCTACGACTTCAGAAGGAGGTCCTTCATCACGAAACCCACCACCACCAAACCGTCCGCCGCCGCCGCCACCACGTCCGCCGCGAAAACCTCGGCCGCCGCCGCCCCGACCGCCATCTCGTCCTCCTCTAAACCCGCCACCGCCTCTTGGGGGTCTCATGGTTCTTCTTCTTCGGCGCCGCTGCTACTGAGAGGATCACCGAGCTTGACCAGGAGGCAGTCTCCTCTGAAAATAACCAATGGAGGGAGCTTGCGAGATTTTCAGGGTTTAATCGAAGAACGCCATTTCGAGCGCTAGGGTTTTAGGGTTCGTTAATTGGGCTGGACTTTGACCCACTTATGTAAGCCCAGTTCAGTCAGACAAACCAACGGGCCCCCGATGGAGCCAAAATTCGAAGTCCACGCAAATTGACTAACTACTCCCTCCAGCTCACTTTAGCCGAACAACACCATGAAACTCTAACGTGCTCCGCTGCGGGAAAATTAGGGTTTAAGGGGTAGTGGGCGAGTGGCAGCTCCCGGAAGTTAGCAGTTTTCTTCAGAAGAAAGGGAGAGCGTGGGACGAACTTTTGTTCTCTCCATGTATATAATGGGCAGTTCTTGAGAGATTTCATTCACTTGTTGGTTACAAAATCATTGAAACAGCAAAAATCGATAGCTGCAAGTAGCTCTCCGTTTGCTTCATCCCGTCGATAAAGTCCTTGTCTTTAAAGGCTTCGATTCACGGGAAGGTTGAGGAAGGAGCGGCAGTAGGGAAGGACAGGAAGAACGGTTTGATTGAGAAGGGAGAAGAAAGGAGGGAGGCAATGGCAGCGGATCTCGATGAATTTACCATCGTCAAGGAAGGAGAGGCTGAGATTCTTATGCATGCTAAAAATGAAGTCTTCTATAACAAGACCCAGGTCCTAAAGTCTTGCCATTTCATATGTTCTGTTTTAAATTATCTGTGCTTGGGTTTTGTTAAGTTGGAATAGTGGTGAGCTATGGGAAAGGGTTACCATTATTTGTAGTTTCTTCTTTGATGCTTAGTTATAGTAGTTCGTGAATTCATAGTTCAGTTCACTGTAGGAAGATGTCAATTACTTTGCAGGAGCAATTGAATTAATGGAATTGGTGGTTCTGTGGGTAATGAAGTAATCCAGATGAGTTATTCTGTAAATGGACAGGTTAACAATAGGGACATATCGATTGCTGTGCTGAGGACATTTATATCCAAACGCAAGGAAGAGCATGAAGCCAAGCTGTCCAAAAGAACCAAGTCAGCACCTAAGGTTTCTGAAAATGGTGCGGCCGAGTCCTCTGTAGATGAAGAGAAATGCAATGGAAACTCTGAAGTCCCTAAAGAGAGCTCTGAAGTCTCTGAAAAGACTTCTGAAGCTGAACCTTGCAGCAGCTCTGTAGAAATGGTGAAGACTACTGAGGGAAAAGTTCGAGTAGAGCTGAAACCACCCAGGGTTCTTGAGGTTCTTGAATACAAACCCTTTTTAGCTCTTTACTATACAATAGCTAAGCTGCAGTCACTTGCTAAGTATTTTCCTCTCCTGTACAGGCTCTGTCAGCATCCGGGTTAAGAGCTCTGAGATATGCTCGTGAAATTGAAGGGATTGGTCAAATTGTAGCTCTGGACAATGATAAAGGTTGGGTCTTTTCTTCATTGATTGGTTAACTTCGTACAATTTTCTCATTCTTGTATATTTCTTTTTCTGCTTTCAGCGTCGGTGGAAGCCTGTAGGAGAAATATAAAGTTCAATGGTCCTGTCGCAATTTCCAAGGTGGAATCTAATCTTGCGGATGCTCGTGTATATATGCTGACTCACCCAAAGGAGTTTGATGTGGTATGTTTAAACCTCAGTTTGTTGTCAATGTTCAGATGTAGCTAGAGCAGATGTGTGTTTACCTACTGAATTGAAAAAGAAGTGGATTTGTATTGTGCTTTATGTGCAAACTGGTGGCCTTAACGAAGGATGACTAATTTTATTCTGCTGTTTATTATGATCTTAGGTTGATCTTGATCCTTATGGGTCACCTTCAGTGTTTTTGGACTCTGCTGTTCAGTCAGTTGCTGATGGTGGCATTCTGATGTGCACAGCAACTGATATGGCAGTGCTTTGTGGAGGTAATGGCGAGGTTTGCTATTCCAAGTAAGAAAATTCATCCCTCACTTTAGTTTGAATGGGGATTTGCTATTATTGGCTCATCTTAACCTGTATTTGTTTATGTAGGTACGGTTCCTACCCATTGAGGGGGAAGTATTGCCATGAAATGGCTTTGAGGATCTTGCTTGCTTCAATTGAGGTACTCCATACCTTGTAAAAATTGTGATCAAGTAAAATTTACTTGCGACTCTCACACTGATTGTGTTAATTCTGAACGCTGCCTATTGAGTTTTTCTTCCTGGCATGCAAATGAACTACTAACTCCTGGCAATATATGCAGAGCCATGCAAATCGATACAAGCGGTACATTGTTCCTGTTCTCTCAGTACAGATGGACTTTTATGTTAGGGTTTTTGTCCGTGTCTATACGTAAGTTATGCTTTCATGACAATTTAACTGAAACTAATATAGTTGTTGAAGGTAGTGCCTTGATGGTCCATAACAAGAAACTCGTAATGTATATTTTTACAGTTCAGCCAGTGCTATGAAGAATACTCCTCTCAAGCTATCTTATGTTTACCAATGCATTGGATGTGACTCTTTCCATCTTCAACCTATTGGAAGGACCCTTGCCAAGGTCTGCATATCATTAATATTTGATTGACATTTCTGGTGAAGTAGGGTAGATTGGTATGCCTGAACTTTTACACTGGCTTCCGTATTGCATACAATAAAGTTAAATCCTTTAATGTATACTGATGAATATATGGTTGTATCTGGTGAGTTCTTAACCACGGGTTTGGTTTTCCAGAATAAAAGTGTGAAGTATATGCCCGGTTTTGGCCCTGCTGTTCCTCAAGAATGTACCGACTGTGGGAAGAAATTCAACATGGGCGGACCTATTTGGTCTGCTCCTATTCATGATACAGAATGGGTAGCCTCTATGCTTGAAGATGTGAAATCTATTAAGGCCCGGTACCCTGCATATGAACGCATATCTGCTGTACTGACAACAATCTCAGAGGAACTTCCAGATGTCCCTCTCTTTTTGAGCTTGCACAATCTGTGTGGAACCCTGAAGTGCACTTCCCCATCTGCAGTCATCTTCCGCTCTGCTGTTATTAACGCAGGGTATCGTATCTCAGGAACTCATGTCAACCCTCTGGGTTTAAAATCCGATGCACCAATGGATGTCATTTGGGACATAATGAGGTGCTGGGTGAGTGCACTTTATCCATAAGTTAGTGAAAGAATACTGTGTGTTCTAAATATTGTCCCCATAGTCATTAAACCGTCGATTGTATCATCTTACATTGCAGGTTAAAAACCACCCAGTCAAAGCTCAGGCCCCTGATCAGGCTGGAAGCGTGATTCTTGCCAAGGAACCAGTTCTGCAAGTAAACTTAATTTCTGATCACCTTCTGCTACTTCCTGTTCTTTCGTGCTTTTATGAACTTGCAGCAGCTGCTCAACTGTACTAACTAACTATTCTTTTCCTTTTGCTTGTGCCAGGCTAACTTTGCTCGAGCTGTTGCGTCTCTGAGCAAGGCGCAGGCCAAGAAAGTTGCTCGCTTTCTCCCGAATCCAGAGAGACACTGGGGCCCCAAAGTCAAGGCGGGCCGTACTATTACCAGCAAGCACATTTCCCTTCTGGGACCAGACGCAGTGAATGGATACCTCAGCCATGAGAATGGCGGTGATGAAGAAGGGCCAGACGCAAAGCGTCTGAAAACTGAGAACACAGAGGAGGAAGTGAACGATACTACCCCAGAGGTGTCATAGTAGTCAACGAGCTGGTTGGTTGGCAGGCTCCCTCTGCCGGTATTTAACTCTTGTTTGTGGAAATTCGTTCCCTGCTTTTTGAAAGAAAAGGATGCCAATTTTGATTTACTTGGATTGGGTTGTTCTTCGTGTAGTATTTTGCACTTTCTGTTACTTTTTCCTACCATTCCTTTTCTTTTGGTGAATAAACTATCTATTTATGTAGCAAGTTTCCTGGCTTATCTTCTATCATTTGAGGAAATGAGACAAGATGGGATGTGCAATGTAGCATATGAAAACGATGGGTGCTGGAACAATTGAAGGCGATTCTTTCAATAGTTCCACCGTCTGCGATTTTTATTATATTTGTTGAAATTAATCACCGTCGAGGGCTTAATAACTTAGAACAAACGTAATAATACAGTGCAGACAGCACTTGCAATGATCTGAAAGACAATGTCAACTGACCGGCAGAGTAAAATTCATGCAGTTGACCAATTAGAGATGTAGACGGTTGACCTTTCGAATCATCAATTCAGATTCCAGACACAGCTAAGAGATTAAGATGTTTTCCTACCGTCAGCTGGCTGCTAGGAAGCCTACTAGCTCATTTGCTAGACAATCATAATAGTCTTCCCTAAGAAACAGGTCGATGAGTCGTAAATGGAAAGTCAAAAATCACATCATTCCATCCCATCTTTCCATTTCATACAGATACAGTAGTCGAACACCAGAAGAATCTCTTAACGAGCAACGGTAGCGTTCATGGCGAACCCAAAAAGGCTCAATCACTCACTAGCAATTCTAACATTCATCGCCCTAACAGTAACCCTGCTCCCTCCTTCCATCTCCTGCCCCGACGATCAGAAACAAGCCCTTCTCCAGTTCCAATCTCTTGCAGCTGGAAACACCACCTCTAAATTCCTCCCCTGGATCTCCTCCTCCACCGATTGCTGCGAATGGCAAGGGGTAGAATGCGCGGACGCCCTCTCCGGCTGTGGATGGCAAGGAGGAGCGGAATGCCAGACATTGCCGCGTAGTCTGACACAGCCACGAGTAGTGACTGCGCTCAACCTCTTCAGTTTCATCCCTCTTATGCAATCATCCGGGCAAGTTACATTAGTGTCCGCCAACGTCCTGACTCCGCTGTTCGGTATCACAACGGTAAAGAAACTCGACCTCTCACTCAACCTCATCCACGGCGAAATCCCTGGTCGAGGAATCGCCAATCTGACCCAATTGGTGACCCTGGACCTCTCCAACAATTACTTCACAGGTTCAATTCCTGCCCAGCTTTTCTCTCTCACCAAGTTGGAGTCCCTCAGGATTAACATAGTTGACGACGTTCAGAGAACTGTGAACAACAATGGCGGCCCTTTTGAGGGGAGGAAAGGGTACACACTAGAAGGCTTAATTCCAGTTGAGATCGGGGAGCTTACGAATTTGAAGGAACTTCTGTTGGATGGCAATCGGCTTTCTGGTTCGATTCCATCGACTGTTTCTCAGTTGAAGAGCCTTGAGGAGTTTGATTTACACGGCAACTTTCTCTCCGGGGAGATACCAACTGGTATTGGGAATTGCTCAAATTTGACAACTTTTGCAGTATGGGACAACAGCTTGGCTGGTGGTATCCCAATGTCCGTTCTAAACCTGACCAAAATCAGGACAGTCAGGCTCAACGGCAATCTTCTCACCGGCGAGGTTCCGGCAGGGTTGTTCGATTTACCTGAACTCTCCTACTTGTATCTTGGCGATAATAGGTTGACCCTCAGGGGATTAAGCAGTCTAATTCCGAGAAGCAAATTTATCTCGTTGTCTCTACCGTCCTGCAACATCTCTGATTCAATTCCCAGATGGGTAGCTAACCAAACGACACTTTACTCCCTCGATTTGAGCCAAAACAGGATTCATGGAGCTTTTCCTCAATGGCTGGTAGATACCCAGCTTCAAAGTTTGGATCTTTCGGATAACGATCTTGAAGGTTCTCTGCCTGCCGATTTCTTCCAACCTAAAAGAGGAGGGCAGAGTATTATCAACCTATCGAGGAACAATCTGAGGGGGAGATTGCCGGAGACTGCAATCTGTGAAAATGCTTTCAACGCAATTGTGCTCTCCGGCAACCAATTCTCAGGGCCGCTTCCGATATGCATGTCGAACTTGACTTCGCTTTCGGTTCTCGACCTTTCAGGAAATGCATTCGCCGGAGAAGTTTTGCCCCTTCTTTTCCAGGAGGGCGGTTTCTGCCCTACCTATGTCGATCTCTCCTCCAACAGATTCCACGGCAGAGTTTCAGTAAACTGCTCTCAGAATCTCCAATTCCTGGTACTCAGCCGCAACAATTTCTCCGGGCATCTACCCCAGAGTCTAGGGGAAGTGACGGGTCTGAAGTTTCTCGATCTCCATGAGAACAACATCACCGGCGAGATCCCCAGCTCTATTTCCCGATTGTCGAACCTCCAAGTTTTGGGTCTTCGCGGGAACTCTCTGGAGGGCCAAATTCCACGTTCTCTGTCGAACATCACGAGTATTCAGATCTTAGATCTCTCCGGCAACCAATTAAGCGGGAGTTTGCCGGAGGGGATTGGAAATCTCACCGCAATGTCGGAAACCCCGCGGGACTCGTCGATTCAAGTGATGGCATCGGGAACGGAGAACTACTTCTTCGTATTTGGCGTCTTACTCGATTCCCCGCCGCTGCTTCAAGTCTTCTGGAAAACGCTTCACCGGGGACTTCCAAACCAGCACCTAGGGTTGTACACTTTCCTCGATCTATCAAACAATCGATTCTCCGGCGAGATCCCCAGCGAATTGGGGAATTTGACGAGTCTGAAAGTGTTGAATCTCTCGCATAACCAGCTATCGGGGTGGATTCCGGCGAGTTTAGGGGAGATGCGGAGCTTGGAGAGTCTCGATCTCTCGCACAACGGTCTCTCCGGCGAAATACCGCAATCGTTCGAGAAGTTTCAGCAGTTGAACGATTTGGATGTGAGCAACAACGACCTCACGGGTCGGATCCCGACGGGTCCACAAATGGATCGGATGAACGACCCGGGTTCTTACGCGAATAATAGTGCTGGATTGTGTGGGGCGCAGATTCGGGTCCCGTGCGACGGGGGAGGGTTGAATGGGTCGCCGCCGGCGACTGAGGAAGAAGAAGGGAGCGAAAGGGAGACGGAGTGGTTTTCGTGGATGACGGCGGGGATTGGATTCCCGGCGGGCTTTGTGACGACGGTTGTGGGGATGTATGGGCTGGGTTACTTCCACGCTGGGTTGCTGTGGGCCCGGTGGCGAAGGAGGTGGCCTCGTGGTATTAGATTTTAAAATTTTTATGGGCTGGGCCATGAAGGTCTAAATGAGGCCCACACTCTGTGCGGCATTTGGATTGCTTTCATAATTGGTCTTCTTTTTTCTCCATTGTTTTCTTTTGTGATTAGAAATTAGAATTGTGGGAGTAATTAAATGAAAAAATGAATGATCTATGAAAATGTTTGTATCCGTGTACGGGATTTTTTCTGAGAGAGTTACTATTAAAAATTCTTCTACCACCTTACTTTCAGTAAATTTTTTTTATAAATACTAGAGTTTAAAGTGATTCTTTGATTTTGAAGCACATTTGTTGTGGTTCGCTTACTAGAGAAACGACCTACGCTATTCAATGGAAAGAAGAGTGGACAGAGTTCTTTGTCCAAAATTAGAGCGATTTACACAGTTCACGCTTAGCAATGCATGCAATTGGTGCATATCTGACAACACATATTGCTAAGGGGCAGCTAACGCGATGAACTGCGCATGGCGTTGGATCGCATGACTCATAAACGATTTGCAACTCGTTGATTGGCCCGTTTCCAGCTATACGGATTGTTGGTGAGAGGACCTTACAGACATTGATCGAGGGAAAGATCTATGGCTCCCTTGTCCGCTCAACTCCTTTGCGAATTGCTTCCTTTTGCAAAAAAAAAAAGGGTTAATTGCATGGTTGGTCACTGAGATTACAAAAAGCGTTCATGTTTGGTCACTCTAAATATTTAAATCCATTTTTGGTCACTAACTTTACAAAAACCGTTCATTTATGGTCACTCTCCGTTAGCTGCCGTCCAACACCGTTAACGGCGTCCGTTAAGTGATGACGTGGCTGACAGATTTGCCTAATCACCACTTTTTAAGCCCAAAATTGACTGACCCGACCCGCCACGTCATTTAAACCCTCCATGTCAGCTAAACCTAACCAAACCAGACCAGACCCGCTAACTAAAACAGAACTGACCCGACCCACCAATGAAAAATCTTCATTTTCTCATTTTTCTTATTATAATTATATGGTGATTGATTTATTATGTTTATTTCTAAATAGATTGGGGCGAGATGTACGATCCTAAAATATATATTCATTCTGGTATGAGAGACCCTCATTTGCTGGATGGGAAGCCATACCTTGAGTCCAAAATATTTAGGCGGATACTCGACAAATTCTAGACATTGTAAAAAAAAAAATACCTCCTGATTTTTTTTAAACGTGATTGTGTTGCTTAATTATTCCAAAACTAATTTGTTCATTTTTTTTTCTTTGATATAGGAACAACATGATTCCATCATCCATAAGGGGACACCCCCCTTCTCCTATGGGATAAGTGGATCGAGCCTTTTCTTGAAAGAGCATGCTTGGCGAGGTGCAGTTATTAGTTGGGACTTGGGATGGATATCGAATACAATCTCCTTACGACTTTGGTAGAGAGGTGGAGGAAGAAGACACACATTTTACCTTCTGGAGGGAGAGATGATGGTCATGTTGTCTCCTTGCTTACCAAGTGGCCAATCAATGGAAAGACCATAATAAGGAGTTTGAAGTACCCGATTGGCGGTTGGGGTCATTAATATTTGAGCAGATGGGTATCTACGTGTCAATGGAGAGACCATCCGAAAAAGAAGGACTGACACCACCAAGCAAGTCAAAATACTCTTGATTCCTCGGCTAGTGAAGCATATTGGTGCGTTGGGTGCGGATGCCACAAGGAAATAAGTTGATAGGTATTAGGGCTGTCACTCGGTCGGTTTCGGTTTAACCGAAAACCGAATTGTCGGTTATCGGTCAAACCGAGACCTCGACCAGAGCTACCGCCAACCGACCGTCCGTGAGCCTCGGTTAGCCGCAAACCGACCGACCGGTTTCCGGTTTTGACTCGGTTAGCTGGCCAACCGGAAACTACCTTTAAAAAAAAAAAAAAAAATTAAAAGCAACAAAAAATCTGCACCACACACTCCTAACCTAACCCCTCCGTTTCTCGATTCTTCTTCCCCTCCGTTTTCTCGATTCTCTTCCCAGACTATCTCTCTCCCTACTCTCTCTCTCGATTCCCTTCTTCCTCTGGAAGGAAAATCGAACAACCAACTCCCTCGATTCTTCTTCCCAGCCTATCTCTCTCCCTATTCTCGCCTCCTCCCTCGATTCTCTCTCTCGATTCTGCTGGTGTTGGCGGCGGGGCGACGGGGCTGAGGACCGGGGTGGAGTGAAACGACGTCGTGGTCTTCTCACCGTCGTGGGAGTCGCGGGAGGGGCTCTGGACGAAGTAGGCCGGGCGGCGGGGAGATCTGGTCGGCGATGACGGCGCCAGACTGGTAACCTCGGAGTCGGTTTTGGCATGCATTTTTTTGGGTTTTGTTTGGGGTAATGGGAATGAATGGGAAAGCTGGGTGAAGTAGAGAGAAGCTTGTTCAGGCGGAGGAGGGAGCAAAATGGGTTTAATGGGAATAGGGGCAGTGAAGGGGAAGGCAGAAAATTGTGAGGGAGCTTCTTGTTCGGGTCCGTCGGAAGAGAAGAGGGTCGGGTCCTGCCGTCGGGACCGTCGGAAGAGAAGAGGGTCGGGTCTCTAGGGGAAGGGGAAATGGGGAATGGATTTGGGATAGGGTTTGGTTGATTTGGGATTTGAGAAGAGGGTCGGGTCTCTAGGGGGGGAAGATGGCTTTGGATGCGGCATCGTTTAAGGAAAGGGCAGGGGGTCGGTTAGCCGGTTAACCGCCGGTTTTCGACCCCGGTTAGTAGGCTAACCGGCCCCCTGATTTTCTCTACCGTCAAGCGACCGTGCTCTTCAGGTTCGGTTTTTCGGTTAGCCGAAAACCGGTCGGTTCGGTTGAAACCGTCCGGTTAACTACTAACCGGAAAACCGTCTGCCAGCCCTAATAGGTATGGTCGCATATACTTTATTGGCTTGGTTGAGGGAAGATTGTTTTTCAACAACTACAATAGGTATATGCATGATATGTGGCTCCCACTACTCTTGAGAAATTGTGACTCGATGGGCCAAAAAAGTTGAGAATCGGCTTGCTTAGCGATGGTGTATACGGAGCTGTGAAATTCTATGGACCTAAAGACAAAGCAAGTGGGTGGTGTCATGTTCATCGTCTAACTTTAAACTTGAGAGCACCTTGCACGTTTTGAACTGACATTCTGGCAATGATTGAGTAGACGAGCAACTAAGACAAGCACCTTATAAAGTTAGGTAGCATGGAGCTACCACTAGGGATGACAAATTACCCACCCATTGGTAATTATACCCAAACCCAAGTAGACCCATTGATAATGGGTTGGGTATGGGTGAAGTGCATATGGATTTGGGGGTTTATAGATGGGTTTGGGTAAGGTATGAATATTGCTTCCATAATCTAAATGGGTATGGGTTGGATATGGATATCCATTTACTTGAGGGTGTTTTAACTACACATGCAAAAATTGGACCTATTTGCAAAACTTAGCTACCAAAATGTAAGACCAAAAACATTTAGGTACCAAAATGTAATTTTCCATCGATATTTTAAGGACTTATATGTAAAAAAAAAATTAAATTTAGGTACTAAATATGCATATCTATTAAGTTTGGGTACCAAACTGTAATTTGTATTTGGGAATGGGTACAAACCCAAATCCATTTGATATAAACCCAACTCAACCCAAAGTAAATGGGTATGGGTACAAACCCATCAAACTCTACCCATATCCATCTATTTGGATTTCATACCCAACCCAATTGGGTTGGATAGTAAGAAACTCATGGGTATGGGCAAAGTTGCCATCCATGACTACAACCAGAGGCCATATGCCGGAGGACTCTCTAGAGCAGTATCACGATTACCTTGACCATTTAAAGTTTAACAAAGTAAGCAAATGCACACTTGGCTATTGCATGTACTTGTTGATTTTGATTAATGTGCTAATTTAACCTCATTGTTATTGTATGTGAAATGATATCTATATCCTACCGGCATGGTCCAAATTTACGACTTGTTGCACCCACAAAGATCAAGTGATTTGGCCAAGCAAGGTGCCCCTCATTTGCTTTAAAATTGTTGAGTAACATTGTGCTCGTTGCTAGCATTTTTATTATGTTATCGTGTGTATTTTTGCTGATGAGCAATTGTAATTCATCTTTTATGTGCAGCTATGTTTCAAATCAAGTTGGAGTTCAAACATTTTTAATTGCAAACGTGTCTTGGAAGAGGGTGGGCTTGTGTGTAGGTTAGTTTATTTGGGTTTCTCAGATCGATCGTTCGAAATTCGGGTTCGGTCGGGAAACTTTGGTTTTTAAAATATACCTTTTTCTTTCCTAATTTCAAACCGAATAACAATAATTTTATTTCGGTTTGGTTTAATTTCTGTTCAGTCCGGCATCAGTTTTGCCAAACGGGATGCCCACCTTTAATCCACATAACAATAAACAAGATCACATCCTAATACAATCAATTTCGAATAGCTACATAAATGAGAAGGAAGGTACCAGTATTGATGATGAAATCATCTTCTTAGTTGTAGCCCCTCTACTTCGACGAGACTAACCACTCATGTAGAGTGTTGCAAAAAAAATTGTGTTTGTGCATCCTTACTAAGCTAATGGTTCATGTCCTCTATTTGTAGGGGAAAACCCGGTATGAAACATCATTAACCGACTAGGAAAGAGTCTCATAAACCTAATGGGCTAAGAAAATTTCTTCGACATGGCAAACGATAAGCGGTTGTAGGGCGGCGAATGGACGCACTGCTCTTTTTCTTCATGGGTTGGGCTTCCTAGTCCATTGACTTCTTCACCTGATGATTTGGATGCAACTTGTGATGTCTCACGTAGTAGAGGTTGGGCTGGTTGTTTGGGCCGCCGCTCGTTTCTTTGTCCAAATAGGTCGAGTCTTCTTCCTATGGACTCGTCTTGTGATAATGTAGCAACTTGTAGGTTACTTCTCCGTCATTGGACCTCTTATTTCTCACAAAAGCTCTTTAATCTTCTCTTTTATACCTCAATTGGTACTCCAGAGTTCCTCAATGCTTGATCCAATCATCCTTAGGTTGCTTTGTACCTTCAAAACCATAAAAAGGGTTAATGTCACGTTTGGTCACTGGGTTTACTAAAATGTGTCATGCTTAATCACTAGAAAAAGTTAATATCAATATGGTCACTAAGTTCAGTAAAACATGTCAAGTTTGGTTACTCTTCGTTCGTCTTCGTCCAACTTCGTTAATAAAGTCCGTTAAATGCTGACGTGGCAAACATAATATCCTAATCATCCGGATTTAACCTAACAAAAATAAAACATAACCCGCCACATCATTAAAACTACCCCACCCATGACCGAACCCTTTCTCTTCTCTATTTAACCCGACCGACCCGAATCTTCTTCCTTCTCCTTCCTCTCTCTGAAAATTTTCATTTTCCCCATCTTTCCTCTCCAAATCTGGCTACCTCATGCTCCCCGTCACCCTCTTAACACACAAAAACAAAGCTTATAAATGTTGATATTGCACTTCGCCTATTGAAATAGCATTTAAATTTGACTTAGATACGGGGAAAAAAAGAACTGTCCAAAACAATTTGCATAACATTCGAAATATGATCTATATATATTTAAGCAAATTATTAAATAACTGAACTTAAGCACATGAATTTACTCCGTCAATTAAACCCACTAAAAAACCAACACAAATTTACTGGCATATTGGATAAGTGTCGGAGGCCAGCTAGCTAGCTAGTGTACATATACTTTCTCTGAAATGAGATCTGAAAATCTAGCGCCGAAGGCCAGCCTCAATCCCTCTGATCGGCCGCCGGACCTGATCATAGCCCCAACGATCCCTTCTTCAACATCCGGGGAGAACCTGTCCAGGGAGGACACTATGGCGGTGGATGCGCCGGCTACTGTAAACCTTTCTCCGGGAGGTGCGAATTCAGTTCCCATATCCTACGCTAAGGCCGTCGCCGGACCGACGATGAATGCTCCTCTGGAGCCGATCTCATGGACGCCGGTAGGTGAGAAAGACCTTGTTCAGAGCCTCTTCAATGGCGAACCTGAGCTCATTGTCTCAGCCGATCTTAAATCCAAGCTCAGCAAGCCCTGGCAACGATCTCTTGTGGTTCGTACTCTCGGACTGCGTATCTCTTTCTCTGTTTTCAGCAGCAAACTACGAGCTCAGTGGCGTCCGACTGATGCGATGGAGATCATTTTTCTAGGACAGGAATGTTTCCTAGTGAAACTAAACAATGATGCAGACTATTTTCGGGCTCTCACCGAAGGCCCCTGGACGATCTTTGATCATTATCTTCTAGTCCAGCAATGGACTCCAGAGTTCCGCCTCACCACCAAGCTACCAAGCTCCATGATAGTCTGGGTCCAGCTGCCGGCGTTCCCGGTACATTTCTACCACTGAGAAGTACTATTCTCAGTTGGGAACATGATCGGGCGAACCATTAAACTGGATTACCACACTCTGCATCAGAAGAGAGCGCAATTCGCCCGGATTGTGGTGGAGGTAGATCTTTCTAAACCTCTGGTTACTAGAATCCGGCTCGATGGGGCATGGCAGTATCTGGAATATGAGAATTTGCCGGTGATCTGTTTCGAATGCGGCAAAATTGGCCACACAAAGGAGACCTGCCCTGACCTGAAGCAGACGACCCCTCAGCTGGCGATGGTGGAATTCGGAAACCCGCCGAAGCCGGAGATGCAAGGCTCATCGGAGGAGAAAGTTGGGTTCGGACCATGGATGGTAGTTACGCGCAAATCACGGAGGGGAAGCAAGATCCAGGAGCTGGGAAAGGGAAACTCGGCCTCTGATCAAGTGGAAGCCCTCAATCAAGGGAAAGGAGGAAAAGGAAAGAATAACAACAGAGAGAACAAACCTACCACAGATCAAGCATCGGTAGCCAAGAATCCCAGAACCCAACGGCCGGCAACCCCTAATGGCAGCGCAAATTTGGGGAAAGACAGTAGCAGTGGAACGAAAAAGAAAGGGAAAGCAATTATTGAGGAAGCTTTGGGGAAGGATACAGGCAAAGGAGTGCTTGGGCCAGTCCCCCAACTCCTGCAGGCCAAATCTTCTAAGCCCAATGGCAACCCAAGCCTAAACTTCTTGCAAGCTGGAGGCCCATCAAAGTCAAAGGCCAAAGTTGCTACTGTCGCAGGCCTGAAGGATGAAACCCATCCCACTATTTCGAATACGCCGAACTCCCCATCGCTGACCTCGGTGCCCAGCACTAACGGGATGTCGATCCAAGTCGTCAATCTTCCTTCTTCCGATCCGAACGACGACAAGCAGTTGGTGGCGGCGACTCCTTCGGCTTCGTCTCGCACGAAGAACCAAAAAAAGCTCCGGAAGAAAGTGAAATCCCCAAGCAAATCCCCTCTACCTATCGCAGCCAAAGCCCTCCAAATTTGGACTCCAGTGAAGGAAAGGAAGAGCAAGGAACGAACCAAGCTTGCTGCCCTGACTCTTCAGGAAATCGAGGCCTGGACAGGGGCTGCTGGGCGGTCGGAGGCAACGACGAACTCTCCGGACCAGAATAGTGGTGGCGGAGCTACGACCATCTAGGGGAACCCGGCAATAGCTGAATCATGATCAGACTCCCAGCTCGATCCTTTGCTTTTTCCCTTCCCTCTACTTCTCTCCCTAATTTTTTATCATGTCTGTTGCCCATTTGTTGAATGTTAAAATTTTGGCTTGGAACATTGGCGGTGCGAGCAATCCAGCATCGACCAGGGCTCTCAAGCTCATTGTTAAAAACTATAAACATGATTTTCTTTGTATTCTGGAACCACAGGTCAGCGGGGATTCGGCAAACAAAGTGTGTGAACGCCTTGGTTTTCCGAACGTCATGCGGGTGGAAGCGGATGGGAGGAAGGGAGGCATTTGGCTCTGCTGGAATGCGTCCAACTTCCAACTCCAAGTTCTTTCGGCCTACTCCCAGCACCTGTCGGTCATTATCTCTTCCGGATCCTCCCCGAAATGGCTATTTACGATCATCTATGCTAGCCCCCGCCAGAACCAGCAACACAGGCTGTGGCAAACGCTCTCTCGCACAAGTCTCTCCAATGAACTGCCTTGGCTGCTCTCCGGTGACTTCAACACCATCCTAACCCCGGAAGAGAAGTCTGGTTCTTCCTCCCCAGCCACGTTGTACAGGTGCAAGACTTTCAGCGACAGGATCAACCAAGCGGAGCTGATCGACCTGGGGTTCTCTGGACCTAGATTCACTTGGACTAGAGGGGAGACTCCCAACACCTTCAAGGCCAGCCGGATCGATCGGAGCCTGTGCAACTCCCTCTGGAATGCGAATTTTCCTGATACCAATGTCAACCACCGTCCCCGCATTCATTCGGACCATCATCCCATCCTCACCACTGTTGGGAATCAGGGAGTTAGCTCGTCAATTTCTGTCCTTTTCGTTTTGAAGCTGCCTGGTTAACTAGTGGCTCTTTTGATCAGCTGATTGCAGGGGATTGGGATCAACAAGCGCCTCTTCCTGTGGCTTTGGAGAAGCTGGCTGCCAGTCTCACCCAGTGGAACAAATCCTCTTTTGGCAATATCTTCTTTAAAAAACGCCGGTTGATGGCTCGCATTCAAGGAATCCAAGAGAAGGTTGCCAGTTCTTTTTCCCCAGGCCTTTACAAGCTGCAATCCAAGCTCGAAAAGGAGCTGGACCAGGTGCTAGAGCAAGAGGAACTTTATTGGTTCCAACGATCGAGAGAGAACTGGGTTCAACGAGGGGAACGGAATACGGGCTACTTCCACAACCAAGCCGTCATTCGCAGGCGCAGAAACAAAATTGATAGTCTCAAAGGGGCTAACGGGACGTGGATCACGGATCCGCAGGAGTTGGCCATGCTGGTTTTTGACTATTTTGCTTCTCTGTATCTGCAGGAAAATACCATTTACCAGGACCTGATGCCAAAGATGGCCTACCCCCGGTTAGGCCAGGATGAGATGGTGGCTCTGCTGAGACCTTTTCTGGCGGATGACATATTCCAGGCAGTTCATGAGATGAAACTGTTTCAAGCTCCTGGCCCCGATGGATTCCATGCTACTTTCTACCAACGGGCGTGGAGGGTGGTGGGGAAATCTCTAATTAACCTTGCTTTGGAGTTTTTTAATGTAGGGAGTCTGGCGGCGAACATAACCGACTCAATGGTTGTCCTTATTCCTAAAGTAGAGCACCCGGAGATGGCTTCTCAACTCAGACCCATCTCCCTCAACAATGTCTGCTTGAAACTATCACCAAGACAATTACCAACCGGCTGAAGCCCGTTATGAGGAAGTTGGTCTCTCCCCAGCAGAGCAGCTTCATCCCGGGGCGACAGACTACAGATAACATCATTGTTCTCCAGGAGGTCCTCCACACTCTGAAGAGGAAAAAAGGGAAGAAAGGAGGGATGGTCCTGAAGATTGACCTTGAGAAAGCGTACGACCGGCTGCGGTGGGACTTCCTGCGCGACACCCTCAAAGAAGTTGGCCTCCCTAGCTCGTGGATCAGCTGTATTATGTTCTGTTGGAGAACAATAAGATGCGCCTGCTATGGAATGGAGAGCTTTCTCAACCCATCTTTCCCACCAGAGGGGTTCGTTAGGGAGATCCCTTATCCCCCTATCTTTTTGTTCTTTGCATGGAGCGTTTATCTCACAGGATTGATCACACCATTTGAGACAACCATTGGAAGCCGATTAAGCTGTCCAAGGACGGTCCGGGACTTTCTCGCCTCTTTTTTGCAGATGACCTGGTGTTATTTGCAGAAGCAGGGAGATCCCAAGTTAGGGTTATTAAGCAATGTCTGGATGAGTTCTGCAGTAGCTCGGGGCAACGGGTGAACTACCACAAGTCTGCCATGTTCGTGTCTGCAAACATACACAGAAGACGTGCTAGAGATAATGTCTGGATGAGTTCTGCAGTAGCTCCCTGCTTCATCACCCTACTGCTACAGATGTGCTTCTCAGGAGGAGACCGCGCTCCATATTCTCAGGGATTGTCCTCCAGCCGCCTTCCTCTGGGCTCGGACGGTCGCCACCGAGAATCAACGGGAGTTTTTCAGCCTTCAGCTCAAGCCTTGGCTCACAAGAAATTTGCAGATAGAGAGCATGAGAAATGTCGAGACCCCCCTGGAAGGCTTTCTTCAGCATAGCTGTTTGGAATCTCTGGAAGAACAGGAACGAAGGAGTGTTTAAAGGGATTGAGAAGACTCTCTCACCACCATCTCTGACTCAAGCCACTAAGATCAAAGCAACCGTGTGGCACAAAGCTTGGATGACCCCTCAAGACATTCTAGGCCGACGAGTAGCTCCAGCCCAGCGAGTTACCCATGAGATTAGCTGGCTTCCTCCTCCAGCTGGGTGGGTCAAAGTTAATGTAGATGGTGCTGCTAATGGTAATCAAGGGCCGGCTGGCGCGGGAGGAGTCTTGTGAAACCACCATGGGATTTGGATCAAGGGCTTTGTTGCGAAATTGGGAACCTGCTCGGCCATTCAAGCAGAATTGTGGGGCATCTTCCATGGTCTGGATATGGCTTGGGAAGAGGGAAGCAGAACTGTCATTCTAGAATCCGACTCTCAGATGGCTATACAACTCATTGAGAAGAGAACTGACCCGGTTCATCCCCATGCGACCCTCTTGATAGCAATCAGACGCAAGATAGCTCGGGATTGGGTGGTAAGGCTTGTCCATACTTACCGTGAAGGGAATAGAGTCGCGAACTGGCTCTCGAAGCACAGTCTCGTCTATCCCTATGGTAAGTATGAACTAGACTCACCACCGCAAGGACTTCACCATATCATGAGCGATGACGGCAGAGGACAATCCTTCCCCAGGGATGTTATAGACTCTGATGGAACACATATTCTGTAACTTCTCACCTCCCCCTGTTCTTCTTCTTCTGTGGCTGTAAAGCCTCCCGTGATTCAAAAAAATATTGGATAAGTGTCACACATATGATCTATATAGAAAAGATTTATATCCAATGAATAAATATGAAATTCAAATTCATGTAAAGAAAATCACTTACTCCCATATCCGGCCATTTAATATAGACTCATAATTTCTTATACGTTTCTTTTTTTATTAATGTATATTCCATTTTCATAATTAGGAATTAAAATAAGCATATTAAGTTTCTTGCCATATATACGGAGAAATGGGTAGTATTTATAACACTAATCGCGACTGCAACAGTCTACCAAACAACAAATTAAAAGGTTCTTGCTTGAAGCTAAGGGAGACAATTAGAAGAAGATAAACATCCATTACAATTGGTGTTTGTAAGAGGACAAATGAAGACGACTTATTTCTCAGTTGCATTTTTTGCAGTGTTCAAGAACACTCGCCTAGGCGCGTTTAGTAGCTAGGCGAGGAGGAAACGTGGAGAGGAAGCCTGGGCAAAGTGGCTGGGCGCAATAAACGCGGAATCGAGTTGAAGAACGCCTAGGCGGCGAATAATAGCTTGGATCGGCGATTCCAAGCTCTAGGCGACGCCCAGAAGAAAAGAAAAAAAAGACCACGCTGTGCGTTTTGGATGGGCCGAATAGGGGAAAACCCTAATGGGGTTCTTCGATCAGCTGAGCAGCACCCACAGTCTACCGCCTCTCTCCCTTCTCTCCAACAGTCGACCGCTCCAGCCGTCTCCAATAGTCGACCGCCTTAAGCAGGGGGCTTCGTCGCCGGCTGCAGCGTCCTCTCCGCCAGTCTCCAGAATCGCGCGCCTTCGGTCTCCACCATAGCCAATCGCGACTCGTCCTCGCCGTCGGTCTCCACCATCGCCAGTGCCCAGTCGTGACTCATCCTCGCCGTCGGTCTCCAGCATCGCTAGTGCCCAGCCGTGACTCGTCCTCGCCGTCGGTCTGTAGCATTGAAGGTACTAACTCTTCTTTCTCTTTCGATTGAAGACGAACCCAGAAGAGGAATCTACTCCAACAATAATGGGTTCTCGTCTTCGGATTGTGAAGAGAGCATCATTTCCTCCCCTGTCCTCGGATTGCGAAGAGAGCATCGCCAGTGATCAGAGAGCTTCTTTTCATCTTTAGGCTTTAGATGATAAAGAGAATAAGAATTGGCATTTGACAGGGGCTGCAAATTAGTGAACTTATGAATGTTATGTTTGATCTTGCACTCTAAACTTACATATTTATCATATTTTTTTCGACGTTTAATCTCGCCTAGGCAACGACTAATCGACCTGGGCGCTGGGCGGTGCCTCCTCGCCTAGGTGGCGCCCAACGTCTTCTTGAACATTGATTTTTTGCCATGCTTTTGGTCGTTGCATCATGTAATAAGTCTTTCTGATTTAACTCTAAAATATGGGTTTATTCATTCACTTTTTCCTTGATAATTTACATCTTTTTATTCAACATCAGCTCACACTACTTATTAGACTTATTGTTACTTGTAATGGCGTTGTAGGTGATCGCCTTTCGACTACAAAGCACGGAGGCAACCATAACTAGAGGTATAGTTGATATAAAAAAATTCTTTTGTTATAATTGGTTAATATGTATTTAAAGATATGTCTATAGTAGTATATCATAAATTTACGATGGATATGATCAAGGTTGTTGTTTAAAATGGTTAAAAGATATGAATATGTAAACTCCTTTAAAAGTAGCTAGAAAACCTTCATACTCGATGTTTACATGAAGTTTATAAAAGTAAAATATTTTACAAAATATTAAACTCATTTCCAATAACTTTAAAACAGTAATTGATAAGTCAAATATGATTGAAAATTTAGGGTGTACTATAAAGATATACCTATATATAATTAATACTTGTATTTTGATTAGGTGAATATAATTTGATTGGTTTCCATTTCCAGTAAAGTATCAGAATTATCATCGGTAACTAAATTTTTTTTTTCTATGGTTTACACCAGGTGTTGGGCTAAGAAATTTGAAGGCACCATTAACTAAGGACAATTATGAGCCTTATTGCAAAGACTTTTGAGATTGCTTGAAGATATTTTGCTATGATGGCTCGCCAGAGTGTCGAGACCATAAGTGTGTTTGCGTAATTTAGTTAATTTAATTACCTAAAAACTTTTTTCCCGTTGAATCAGTCTCTTTATTGCTCCAAAAAGAAACCATTTACAAAGTACAAATGGCAAACCAATACAACGAAAGGAAAGCTCAAAATGAGCAGCCCTGTAAGAGAAAGACCCTATACCCCAACATTTCCTCCTAAAAAACTTGAAACAAAACTGCTACCACACTCCTATGCACTCTCCAACAGTCCTAATACCCTCAACGCTTCTACCAGATCATCATTTTCTCGACAAACAATTTGCAGTTCAACACTAATCTCACGAACTATTTCCTCCGCAGGTTTACTTACAGTACCATAGACAGGCCTGCATCTTTCTTTCCATATCCCAGCGCTGCACAAGCACCAGATAAGACTGGTCACTCGTCTCGCCTTCGCCTTCCTGCAACTAGCAATGCCTGCAGCAACAGTAGCTTCCCAAGAGTCACAGCCAGCAAAACGCTCCCATATGTAGTGCTGATACAACTTGACGAGAGTAAACAAATTGAAAGAATAATTGTTCTCGGGTTTCCACTTCATCGCCACAAAACACGAAAAGACCATCGGTCAGCTTACCCCATTTTACCAGCTTTTGCTTAGTAACAATGCCATTCACTATGATCATCCAGGCCAAAAAACTATTTCTGGGAATTTGACACTTCCCCCATATAAGCTTTGCCCAATCCACCACCTCATATTTAACTCTCAAGGTATTCCAAACCACATAGACTATAAACACATGCATAGGGTTATTCTCCCAAAGGATTTGATTGTTCCTCATCAATAGATGAGACTGGATCTCTAGACGTAGCTTGAGGATACGCCTCCAGGCCCAAGAACTGCTCTGACTGGCAGTTACAGTCCATATGCTTCTGTTCTTGATCTTATATTGCTGAAATCAAGCCACCAAAATAGATCCACTTTTCATAAAAAATAACCAGATAAACCGAACAATACAGGATTTGTTCCAAGCAGTAAGCTCACGTAAACCCAAACCCCCTTCCTTGCAAGGCCTAGCCATACCCTCCCAACTAACTTTAGCACGCCCTTCTTCCCCCCATGCCAGAGAAAATGGGAGAAAACTAACTGAACCTGCTTGTTCACCCTTTTGGGCAGAATGAAGATCTGCATCCAATATTGAAGCGTCCCCATCAAAACCGATGATACTAGCTGCAGCCTCCCAGCATAGCTGAGCTTCTTTGATCTCCAGGAATGGATCTTTTTCGTAATGAGAGCCACCAACTTATCAGTCTCACTAGATGGTAGCTTCCCTGAGATTAGGGGCATTCCAATATATCTGACTGGTAAAACCCCCTCTGCAAACCCTAAAAGCTTCAAAGCATTTTGTTTAAACTGCACAGAATTCCCACCAAAATACACCTCACACTTTCCTGGATTACACTTGAAACCAGAGATAGTGTGGAACTCCTGTAATATGCCTTGAACCTTCTGAATAGCTTGGCCAGACCCCTTTGTGAATAAAACGAGATCATCTGCAAAGCACAAGGGGGCGAGCCCCACTCTCTTACACTGAGGATGGAAAGCCAGATCCCCTGCAGCAGCTCGATTCAAAAGCAGTGATAACCCTTCCATTGCAATTGTAAATAAATAGGGTGAGAGGGGGTCCCTTGCCTCACCCCCCTTTGCGCCCCAAAGAAACCACACAATCCACCATTAATGTTGATGCTGAATTTTACAGTTTTAACACACAATCTAATCCAGTAAATAACCTCTGAGGAAAACCCATAACCTCTATCATAAGAAACAAATATCCCCAATGAACAGAGTCAAACGCTTTCACGAGATCAACTTTTATAGCACATCGAGAAGAAAGTTTGCTTCTATGATAACCACTTACTAATTCTTGGGCCATTAGGATATTATCAACAATTCTTCTTCCTTCAATAAAGGCAGACTAGTTTCCACTTACCACACTAGCCAAAACCTTCTTTAGTCTGTTTGCTAACAACTTTACAATGATTTTGTAGAGAATATTCACACAGGAAATCGGCCTAAATTCCTTCAACTTACAAGTAGAAGCCACCTTTGGAATCAAGGACACAGCAGTAGAGTTTATGCTACTAGGCAGCTTACCTGTAATGAAGAAATCCAGTACCCCAACAATCACATCCTCCCCAATAATCCCCCATGTACACTTGTAAAAACCAGCAGAGAATCCATCAGGGCCAGGGGCTCGATGAGCACTCATGTCAAACACAACTTTTCTCACATCTTCAGTTGTGAAACCTTGGCATAAAAATTCCCCCTGCTCAACACTGAGCTTAAGCTTCACAAGACCCTCCAGATACTGCTTGCAAGGCCGTACCTCAGGATCAATGAAGCCAAACAACTTCTTATAAAAGTCAACCGCCTCATCAGCAATCTTGTCCATCTCCACTACCTCCTCACCCCCTTCGAGCACTAGCTTTCTTATAGCTTTCCGAGCAGTTTTGATCTTAACAGATTGGTGAAAGAAGCTGGTACCTTGATCACCAAGCTTCAAATAGTCAACCCGAGATTTTTGCCAATAAAAACTTTCCTCCGCCTTTCTCAAACTCTCAAGATGTCTTTGTAATTCTGCTACCTCACCAAAGGAAGCCCCAGATGGATTGGACAGAGCCAACACTTGAGCAGCAAGCAACTTGCATTCCACCTCTTTCACCTTACCACTTATATCATTGAAAAACTTCCTTATTTAGTCTCTTCAGCCCTTTCTTAACAGCATTAAGTTTGGTTTTTACAACCAATAATGGGTTCCCTTGAGCAGGAGTAGACCATCCCTCCTCAACGATTTTGAAGAAGTCTGGATGACCAGCCCAGAACTCAAAGTACTTGAATGGCTTAGGGAGTGACTTTTGCCCTGGCTTTGTATCAACATAAACTCCACAGTGATCAGAAAATGTCCCCACTAAGATGTCAATAGCACAAGTCGGGAAAGCGTCAAACCATGCCTCATTAACAAGAGCTCGATCAAGCTTTCTAGCAATAGGATTTCCCCTTTGCCTATTTGTCCAAGTGAAAAAGGCCCATTTGAGCGATGATCCACTAATTCCATATCATCAAACCAACTCTTAAAATCCACCATAAAACTATTTACCAAAGTCAAATTTGAAGTTTCCACTGGGGATAAGACAGATTTAAAATCCCCCCCCCCCCCCCCCCCCACAACTATCCAAGCCGCAGAAGAAAGTTTGAAACTAGCCAAGTCCCTATAAGTATCACGTCTCTCAGTCTCATCATTTGAAGCATACACAACTGTAATGAAACAGCTAGCATCACCCACCTCACGAGCCACACAATGCACATAATTGTTCCTAGGAGCAAGAATTCTAAGATCAATACAATCAGGATCCCAAAATAACCATACTCTCCCAAGATCACTTTCAAAATAGTTGAGATACTTCTTCCACCCTACACAGAAATCCATCACAGTTTCATCAAACTTTACTTTCCTTACCCTAGTCTCCAGAATTGCCACCACCTCCACCTTATACTTCCTCGGGACTTGTGAGAAGTCCCTTCTCTTAGAGGGTTTGTTAAACCCTCTAACGTTCCAGAATAGAACCTTCTTCCTGGTGGGGGGAGGGGGGGGGGGGGGATTGGGGACCCCCCCCCCCCCCCACCCTTCCTTACACTCTTCTTAGGAGCTGTTTGTAGCTACGCAATCTCCCTATCTCCCAAATCCTTAAGGGCATCAAAAGATTGCGACATCTGCAACACACTGGTAGGGCTAGGGAGTGGTGACCAACATCTAGGCTTTGCCCCATTAACAACCTTTTGGAATTCATCCTCAGTTGGAAGCTTTGGTGAACTGCATTCACCAACTGACTATTTCTTCGTTATCCAACTATTTCTTCGTTAGTGTTGACTGAGTTTGACCGTTAATGTTTAACATCAAATTTAGTCAATGTTGACGTGGCATCTGATATGAAAATTTAAATATTAATTTATATTTATATTTCATCTATAATACTTAATATAGGAAAAATAAAATATAAAAGTTATAAAATCCTAAAATCCTCTTTAAATCACTCAGTCGATTCTGCTCCTAAACCAACATCAAGTTTACCACCGCCTGGTCAACCGTTAACGAAATCGTCAGGACATAAATAACACACAACTATCATACGTTGGAACATAAATGGAATATTGAATAGTTCGGAACACAAATGACACTTTCTATATAGTTTGGGTTTCCCAGTGGTATTAGCCCTAAAAGATTTGACCCCTTCAAATCACACATATTAGAGGTGCCAATGAGATATCAATAATAAAATTTAACAGTGTAAAATAATATTAAGAGTAAGAAGTTGTGTTACCTAGCCATATTCTGTCTATTAAGTATTAACTTCTTTAAATGATTTTACCTTGAACTCCTATTTTACTAGGGATGGCAAAAATATCCGTAACAGTGGATATCCGCCCGAATCTAGCCTAATCGGGTAGGGTAAAACTCGAATCCGAAGGACATTTAGTGGGTACGGGTAAAATCTGAACCCGAATATTGCGGGTAATGGGTGGGCATGGGTTTCTCACTATCCAACCCGAACCCGCCCGATTATACACATGCATATGTATTTTTTCTAGAAATAATCATTATTTTTCTCTAAAATGTTTTATATGTAGCATATAAATATAATATTTTCATGAAATTGTGTAGTTTTAATTAATTTTCTTCATTCTACTGAATTATTGTCGTACTTTTCCTCTTGCGTAATGTGAGAATACGTGTGAATGTTAACATATTGCTTGTAGTTATGAAGAGAAATTATTACCCATGGATAACCGTGGATACCCGAAACCCGAACGGGTATGAGCATGGTTTTAATTTTCTATCCATTTCACATGTGGGTATGAGTATGGGTAAAACCCGAAATACTATGGGTAGGGTAACGGATATGCACTATCCGTGCCCGATCCGACCCATTGCCATCCCTATATTTTACCATTAGTCTTCCTACTATACTTTATCTTGGCTAAAAGGTCGAGATAAGTATCTTACTCTTCATACTTAGTTTAGTGTAATATTATTGACTATAGAGTCCAATTGACTTTTATACTTACCCGAATAACTTTATTTAGTGGTCGAGCCATAAAATTAAGACCACACAATTAATTGTATAATATTATATATGATCATGGGATACCCGACCAGCCAAATCCAATGTGACTGGTTCATTTGATTTGGTTTAACCAAATTCCAACAATGCTATATAGCATTGGTGCTATAGGTTTTACCTTTATGGTACAACTTGAAATTGTACCTTTAATGTTACGGTACAACTTCAAATTGTACCTATACTTTTTGTACAAATTCTTTTATGGTACAACTTAAACTTGTACCTTATGTGATGGTAGGGATGGCAATTTCGACCTGACCCGTTTTACCCGACCTGTTTGACCTGTTTTGGGGCGCGTCCGACCCGCCCCGTAGGCGGGGCAGGGCGGGCATGGGTAGTCTCATCGACCCGACCTGCCCTGACCCGCCCCATTCTCGACCCGTTCTTGTCTAAATTACATGTAATCTTAGTCAAATTACTTAGAATTTTCCTTTTATTGCATCATGTTTTAGCTATAATAAAGTTGTAAATTAGTAAAAACTTCAATTTCTCCAATAATTTAACTACAATTGTCATAATATTGTTTGTTTTCTTAGTCTTATAATAAAAATAACGAATATTTCTAATGTTTTTCATATAAATTGCATACCCATTGGGTCGACCTGCCCCAACCCGCGACCCGTGATCAATTACCCGACCTGGACCCGACCTGCCACGGGGCGGGTCTGGGTACCAAGAAACCCGCCCCGGACCTGCCCCATTGCCATTCCTATGTGATGGTACAACTTGAAGTTGTAAAATTGTACCATAACATAATGATACAAATTCATTTATGGTACAACCTAAACTTATACATTTAATGTTATGGTACAACTTCAAGTTGTACATTAAAGCACCAATACTATATAGCATAATAGAAGTGCTCGTCTCTTGAATGAAAATTATGTTTTAATTTAATTAGTCCAATTCTAATTGGACGGTTTGCATTTATTTAAATGCATGGGCCAAATCAAATTTGCATGCACAGTTTTGCAAGGTACATGGCCAATTATATTTAGACATTGTAAAGGTTCATGGCCACGTTTCATTTAAATTGAAAAAAGTGAAATGGTGTGTTCTTTCCAAGCGGCCGCAAATTGGAAAGATACAATCTTTCAATGTAGCGGTTCATCCTCTATAAATAAAGAGCACTCCGCTGGTGGATAAATGCACCATGAATGGATTTCATTCCTCTTCTCCCTAGTAAAACTTCTAAGTATACTTTAGTTTCTTAAGCCTGGATTTTGAAGTGGTGATAATTTTATCCTACGAAAAAATTTCCTGTAACTCAAGATTTTGTAGAGGGTGGAAATATTCTTTACGGAAAGTGAACGTTGTTCAGGACTCTATCATAATCCTGATCACCCAATCTCGAACTATCGTACGTGTATCCTCGTCCCTCAAAGTCCCAACAATAATAAAAAAATATTAAAACGTAATTTTCATTCAAGAAACATGTCTCTTGATGAAACAACGGTCATGTAATTCAATCATCAATTGGGTATTCGGTCCAGCCAAATTCAATGTGACTGGTCAATTTGATTTGGTTTGACCAAATTCCAACAATTTGATGATGGAGATCATCGCTGATTAGTTGATTGGAACCTATAAATGTTTCTAGCCGATTGAATGAACTCAGAATCGTTCAATTTGATGTCTCTGCCTAAGAGACTCTTGCTTGAGATGAGCCTTACTTTTCGTTTATAATTTTATTTTAAATAAATTGAGGAAGAGATGAAAAAAACTTAGATGGAGATATCATAATCAACAATCAAAGTTTGGGTGATTAAACTATGGTTGAAAGAAATAAGATACTTTAATATCAACCATAATGATAAAAAACTAAAAATTACATATAAATAATAAAATAATGATTTTGATTTTAAATTTATATTATTTTTTATGACATGACACTTTAACCGTTAGTCAACGATGTTTACCGCCCAATCTGACAGTCAACTCACATGTCGGGCCAAATTAGTCTAAATGCTAAATTGTTTAAACTAGGGTGAGTAGTTCAGAAACCACAGACCAATATAGTCTATTTGTGTAAAGTTCGAGCCAAATTAATATATTAACCCTAATTTTATCCTCGCAAGAGCATGTAATAGAGGGTGAAAATATTATTTACGAAAACTGAATGAGTACCATTCTATCACAATTTTAGTATCTAAATTTCGAGTTTTTGTGCATATAATCTTTTTCATATAGTACTAAAAAGCGTTTTTAAATTTGGGAAGGAAGTTGAAAGACGTGAAGAATAATAGACGAACAAATAATATATTTGTTGAGATCGATGGAAGTACAATTTTAGTAGCCAAGTTAGAGAAGATAGAACATAATCTAAGAGGAATCAAACATGAAAAGTTCAAATAAAACCATATGATTACATTACATATGTGAGAAACTATGGCACTTATGGAAGTTCTAAACATGGACATAATTATATCCAATGAATGGATGGACGGATTCTGTTAAAAAAATGAAAAGAATGGATGAACCAATGAAATAAATATGGACATAATTCTTTACATTTCCTTTTTGTAATTATGGAATAAACATATATTGTTTGATTTCTTGCTAGCTATCTACAGGATCGGCAATTGTTCCACCGGTGCTATTATATAAACTGAGTCCACTGAACAAAGGTTCTCCATGCAAAGGACTTAGAATAAGAAAGGCATTAGGGTTTTAAAAGTAAAAAAAATGAAATCCGCCTACGTTCAGATCTCATTTTTTGCTCTTCTTTTGGTCGTTGCATCATGTAAGTCTCTTCTAATTCAACTCTTAATCCCTACAGGTTTTATTTCATTTGTTTTTTTCCGTGATAATATATAATTTTCTATTTTATGTAAGTGATATGAAACTAAATCGCACACAGATAAAAGTGTTACAAAACCTGCAAGACATAATTGTTGGATTTATCATTGATTTGCAATGACATGACAGGTGATCGTCTATCAACTACAAAGCAAAATTTGGAGATGGGCAGTGTCGAAGGTTTGAATATCAAATACCACTCATTAGTTGCTAATGTATTATGGAGAAAAAAATCTTTAATTATTACAAATGGATGACTACACATTTTTTAGGTAAAATCTTAAATTTTTTTTCCTCATTTCCCCATTGGCAGGCGACGGAGCAACGAATTTGAAGGGAGGAGTAAGTACGGCCGCGCAGCCGGTGGTGGTGCTTTGCAATGCCAATACAGATTGCGCCATCCTAGTTTGCCAAAAGGGCTCGCCGCAATGTTTTGACCACCACTGCTTTTGCACCTCATCATGAATCAATCTCCTTTTATCTATGAATGACAGGGAGCTCATGTAATTTTCCACCGATTTTATGAGATATCAATAAATAATAAAATTACCGTTTTCCTCAAAAGAAAAGAAAGACACATATAATAACACCCACTAACATCGTGTGTCTATGAATATGAATCCCGATCAAGGCGATGGTTGGTGGGCAGGTGACCTAATGAATCCCCCTTGAGATTTTATTAACTGGGGTCACAGCTAGGGTGGCAGTCGGACGGTTTCGGTTTAACCAAAAATCGAAAACCCGGTTATCGGTTAAACCGAACCATCCCCTATAGCTGCCGACCACCGACCGTGATAGAGGTCACGGTTAGCCGGCCAACCGACCGGTCGATTTCGATTTTAGGCTCGGTTAGTCGGCCAACCGGAAAACTAGCTTTTCTACCTAAAAAAAAAAAATTCTGCACCACTCATCCCTTATCTCCTCCTCTCTCCTTCCCTCCTCCACCAGACACTTCTCTTCTCTCTCCTTCCTTCCTCCACCATTTCACACCCACCACCACCAAACCACTTCTTCTTCTCTCCTTCCTTCCTCCATTTCTCATCCCAACCTCGTGGACCGCTGCCCAACAATACCTCCCGTCGACGCTCCAACCCGCTTCCGCTTCCCGACCATAGACCTCCAGGCCGCTGATTGAGCTCGCCGGGATTAATCTCGAGTGGGGCTTGTTCTTTAGAGCGAATTCGTACCTAGCGCCGGCGGGGGAGGAGGGCTGGCTTGCGGCCGACGGAGGGAGGAAGGCGGGGTCGGTGTTCCACCGGATTAGGGCTCGCCGGGGCGACGAGGGTGGAGGCGGCGGGTTGTCGCCTGGCTGCTGCTGGTGGCGGGGCGACGAGGTGGAGGCGGCGGGGAGAGGTTTTTTGCGCCGCTGCGCGAGAAGGGGGAAGGGTTGAGCGGCGCGGCGAATGTCGAATGCTTTTGGAGGAGGAGGGAGTCGACTTAGGGTTAGGGAGGAGGAGGATTGAAGCGGGGTCGTTTTGGGGAAAGGGAAGGGGTCGGTTAGCCGCTTAACCGGCAGTTTCGGACCCCGGTTAGTCGGCTAGCCGAACCTCTTCCCATCTCCACTGCCAACCGACCGATGCAAGCAGAAACGGTTTTTCGGTTAGCCAAAAACCGGTCGGTTCGGTTGAAACCGTTCGGTTAACTGCTAACCGTAAACCGTTCTGCCACCCCTACTCACAGCCCTCAGCTGGTGACCTATCGTACATTTAATCCATGATCCACATAAGGCTAATTTCACGATTTCGTTTGCTCGAAAGAATAACTAGAAAAAGAGATTGGATAAACAAAATACGAATTATGATTGATAGGTAATTCTGAGCCATAAAAATTACCTCATTATCATAGGCGGAGGCAGGGGTGTTTGCCCCTGTCTCGGATAAACAAAATAACTCCACATTATCATAGGCGGATAAACAAAATACGAATAATGGTTGATAGGTAATTCTGAGCCATAACAATTACCTCATTTACATAGGCGGAGGCAGAGGTGTTTGCCCCTGTCCCGAGACAGGGGTAACTTTTGGGGAGTGGAAAAAATAACTCCACATATATTTGTACAAATCGAATTAAACATTTACAAGTAACATAAGGATATTTTAACATTACAACATAACTCATTACTTATTCATTAATTTACAAAAAATAGCTCATTATTGGAATGCTCGACGCCCCCATCACAAAAGTCATACATCTTGTTCAACCAGTGTTTGTGAAAATCATGTCGTAGTGATGGTTCGACCATAAAAATACACTATCGGTAGGTGCTTTTTAGCACTATGAAGTTCAACCGCGATTTTAGTACAAATTATCCTATCGCTAGCTTTTCTGGTACAACTTTCGGTACGATTTTGCAATACTTGGTTGAAACTGAGTACCGCAAAACAAAGGTGGTCAAAAGTGTATTCGGGTGGCCGGTTCAACCGAGTCTGACCAAAAGCGGTCATCTAAACGATTGGAGTACATTTTGGCTAGACGGTTCAGGAAAAAAGTCATAATCGGGTTAAACTAGTCAAAATCGGGTTAAACCATTAAAATCGGGTTAAACTAATTAAAACCGGGTGGTTTGACCAGTCAAAACCGAATTTGAAGATGAGAATTGATAATTTTATGATATATATGTATTTTGAAGAAATAATTTGGTAATATATTAAAATATAGATTAGTGAAATTGTTTTAAAATATGTCATATATATACATAATCTATTTGTTATTAGAAGTTATCTCACATATTATGTTAAATCAAGGTTGTTAAACCTCTACAGGCCAGTCGATTGGACATAGTCTGACCACTTTCAGGCTCCAAAACGTTCTCCAGAAAGTCATAGGTCTGATCACTAGAGAGGGGGAAGTAAAGATAGGAAAGAAGGATGGTGGGTGAGCTTCGGTTCGGTCGAAACCGAACCGAAATAATGCATACTGGGTCCCTAATTACACCAAAACGAAATATACGTCGGTTCGGTTTTAGCCTTAAACCAAAAAAATTTCCCATTTCCCTTTATCAATTGTAGATCTGTGGGCATTATCAAAACAATTATTGTCTCCCTCCTTGTCTCTCTTACCCGTTGATTTTCCCCTCTCCATCTTTCTCTCCTTTCTTCCACTTTACATGCATAAACAAAACACTAAATCGACATATGAGAGAGCTGCCGAACACGCCGCCGCTTCGCAAGACCGAGCACTCCCGCCGTCGATTTGCCAACACTAGAATCATCAACCGTCGGATCTAGTATTCTTCAACTTCTCCCTTTTTTTCCTTCTGAATCATTGCCTGCATGTTGTTGTCTGCGGCCCGATTGAAGAGGAGGCCGCCGATGATCCCTCCTAGGATTTGTGCTCGCCGCCATCGAAGGAGCTCAAAGATGGGTAGGTTGAGGGTTGACGGGTGTCGTATAGGATTATGGGGGAGTGGGCTTAGGGTTATGTTGTTGTTGGGAGGGCTTGGATGAGATACTAGGTTGTGTTGTGAGTGTGTGGGCAAGGTTGTCAAACCGGTTTATACCGTTGTGCCGGTTTGGCAAGTGGAATGGTAGGACCGGTGGTATAACCAGTTTGTGCCAGTTCATGCTGGTTTAAAAAAATGTGAAAACAACTAATATCCAATGTATTTAGTTTTATATTTGTGGACAATTTAGTTACAATCCAACACATATCATCAACTTTTAACTATTACATTCATAAAATGAATAATAAATTAATATTGTTATTCATTAAATTCATTAAAATGATGTCATTTTACTTAGAATACGTGAGTCAGTCATACCAGTGGTGTCATGCCGGTTTCATGACCGGCACAGGTTCAACCGGGTGGCATGCCACCGGCATGACAACCATGGTGTGGGCTGAGATTAGAGACTGGGGCACTAGGCTGGGAGTGTGGGTTAAGAGGCTGGCCAGTATGTCCGGTTTTCGGTCGGGTAATCAAAATTCGAGTCCGGTCGTGCGTACACTGCTTTTACAAAATACAGGATTTTGCCTTCCGAATTCCGAACTTAAGTTATATTTTTCGGTTTGGTCCGATTTCGTTCGTTTTCGACTCGACTCGGGTTTAGCGAACCACATGTCCACCCTTAGGTCATGTAGCTTTTTTTATGGGATGTGAGGTTCTAATACTCATATGTAAGGTAAATTCCATTTAGTAATTAAAATTTTAAATAACTACCTTATTTGTATTATGTATATTTAGAAAATGTATAAAACGACTCAAACGAATTAGACCCCAATTAGACAATTGAACCTCAAACCACTTACTTGATTGACTTAATGACTTAAACCGTTAGACAACCTTAATTAAACCGACTTGAACTGGTTGAACCCAATCAGACCATTAAAACTCAAGCTACTTATCAAACCGATCCGGTTTTGCCAACATTGCGCAGAAACTCATCAATTATACGCGTTTTTACTTCGTAATCTCTCACGTTTGATTTGATCATCCCTGACCTGAATAAGTTCCACATAACTCCACAAAATGGCTGAATAGCGAAAATGGAAAGGGCAACGAGAGAACGATTCCAACTTCCAATGGCTGGACAAGGCAGAAAAGAAAACAGTTACAACGGCTTCGAAAAGTCGCTCCAGGAGAAAGTAGCAAATGTAAAACGGTTTCAGAAGCGCAGTGAATTAATTATATTATTATTCATCTTTCAGAACAGTTCCAGATTTACTTAAAATCTTTTTTTTTTCTTTCTTTCTTTCCACCTTTCAACCAAGTAAAGCAGAGGAAGCATATTTCCAGGCGTCTCTGGCGGCTGCGCGGGAGCTCGGAGCTGGAGAATACTTCAACGCCGGCCTGACTGGCTCTCTCCGTGTCCCTCCCCAGTCTCTATTTTCGCCGTCCCTGAGATTCGCCGGCGGATCAATTCGGCAGGTAACATCTTCGTTTAAATTTTCTTGACCGGAATTTCATTGAATTAGCTTGAGCCTGTCTTTCCCCCATTTTCGTTGACGACGGCGATACATAGATCCGTTTCTTCTGGTTTTCTTCGATTGCTCCATGTTTGCATCCTCCCGCCTCAGTGTCCGAGTAGAAAGCACCGTACCATATCCAATCTTTCAATTTCCATTGCTGGCCTTCACCCTCGCGCCTGCTCTGCTTCTTAGATATGGGGATTGAATTCTTTCTTTTTTCGCCAAGATTGTCTAGGACTGCATCTGTAGGCTGCAGTGAGAGTTCCTCTCGTTTAAGGATAGAAAACTGGTTTTGAGCAAACAGAGTTAGGCTGAATATGCTCAGCAGCTTAAACTGTTTGATGATATATCATTCGTCCGGTTTGAGTTTGGACCTTTGACGAACCTGTTACCTTATCTGACTAGATAGAGCTAGTTTGGGTTCTTGATAGTGGTGGCATATAGTGAGGGACAGTGAAGTGACCCAATGCTGAAGTCATGTCAAGTAAGCTAAAGAAAGTGATTGAAGAGAGCAAATGGTACCCTGTGCAGTTGTCTGTATGCATTTGAGAGTAAATAGGTCAGCATTACGTTTCTGAAAAAGGCAAGTTTGCTGCTCGTTCTTCATAACATGAATCTAAGGAGTTTCAGTTGTTTGTCATATGCCTGATCAACTAAAACTAGATCTCGTTCTAGAATCCAAGGGCCAGTGTTGCGCCACACCGCTCAGAGCTAATCAAGTAGATTTCTTATACCCCAGTTTGTGCACTTCACATAGACACATGGCAGCGTAACCCTACTTTTGATAACTTCTTGAAGTGAGAAATATTTTCCAATTGATTTGGTTATCAAGAAATGATAGATTAGTCAACTAATAAAAGAGTCGTACGCTGAAACTGAAGTCACGTTTATAGCATCTTACACTAGAAATTTCTATACACATTATGATTCTCGTGGAAGAGTTTCTCTCGAGTGTCTTATTTTCCGTGCTTGAACCTTGTATGTATTTAGAATGATTTCAACATCTTCTATTCTCTCAATGTTTGTCTATTCCATATGATTGATTTCAAGATCTTCTGTTCTCTCAGTTATGTTGATTCTTTGTTATTTTGCAGGTAGGCAACATTTACAAGTCGGAGTATCCTGTGCAAGCATAATAGTACCTTCTGGAAAGAGGTCCTAGGGATCTGAGAATACTCTAAATAGTCAAGTCAATCAATTTTTATGGGAAAATGTAGCTGTCAGGTAGTAGGATGTTGTTTTGAAGAAGAACTTAAACAGCCTCTATGAAGTCTTCCGGGAGAACGTCTTTGCTTGGACTTGCAGATGAAGGGGTTCAGCCACAGAGTTCAAACACTATGCAGAGGTACTTCCTGACCTGGTCGCCAGAGTGATTGTTTCCTGTGAAGTATGTATCAGAGTTCGAAGCAATGCGATGGATGCTTGTATTCAATACTTACAGGAGTGGCTACAAGTTGTGAGTATTCTGCAGTATGCTATTGTAACTAAATGCTTCTGTTATTATATAGGAGTAATTTTGGAGCTCAGCCTGTTCAGAGGGATACAATTGGTGATGGGAAGTTAAATTTTGCAGAGGACAAAGAAGCAATGGTGTGTGCCAGTTCATGTGGAAAAATAAGTATTTTGGTGAACTAACGACAAACTTTTACAAGTTCCTTATGCTTTTATTGGTTCACAACTAGGTTCTATATTCAAAGATGACGGACCAAAAAGACGAGATTCAGATGCTCCGTAAACAGATTGCTGCTGCCGGAGTGAGGGTACTATGCTGTAGACTTGATGTAGAAACATAAGTTCATAAGCTGTGTATTTGTATCGCTGAATCATTTATCCCTTTGGCATCAGGAACTCCAACTATTGAGTGAGAAATATGCGTTGGAGAGGAAATTTTCCGAGTTAAGAAGGGTTCGTATATCTTTGCCAAATAGCATCTCATTTTCCGTGCATCTATACCAGGTGTTAATAACTTCTGTGTGAATGGTCAATATTTCAATTCTCGTGTTTGAAATTGCCCTTTTTGAGCGTAGGCAATTGATGATAAGCAGAATGAAGCTGTTACAGCTGCTTTAAATGAATTGGTTCGTAGAAAAGGTGATCTTGAAGAAAACTTCAAATTGGCTCACAACTTGAAGGTACGCAGCTGTCTTGTCATCATTTCCACTGCTGACATTGTGTATGTGCCCCTATTTCCTAACATATGAGCGATTTCGGACCTTTTCATCGTCACCCATGTCCATAAGTATCATCCTAATTGAGAGAAGCATTTAGTTAATAACAACTTTGAGCTTTAATCCATGAAATTTTTAGATAGCTTTTCTGACAACTCTGTGACCATAATTTTCTTGTTAATGACCTGCTTTTAGGATGGAAAACCTAGATCTTATGAGAGATGCTTTCAGTGGAAACATGTGAAACTCTAGCTTGCTCTGTAAATATTATTCTTTGCTTGGAACCCACGAACTTTATCTATGGGTTCTATTAGGTAAAATGTATCATGCTGAAGGGCGGAGGGAAGTAATAGTGATGGTCATGATGAATATACTATCAGCTTGTTTGTTTGGGTGTATCTGGAATAGTGATATTTGCAAAATTCCATACAATCATTATATTCTATTCCTTAAAAATGGTAACGAAACCAACTGATTGTTTTCTCTGACTGTACAGTTGGTAGATGACGAGAGGTATATTTTTGTGTCTTCTATTCTTGGCTTGTTGGGTGAACATGGAATTTGGCCCCATGCTGTGAATGCCTCTGCTATATCCAACAGTGTGAAGGTACAACCATTTAACAGAGTTTATGTAGACCTTTAACTATAGAAGTGCTCTAAATATTCTTGGCTATGCTATTGCGTACTAAATCTACTGTTATTAGAACCATGGAATAATAGAAGTCACTAGAAACTTTCTTGATAATCCGACTCGGTTTCTTCTACGGAACTAATTCAAATACATAGTGTCAAGGCCTGGCTTCTTTGATTTTGTTCTGATCCTTTATTGGTCTTGTTTTCTATTTTTAGTTAATTTATTCGGTTTCATTTATAGTTTCTGTTCTTTCTTTCTTAAAACATGGAAATGTCTTATGTTCTTTTTTACACTTCGTGCTATGTGAATGGTCTTTATTAACTAAAACCTTCAGAAATGTGCTCCTTTGTGTACTGCAAATTTCTTTTGCTTGTTAGCCTCACTAAGATTTTCTTGTTTCTTTTGCAGAACCTGCACAATGAGTTGCAGTGGAAAATTAAGTCTTCACATGTGAGTGTGCTCCTTGTGCACAGGATACTGTATTTGTTAGTCACAGCTGTCTTGTTAACATTCTTTCCAAAAGCACGCTTACCATTCTACTCGTGTTCCATTTAAAATTAAAACTTGACCTGCATAAGATGTTCAACATTCACTTACTTCTATTTGGAATTCATCAGTCAATGCTGGTAGTTGTACTATTGGTTTTGCAGCCAATTTATATATCAGAATCAGTAATATGAACTCTTTGCTAAACAATTTTTCACTACCTTCTGGTGAAACGGACTCTTATATATTTCCCCATCAAGCTCTCGTCTGGAAGGATATTTACATCGGCATTATTTCATGCTCTATTACCTAATAGATCGGAATCAATGCCTTCGCAACTTACTTTTATGACAACTTGCATCGAGATAACAGTACCCTGTTGTTACTTCCCCTGATATATTAGGTTATGACATTGCTACATTTTTTATTAATATCATCCAGGAGAGAATCAGAGAGTTGACTTCCACTGTGGGATCTCAAATGGAGAGTGGAAATCATGACAAAGATAACTTTGGCCCTGGCATTCTGACTGGTCAAGTTCATCATCAATCCATGGTGAAATTAATGAATATTTATCTATTGTGCTAGTCTTTGGGTTGTAGGTCTGATTAGATTTCCTTACTGTATCATGATATCATCAATTCTTTTGCAGGGCCACAATACGAATCATCACAATTTCATAGAACCAAGTGATAATATGCTAGGAAGGATGCCTCAAAATAATATTGCAGAAGGGCCAAGTTCATTGCTTGATAATGACAGGCAACCACAGCCTTATAACAACAATTTTCAGGAATTTGAATTCAACCATGATAGGTGAGTACTAGTTTTGTAGGTCTGGCTGATTATATTTGGCATTTCTTTATAATGTGGCGTTAGTATTTGCAGGAATAGAAGTGTCCAACTTCATAGGAATGTGAAAGTAGGGGATGTTTTTTTACCCAGCACAAACCCATCTTTGTTGCAAAGTTCATGAAGTATGCTTCACTGAATGCTCCCTGTGGCTGTGACTATCGAATTGCGGCCTTCACAATTAATTCTATCATAATTACACTCTTCTTTTTCTATTTCCAAGATTGACGTGCTTGACAAGCAGGAATGTGGTTCCCTCATTGTCTTGAGGTCTCTTCATGCATGAAATTAATGATTTGTCTGCTTCTTCGCGTCGATCACCATGTTTGCAAGCCAACTATTCTTTCAAAATTGTATTAATTGCTGCAGTATTATGTTTTCTGATACCACATCATACAAGATGCATCACAAATCAATCTTATTCATACAAGATGCAGTATTATGTTTTCTGGAGTAATGAGATTCATATGTCCTGGTCATTAATGAAATATTTGTCCTCGTCACTTTTTTGCCTTATTTAAGAGATTTGAGAAATCTTTCATGAATTCAACTATCTTTTTTGAACACTTCTAATCAGTTCCATCTCAATTCTATCACGGGAAGACTGATTTGCATCTTAAAAGTCTTTCCAAGAGGATGCTTTATTTTCCTGGTGGTTATTTTCCTTATGCATGACACATCCATGTAAAGTAGTGTCCCAGCATTATTTCACTCTCTCTCAGTTTTAATAAAGGTCTCAATGTGAGAGCACAAGAGATGACCAAAGACTTGCGTCCTCCTTCCAACGGAGATCATGAGATGACTTCATCCGTTTCTGATGGTGAGAGATAACTTCGTCTGTCAGGGATTCATGATTTTTCTATGTTGTGGATTCTAATGCTACCTCATTTTGATCTCAGATCGCCCTGGCATAGAAGGGTTCCAGATTGTTGGAGAAGCTGCACCTGGAGAAAGGCTCCTTGGTTGTGGATACCCCGTACGAGGTACCTCCCTCTGCATGTTTCAGTGGGTTCGTCATCTTGATGATGGAACTAGGCAGTACATTGAAGGTAATTTCACAAAGAATGAGTTTTTTGGATTTCTTTTAGTGGCTTCTGTTTTCTAATTGTTAAGTAGTCGTGGCATTTACCTCGAAAATCTGCATCAGGAGCCACAAATCCAGAATATATAGTGACTGCTGATGATGTTGATAAGGTTATTGCTGTTGAGTGCATACCAATGGATGATCAAGGCCGTCAAGTTAGTAAATCAATACTATTCTTTTGTTATCCACGCAGTAATTTTCTTGGACATGATTGTACATCGTTACTGTCATTGGATTTATGTTGAGTTTGATTGTGCAAAGTGTGAGTGTACTTGCTTGTGTAGGGGTAATATTCAAGGTGGGTTGAATACACATTGGGCCTTTAAACTCGTTCTGATTTGTTTGTTATAGCTGTCAGACTTGTTTTTTGGCCTATTCCAATGCTATACCTTGATTTTTAAGATATTGAATGACCTTGACTTCATAATGCATATTACCTTGACACTTCAACCTTCTTTTATTGGGCATAATTGAAAATCAGAAGGCAAAAATACTTCCTTGTCCCCTCCTCCGCAGTTATCTGTGTGCCTCTGTTTGTACCCAATATTCTGTCTTCCACAACCTCCCATCGTTGAGAAGTCTTTCAAATACCCCCAACTATCTGATTTCTCGTAAACTAAACATTTTGCCAGTGAAACAAACCTCTGTATTTCCTATTGTTTTTTTCTGTTCAACCTTCTTCAACTATCTTTACCCTAATTTCTTACAAGTTGAAAATACATTTGCAAACAGAAAAATCCATTCGATCCTTAAGAAATTAGGGAAACAAGCATGGAGTTGAACTTTTATATGTATACACTAGTTATATGTCTATACCTTAAAAAGGTACTTTTACCCATTTCATTTCCCAAACTACAAATACAATCGCCAAATATTGTATTGTTAAAATACATCCATTTAAACAATACACTTATCTATAATACAAGCATTCCATCAATACATGAATTACAATTGCAAACACCAATTATGGCCTTACTAATCTGTTGAACCTTTTGCTTTGTATGAATGATTTAAGTATTATTGCTTTCTGTGATTGAAATTGTGTTTCCTTGATATTTCTCGTTTTATTTGATCTGGTATGCTCATCATACATACTTACTGGTCTCTGATCACCTCTTCTTTTCTGCTCTAGGGAGAATTAGTGAGGCTTTTTGCAAACGGTCAGCGCAAAATAAAATCTGGTAAGTGCGCTGGGACTTGGTTACTTATATTGTCTCATTTTAGTTTTTACTTCCAAAATCCAAAAGTATCCTTCTGAGTGCTTTGGGGTCATCTGTCTTGTGTGAGTTCTGCTTTCTTTTCTGCAGTGTTTGTTGCTTAAACATGCCCGATTGTGTGTTCACTCTCTTTTTTATTTTGGCTGAGTTTTACTTCGAAGCTAATGCCTGTTACGAATGCCTGTTCATCTAATTTTCAGACCCAGACATGCAATCAGAAATCGACGCATTCATATCCAGTGGGGAAGCTTCGTTTAGCGTCCTATTGCTGGTAAGCTGGTTTCAGTTTCAACCTCGCTTTATGAATAATGTAGGATCATTCTAGAAGAACGGGGGTTAGCAAATGAAATGAAGAACCAGGATGGGATCCTGGTGGTGACACATAGCTACACAATTGCTTGTTTCTTTTCTGCTGAAGGAAGTTTGAAAATTTTAACCAAATCTATCTCCTTTCCGTTTCTTAGATGGACTCTTCTGAGAACTGGGAGCCAATTGATCTAGTTTTGCAACGATCCGGATACCGTATGAAGAGTAAAATCACAGATGAACCAATTTTCGCTGAAAAATTCTCCAAGGACCTATCAGTACGTATATATTCCAAACTTAATATCTGTCTTGGCAGTTGTTCTCATTTTCGATGTACGAAGACTGATTACCTATAGCTGCTACCCTCTTCAATTTACTCTATTCTACTAACCATTCTTCTCCGGCAGATAAAAATCCCTTCTGGCTCGACGCAGTTCGTTTTGACGAGCTCCGACGGGACATCTTTTCCCCTCAGCACATCGACTGTTCGGTAACTGATTCTGTCTCTCTTTTTCTGCAAGTGTTCATGGTTGTATCATAATTACCAAATTGGGAATGGACAGTACCCGGTCCGATTTTCGATCTGGCCCGCTTTTTCCCTCTATTTTAAGAGAACTCATGGAATTGAAATCGAATCAAATTATAGTCGAACCAATCCAATTTGTTCCATATACCGACTGGATCCGGTAAGAGCGGAATTGTTGCCCTTCCCCTGATTGCCAGTGGTGCCATCAGACTCTGTCAGCAAGGGCATAATAACTTGGAAATGGGTTGCTTCATTTCTAGGAAACAACTGCTGCTGATGCTTTGCTTGTTTGGTATCTGGTTATCTGTGTAGGATGCGAGAGACTCTTGTCCTGACCTTGAGAATGTTCCAGAGTAAGGTATGTTGCATCTTTCTCTCGTTACTCTGTAAATTCAATGCTACGTGCCTCTCTTTATTGTACTCTTCTGGATAATCGATGGCAATATAGGCTTTGGATGACAAGAGAAAAGGGAGAGCCTGAAGAGAGAGACCCGTTTTCGCTGTTCCTTTAAAACCAAAGAAGAGCGAAGAAGAAGATAGATTTACAATGCAGCAGATTGCTGAACGCCAGCTAGAGCAGCAAGCCAGCCATTGAAGTTTTCTTCATTTTGTCCCCATAAATACATTTTTTAGTGTATGTTTTTTTCTTTTTCTGTCTAAAGTACTTTTCTTTAGCCACGTGGCGACAATAGTTCATTTTTTTTTTTACCCCACTTGCCATATTTTCTCCCCGTTTCTGCTCTACTTCTTTTTCATTGTTTGTTGTACCCAATGAGATGCGACCACGAAAATATTATTTTCTTCTTTTCCTCGTAGGATGCGGATTGATTTGTTTGGTGGAGAACTGATAGAGAAGGAAGAGAATTTTGTTGCAAATTCGCAACTCAACGACAACCAACCTGTAAGACAAGTCTGTGGATTGTGATTTGTGGACTGTGTTGACATTCCCTCTCTTGTTTGTTGTGAAGATTCCGTCGGATCACTGACTTTCAAATCCATAAAATCTGAGCACCATCCAACGATCAAAATATATTAGGTTGTCATGTCAAGTCGTTGGATGCCGGCTGTCTGGATTCAACTGACTCGGGTAATAAAATTGGCTAGAATACTCCAGTATGAAGTGGCGGTCAATGCTGGTCGAAGCTGGGAAGCCTAGTGATTCCATCTGTTCCAATTTTTTTGCTAGACAAATTGACTGTTGTTTTACTGTATTTAAAAAAACAAATAAAAAAAATTAAATATATAGATTTGTCTGTAGTGTCTTTTTATTTCAATATGCACATTGATGTTATTTGTTGGATGCAAGTATAAATGTTTGGATATTGACGTAAAATGCTATATTTAAATATGAAAAAAAATTATTGGGTTTACAACGTTGTATTTGATTTAAATATGAATGTAATTTGTTGGGAGATTATCTTCAAATATATAAATATATGGTTTTGTCTTCGATGTACTCATATGAGTAGGCGGTTGCGGTTCAAGTCAAAATGATATCAATCGTCAATTGTAATATGATTGACAAGAAAATGCATATACTTGTAAGGAATCGTTCAAGATTTACTTTCATTTGAATGATTTATGGATTATGAATTTACGGTTAGGGTTTAGAATTTGGGGTTTAGGGGTATGATTAATAATTAACACATGCAATGTTAATAAACCAGCAATGAAACAGTAAAAATTTCAACAAGCAATTTGAAATAGAAAATGGAACGTCAATAAAGAAAAAAATATTAGTTAATCATTGAACAATTTCTTACAAGTAAAAAAAATGGAACAGTAAAAATTTCAACAAGCAATTTGAAATAGAATATGAATGTAATTTGTTGGGAGATTATCTTCAAATATATATATATATTTAAATGAAAGTAAATCTTGAACAATTTCTTACAAGTATATGCATTTTCTTGTCAATCATATTACAACTGACTATTGATATCATTTTGACTTGAACCGCAACCGCCTACTCATATGAGTACACCGAAGACAAAACCATATATATATACGGTTAGGGTTTAGAATTTGGGGTTTAGGGATATGATTAATAATTAACACATGCAATGTTAATAAACCATCAATGAAACAGTAAAAATTTCAACAAGCAATTTGAAATAGAAAATGGAACGTCAATAAATAAAAAAATATTAGTTAATCATGAAACCATACGACGTTAATGATTTTCACAATGAACTAGCGTGGCCCCGGCCATTTGGCCGGAGGAAGGTGAGGTATGAAATTTGATAATGTAATGGGGTGTATAGCTTATTTTTTTCTTTGGGAAACACGTGATAAAAATAGTGAATTTTAATAGGAAAGAGACATAAATGATGCAATAAATAAAAAATCGGCCTTATGAACCAAAATCAAGTACCTGTTACCTTGTGAAACAATATTGTTTCTGGTAATATAATGAGATGGAGTAAGTTTTATAGAAACCGAATTCCAGAAAATCGAATCAAAAATCGCATATCCCACCGGTTTTTCGGGAAATGAGCATCTCACAATCGTTGCTAGCTTTTACTCGGCCCGTTGGCCGATTAATTTGTATTATAAAACTTTCATCTTGTCATCATTGTGCTTTCTGGTTTTTTGTCAAGCCATGATAAAATCTAAAGAAATCAAGAATGAACAACACTATTTGGGATAGGAACCACCGTTCCTGTATCCCTAGAAAATGGTGGTAAACATGGACTCACCTGCCAAACTGGTTTGGATTGAGATTTTTATTGGGTATCAGGGAACTATGTGATTATAAATTAGACTTGATCAAAACGGGCCAAAACTTGAAATTCAGTCTGTTTGACCGACCCATGCCAAACTCTAATTATATTACCAGATGACTGCAATTCGCCATTTGCACATCACTGATTCGGGAATAAAACTATAGAATTTCGAAATAAAACTGAAAATGTTTAGGATCGTTTTAATGTTAAAAATAACCAAATAGATCTTTCTGTTTAGTTTTTTACTAACAAATACCAAAGGATTCCCTATAATATACACTATAATTTAATCATTATGGTATCAAATAATTACATAATATATATGTGAAATGATAAAAATTGGACTAATTGGATTGGTCGAGGTTGAACCATTGAATAACTTTAAAATACATTACATTTTAGCCACTAAGATATAAAATAATAGCATAATATATATTATGCTAGAGAAAATAGCTTGTTTTAGAATGACAAACTCATTATGTTCATTTGTTTTACTTGATGGGCAAATCCCGTGTAGGTCAAGCCCATTCAACTCTTTTATTTTATGATTAACGGTTAGCTCATTAGAATCCATGCATGAGTTTATTGTTAATTTGTTTTCTTTTTAGCAATAAAAAGGAGTATTGTTTTTGCCTTTCCATATATATTTTACCACCACGGAGAAATAAAAGGACTTAAAGAAAAACAATTGACACTCCTGAACCCATTTAAATCTGTATGTGTACGGTAAGTCAGCCCGTTCCACAGAGGAAAAAGAAAAAAAAATTGACACTCCCTATTCTACCCTTCCTACAAACGCTCCTGAGCAGGGAATTTGAAATGAGGGAAGGGTTTTTTTCCTCTCTGCGATTATATGTTTTTAATTTAAAAAGATACAACAAATGTACTTAGTCTGATTGGTTATGATCTTTGCTTTTCTTTAAAGTGATCATGGTTCGAATCCTAGTAAGTGTCTTGTTAATGAATAAAAAAAAGTAATTGTGAAGACCAAAATATCCTTCCTACTTTCACTCTGGATGCAGGAATTTGAAATGAGGCTTCAAGTTTTCTCATTTGGCTTTCATTCATTGCGTAGATGTTAATAATCACAAATGTAGATGGAAACCGTAAAAACCCAGTTTTCATACACTAATAATGTTAAGGAAATCATTGATAATTTTGACAAACAACCCCAATAACAAACAAAAAAAAAGAGTAATTTTGACAAGAAGCAGTAATAATTAATTCATGTAATGTCAATAAACAAACAATGAAATGTTAGCAATTTCAATAAGTAACGTTGATAAATGAACATGCATCGTTTATAATGAAGCTATTTTCGTTAACAACGAAAACATACAACATTAATAATTTTGACATTCAAAATGAAACAATAGTAGTTTTAATAGACGATATTGACAATGGATATTAACAATCAACCAATTGATATTAACAATTTCAACAAGCAAAGTTATATTATATAAAGCCAAAGCAATGTTACTGTTGCCAAAACTTTTATATATATATATATATATAAAGTTGCTTAAACCGTTTGATGCGCTAGCTCCATTGATTCTCTGCTTTCAATGCATATGTTTTTCATTTTTAGTATTTAGCACCACATGATCCATAATTGTAATTTTTTGGCATGAGAAATTTGGTTAGGCATGCTTATTATACAAAATGGTTCTCAATTTGAGAATTGTGGAATTATGATAATAATGATTTAAATTTATTTTTATTAGGGTTGACAAAATTATCTCAAATTATAGATATCTGCCCGAATCCGATCTTTGGGTAGGGTACAACTTGAACCCGAAAGACTTTTCATGTGTACGGATAAAAGTCGTATCCGAATATTGTGGGTGATGGGTGTGCATGATTTTCTCATTATCCAACCCAAATCCGCACGATTATACACATGCATATGCATTTTGTCTAGAATTGGTCATTATTTTTCTCTACAAATTTGATATTTATCATACAAATAACGTTTTCATGAAATTGTGTTGTTTTAACTATTTTTTAATTTTATTAATTTATTGTCGTACCTTTTCACTTATCTAATGACACTATTCGTGTAAATGTTAACATGTTGGTTAGTGTTATAAAGAGAAATTATTAGCCATATATAACTGTGGATACCTGAAACATCGGATATAGGCAAAAAAATTCAACTTTTTATCCAATTTTCAACTTGATCTGTTGTCATTGATAATTTTATTAATCCTTTTTCATTTTGTTCATTTGACAGAAATTAGGGATGACATAAATTAAGGACGATCCTACACATTCATTTTTGTAAATACGTCATGAAAGGCCACCTTAATGATTTTAGATTCTACTTATTAAACAAAAGAACACAACCAATAAAATAAAAATAATAAACAATGGGCCGCTGCAGAGTGCGGCCGCACCTATCTAGTTAATATATATAAATATGTAAATCACAATTTAGTCACTATAAAGTATATTTAATATTTTGATACCCCAAATTTAATGTTAATGTAAAAACATTGAACAATTATACTTTTGTATCTAAATCTTATGAGATTTTCGTACCTGCAATTTTTTAAATTTACATATTGATCCAATGTTTAGATTTCACTTGAATTCAATCCACCAATCCTTTTGAACCAATCCATGAATCCAATCCACCATAACATAAAAGTATATATTTAGTTTGTACAATACAAGATGTATCACTCAACTGTACGAGAAGATTTGACCATTTCATATTTGCTCATTACGTGAAACATTAAATAAACGATAAAACAGAGACGACTCTCAAATATTGCAACATCAAATTTATAAACTCATTTTGTACATTTACGGGGTACTAAACAAACTTCTACGGGAGAAGGGTTGATTGTTGTACTGACGACCAACTAAAAGAATTGGTCAAAACTTTTCCATTATCTACTTCCTCTTCGTTTTATTTTTCACTCGCCTTCCATAACCCTTTTTTAATTTCTTTGTTTGCCTTCTTCGTCTAACCCTAATTAGTATACTATTTTTATGTATTCTAATTACAAGTATGAACGGGTCATACATGACTCACCAACAGTCTTGAGAATTAATAATTAAACCATAAACTTTTTCAGCTCAATGTAGAGTCCAATTAAAAATAAAAATATATGATTATTACTTATTAGAAAGTCGTCATCTTCGAATATGGGATTTGAAGGCGTGAAATTTTTCACTCGGGCTAGAATTTTCAACAATTATACATGAAATATTGGGCTAGGTATCTACACATATAAAATAAATAGTTTTCATTTTTCTATAAAAAAAAGTAAATAGTTATCTTCTTAAATACATCACTATAAAATGTATTAAGCCTCAACTATGCAAATTATAGTTTGGTACCTAAACTTTATAGATCTTTAGATTTATAACCTAAATTTATTTTTTTGGCATATAAGTCCTCAAAATATTGATGGAACATTATACTTTAGTACCTAAAATTTTAGTGGTTTATATTTTGGTACCTAAACTTTTGAAGATCTACAAATAGGTGTAATTTGTGTATGTTGAATTAAAACACCCTCGAATAAATGGGTATTCATACTCAACTCACATTTAGATTACGTAAGTAAATATCAATACCCTACCAAAACTCATCTACAAACTTCAAAACCCATATATATGTCACCCATACCCTACCCATGATCAATGGGTCTACTTGGGTTTCGCTAAATATCATTTACTATCCAAAATTTTCAAAATATTTTAAATTGGATGTTGACCGCCATATATCTCTTCTCAATCAATATCATAATTTCAAGTCAATATTACTGATATAACTGCTAATAAAAAATTAATTTTAGACTAATAATACTAACAAAACACTATAAAGGGCTACATAATACATGCCAATATATCAATGTCATCCCCGCCCCGCGACAAGTCGCGAAATCACCGCCTAGTTAATAATGAAAACAATAGTCGTTAAGACTGAAACATGCATTTGTTAATAAACAACCATTGAAACGTTAACAATTTCAACAACCAATGTTAACAATAAAAAATATTTACTAATACCGAAAACATACAAAGTTAATAATCAATCAATGGAACACTGTCAAATTCGACAAGCAAAGTTAATAATGAAGACAATATCCGTTAACTTTTAATAATGTTGGCAGTTTAAGGTAGGGGTGGCTATACGGTCCGGTCCGGTCCGGTTAAATTGAACCAAATTGATTCGGTTCTAGTCCGATCTTTTCGGGAATATAAGGACCAAAGATTGGATTGGATACAGTCCGGTCTTGATCCGGTCGGTCTTGACCCGGTCCGGTCCCAATTTGATCTTGATTTTAGATTGAGCTTGTGGAGATTTGAGTGTTGGGGTCTCTTATCCGGGTTTTTTTTAACCTCAAATCTAAGTTCGAATATGAGATTGGATTATTTGCTATCCGGTCCCGATCTGCGTTATACGGTCCGGTTTCGGGTAAAACCAAACAGTCCGGACCAAATAGCCAGCCCTAGTTTAAGGTGTTAGGAAAGAGGATGGAAGTGGAGCCGTGGAGGTGACAATGAGGAGGTTTGAGAAGAGAAGTGGAGTTCTCATTTTGTATTTGTCCGTTGAATCATTTACTTTTATTTCTCAAAACTATATGCAAAACACATAAACAAATTGAAAGTTCAGTGTGAGTAACCCTGTTAAGCAAAAGAACAAATCACCTATTGTGCGTTACAAAATGTCACTAAACTGCCAACTAGCTAACAGATTGCCTATCAAGGAGTAAGCCCCAGCAATACAAGATCATTATGCCGACTATCATTCGGACTACTTATGTTACACCCTGCCCTTTTCCTAAGTCAAAAGTGACCATTTTTGCTCTTGGTAAAAAAATGATCAAATTCCACTGAGCAATATCGACGAGGACCAAAAAAAAGTATGTTCTTGGTTCAAATGGTGTTGAGTTTCGACATGAATCGAGTAAGTTAGGAAGTCTCGAAGCGGTCAGATGAAGTCGGAAGTGGAGGAGATGATCGGCAGCGGGGTGACTTCCACCGTGAGCTTGGGGCTTTCCTGGCACAAAGAGGGCGAAGCTCGCAGATGAAGTTGGAAGCGGAGGAGATGATCAGCAGTGGGGCAGCTCGGCTTGGGGCTTTCCTTCCACAAAGCAGTCAAACGAGATGGGTGGATGGCAACTGCTCTCTACCATGAGACCCACACCAGGAGGTCGACTGGGTGGATGGCAACAGCTCTCTACTATGAGACATGCTCAGGAGGCTAGGTCGAATGGGAATCAGAGGATGGGTGCGCTCTCTACTGTGAGACCTGCCTGCTTGAGCAAGCAGGAGGTTAAGTCGAATGGGAATCAGAGGATGGGTGCGCTCTCTTTTGTGAGCCCTGCCTTCTTAAGCAAGTAGGAGAGGGACATCCACTCAATGTCGCAGGTTGGTGGGTAAGACATGTGTGGCGACCCGTCTGTCGTTGAGACGTGGATTGTAGGCTGGGAACAGGTGCTCGGGCAATGAATCCGACCATCATGTGTTCCCACAAGGGGCTTTGATAGGGAAGGCAATGTTCCTTTCACTCTTGGTCACGAGGGAGAGATGTCTATTTGCAAAATTTCAAATGTTTGGTGCCAACTGCAGCAATGTTTGCAAATCATGAGAGTCCCCCGGTGCACACCTTGAATTTCTTGACCTACTTAGTTGACATGATCCTTAACCGGGAGTTTTTGTTCTCACGGTGAGATGGGAGTAACGTTCACTTGACTCTGATTATTCTAACTAGTGCAATGAATAACTAGAACTCATACAATGTTGATTGTTTATCAAGTTGTACTTGTTTGAGAAGGTTTGCTTGGGGACAAGCAAACACTTAAGTGTGGGGGAGTTGATAACACCCAAAATGGTGTTATTTAGAGCCCATATTTAGGTATGTTTTAAGTCATTTCATGGTCTTTATATATTGTCAAATATACCCTTTTTCGTTCCTCGGATAAAATATTTGCATTTTATTGTGTATTAGATGATATGAATGTTTTAGGCACGAAATGGGGTCACAAGAATAGAAAAAGGATAAAAAATGGAGTTTGCAGCTGAAGGAGTGAAGATCACGATCGAGATGTAGGTGTGTGAAGTTGAGCATGAAGATTGCAACCTTCAAGCCAAAGATATCGATCGCGAACTATGAAGCTTTGGGCGAGAACTTGAAGATACAGTCGTCAAGGGAGGACCAGAGAGTCTCGATAGTTGACTCACGACTTCTATCGTCCTAGCCCGTGTGAAAGATCGCAGTCGTGACTCACAAATTGCGAGTGAAGTCAGGCTGCTATCTCCAAAGCCATACAAGACCAAAGTCGCTGAAGCCCAGATCGCAGCCTCTCGCCCTAAGATCACGGCCACGATTTCCTGCACCATACCCTTGAACTTGCTAGTGTCCTCAAAATTTTATAAATAGGGGAGTCATCCCCTTGAGAAGATGGCTTTTGGTAGAGTTCTTATTCTAGAGTGCGGTTAGAGAGAGAATCTAAAGGAAGGAGAGAAGATGAGAAGAAAAAAGTGGATGAGAGGTTTGGAGGAGGATTTCCAGCACGTGAAGACCCTTCTTCATGTTTTCTTCCCATCTTTGCATGTATCTTCTCCCCCTCTTCATGGGGTAATCCCCCAAGTTACTTTCGGGCGTTGTCCCCCCAAACCCTAGAATAAGGTTTTAAATTTTGGTTTTAATTGTGTTAGGGTTCGTGTGTGGATTTGTTTGTTTTGGTGGTTATATGTTTCATTGATGCTTGATTATGTTGTGGTTTGTCTCTGCAACTCTTCCCTACTAGACTAAAACTGAGTCTCGGAACTAGGTAAGAGTTTTAGGGTTAGACTGGATTTGAGCGCCTTAAGTCTAATTAAAGGTAGATGAATGATCTTAGGGCTTCTTTAAGTGGGCGAGGCGACTGTACACCTGCTAGAGGAATCCCTTCCTAAGATAATGCTAGAGATGATGCAAGCGTCATCAATCCACCGCTTTAGTGTGCGGGATATATTGAACCTATTGAGATGAACTAGTGGCCATTCCTTAGTATGTGAGCTTTGACTGAGGTGACAATGGGTCTATAGGAGCGTACTAAGAGGAGGCGGAGTAATCATTAAAACCCTCAGTTGAGCGAGTTTCGCACCTTATCCTGCAACCTCAACATAGTTAGCCATTTGCACGACGAACCTCAGTTTATGGTGAGGGAGGCACCCCGAGTACCTCTTCTCTTTTATCGGCCTCTAGTTTAGTAATCGCCAACTGGCCACATGCTAAGTAACGGGTTGGCTTGATAACAATCGAGCCTAAGTAGCCTAGAATACCATGACCTTTGAAATACGACCTCGGTCACCACTGTACTATTTCGACAATCTAAAGTGCACTTGTCCTCGATTGGAGTAGCTAGTATTGCTGGCGGTCGAGTTTACAAATGTAAAACTCGATGTGCGACGCATCAACAGATTAAGTAATAAGTACTCACTTCATTATATATATAAAAAAAATTGGTATTTTATGCCTCAACAATTCATTTGTTCCAAATACACATCGGCATCTCGGAGTGAGAGTAGGTTCAAAAGTCAAAACTATGATCTCCTCTGAGTAGCAACAAACAAAAAACAGAAATAAAATGGCAACCTCACCATGCATGGAGTGCATAAAGGAAATAAGGTTCTTCGAAATTTTATGTATCTTGTTGATCTCTCAACAGACCTAAATTTCTCGTAATCCCAAGATCAAGAACGACGTCGTAGTTCAAATGAATCAATCGAGTATCCTTGGTAGGAAAACATTCCTCTCAACCTCTAGTGTTTTACACCAAGTAAACGTAATTCACTCAACACTTGAGCAAAAGTTCTTACTCTGAAATCCAAAAAGTCCAGATGAAGAAATCTAGAAGGGTCTGTTTTTTCAGTTATATACTTTGACCACATTGATTATAATCTTCTGATGTATAACATGGATAAAACATACTGATCATAGTTATCTATTTAACTTACTAATTTTTTTTATGAAGATTTAACTTATTCATTGTAAACAAGAATATTCTTTGATTCATACCATCCGGAACTCTTTCAGAGACGGCACTTGGGTAGAATTAGGTGACTGGGTTTTCTACTTTGGGTCTCCTAGCTATTTGGGTGTTATTTTTTCTTTCATTCTGAGCTAGAAGATTCGGATGGTTTGACCCAAGAAACTGACAGCTCCAAGTTCCAACGAATTAGAAAATAAAACCAGAAACCGCAAAACAAAAAGTGTATTATCGTACAAACGATGAAAATGAGGAGGGGAGGAAGAGGTAAAGAAAAAGGCAAAATGGAAAGAAACGTGTTATAATTTTTTAGTTCCAAATTCGTTGTGGCTTCCAAGGAAGTCCAAAGCGGCCATTCACCTAAACTACCGACCAACACTTTGCTTCTTTCGCACTCAATTAATACCTTAAAAATTTTGCACTTCAATTCATGGCAATCCTTCGTAGTAGACTAAGCACAGGAGAAAAAAAATTGGATAGCAGTTAGCTGTATTTAGAAATGGTTTTGCTTACTGGATTTGATAAATGATCGAGAGATTTATGATATATTCGATCTATTATAGATTTCAAAAGTTTGCTGTTGGTTTGTTGGATTTGTTGGTGAATTTATCATTTTAAAGAGTAATTTGCCTTACTATCCTTACTTTATTTGTTTTATATATGGTGGCAAGACAACTTGGATTGTTTCATGAACTAAAATTGATGTGTGGTTCAAAATTAATTTGGTCATCTTATCATTTATAATCCACTCAATTTATGGTGTATGGGAACCCCTTTAGCAATCACCAAACCATAAGAAAACATAATATTGCAATTTCAAACACCTAAATTATCGAAATGAATAGCCAACATAAACTCATCATTCTCCCTGCTCGAAATTATTATCATCGTAAAACCTCGATCATTCCTTTTCCATGAACCCTCGGATATGACATTGACACTCATCAAGCAAACACGAAATAACTAGAGATTTAGGACAAATCCTTGATATCAGCATTTGGGTCACAAATCAAGGGCTCAAATCCAACACACAAACGAGCTATTAATTTCTCTGAGCTATTAATTTGTGCAACACAAGTTCAGGAATTGATTAATTTGCCAATAGACATAGTGACCCTGGCCCCCGTCTCCCAAGTGAGGAATCTGAACGCGGGTGACCCATCATCATTCACTTGCATGTGGAACGACGCGACATTGAGATGATCTCACTCGGCATGAGTGATGATCCTCAAAGACTAAGGAGCATCTATTGTCTTGGCTAGAGGGGTGCATTTGAGTCTATTGACAATCCAACCATAGTAGAGCTTCTAGTCCTCTAGGAGGCCATCCAGTGGTGTATGGATTTTGGGCTCACGAAGGTTCAGTTTGAAGGGGATGTGAAGTGGTAATTGACAAGATAAACATGGCGGATAAGCGGGACAACTACGTTGGGGCCATTCTCAAGGAAGTATCACATAGGGTATCCCATTTGAGTGGAAAAGTCATTTCTTTGTTCCTTAACCGACAATGTTTATGTCAAACAACCTTCAAAGGATTTTCGTTGGTGTATCAACTTGTAAAATTTGTGGTGTTGCTTGTTTAAGCAGGTCTCGAAATCGTATTTGTCGTAATGTACTACATGAAGAACACATTACTACATGAAGAAAACACATTAAAGGTGACATACTTAGGAACTAGCTAGTTTGGATCATGAATGTGATTTTTGTTTTTTTTTTAACGTCGTACTCGTACCCATCTTGAACAAGTTCTAAGTACGCCACTAGTGGAAGATATACACAAATTTCAGAGTATAATGTAACTAACTAATTGTTGAGGCAAGTGGTGCATATATGTCACATAATTCGTTTTATGATCCACCTGATTATAGAAATCACCCTTCACTTTTGGAAGAAAGTGGGAATCCCTCTCAGTTGCGCAGTCACAGTTTCCCATTCAGCATTCCATCAAAATCCCAAAGAGGACAGAAAAAGGGACTGTAATGCCTTCCTTATTGCTCAATCCACACTCCCTCTCCTCTTAATTCGATGTTGCCATTCTCTCTCGTAATGACACTTTAACAAACTACAAAAGTGATTAGAACAAGTCATTCCCTTACTTTTTTTCCCTTCAATTGTTGGGGAAAAGCTCATGATATGTACATATGTTTTGCAACTTGCAACTTTAATTTCCTTTTCAATCTTCTTAGACAGGGGGTGAATATATAGTGTACTCCATCAACTTATCATAAACTACCCACTAAAGAAAATCTGACAAGCAGTGTATGTAAAACATACATCATACATGTGTAAATTAAACAAGTTGTTAGATATATTGAAATCAAAGAAAAATCTAAGGTTAGTATTCTAATAATACAATTCACAACCAAAACAACTATTCGATGGCGCTGCAAGTTATGTTTTCGGTAAAGCAATCGTGATGTCTTTCATATTTTGAAAAAAAAATGTAAAATACATGTATTGTTCAAAATCTGGAAAATAAAAAGTATCATCAATGTAGTCTGATCTCCTACTGACGACATCGTTGAATGGTTTGGCCCAAAAATCTTACTCAATCGTTTAATTTCCTAGTACACTGCATATCGTACTCAATCCTTACATTGTGTGGTACTCAGAGGCGGAGCTAGCCCATCTTAGGGTGCCATGAGACACGTCTAATATTATTTTGAAGAATAATTATTCATTCCGGATAGATGTATATAAGATCCGAACAAAATCAGTTGCTAGAAAAGCCTTATACAATCAAAAATAATTATCGGTTATTAGTCTATCTCTTTTTGTGATATTTGTTAACCAAAATACAACCAACCAAAGCCCAACTTTTTTGTGTACATAAAATCACAACCACAACCAAAAGGAGTCAAACCCATCCCATTCATCCAACCATATAAAATGCCAAAAAGCCAAATTGTCCCCTTAACCCCAAAACCATCCCCCTCTCCTCCCTCCACACACTTTCATTTCCTACATTCCTTATACTAACCCCTTAGGATTAATGTACAAGATAAGGAAAACAATAATAATAATAATAAATCAAATAAAAATACAAGTTGATAAAAAAAAAATTGAAAGCAAGCAAGAAAATGAAACCTCAACTCCCTATCTTCTCCCTCAATTCCCTTCCTTCCTAAACCTCTGTTTTCCCCTCCACCTCTGTTTTCCTTTCCCCCACTCTTTTTGCTTGAATAAACGCACAATTTTCAGCGGCAAAAAAAGCCACAACCACTAAAACCGCTATGAGTTCTTCTTCTTCCTCTTCCCAAAACCCGCCATGGCCGCCGTACCAAACTTACAGAGACTGTTCCCAAGGCATCTGCAGCATCTACTGCCCGCAATGGTGCTACATCATGTTCCCGCCTCCCCCTCCTCCTCGCCGCAGCTTCCCCTCCGCCGCCGACGGCGGCGACGGAGGCAGCGCCACCGACTTCTCCCCTCTCATCATCGCCGTGATCGGGATCCTCGCCAGCGCCTTCATCCTAATCACCTACTACACCATCATCACCAAGTACTGCCGGCGGCGCGGCGGCAGCGGCGGCGTCGGGAACCCACTTGACAGCGACCCGAATCACAACAGCGGCGACACGAATTGGATGCCGCCGTCGGGCCCCGCGGGGCTGGACGAGTCGGCGATTAAGTCGATTGCGGTGCTGAATTACCGGCGTGGGGAAGGGTTGGTGGAAGGCTCCGATTGCTCTGTTTGCCTGAGCGAGTTTCAGGAGGAAGAGAAGCTGAGATTGCTGCCCAAATGTCACCACGCGTTCCACGTGCCCTGCATTGACGCCTGGCTCAAGTCCCACGCCACTTGCCCTCTCTGCCGCGCCAACATCCACGCCGCCGCCGCCGTTTCCGTTGCCGTTGTGGGGTTTGTCCCTCCGCCGCCGCCGGAGGCGGTGGTGGCAGAGGAAATTCGTGAATCGGTGGCGGTACCGGCGCAGGAGATTGAGAGTGGGGATGTGATCAGCGAGATTGCGGTGGTGGCGGAAGATTTGGAGGCCGGCGGAGGCGGCGGGGAGGAGAGTGGCGGGAAAATTGAGATTGAGTGCGGGCAATCTGATAGTGAGCAGCTGGGGATTTCGCAAATGAGGAGGTCGAGTTCGTTGAACTTTGCGGCGGCGGCGGCGACGAATGTTGGTAGCAGTAGCATTGTTGGGGCGATGAAGAGATCGGTTTCCACGGGGAGATTTCTGTTGATGCCCAGTGGAGATGGTAATTCCTCCAATTCTGTCGGTAGAATTCCAATTTGATGACTAGTCCACGGCCGCCACCATTCATTGTTAGTAATTCACATTGGAAAATATCAGAACGTGTTGATATTGTTGGATCGGTTTATGAGTACAGATCTTATATGGTGTTACACATTTACTAAAACAAAATTTAACAACGTATAATAGAGAACACTGGGGCTTTCCCCCTTTTTTATTTTCCTTTTTTCCTTTGTGGTTCTGGATTCATTATTTTTCAGGGTAGATCTGTGAATTTGCATGAGGTAGGGGAAATATGATTAGGTTTGGGGGAACTTTCTATTTTTTTTCTGCTACGATTGTATATTTGTGCCATTGTACATCATTATACTGCTGTCTTCTGCTGTTTTTATTTTCGTTTCATTTTTTAATGTAATGTAATTTTGATACATACTAAAATAGACAGAGATTAATCAACAGAAAAGAAATTTGTTATAGTTCTCGTACGGTCTGTAATAAAAAAAATTCTACCAACATTTTTTTTTTTATATTTTGTGACTTGGCATGCAAAGGTTTTGTATATTCTCGTATCTGTATAATTTTTCTCGATGTGCTCAATTAGGATCCTAGCTTTATTGTAAGCCAAAAACTAAGACGACGATTAGGAAGTTCGTACACGTTGTCGAAACGGATCCTATCAAATATTTCACATTTTTTATGATCATCTCCATTTTAGGTATTCGTGGAATCCTCCTTAATTGAACAAGATTCCCACTTTTCTCTCTATGACGCTGTGAGCCAAGTTTTTCAATATTTGGTTCGAAAGGACAAGGAAGATACCTATGACAAAAAATTGTTATATTTATTCCTATTGCCTTTAATTTGAATGGGGATAAATTCACCTAGAAAGGAATCGGTGATCAAAGCAAAGAGGTTTCGAGTGAGTTTTGTGATTTGATGATTATTATTACAGTTACTTTTTTCATGGACGGAGTTTATCCTGATACCACAAAAATTTGTTGCTTCATCTCTTCGTTTTAGATTATTTCACTCTTCATGTTCTTAAGATAATAGGATATTCTGTTCTGTAAAACTATTATATACGAACTACTCAGTTTATCAAACTTCAGAAAATGAAATGAATAGATTTAGAAAGAGTCGTACTATCACTTCAATAGAATTATCATATACTTAGTTTCTCAAAATCGATAAAATATATTGAAATGTATAAAACAATTTCTTTCTAATTCCATTTCATTCATAAATAATAAGATTTAGCTATTATACATCAACATAATCTCATTCGAATCAAATACTGATTTGATCAATTTTTATCAAGGTTGAAGTAAACAATCATCAGACAATCCTACTATCAAATTCGATCATGTCGAGATACATAAACATAGAGTTTCTTGGTTCACAAGTAACCAAAAAAACTCCCAACTATATGGTGGGAAGTCGGAAGAACATGTAACTAAGATAGGAACAACAACAAATATTATTATTATCCATAATAATTAAGCAAGCAAGTAAGCAAGCCGTCCTACCAACTCTTTTGAAAATATGTAATTGAGTTTGTGCACTAGACTGGGTTTACCCTGATTTAAAATAATTCAGTTAGATAAAACCACCAACGAAAACAATTGCATTCTACATACCTTGTATATTATATATTTATTTTTTTCAATTGTAAGAGAGTGACAGATGTTAAATTGTGTAATGTCCCAGGAAAACGAGTTCTGATAAAAACAAAAACCCAAAATTAAATAAGGCAGGTTAGGTGATAAACAGTTGAAGGATGGGAATGGGTTTGAGTTGACATGGACAAATCACCTACAACCAACCGGTTGATTCAACTTCAATTAAATTCTCATTTGTATCTCGTTTGTGTTTCTGGACCTCTTATTTAATTAAGTATTTCTGTAAGGCCACTTCTCATCGTATTATAAGTAGGGTATAAGACTTGAATGACAGATGCAGTTTGCAAATGTTCAACCCAATATATATACCAATAATCATCCTAATTTTAGAGGTTCACCCTAATTTGCAAATGTTGTACAAAAGAATATGGCAATTACTTAATCGTCATTCATAAAAAAAAATGGCAATTTAAGAGGTTCATCATAATTTAAGTTACTATAATCACCCAAATTTAATTTAAATGTGAAATTCTTTAATTGTCATTCATAAAAAAAATATGGCATTGATTTCGTTACAAAAACTGCAAAATTAGAGATGGCAACGGGTCGGGTCGGGAGCAGATAGTGCATGTCCGTTACTCTACCGAAAGTAGTTCGGTTTTTACCCATACTCATATCCACATAAGAATCGGGTAGCAAAACAAATCCATACTCATACCCATTCGAGTTTCGGGTATTCACGGTTATCCATGGATAATGCTTTCTATTTGTAACCCCAACCAACATGTTAACATTCACACGTATACTCACATTACATAAGTGGAAATATACTAGAATAAATCACTAGAATGAACAAAATTAATTAAAAACAACACAATTTCATGAAACATTATATTTGTATGCTAAATATCAAATATGTCGAGGAAAAATAATAACCATTTCTAAACAAAATACATATGCATGTTTATAATCGGTCGGGTTCAGGTTGGATAGTGTGAAAACCATATCCGTCCATTACTCTCAATTGTCAGATTCGAATTTTACCTATACCCACTAAAAATCTTTCGAGTTCGAATTTTACCCTACCTAATTAGATCGAATTCAAACGGTTATCCGAAATTCCAGATATGTTTGCCATCTCTATACAAAACCCTCCTCCTACAAACCCAACATTCCTTTGTCCCTCTGCCGCCTTCACTCCTCGTCGCCCTTCCTCTCCACCTGACCTTGTCGTCGGTTAGGGAAACCTAAGATCAGTTTAGAACCCACTCCCAAAACTGATAGTATATATATCATTATCAGCAGCAGCGGATCCAGAACACAGAAGTGCACTGGGCCGCATTTTATTAGAATAGTAAAAAAATATAATGATTATAATTTTTTTACAATGTAAATTGTATACGATGGTATTTTAATTTAGCGAATGCATTAATAATGGAGTCCACATCCATACCAATAATATACACTGTTTCAAATAAAATACTTGAGCAATCGACTAGAAATCCATCGCTCATTTTGTTGCGCAAATCAATTTTCACATGTTTCGTTGTTGAAAAGGTTCTATTCGTATTAGTTGTTGAAACGAGCAGCATCAACACTAGACAAATCAATCTACTAATCAATTTGCATTGTGTTTCCATCTCATATCCACCAGCTGCTCTAGTAAATTTTCCAAGGTAACAAACCTCATATATGTTTTAGTCTTTTACGTTTTGAACTTTTTGAATTTTTAGGTTTCATTGTTTTATTAGACGAATAACCTTTGGGGTTATAATTTATAAGCTAAATTTAGAGTATTGATTCTGAATATGTTCATCTGAATTATTTTTCTAATTATACCCAATCTTATTTTAAAATAACAACGACCCGAATATTTAAAATCGAAAAATTCCTAAGACCTATACTAACTATGGATCCAGAGGAGGGCTGGGCCGGGGCCCGGGGTGGCCACCCCCTGGATCCGCCACTGATTATTAGCTTGGCTAAGTGGCGGACCTAAAAATTTTACATAGGGGTGTCCTTTATAAAAAATAAAGTAAAATAATTAATTAATAACTAATAAAAATTATATTATTCTTAAATAAGAAAATACCAAATATGTACAAGTTAAAAAAAGTCAATGATGTATTTTCATATTCTAAAAAATTATAAAATACACGTGGTGTCTACACTACTCAATAAACTTGTCTCGATATATCCTACTAGACAATTATTCACGAACCGACGCATATTTGACTTATAAATTTGTTCATGATGTAACTCAAAGTTGAAAAACACTCTGAACACTTGTCGTACAATCATAAAATCGATACAAATTAAAGGTAGCTTGTAATTAAATTAATTGTTAGGTTTTGAAAATAATTAAAGATAATGAATAGGGTTTTGCTATTACACAGTGTTTAGAATACAACAACAAAAAAGTTGTAGTCTAATGGAAATTATATGTATTAGTAATAGTAGTGTCCCGAGTTTGAATTACCCAAACTATCACTTATATTCCCATACGCAAACTACAAACGAGATAGTATAATCGTTCTTTTAAATTTTAGGGTATTCCAGACTTTTAATTATAATTTTTTATCTATACGTAAATTACTACCGGGAGTTGGATAATCGATCTTTCAAAATTTAGGGGTGTCCCAGGACACCCTAAATTAGGGGTGGCTATTTGGACCGGGACCGGATAGTAAACAATCTAATCCAATCTTTGGGCTTAGATTTGAGGTAAAAAACCGGATAAAGACCGGATAAGAGAGCTCAACACCCAAAACTTAAGGGTAATTTGCATAAACGGTCACAAACCTTTGCACTTAGTACAAAACTTAACCAACTCCTCACCCTTTAAGGTTTGAGTCCTTAAAGGGTATCCAATCCAATCTTTGGTCCTTATATTTTCAAAAAGACCGGACTGGACCGGATCAATTTGGGCCAATTAACCGGACCGGACTGTATAGCCACCCCTACCCTAAATGGTCTTGGGTCCTCCCCTGCTTAGCTCCACAGTGTTACATAACTCCCTCGACACAGTTGGTTGTACAAAGTGATTAATGACTAACCTGTAACCACGAAATGAGCTTTATTTTTATGTTTAGGAATCGAACCTTGACACAGTTGGTTGTACAAAGTGATTAATGACTAACCTGTAACCACGAAATGAGCTTTATTTTTATGTTTAGGAATCGAACCTTGGACAACGTAATTAAAAGACGAGGCAGATAATCACCGAGGCACAATCTCTTTTTCTGTTATGTGCAGAAGGGTGGCTAATATATATTCTGCATTTCCATCCAAGTCAGAATCCAAAGGAAGGGCAAATCAATTACCTCAATAAGAAAAAGAAGCAAACTGACTTTGACTTATGAACACAAACTGGTCTACCAGTATTAAAGACCTCACCAAATTTAGAGAACTCACTCTCCTATATGTAAGTTGATTCGGGTTAAATTGTACACATTTTACCCCTCATTTTTTTTTATAGTTTGAGTTTGCATTTCATCGTCCCTCAATCGAATTTACGATAAGTTGTGCTATTTTTTATACATTTCAGGTCCTAGCGCGTGTGGGAAGGTCTATGACGAGTTTCGGGACATTTCGAGGTAAAAGGAGCCAAAAAGTGAAGAAAAATCCAAAGACACGGTTTGAACGCAATTCTCGCAATCGCCAGACCGTGACAATTGCATCCCGGGTGTGAACTTCGCTGGGAACTGGAGTTTTTTGCATCTCGCGGGCCAAAAGATTGTCACGGTCGCCAGATCATTTTAATTGTCCAGTGACCATGATGTCGGACCAAAACAGCACCAGTGACCTACGTTTTTGTCCGATGTCACGGTTTGAGTTCCAATATCACGGTCGTGAAGTGCAGACCGTGAAAGTGATTGTCGGGCTGTATAAATAGAAGGGTGTTGGGAGAGAGAGAGAGAGAGAGAGAGAGAGAGAGAGAGAGGCAAGATCTGGATTGGGTTTCACATTTTCTAGGTTCCCTTCTAGGGTTCGAGCTGAAAACCCCTAAAAAGGAGGGAAAATTCTAGTGAGAGAAAGAGAGATCTTCTTCTTGTTAAGAGAGAGAAAGGAAGAGCCAAAGGAAGAAAGAAGAAGATTGGGTTTGCCCTAAACTAGAGGATTGAAGGTATTCTTCTTCTCAAGGGTGTTCCCAAGCAACAAGGAAGGAGGATAGTCACCACACCATGGTTCTTTCTTTCATCTTTGTTGTTTTCCCTTGCCTAGCTATGGGGTAGTGCTCCCTCTCACTTGGGTATTGTGAACCCTAGTTTAGATGTGTGTTAGGATGTAAGAACATAACTCTATGTGTGTTGATTGATTGTATTATATAATATTTGAGGTATTATTCATGAATGATTGAGTGTTGCTAGATTTAACTCAATATTGGGTCATTTTGATTTTTGACCTAGGTTGAGAGAATCCCCTTGTTGTAAGAGGCTTTGAGAAGCTGGATTCTTGGCCAATTTGTGTCCCCCATTTAGGCAAATGAGGGCAAACCTCAAATATCGAATTAGTGTCATGATCCCATCATGATTGGTCGCTATCCGCCGTCCGGATTAATTTTCGAGGGATGGATTCTTGGTTGATTGGTTAAGAGGGCTAGATTTCCTAGCCTATAGTTGCAATCCTTAGCCGAATGGCTAAGAGAGTTAGGTTACCTAGCCTGTTGTTGTTATCCTTAACTAATCGACTAAGAAAGTTAAGGTTTCCTAGCTAGTTGCACCCGCCTCACGGCTTATAAATGCATCATTCACACTAGAGTTTTGTCCATGGTTTTTTAATTGGGGACTAGGGGGAACAATACCCGGGTGAAGTCCTCTCATATAGAATTCTCCTCGATTACTTTACTTGTTTGTTTATTTTGTAGTTTTCTTGGTTTTTAAATAACCAAAAACCGTTTTTGGTAGATAACAATTTAAGCGATCGAAGTAGGGGTACATGGACTGGCCCGGGTTTGACAATTAAAACATATTTTCCCTATATTGCACCCGGCTAGAGTTTATACTTGGACTCTAGTCGGAATTTTATTCATGGTGTAGTCCGTGCGAGTCATAAGTCCAGTCCGTCAGTAGCACTAGAATAGTTTGATTTCCTAGTGAAGGAAGCCCTTTCAGAAAGACACGGACATGTATTCCTACTCTAGTACGATGCTTCATAGGTAAGGGAAGGAAGATACGCAACTCGTCTCCAATGTTGAATCGGGCGATTTCTGGTCAAGCCCTTGTGATATCACTGAAAAAGGTCGTACTACAGTAGAACACAACAAAATCGGTTATGCTAAGTTTAAAAGTTGCGGAAATAGGAGGTATTTTTGGAAAAGGGTGGTAATTTCTGAATTTTTCGGAAAAGGGTGGTATTTTTTGAATTTTTCGGAAATAGGAGGTCTTTTTGGAATTTTTTTTATTTAGTGTCATTTCTCGGAAAAATCCGAAAATTGGAGGATTTTGTAACTCAATTGTTTGTTGCCTAATTTCCACATAATAATCATATGGAGTCTTATAATCTCTTTTTCCTAACAACTATCATAATAATAATCTCAAATCCCTCAAATATTTTCAATAATCCCTAAATCTCCTAAAATCTCAATGAATATAATTAAATAACAATAATAATTTAATTAAGTGAATAAACTGACAACACTGCCAACAATTCGTACCTCCATCATGATCGCAATCCTTTCGCTAAAAAGAGAACAACAAATTCCATACTCAATATATTGGCCCAACACCTTTCTTCTCTTCACTAGTTTGCTTCTTATACTCCTTCACTTCAAAACACCTATTGTGCTAAATACAATTAAGTTTCAATATCTAGTTGTAGTCATTACTCTTATCTCTATTTGGAAAGTGTCATTGCTGGGAATGAATATTCTCAATACCCTTGCCACCAATGTAGTTAAAATTTCAATTTTTATCTTGAATTCCCAAGTTCATGATTTTACCTATAGCCTATAGGTTTCAATCTTGATTTTACTACTAAATTTTTGGATCTTAAAATCCTATAAAATTCCGCTTTAAAAATTTATAAAATTCGTTAAATCTATAATATCGATCGATTTCAATGTTTAGTCTATGGTGAGTGGTGACCAACATACATTAGCAAAACTGCCAATTTAAAAAAATACTAAAGGAATTATTTCTACCACTTATTGCACCTGAATTACATAAGAAGTAAACGTTTCAGTTCTGTCGACAACATTGCACTTCCATTTTTCCGAATTGCATTGGTAAATCCTTCATCCAACAACATTGCCACCTTAGCTTAAAATATCAAATAGGAAATAGCTACGGATCCGATGAACAAAGGATACGTTCAGCTCACAGTAGGACATAGAATTCCGCCAAAAGCTACATCACAACATAAAAGAAAATCCATAGTTGAAGGTTCCAAATATTGAACATTTAAATTGACGACCGGGGAGTGAAGCTTCAGGGACTAGCCACGCTCTCTCATTCATCTTTCAGGGAGACTCGCTGCCTCTAGGCGAGCGACGGTTGTTTTCAAAATCATCTTCAGCAGCAGGGCTCTTGTCATCCCTCGCCCTCGGACTAGGGCTGCGGCTCCGGCTTGGACTTCGGCCATTGGCCGGGGGACTCTCGTACCTGCCATTTCTAGGGCTCTCTCTTTCTGGGGTCCTGCTCCTGCTCCGGCTCCTGCCCCTTGGACTGGCACTATACTCTCGGTCATCATCCTCCACCTTCCTAGCTTTGGGAGAAGGGCGTGGGCTTCGATCTTCAGGAGTTGGGCTACGCTTCCTCCCCTTGGAAGGGCCATCGTTCCTTGGGTCCGGGCTCATTGACCTGGCCTCGTTGTCTACACTTCGGTCTCTCTTAGGCACTGGAGATCTCGATCGGCTGCAAGTAGAAATGAGATCCAATCAGTCTCGTTAGCTAAACCACAAACGAGTTGCAACAGACAAAGCTCTCTTATGATTGCTTGCTATTGACGAACCTGTAGCTGTGGCCTCGGCTGTAACTTGGGCTACGGCTCCTGCCACCACGACGAGGTGATGGGGACCTTGAGTAACTTCGCCCACGCCTGTTCATATAACATAGCACCCAATTATAATAAGAAATAGAAATCGTGGAAATTGCAAGCAGTCCCTACTATTTAGAACCAAGAAGAAATTTATGAAGTGAAGAAGAACGACTCACTTCAACTTCTGAGGGCTGTTCTTGCAATTTCTCTCAATGTGTCCCCTCTCCCCACATCTGTAGCACTTATTCTTCCAATCACCAGCTTTGCAATCTCTAGCCCAGTGGCCATCAATACCACAATTGAAGCACCGCCCAGATCCAGGAGGCGGACCTCTCCCCAGGTATTCCTTGGAGCCTCGAGGTACCTAGCCATGTCAGCAAACAAGGTTAATACAGTATGAAAAAAATTGGGCTGCTTTAAGCATCATAACCATTAAAGAACATCACGGTAAAACTGAACCTACCCCTTTAGCAACTTCCACAATGATCCGACTTCCATCAACATCTCGGCCATCTAAGTGATACCTTGCATCATCAGCATCTCGTGGATCACTAAATTCCTGTAGAGAAGTGACAGAAAACAACAACACCACAAACGAGACGATATAGTTGTAGGTAATAATTTGTCAGACACTAGTAGACAATACAGAGTTCAATTATACATCCGCCAGACAAATAATGAACCAAGCTAATGAGAAAAATGCACAACACTTACAACAAATGCATAGTCACGCTTCATATCCACATCTCGGACTCTGCCAAAACGGTTGCCACAAACAGTAAGGCCATCATTACGTGTAAGAGTACTGCAAGTTGTATGATACTTCACTCCTCATAGACGTACTAAACACCAGTTTGAATGAACACCACTTTGAGAGATTGTTGCCATTTCCATTCAAAAATACGCAATAACATAATAGAAAGAATCGCCAAAGTCCCCTAGGCAAGAATTTCCACCAATTTCCACCAGGGCAACCATCTCACCACAGGCCTCCAGGTAAGGCAAAAGCCCCAGAAACCTTCAACAAGATCATTCAAGTTAAAAACAATAGACACCTAGGCACCATAACATTTCCCATAGAGAAAACTTGAGCAAATCAATGCGAGAACGGAACAGTTGAAGACAAATATGTCCAACTAAAGACAATTGAGGGGACTGAAAACACATACCCCAGGACAAACCATGTCAGTCAGTAGGAAAATATGAATATTGGAGGCGTATAAAAAGTTCATGCATAAACACAAAAACCCACATCAAGTCCAAGAGATTTTATCTTCATGTGCAACTCACCTCCCATATTTGCTGAAGACATATTCAAGATCACGAGACCTTGTGCGGGGGGCTAGATGGCCAACATAGAGGCGGGTGTTGGCATATCTGTCATCGTAGCGCGGCATCTTCAAGCTGCAAGATGAAGAAGGTTTCAACACAATGCAACTAAATAACATCAAATGAAAAAGGGGAGACAGTCCCATATTAAAAACAGCTAGCTGATGCAATTGCCTTCAGCTATGGCAGATACATACTTCATTCCACACAGATCACTAATACGAAAGTTCTCCCCAAAAAATAACATAAAACGATCTAATTGAGTCCTAATTAATCTCTCTGTAGCACAATAGTCTCACTACAATGTAAAGACACAGACTTCACTCCCCCTTCACAAAGCACCTAACCTTAAAAATAATTTTCCAGACAAAGATCAGTTTTTTCCCCCCTCAAGCCACGCAACTATGTCGACACTGCCAATGAAGATCCCAAGCAGCAGCACCCATGAAAACAAAAACTACATTACCAGCGAGGCAAGGAACGGATCAATCAAATTACTCGGATGAGACCCATACCGCCATAAATCTCAGAAAGAAGCCGCGTATAATCGAAAAACCCTAGCTGAAAACCAATCTACAAGCTGAGGCCGAGAAATAAAAATCCCTAGAATGGTGAATTAATCACAAACAGGGAACCAATTGAAACGGGAACCAGATGAAACTGAAAAAACCTAGAGCGGGCTCTCACCTTTGAAGAAGAAATCACGAATCTTGGTTTCACAGCAGCAGCTCTCTCGTTTGCGAACACGAGCAGCGTTTTATCTCGAGAGCGACGGCGGATTGAGCGGCTAGGGTTTCGGTCTATGGTGGAAGAGAGACGAGAGAGTGAGAGGAGAAGAAGATGGCGACGGTTTGAAGAGAGCAGGCTAGGGTTTCGGTCTATGGAGTTTGATTCTGGAAGAGGAAGAGAGAAGTGGAAGGATCGAGAGGAAGAGAGAGAGGCGAGAATGAGAGGGCGGCCATGTACCTCGACTTTTCAAAAGACCAATTGCCCCTAGGGTTTCTGCAAATTTACGTGGCCCTGCCACCGTCTGTTTTTGCAATTACAAAATTGTCCTTCCCCTTTCACTAAAATAAAAGGGCGAAACTTCTGGACATATATTTGCTCTTCTGGTTCATGGAACTAGAAAAGCTGTTAAAACTGAGATTCAAGGTGGGTGCTTTCATCTCATTTAGAGGGGAGGAAATCCTGATAGACAGTTCTCTTATGCAAAAGTTTTCTATAAAAAGAGTCTGGAATTTGCTTAGGCCTGTTGGAAATAGGGATGGCAATGGTCGGGTTGGGGCGGGTTTTGTCAAACCCAAACCCATGGGTTTATCCGCCAAAAAAAACCGGGGTAAAACCCGATGGGTTTGAAAAACTCAAACCCAACCCAACCCGCTGGGTACCCGCGGGTTTTTGTGGTAAAAAATTTACAATAACAAGTTTCTTTCAAAATAAAAGTTTAACATTAATTTTCTCATACAAATTATTCATACAAAAAACACCAATCTAGAGCATACAAGCAAACCGCAAATGATCAATACAAATTGTTCAAAATTAAAGATAAACATCTATAAACAATAAGATTAATTGAAAGCTTCTTACTCGTCAACTAAGTTTCTTCACTCTCCACTTCATAATATCAACTTCATTCTAAACAATTAGAAACAACAAATTATATATGTCTCCACAAACATAAAGAATATTAATTATTTAAGGAAGATATATTATTTAGAGTATTAAATATACCGAGAAAGTAATTATATGTGTGTGGGCGGGTTTACCTAAACCCAAACCCAACCCGACCCGGTGAATAGTGTAGCGGGTTTAAACCCGAACCAGGCCCAAAACCCGTCAACACGGGTTTCACCCGCGTTGACCGGGTTGGGTCGGGTGGGTACCCGTGGGTTCGGGTTTTGTTGCCATCCCTAGTTGGAAGTGATGTTATCTGGTGGAAGATTTTTTGGAAAGGAAAGGGGATTCCTAAAAATAGAATCCTCACTTGGCTAGTTTTGAGAAATAGTATTCATACAAAAGCTAAAATGCAGGGCTGGGGGTATGCAGGAGATATGAAGTGCTGTCTTTGTGATTCTGGGTTGAAGGACAGAGATCATCTGTTCGTTCACTGTAGGGTATCCAGACAGGTCCATGTCTCATTGTTTGGAAGGGTGTTGTACATTCCTCATGTGCAGAGATGGACTGAGGAGGTGACTTGGGCTGTTTTGAAGTTCAAAGCGCAAACTGAGCTGGCGGAGGTAGGCAGGGTTGTTTGGCAGAGTTGGGTTAGCAACATTTGGAGAGAGAGATGCCGTCGCTTGTATGCTGGTAAGGCACTTGCTGTTAACTTGTTGCTGAAGTTGATCAAGAGTGAAGTGGAATGTTTTCTGGGAAGTCATAGGGTTGCTCATTTTTGGGGGTAGGGTTGTCTCAGTGGTTTAGTTTATTTTTAGTGTCTTTGTACTTAGTGCATATATATTGAAACTTCACCTAGCTAGCAAGGTTGTTGCTAGCGCTTCTTTTTTATTAAATGAAATCCATCGATTCATCAAAAAAAAAGGGACGAGAAAATGAGGTGAGCAGGTTTCGAACCCTCGTTGGGTTAAACGAGTCGTTCGTAAATGGAAACTTAGCCAGTTGGGCTACTTGGCCATCACGCCTTAATTTAACCATCTTAGTTATTTTTATTTCGTTTTAAAATCCTTAATACAAGATGTTGAATGCGAATTAAGTTTATCTTGTTTCTTTTCTAATACATCAAAATACTTCCTAATAACTAAAATCCTTGCATTTATTGTCATAACCTCATAATAATCTATGTAAATTTTATTAACAAAATCTTTAATACAAAAATTACGTTCAGTGGAACGTGGTAAAAGTTATAATTAAAATTATCAAAGTTCCCAACGAACTACGTGGACTTTGATCCCGTCTAACGGGTACGTAGGCAGCCGATAAGGTTCGAGTCCAACTAACCAATTAATTCTATCTTTAAATTTTTACGTTAGTGGGCGTATAATTAAATTACAACTAATGCGATAAAATCATTAAATGGTCCAGTGGGACCTAAAATTACTAAAATATTACTAAAATACACCCAACTCGTATAAAAACTTATCGACTTAAGTAGTACCGATTTAGGGCGTTGTGGGGTGTTGCTTAACTTCCCCACACGTAACCGTACTCCCAAACCCAGAACTTTATGTTCGCAGATCATATCTCAGGTCGGATCCTAAGGTCGGAGCCGATTCGAGGAGTGTTCGATTCACTCCAAGCATGATCGATGGCGACTCCCAAAAAATGCCGACGCGACGACAACGGACCCCCGGGGGGACGGTTGCGACACTAATCATTAGACTTAGTAGTCATTAGAAACTCCGGGGGGTTGGTCAACTGGTAATATGGAGGGATAATATTCATGATATAATGGGTTTGAAATTTATGGTCAACAATCATCTAATGTTAATAATTAAGAAGGTATAAATCATCAAAGAGTACATGAACATAACCTATGTCTAATAAAGGCTCATTGATCAAGTTGTGATGTAGATAGAAAATACTATTGAAATAATCAAAGATGCTTTGATGGAAGAGGAAATGTATCAAAAATCATAGTAATAATCCGATGTATTCACTGTAAGCTGGGCTTACCATGCCTTTAGAGTGGTGGAGAGGAATCGACTTGGATCTTCTGATCCTAACCCCCCAATAGGAAAGTTTTGGATGGTATTGCCATTTCTCATTTATGTTCATCAACGATTGTAGCAGAAGTTAAAGCCTTATTGACGTGTTTGAATTTTGCCGAGAACGCGTGCCTAGAGCTATCATCTTCTCTGGCTACCAAGTGGTGGTTAATGTCCTACAATCTCCAGACAAAGCTTTATCTTTGGATTCAGATCATTGATTTTATTTCACAATTCTTTTGTAATATGTCTACCTCGTACATTGATACCATATATGAAAATTTCAAATTTTGCATTTTCGATTTTTTTTCAAGCATAAAAACATGTCATGGTTTTTGAAACTATAGTCATTTTTTTATAATTGTAACCCCAACGCCGACTAGTTCAACTCATCATTTGCACAATACTAACAACTGAAGGGTTAGCAGAGCAGTTACGAGCCGGTAGGTAACCAAATTAAATATGATAAACTAAAATTCAAAATTTGCATTGAATTTGAAACTCTCACTCACAAAACTGGATTACAGTTTGGTTTAATGATGGTAAGTTAACGCAATTGACTGCACGCTTATCCTTTTGGCCTGGCCTTGAACTTGCAAAATTATAAGAACCAGAAATGAGATTCCCAGCAGGTTCAAGTATGCCCATCTGCAAAAATAGGACTCTGCTTAGCATTAAAACTCCCTTTCCCAAGTCACTTGCCCAATAAACATTCGCTAGATGTGAATTGTTCTTACAAACGTAGCACAACACTGGCCTGGGGATCTCAGCTTTTCTTGTGCTCAATGCCTCCTCTGCATATGATAAAGCGATGACATAAATCAGCTAGAGACATACCCAAAAGATACTACAACAGCAACATTCATCACGCCAAAAAAAAAAAAAACAAAAAAGAACTCCCCATGGCAAGGATAGTTACAACAGCATCCATACTACCCATAAACAATATATTAAAATTTGTTGCTTAAGCTATCCTCTAAATGATCTCAGCCTCGCAGGCCGCAGCACACATGCGCAATTTGTTTCTAAACTCTTAGTTCTATGAACATCCATACAGAGTACAAAATGTAGGAAGTCAAACTTGGGACTGATACAAACAAGGAAAAGCTATCATCAACATTTCTGAGCATACCTTGTGTTTCTTATGCTTCCTCATTCCAACATTGCCATTTCTAGCTTTCTGTTGTTCACCAGCACCATCATCCAATGGTAAGAATTTGATATCAAAACCATCAGTCAAACCTTCCAACCTGCCAGAAAGGAATGGAAACAGGAAAGGTTGTCGAGAATTATCACAGAAATCTGAATAACAAGCCCATCCGCTTGCTCAGTAAATAATATCTCAACTTCTCATAAATTAACGCCAAAAGATGCAACATACCCGCCTCTTGACCTCTTTAAATTCCTCAACTCTTTCTTCTCCTTCTTTGTGATAGGCGCACGGATGAATTGGTCTTCTTCCTCTTTCTCACGTGCTTCCCAGTGTCTCTGATATTTTTCAAACTCCCTACTCTCGTTTCCAAAGGATTCTTTAACCTGGTATGTACACATACAATAAGTGGTGATCTCAAGTGCCTGAAAAAGTTTATCCAACAAGAAGAATAAATAAAGCGGAGAAAGAACTAACCTCTTCAGGCTTCCCCTGCAAGTCATCAAACAAATCTTTTTGGAAGCCCAGTCTTGACCGTCTAACCATCTCTTTCTCTTTTCTCACTTCATTCCTTTTTTCCCTCGATATTCTGCCACCTTCCATTTCTACTGGGACCAATTTTGGTGGCCGATATACACCAACAGTATCCTAGGACACAGAATCACCAAATTAGCTAACAAGAACTGCCATATATTCTTTCATCCAATGACAGCCTAATTTTTAAAACGAAACTCACCCCAGAGGCGACCACAGATTTGTTATTAAGCATATCAGGGTTGGGACGATACTTCAAAAGATCCTCTGAATTCCTAGGAGCATCTGTATTGCTATTGACATTTACTTGATCCACAGGCTGTGAAGCACCTTTTGTGAGCTTTTGAATTTGATATTCAAGTTTTTTGTCAATTGGTCGTATCTGTTAAGAAAACATAACAAATTGATATCCCCATTTCTGCAACAAACATTCATCAAGTGAACAAAGAAGCATAAAAGGGAGACAAAGATGAACATACCTTCTCCAAAAACAACCTCGTCTCGACAAGCTTTTGAACAACAGGGTGATTGTCAACTGACAAACCCTTTGCCTTACGAAGTATGTAGCACACCAGCGATTGGCAATAGTTAAGAAGCAACAAATTTTTAGCCTCTAGGTAGCTTATCCCATCTTCTGTAGGATAATTATTAGCTTTTACCTGCTCATCCAGAAGGGGTAAAAACATTCATTTTCAACAAGAAGAAGTTAAATCATCAGGGGAGGACTTCAATTGAACTTTCATTCACAGCGTAAGACTCCTCGCAACTCCAGCATTCAAAAGTAATATCCTCAAAACCTAAAACCCTTTACCTTAGCAGTCAAGCTTTCAACTTTACTTCTCACCAAATCCAACCCTCCTTTCATTTCTTTCAGTACTGATGCTAACTGAGGATTGTCCCTGAGTCCAAAAAGCAAAATTAGATGGTAGCTAAGAACAATTCAATCTCATGTCAGCTAAACCACAAAGAAAGGTTACTCTTTTATCCGCTGGCTCAATCCTTCATCGGCCATCCTGCCCTCCTTTGCTTCCCAACTTCCAGAATCCTGATTCTGAGACCAATTCAGTTGAAGACGCACCTGCAATGCCTTCAGCTATGGCAGATACATACTTCATTCCACACAGATCACAAATACGAAAGTTCTCCCTAAAATAATAACATAAAACGGTCTAATTGAGTCCTAATAAATCTCTCTGTAGCACAATAGTCTCACTACAATGTAAAGACACAGACTTCACTCCCCCTTCACAAAGCACCTAACCTTAAAAATAATTTTCCAGACAAAGATCTGTTTTTTCCCCCTCAAGCCACGCAACTATGTCGACAATGCCAATGAAGATCCTAAGCAGCAGCACCCATGAAAACAAAAACTACATTACCAGCGAGGCAAGGAACGGATCAATCAAATTACTCGGATGAGACCCATACCGCCATAAATCTCAGAAAGAAGCCGCGTATAATAAAAAAACCCTAGCTGAAAACCAATCTACAAGCTGAGGCCGAGAAATAAAAATCCCTAGAATGGTGAATTAATCACAAACAGGGAACTAATTGAAACGGGAACCAGATGAAACTGAAAAAACCTAGAGCGGGCTCTCACCTTTGAAGAAGAAATCACGAATCTTGGTTTCACAGCAGCAGCTCTCTCGTTTGCGAACACGAGCAGCGTTTTATCTCGAGAGTGACGGCGGATTGAGAGGGTAAGAGAGCGACGGCGATTGGGGGCTAGGGTTTCGGTCTATGGTGGAAGAGAGACGAGAGAGTGAGAGGAGAAGAAGATGGCGACGGTTTGAAGAGAGCAGGCTAGGGTTTCGGTCTATGGAGTTTGATTCTGGAGGAGGAAGAGAGAAGTGGAAGGATCGAGAGGAAGAGAGAGAGGCGAGAATGAGAGGGCGGCCATGTACCTCGACTTTTCAAAAGACCGAATTGACCCTAGGGCTTCTGCCTATTTATTTGCAATTACAAAATTGCCCTTCCCCTTTCTCTAAAATAAAAAGAACGATATAATGAGGTGAGCTGGTTTCGAACCCTCGTTCGGTTAAATGAAACGGTTCGTGACTGGAAACTTAGCTAGTTGGGCTGCTTAGCAATCACACGTTAATTTAATCATCTTAGTTATTTTTATTTCTTTTTAAAATTCTTAAGACAAAATGTTGAATGCGAATTAAGTTTATCTTGTTTCTTTTCTAATACATCAAAATACTTCCTATTAACTGTTAAGAAAACATCACAAATTGATATCCCCATTTCTGCAACAAACATTCATCAAGTGAACAAAGAAGCATAAAAGGGAGACAAAGATGAACATACCTTCTCCAAAAACAACCTCGTCTCGACAAGCTTTTGAACAACAGGGTGATTGTCAACTGACAAACCCTTTGCCTTACGAAGTATGTAGTACACCAGTGATTGGCAATAGTTAAGAAGCAACAAATTTTTAGCCTCTAGGTAGCTTATCCCATCAGTTGTAGGATAATTATTAGCTTTTACCTGCTCATCCAGAAGGGGTAAAAACATTCATTATCAACAAGAAGAAGTTAAATCATCAGGGGAGGACTTCAATTGAACTTTCATTCACAGCGTAAGACTCCTCGCAACTCCACCATTCAAAAGTAATATCCTCAAAACCTAAAACCCTTTACCTTAGCAGTCAAGCTTTCAACTTTACTTCTCACCAAATCCAACCCTCCTTTCATTTCTTTCAGGACTGATGCTTCCTGAGGATTGTCCCTGAGTCCAAAAAGCAAAATTAGATGGTAGCTAAGAACAATTCAATCACATGTCAGCTAAACCACAAAGAAAGGTTACTCTTTTATCCGCTGGCTCAATCCTTCATCGGCCATCCTGCCCTCCTTTGCTTCCCAACTTCCAGAATCCTGATTCAAATAGAGACCAATTCAGCTGAAGACGCACCTGCAAGATGAAAAAGATAGCAGGAGAAGAAGAGGAATAAGAAGGAAAGACAATATAAAAGGTGTTGGTTGAGATTAAAAGATGAAAGCAAAAGAACACAAGCAAAAACTGCGCCCTCTTCTAAACTTTCCATGGTCCCTCATCAACTAGTACTCTCCAATTATCAACATTCTGATTCCCTTTTCAATAATTAGTAGAACAGTAAAACAGACATCAACAAAATAAAAAGAGAGAAGCATCAGATTATACATCCACTGCCCTCAGAAAGTGATATTTCCCACTTCCCAGCAAAATCTTATTCCGAAAAGCGAAATTTCGGGATCGAAGATTGCTAACAGAACGCTTGCACCCAACAAAACCCATCCAAATTCTTAAACGCCAACTACAGCACAGCGAGCAACACTCTAAATCTGCACAAATCAATCGACAAAGCCTTTCAAGCAACTGATTCACCTGCTCCACTCAAATTTCAAAGCTATTACTGAGCTGAGCGCCCACTTAAAGAGGATTGAAGTTGAACTGAACCTGGCAAGAGGATTTCCGAGACAAAACGAGATTGGGCAAGAAACGACGAGATGCCGATCTGATAGCCGCGGAAGACCGCTTCTGCAACAGAGGTAGGAAACGACCGGCGGCCGGCTCAAGAAGAGGCTCCCCAGAGGACGAGATGGAAGTCGAGTGGCGGCGGAGCTAAGTGTAGGGAGCAGGAAAAGAGGGAAAAAGGAGAGAAAGAGAAGACTAGAGAGGAAGGTTTTATTAAGGAGGTATCTGACGGCTAGGATTAGATCGCGGGTTGGCGGAGAGGGAATATTGACCGTTGGATGTAGGGGTTTAGAGAGGTTTCCGCTTTTATTTTGTTTTCTACCTCAAATTAATTTCGGTTACCGTCCACATACTTTTGTTTGACTACCAAACGAACCTCAAAATTTTAATTATAACTAAAAAGAAGTGTGGATGAATTCGAAAAGTCGACTGATGAACATGATTAGTTCGAGTTTTCTTAAAATCATATATCGTCTACATGCAAACATACAATTTCTCTCTCCTTCCTAAACAAGGAAGGCTTTGACATCATTGAAAGGCTAGTTCTAAACTTCTACCATGCATCAAACTTTCACTGATCCATAGGTTAAGAAACATAATCGTCGTTGTATGATTGACGTAAATTCAACAACAAAAAAACCATAGACAATGAGTATCGTAAAGGTAAAACTTCGAGTAATAAGCTCACATGAATAAATGACAACTTAAGAGATTACTTTACTTATTTGTTTAATTTGTAGTTTTCTTAGTTTTTAAATAACCAAAAACCATTTTTGGTAGATAACAACTTAAGAGATCGAAGTAGGAGTACATGGACTGGCCTGGGTTTGACAATTAAAACATATTTTCCCTATATTGTACCCGACTAGAGTTTATACTTGGGCTCTAGTCGGAATTTTATTCATGTTGTAGTCTGTGCGAGTCATAAGTCCAGTCTGTCAGTAGCAATAGAATAGTATATTTCCTAGTGAAGGAAGCCCTTTCGGAAAGACACGGACATGTATTCCTACTCTAGTATGATGCTTCATAGGCAAGGGAAAGAAGATACGTAGCTCCAATGTCGAATCGGGCGATTTCTGGTCAAGCTCTTGTGATGTCACTGAAAAAAGTCGTACTACGGTAGAACACAACAAATTCAGTTATGCTAAGTTTAAAATTTGCGACTTTCGATACGCTTTTCCTTGGGTGTAAAAAAACCCTAGAATCTCTCTAGATAGAAATTTGCTTTCTTAGGTGGCCCGACGTATAACCCTACGTTGCTCAACTCACAACAAGATGGATGGAGAATTAGAATGAGTGATTTCAACACAATCTCTCATTCCACTGAATTTTCTTAAATTCCTCATTTGAAAAAGACAAGAGATTTTAGTGTCTAGAGATTTCAAAAACATGCATATGCTGAATTTTGAAACAGCTTTCACCTATTTCAAAATTCTTCATTTCTTTTTGTTTCTCCTACACCTATCTCTTAACTTTTTTTTTTTTTTTGTGAAAGAGCTTTTCTCCTTACTATCCCTCCCAACCATGAACCATTCATCCGTTCTCCTTCCCACCGCCAGTGCCAAACAGCTATGGCTCCCAAATTTTCCCATCTATTGTCGTCATCTTTGTCCAACCTAATTATTGCCTCTTCTATTCTCTTCCTCCTCCTCCTCTCCCAAATCTCCCATTCGAATTTTGTCGTCTTCTCTCCTATCACCCAAACCTCGCGGCTCCATTATTCTTTATTCTTCTGTTGCAATAGATTCATACATCCGACCATCATCTTTGATTAAGGCACAGTCTCGCTGACCTCCGCTTCAAAGAATCTCCCCAATACCAAAGAAACTGAAGGTGACGAGGGCAACGACAAGGTATGGGGATATGACTTTACCAATAGTGGTGTAAAGGAGTGAATTTCTTTACTATCCTTAGAGTGTTTATTTACCATCACTACGGTGATTGGATTAGATAAACTACCCTTAGGAGCCCCTTCAGCCGGGAAATCAGAAGCAGCAACTTGCAGATCTCTGAAAATTACAGATGAAGAACACAAGAAAAAGATTTTTGGCGGCAACAAACTTATAATTGTGAGAAATAGAAGTTACCTACTTAATAGTTACTTCGTTTCACAAAAATCAAACAATTAATTAATTCAAAATAATCTATTAAATATTAAAAAACTCAATTTTGAAATGCGATGCGCAAACGTGCTAAGTGTGAAATACTACATAATTCACAAAAATCCTAAATCACTTAATCAATAAAGTAAAATGGGAATGAGTTTTATAAACCACTTGTTCCTTTTCTGGATTGGGTCCAACGCCATTCCTTCCACCGTATGATTGTCCTTTCCCGGATTTGTTCTTCATGTCTAAGGACACTTTTCCTATGGACTTCATCAAGAGAAGTGTATGCTGCTTATGGAACATATGGATTGCTCAGAAGGTTTTTTATTTGAGGACAAGGTCATTTCCCTGACCTCTTCAGCGGTGCTAGCTGATTGTGATTTTCATGTCCTTGAGGAAGCTTGAAATTTCGTTTCTCTTCCTTCTGCTTCGAGATCAGCTGCAAGGCATGCTCATCCAAGGGGATCCCGCTCTCAATCTTCACCGCCGCCTAGACCTATTCAGAGGATTGTGCATTGTGATGGCTTATTTTGTGCGAAATTACAGGAGGATGGGATTACGATTGCTAATGCACATGGTCAAGTTTTGGACGGGAACTTGGCAAGGCTGAGATAGTCTTTTGTTCCTATCCTATCCAAGTGGAAGTTTATGCAATTCTTAACGCAGTCTTGTGTTCATCTCGGGAGGTTTGTCGGACTTGTATCAGGACTGATTGTCTGATTCTGACTCTCACTTTGAAGCTTGCTACTGATCGATGGGTGTGGCAATGACGATCGATATTGGCCCGTATCATTTCTCTGCTCCAATCGGCCCCTTGGATCACTGTGATGTTTATTCCTAAACGTCTCAATGGTCTTGCTGATTGGGTGGCTCGGAATGAACGAATGGGATCTCCCACTGATTGGCTGATTAGTGCTTATTTTATTTCTCATTTGCTGTAAGAATGTACATGGCTTCCTTTTGATGAGTATGGAATAAAAGCAGCTCTTATTGTATAAAAAAAATGTAATAAATAAGTAACCCAATGAGTTTACTCAAACAATCCACAACCCGACATATTTATAACCTGAACAACCAGCAAGTTGATTGACTCTTAACCCAGCCGACTCATGACCCAAACAACCCATCGCCCGATTGACCATCAGCCTCATTAACCGGCAACTGGATGAATTCGTAACTCAACTTACTCCCAATCGGTAAAAACCGACCTGCCCATGACCCAATAAATTGAAAATCCGACTAACTCCAATTGAGCCCAACCCGAACCCCCCTATTGACACCTCTATAAATACCTATGGATACCTCGTGAATCACGAGTATCTTTTGTAAAAAAAAAGCATATGCTAAAATATATTATTTGTGTTCTTAAATTGAAAAAAGTAGATTGGAAATTGTTTGTTCACAAATATTTTCAAAAATTTACTAGTAAGTAGACATGCTACTGATTCTTGGATTCTGAAGTGGATCACGGGGGGATGGTCTGTGGTCACCTTTGTAGACGGTATTTCTATTTGTTTTTCTCGACGCTTGATCAAGGGGGCACAATAAGAGTCCACTAATTACCGAGAAAAAAAAACTTGCAAGTAAAAATAAAAAAAGGCTTGATCATGTGGTAATAACATTAGTGTTGAAAAGTAGTAGCAGCAGAAGAAGAGCAAAAGAGCAAAAGAGAAAAAGAGAGAGTCTTTCTTTTCGCTCTCCCCGCTCTCTTGCTTCCTGGTTGTTGTTTTTTACCGTTCCATGACCGTTGGGGGCGAGCCTCCCCCAGTGGAGGATGATTTCTGTCTCAAACCGCCGGATGGCTCGCCGGCGACGACGCCTAGCCAACCCAGCAAGCGAGCTAGAGCAAGTAGCAGTGCGGGGTTCTCAGGTGAAGGGGGGATGGATTTTGCAGTTGTCACTGCAATCGCTACGAAGGAAGATGCAACCCAAATGGATACTAATCTCAAGATGGGGAATCAATCAGAGGCTAAGGATATGGAGACAGAGTCGGGCGGACCCAAGGCTTCCTACAAAGACTCCTTCTTAGGGAATAGCCCGCCGGATTCGATCCCAGAAGGGGACGAATTGATGTCTGATGAATCAGATGGAGAAGAAACTGAGGATGACCCGGACTGCCCCACAATCCGGATTAAGAAGAGCACAGATGCGCGCGTTCGAAATCGCTGGAACGAGCCATTACCTTCCGGTTCTGGGTAAGTCGTTCCCCTTTGCTTTCATTCACAGAAGAACTCAAAATATGTGGGCAAAAACAGGGGGAATCAGAATTGGAGATATTGGGAATGGCTATTTCCAGGCGAGTTTCGATTCGCAGCTCGACCATGATCGTGCCCTATATGGAGGGCCATGGACGATCGAAGACCATTATATTGCGTCTGAGCCGTGGAGAATTGATTTCGACCCAGATTTTGACTCAATTAACAGAGCTTCTGTCTGGGTTAGACTCCCGAGACTTCCCCTTGCTTACTTCGACGAAGAAATCCTCAGTGACATTGGTGATAAGTTGGGAAGGGTGGAGAAGATCGATTACAACACGGCCAACGGATCAAGAGGGAACTATGCACGAATTTGTGTGGAAATCGACCTAAGGAAAAGACTTGTCTCTAAATATAGGATCAAGAGACGGGTTCGACGTGTGGAGTATGAAGGGCTTCACATAGTCTGTTTTGGATGTGGTCATTACGGTCATCTTGAAGATTCATGCCCTCAGAAAGCTCAGAGGGGGTGCTATCGCCGGAGGAAAGGACGAAGACAAGCTTCAAAACTGCAGAACCTGAAATCAGGCCTGAGATTGTGGAGGACTTTGGCCCGTGGATGCTTGCGACGAGAAACCGCAGAAAACCCAGGCAGCAAGCGACCCAAAAAACTGGGACAAAAGAGAAAGCAGAGGATGAGAAATCAACTCATGAAGGTTCTGGTTCAAGATTCAAGGTGCTAACCGAGGAGACTGCTGAAGGAGTCGAAACAGAACAGAACCCTGATGATGCTGAAGTAATTGGAGCAAAGGAGATGGAGGGTGAAAATGACAAGGCAGAGGAAAATAGGAAAGATGAACAACCAAAGGAGAAAGGGAAAGAAAAGAAGGCGGAGAACCAGAAGAAAGATGGTAAGAAAAGCAACAACAATGCAGTGAAGGACTCAAACAGAAAGCCTAACCAGAAAATATCACCGGAGAATCCAAAATCCAAAACGAAAGGGAATGATACTCCAAAGAAACAGGAAGATCAAACAACAAAGAAAACTACAGAAGTTGCCAACAAAGAGTCGAATCCGCAACCGATCACGACACACCAAAATGGTGCTTCCCAAGTTTTCACACCTCTCAAAATGAGGAATGGCACGGGAAAGGAGCAATCGAAGGATGCCAAACCTGGTCATCAGCCAAAGATGAAGGAGACACAAAACAAACACAGTAAAAGCACAGAGATGAAGAACACAAAACCACCAGAAAATGTTGTGCATCCGTCCCGCAAGATCAACTTTGATCCCAAACAGGGTAGTGATGCACAGATGCCAGAGAATGCAACCCAATCCTTGACAGCAAAGCCAAAATGCGGGGAAGGAATGGGTGAGACGGCCATGGCCGTCGATTCAAACTGATTTTTTCGACCTTGTGTCGACGTGAGGGAAGTTCTTCTTAATCGTTTCCATGATTAAAGTCTTCTCTTGGAATTGTAAAGGTGCTAAACATCTCAAATTTCGGTCTACTCTCGATTTCTATAAGTCTACTCACAAACCAAATTTTGTTTGTATTTTTGAACCCAGAATCAGTGGGAAGGATGCTCTTGAGGTCATCAGAACGCTTGGCTTTGATTCCTGGGAAATTTCAGATGCTACTGGTTACAGTGGAGGGATCTGGATGCTCTGGAATAAAATTGAGATTCAGCTAACTAATCCTGTAATCCACAAACAGTACATCCATGTGGAATGCTCTACAACTGGTGGCAATGCTAGTGTTCTTACTGCCATCTACGCCAGTCCTAATGAGCACGCCAGAGGGGATCTGTGGGAGGCTCTACGAGGCATTAGTCGCAGAACTCTCTGCCCTTGGATGCTGTTTGGTGACTTTAATTCTATCACAAGGCCAACTGAAAAGCAATGAGGGGCCAGTTTCAGCTTTGCCAAAGTAAGGGGATTTGTGGAGTGCATCGAGGACTGTGGTTTAATGGATCTTGGGTACACTGGGCCACGTTTTACTTGGTTCAAGGGAGGATCAGGGGTTAAAGAGAGGCTTGATCGTGGTCTTTGCAACCTGGCATGGCACCATAAGTTCCCCCAAACTCATGTCTCCCACTTGATCAAGATGAGATCGGATCATAGACCGATACTGATTTGCAATAAGACTATCCCTACAAAATCCAAATTGGTGAGACGTTTCCAGTTCCTTGCTCCTTGGTTGTCTCATGATGAGTTTCTTCCTTTTCTTTCCTCTTCATGGATTCGTGGTCAGGCTCTCCCTTGTGCCTTGCAGGACCTTTCCTCCAAGCTCCAAGTATGGAACAAGGAAGTGTTTGGCAATATTTTCCAGAAGAAAAAGAGACTGGCGAATAAATTGCATTCCTTGGAAACACTTAATGAGAGGAATCCTTCCACTTCCTCACTGGAGGAGGAAAAGAAGGTTAGAGAGGATCTTGAAGATGTCCTCTGGCAGGAGGAAATCCTTTGGCTCCAGAAATCAAGAGCCAACTGGACAATCCACGGAGACCAGAATTCCAGATTCTTTCATAGCAGCACGCTGAGCAGAAGAAAACGAAATAAGATCATTAGCCTGAGAAATGAAGCAGGAGAATGGATCACTGACCCGGATTTGCTCCAAGACATGGCAAGAGAACACTATGTGAAGCTTTTCACCAAGTGCAAGTTGTGCAACAGAAGTGGCCATCATTCCATCACTGCTACTTTCCCACCTATTACAAGCTCTAGGTGGGAGCAGATGGAAAGATCTCCGACCTTTGAGGAAATCCATGGCATCATCAAAGAGATGAACGGTCTTAAGGCACCTGGCAAGGATGGTTTCCATGCACTCTTTTTTCAAAGATGCTGGAAACTTGTTGGTCAGGACTTCTTCAAGTCCATCCAGGAATGCTTTAGGAATCCCGAGAGCATCAGGACTCACAATGAGACCCTTTTGGCTCTGATCCCAAAAGTGGACTCCCCCAGTTCCATGAGCCAGTTTCGACCCATTAGCCTTTGTAATGTGGGGTACAAAGTGGTGGCGAAATGCATTGCAAACAAGCTGAAATGTCTTATGCCCCACTTGGTCAAACCTAATCAATCTAGTTTTGTTCCAAATCGACATATCACTGACAACATTCTTATTCTGCAGGAGACAGTGCATTCGATGGCTAGGAAAAAAGGCAAAAAGGGAATGATGCTTCTTAAACTGGACTTGGCCAAAGTATACGATCGCTTGGACTGGGATTTTTTTGAAGAACCCATTACCTTGGCAGGGCTTCCTCAAAGTATCATTCGTGTTATCATGAAATGTGTCACCACTGTGGAAATGCAGGTCCTGTGGGAAGGAGGGGAAACTCAAAGCTTCAAGCCAAGCAGAGGCCTTAGACAGGGATGTCCCCTTTCTCCTTACCTTTTCACTCTTTGTGTTGAGAGATTAGGTCATTGCATTTCCGAGGAAGTTAGTTTGAATAGGTGGAATCCTGTTAAGCTCTCAGCTGGAGGACCCCCCCTTATCCCACTTGTTCTTTGCAGATGACTTGGTGTTGTTTGCTGAAGCCTCTATGAAGCAAGCAGAAATTATAAACCTTTGTGTTGATAGGTTTTGTGATGCTTCAGGAGAGCTTGTTAGTAAAGAAAAGTCTAGAGTTCTGTTCTCTAAAAATACTAGGGATAGTGACAGAAGACTTATTTGTGACAAACTTGGCATTCAATCAACTTTGGACTTAGGTAGATATCTTGGTGTGCCTGTCATTCATGGTAGGATCACTAGAAATACCTATAGGTACATCATTGATAAGATTGACCAGAAATTGACTTCATGGAAGGCTAGAACTCTCTCTCTTGCTGGAAGAGTTACTCTTGCTTTATCAGTCCTTAATGCTATTCCCACTTATGCTATGCAGACATCCATCCTTCCTGCCTCTGTTTGTGACCTTATTGATAAGAAAATCAGGTGGTTTGTGTGGGGATCCAATGAGGAAAAAAAGAAACTACACTTGATTTCTTGGGAAAATGTATGTAAACCTAAAAACCAAGGGGGTTGGGGCTTAGAACTGCTAGAAGCCTTAACATGGCTTTCATGATTAAGTTGGCATGGCAGGTTCTTAACAACAGCTCAGATTTGTGGGTGCAGATCATGCAAGGCAAGTATTTCAAGCACAAAGATGGGGCAAATTGTGGCAATGAAGAGGAGCAACCATTCAAGTCTTTGGAAAGCAATCCTTAAGGCAATCCCCCTCATGAAGAGTGCTGCAGTCTGGAGCATCAGGAATGGAAAGACAACAAGCTTTTGGCACCATCCATGGCTTGAACATGACCTTTTCCTCAAGGACAATACACTGCAAGATGACCCTACTACCCTGGATAAATCAGCAGTGGCGGACTGGGTTGATGATAATGGAGAATGGGACTGGATCAAGCTCCAAGACATCTTCCCTCCCAACATCCTGGCCTTGATTGCTGGAATGGAACCTCCAAAAGATGATCTGGGTGAGGATAAGTGTATTTGGGGGCTGGAAAGGGATGGCAGATTTCGGCTGAAATCTGCATATAAGCTGGATGCGGATCAATTGGATTCTACAGGAGAGGCATTCTGGAAGGAACTCTGGAAATGGAAAGGACCTAGCCGCACCAAGCACTTTCTTTGGCTTGTCATGCATGATCGTCTGCTCACAAACAAAGAACGAGTCAAAAGGAAGTTGGCCACGGATGGAAACTGTAATTTTTGCAAGGACACAGAAGAAACCACTGAACATATCCTCAGGAACTACAGGAAGACAAAGGGTATCTGGGAGAAATTCAACGCCAAAGTCACCTGCAAGGACACCAGTTTGCCTTTCAAGACTTGGATGCTACGCAACTTGAAAGATGATGATCATGGAGTGGATTTTGGTCTGATTGTGTGGCACCTCTGGAAACAGAGGAATGAAGAATGCTTGGATGGTAAAAGTTTTGTGGAAAAGTCTCTCCTCTGCAGAATTGAGGCTTGGTTTAATATCTTTAAGATGGCATTGAAGAATGTGGAAAGGAGCTTTGCGCCACCAACAGTGAGAAGAGAGGAGTTGATTGGATGGAAGCCACCACCTGACGGATGGGTACAGATCCAGTCTGATGGCTCTGTCCTCTCTCCCTCAGGCAGCGCTGCTGCTGGAGGCCTCATCCGTGACTGCTTGGGAAGGTGCTCTGTGGCCTATGCCTGCAACCTTGGAGTCTGTTCTATCACTGTTGCTGAGCTCAAAGGAGCAGCTGTGGGACTTCAAATTGCTTGGGATCAAGGCCATCGAAGGGTGCACCTCAACCTGGATTCGTCCACTGCAGTTGCTATCATTAAGAACTGCTCTGACGATTATCACAGACATGGCCTACTAGCTATTCATGTCAATAATCTTTTGAATCGTGATTGGGACGTTGTTGTCTCACACGTGTATAGGGAAGGGAATTGTACGGCTGACTACCTTGCTGAGTTTGGTCATAGCCTACCTTTTGGCACACATCATGTTGATGTGTGTAATCCCGATCTATGTAGATGGTTAGAGTATGATGTTCTGAGAATCTCCCAACCTCGTTCTATTAATATATGATCCTAGACGCCTTTGAGCGTCTGTCTTCCTACCCAAAAAAAAAAAACATTAGTGTTGAACCTGAAGAGCTTAAATTCCAATCTCTGAGCTTCTTTCTAGTCAATTTTGAAAAATGCATTTCTGTATTTCATGGATTCCACACATTAAGCGCCATTTGCAGGAATAAAGAGGAAACTAGTAAAAGACCAACCGGCCACTGCTTGCATTCGGCATTTTGAGCTAGTTTTTACATCCCAAGAAAACTCCTTTTTTTTTTCTTTCTGTAATAATTTACAACAGTGGAGAGTGGACACCGAAACACAGAGAGAGACTACCATGTCACCGATAACTGTAACTCCGGTTGCCACTTGCAGGAAAAGCATGGCGCCTCCGACCAGGCCGAAATTCCGACGATGTTCCGTCATCGTCTTTCTCACTGCTGCCGCCAGCCGATTTTTTCCCCCTAACTAACTCCACCAAGCCCGCCTTCTTTCTATCCACAACCCCTTCTTCCGATTCTTTAGCAGGCCCGGGCCGTTGCCGCTCAAACTTCAACAGTTTTTCCGCTGCAGCAGCATAGTCAAATGGCTTCAGCTCGGACAGACTACTTGGTTCCAGAGACAGATCAGATACAGAAACCGGTTCTTCAGCTTCATCGTCTCCTTGCGATGGAGACTCGGCTGGTTCCTTCTTCACTCTGAATTCATCCTCCGATTCATCGATCTCCAGTTCTGAATCGGTTTCCAATCCTAAATCGCTGGACTCTGAATCCAGCATTATTATCTCACAAGCCGGGGCAGCAGCTGCGTGTTCTTCAGGCTGTGAAACACCTGCAGCTTCCTTTTTTATTTCTGGTTTTGATGGCAGCTCATCATCTCTCCCTGCAAATGAGTGGAAAGGAAGGCTAACCGAGGATTTAATCTTTTCCAGCTTCGTGTCTCTTTTATCCTGAAATGTCCACCAGTGTAAGACTAATCAAAATCACGAAATGTCATCATTTAGAAGATTCTGTGATTTCAACTACTTCATACAAATATCAACCATGAAAATTCAAGCTAAACCCACCCTATTATCGGTATCAGCGCGCCGCTTCAAGGCAGCATTTCCGAGTATTGATCCGAAGATGCCTCCTGTCTTCTTTTGCACCTGTACTGTGGAACCTGAAACCTGTTACAGAAGAAATGAACATCATATCAGTTGTTAAAAATCACCAAGTACTGCTCTTCAAGGAAGCTGCAATCGGCAAACATCTGGGGACCTTTGCACTAGGAGACAAATCTGACAGCGAGTCAGAGCCTTTTGAGACAACTGATGCTCTCTGATTCATCGATTGAGGAACCCTTTTTGTCATCTCCACACCGAGTTTCCCATTTTCGCTGATACCATACACCAAATGCTTCTTCTCAATCTTTGAAGGACTGAGTGCTGGCAGCACACTTGTACTGGCATGTTTTGCATCGGCACCATGAGTCTTTTGTGCTCCAACATTTGGAGTTCCTAAGGGAGTGGCGGCATTTTTCAAATCTTGAACTTCTGAGCCATTGTTTGATTTACCTATATCTCGTGAGGCCTTAACAAGAAAAAATTGTTTGATTAGCTGAAATTGCACTGCTTAAATAAATTGAAATCCAGATAGTTTGTTCGGATGCAACTTTTGAGATAGCAAGATTTTGGTCCATGTAATACAATTGAAGATTGCGACCAACTATGGCAGTGTTTGTTTTGGCTAAGCAACTAAAAAAGGTCGATTTGAGAGCTAAAACACACTTCTTAAATCTTAAAATTGTAAATCTTTACCTTAATCCATACAAATTATTTGAATCTAAAGTCCACCACACTTATACCAAAACAAAATACACCTCACCGATAAAATTCCATTTCAATTTTGCCCCTTACAATACAGATATATGCTCGCGAGTCATTTTCCAAAACAAACTATTTATTACTAAAAGAAATCTCGTATCCCATCATCTCAACTTTTTCCACAAGCCAATCGGAAACACTAATTCAAACACAATACTTCTTTGCTTCCCCTAAACTTAAAAAGTCATTGCCATAACCAGTAATGCAGTAGCTGTTAAAGCTTCTTTGCAACATGAAATTCCTAGGAAACCTTTGAAAAGCTGCCCAGTTAGAGTGAAAAGTAAGTCTTACCATTTCCAAGGCCAATTCCTTTAATTGCTGCGCAGCAGCTTCAAATGCAGCAGCATTTTGCATTTGATGCCTAACGACTTGTACAACAGAGCTGAGGTGCCGCTCAATATACTGGTGCTTCAATTTGAGTACACGATGCAACTTGCCAGTTGATAGAGGCATCTGTTTGGCTTTTCCATTTCCCAAAGATGAAACCATTACACGTCAATGTTTGCCATTATATAAAACCACAAAACAGAATAGAAAACGATCAAAATTGTAAGGAGTATGTCCATACCGATCTCGAGTAGAACTTTGTTTGGTAATATATAACCTGTACTCTCATCTTCGTTACGAGCCACAACATCTCTCCATTCATACAGGCCCTATAAAATTATTTATGTGGACCACATAAGACTAGTGAAAAATATGATGTACAAGATAATAGTAGAGTGGCCTGCTGGACAAATTTGTGAAGCCATTTATAGTGGCTCACAAATCCCCCAACAGGAAAATATTTTAACGACATACAGGAAGTTAGGTATTGCATGGGACAATAGTATCTTAAGTCGTAAAAGACTATTAGGCCAACTTATTATAAGCAGTAATCGAGTGAGAAACTGAACTCTACGCGATAATGAGAAAGAACTTACTGCAACAATAGCAAGCTGATGAGCACTGAAGTTGGCACTTGGCAAGCTATTCCATGAAACAAAAGATGCGGAAATATTAGTTTCCAATCATGACGGGACAAAATACAGCAGTAGAGAAAAGCAAGAAATAGATGGCAGTTCACTTGAAACAGGGCTATATAAGAATGCTCCAAAGTCTAGACTCCAGTAAAGAACGCTCAGAGGAACGAGAGCATACCCATACATATGCAGATACGAATCCTCTGCTAAAAGCTCTTTCTCATACAACTGCATGCAAACATCATAACTTCTCTTGTACACCTGTTAGTGATGAACACAGCAAAAGTCATCCGAACAGTAGCAGCAAAGCCTAGTTAAGCATGCTTCATAATCTGCAAGAAAGCACTCGTGCTCATTTGAAACCAAACCGAACACAAATTCAAATCTGGGGACGTGACATAGCAAGGTTCGTCAATGCTCAAAAGATTGCTACACATATTCATTCTCTTTGGAGATCAAAACCAAGCTACATAAATTGCAGGTGATAAAGAAAAACCAACAATATAGACCCTTCAATCCAGCAACAAAGAAAACATATTAACATAATGAAAAATATAAATTCCACAGCTCAGATCCAATGCCAAAAACCAATGCAAAGACAATGCATCACATCTATGTCATAAGCCCATGCTCAGCATACACCCAAGGAAGCTACAATTAGAGGCCCTTAGTATCAACTCAAAGAAGCAAAAGGATTGTCACCGTACCTCCACCAAGGGAGCTTCGGAACTTTCAGTTTCTTTGGGCATTGAATGCAACAAGCATCTCATCTGATCATAAATGTATAACAGATAATGGGTATCTTCTCTAGCATATCTGTCATCAACAGGCAGCAAAAAATTGTAAAGCGTTAAGCGTAACAGAAACAAGAAAAGCAAGGAGCAGCACTCATCAAAACCTCGCATGGTTATCCCTATACATAGATATATTTACCTAATCATCTCACTAGGAAGAGGACGCAACCTCCAATCTGCATTCTGGTATCTGCAAGCAACAAGCAGGTCAATATTGCACATAACAGGAAGTGGGCCTTAGATATTGATGTATGCTAGAAGAGCAACCCTCGTCCTCTGTCATCAATTCAAGACAGAATAAAAAACAATAGGAAAGAGTTAAGTCATCGCGTAAAGACCTACTCTTTGTTGGCAACAACTCCACAAAAGTGATTCAAAAGATATTCCAAACTATTCCTCTCCAGTTTCAGCACTCTTGAGGCCTGGAAAGTAAGAAAAATAAACAGAGTAGCAGATAATACCTCAGAATTTCGATGTTGATAGTATGCGTTGACTAGTAATTGGTATAACAACAGAAGCATCAAGTAACAAATCCATACATAACAAAAAACAGGATTTCTATTTGCAAGCAGAGCCGGGCTTATAATTCAATGTAGATTCCAATCATCAATATGTTACAGAGCATAGACTACACAACTTATTGAGAAATGAAAGAGCTTCTGGATTAAATAATGCTATTGTGCAGCAAAAGACAGCATAAATTCCAAATTATCCTTGCAGTGATAACAGAGACGAAGCAATTAAGAGGTACCAACCTGTCCCGTGTCAAACATATTGCATATATATATTCCAAAGTCCCTCTGAAGCCACACAATGTCTTGATTGGCTCCATGCAAGATCTAATTAGAGTACGTATCATCCACATAAGGAATCATGTCATGCAGCAGGGATGACATGGAACAGAAAATATAAGTATGTGAGACTGAGACATACCTTTTTCTTGGTTGGGTCCTTGAAAATTTCCCTAAGATGAGGACCAACATGTATACGAAGCTTTAAGGTGTCTAGAATGAAATCCTCAGTTCTTGTAGAAATTTGCATCAAGCATGTCAATCCTTGAAAAGAACGATATTGATTATGCTCCAGATCAACCTGCACATCATAGAATGAAACAGTTGCATAAATCAAACAAGAAAGACATAAAACTGTACCAGATGCATCAATCATGTGAGTCCTTGAGAGGAAAGAGGAAAAAACATGCGAAGGTGAGCTGACATGTATCAAAATCAATGAATGAAATCTGAATCAATGTTAAGGCACCGTTTAAGAGAAGTAAATTGTCCCAAGTGAAAGATTCAGAAAACAGACCACATCCACTCCATGTGAAAGCAATGATATCAAACACTGAATTAACCCTGATAAAAGCCAGTCAGTAATAAGCATCCCAAGTGACAGATTAAGGAAACAGACCACACCCTCTCCTTAAGATCAAGCAGTAAAGTAACTCTGATATATGACACCA